ACGAAGTCTACATGGACAGAGGACTCTGCGGCCTCCCTGAAGCAGAGGAGAGAACCCCCCAGGTCTTCACCCCTGGCACCCTGACCCAAAATCACAGACGAGGAGGTGGGAAAAGCCAGAGTTGCAGTGTCCCATAGCTGCCTCCTGATCCCATCTCCATGACGGGAAAACGAAGACCCCAGGGGAGAAGGGGACCACCCAGGTGGCCCTCATCTCAGTGGCCCTGCTGGGTACAATGCCGCCGTGTCCCCCACCCAGAGCTGTGGCCTCCCAGGACCAACTCCCCTGGATCTTGTCATACATTTTCGTCATGAAGAACTGAGAACATGATATGAGAAGGCAGAGGAGTAATAATACCCCCAGGTTCTTGTCGCCTGGATCCCAGATCATCAATTCAGGGGTGCTGCCAACTCCTCCCCACAACAGAATCCCTCCTCCCCAGTGGGAGCCTCCGAAGCCCATCCCCCACCATGTCATCTCATCTGAAAATATGTCCCTCATGGCCTGGAAAGAAAGAACCTAAACTGTAACTAAATTATCATGAGCAACCCAAACAGAAATCGTCCATAATTCCTTAAGACCAAAAAATAGCTTGTCATGAAATGACTCACAATTGTCATAGTATATTTACTTAGTTATGTTTTGTTTTCATTCGCTTTTTTTAATGTCTTTCTTTTTTCTGGTAACTTTTCATGTTAATATTGATTAGTTTTTAAAGTCTTCCTTTATTTTATCTTATTTATTTTTGATGTTGCTGGGTCTTCACTGCTTCTCAAGTTTTCTCTCTAGTTGCAGTGAGAACGGACTGCTCTGTACTTGCAGCGTGCAGGCTTCTCATTTCAGTGGCTTCCACTGTTGCAGAGCACATGCTCTTGAGCCCAGGCTCAATAGTTGTGGTGTGAGGACTTAGGAGCTCTGAGGCCCGTGGGATCTTCTCAGATCAGGGAAGATCAAACCCATGTCTCCTGCATCGGCAGGTGGATTCTTAACCACTGGACCACCAAGAAAACCCTGTTTTCATTCATTTTTATTGAACTATGGTTGACTTACAGTGTTGTATTAGTTTCTACTACAACAAAGTGAATCATATATATATATATATATGTATATCCACACTTCTTTAGATTCTTTTTCCACACAGGTCATCACAGAGTACTGACTAGCATTCTCTGTGCTGTATAGTAGGTTCTCATCAGTCATCTGTTTTATATGTAGAATTTATAAGAGCAGCATGTGCACGTCAGTCTCAATCTCCCAGTTTATCCCTCCACTTCTATCCCCCTTGGTAACCATAATTTTATTTTCTACATCTGTGACTTCATTTCTGTTTTGTAAGTAAGTTCATCTGAACCATTTTCTTAGATTCCACACTTAAGCCGTATCATGTGCTATTTGTCTTTTGCTATCTGACTTCACTCAGTATGACAAGCTCTGGGTCCATCTGTGTCTCTACCCATGGCATTGCTTCATTCTTCCTTATGGGTGACTCATATTCCTTTGCACGTGTGCACCACATCTTCTTTATCCATTCATCTGTCAATGGACATTTAAGATGTTTCTGTGTCCCGGCTATTGTAAACAGTGCTGCAATGAACACAGGGGTACATGTGTCCCTTTAAACTGTGTTTTTCTCAGGGTATATGCCCAGTGGTGGGATTGCTGGATCGTATATGGTAGTTCTGTTTTGGGATTTTAAGGAACCTTCATACTCTTCTCCCTCGTGGCTGTACCAATCAACATTCCCGCAAGCAGAACAAGAGTGTTCCCTTTTTTTCACACCATCTCCAGCATTCACTCTTCACAGATATTTTGATAATGTCCATTCTGACCAGTTGGAGGTGGTACCTCATTGTTTTGATTTGCATCTTTCTAATAATTAGTGATGTTGAGCATTTTTCCATGTGCCTCTTGGTTACTTGGTTGTGTTTTGGGAGCTGTTTGATTTGGTGTTTTTTATGTTCTTTCCAGGAGGGTTGGAAGGCCTTGACACTCTGATTGGTGGGTGGTTCTAGGGCCTGGTGGTTTTGCCCTCTCCAGGAGGGTTGGAACGCCTCGACACTTGGATTGGTGGGCGTGTCTAGGGCCTGGTGGGTCTTTCAGTCTCTCCCAAATTGCTCTGGTTTTTCCTAGCTAGAAGGGGCTGCAAGACTCCCCCAGGGTCGGGGTGCAGCCGCCAGCCCCTCCACTGCAAACTGTATCTGGGAAGTTCTCACTGCTTTATGTGCCTGCAAAGTAGTTCTAGCTAGAAAGGGTTAGCAAGGTTCTGGGGGATATTTTGGCCAGAGGCAATCCTAGGACAGTTGGCCACTTCCCTCCACAGTGTCCTTTTGGGATCGTAGGTAATTTAGCCAGGTTATCTTCATTGGACGTTCGAATCCCAGGTCCCTCAGGTGGGAAGCCAGGGGGCAATTGCAGTTCTGTCCTCCTTGCTCTAGTGAAAACAGTAAGTGAAAGAAAGAGAAGTTACTCAGTCGTGTCTGACTCTTTGCAACTCCATGGACTATAGCCTACCAGGCTCCTCTACCCATGGGATTTTCCAGGCAAAGCTACTGGAGTGGGTTGCCATTTCCTTCTCCAGGAGTGAAAGCAGTAATTGGTCCACAAAGGGAGGCCCTTCAGATGCTCTTCACTTCCCCAGGAATAGCTTTTGGATCTTACTTCTATCCTTTAGTGGAGCACTTTTACAAAATGATGAGTGGTCTCTGCCATCTTCTGAAGGTGAACAGTTAATCATGTCACGGGAAAGTCTAGGGAACATGCAGGCGATGTTTGAATCCACCCTGGTTATATTCTCTTGGTGCTCGCGTTCCCACCTTTGTCCAGGGCAGCCTCCCGCTCGGGCCCAGGAGACCTCATAGCTTCCTGCATTCTGTGGGGACCATGTGTTCCAGGCCCATCTGGTGCCTGGCCCGACTCAAGCCTGGGATGGACCATGTAGCCCAGTACATGGTTCTCTTTAACGAGTTGACATTTCAGGACCACAGTGAGGGGCTTGCTCACATCTCTGTTCGGAGTAAGATGCTCCCAGACACATCCAAAAATCAGATGAGACCCTCAGGGCTGGCCAGGACACTGTCCAGTCCTCCCTGCAGACGGAGGCCGGACTTGGATGGGAACCAGCCCAAGTCTCACTAGAGATGCCCGTTTGAAGCCAGGAGAACCCCGGGGAACCGGGGTGAGCCCCTGGAGCCCCAGTTAGGGTCAGACGGAAGACGGTAGTGGCAAATCCATTCCAGCCAGATCCGTGGGGGGAAGGGGATGCCTGTGCTCTCACCAGGGGTCAGAGTCCTGCCAACTCCACGGAGAAGAGAAGCGGCTTTCTCCTCCGGGCTCCTTCGCTCTTGGGGCGGTGAATGCCCCCCGCCCCCCATTATTCCATTCCCACCCCTGGCCGCCTGGTGGGAAGACTGCATCCGACACGCAAACCTGCTTAGGGAACCTGCTTGCCCAAGGCGCCTGCTGCCCTCTCGGGGTCCCCTGTCCTGTCATCTGCTGCGGGGGGAGGGGTGCTGAAGCCCCTCTGTGGGCAGACACCAGCCTGGGGCGGGGACCCCACTTCCTCCAGCACAGCTGCAGGTGGGGGGCTGGGGCAGGGCGGGGGCCTCCCGGGGAGGGTTTTTGTGAGAGCCTGTGTCACTGTGTGGTGTTTTCGGCGGCGGGACCAAGCTGACCGTCCTGGGTGAGTCTCCCTCCTCCTTTCTCTCCTTCTTCTTTCCCCAAGGTTTGGACACTCTTCTGTCACTTTGCTCTTTTCTGTGTCTGGAGTCAGCCCTGTGGTCAAGTCTTCAACCAGGACCCACCCCTGGGGCCCTAACCTCTTCCCTTCCCCTGACCCCAGACCTGTCCTACTTGTCACTGAGGTCACCGCCAGGCCTCCCCCTCTGACCCCAGAGGCAGCGGAATGAGCAGGCTGACCTACTGACTTGTCTGTCTGTCTGCCGGGCCGAGCTGGCTCCCGGACTTTGCTCTCCTTCGTCCCCCCAACCTCCAGTCTGGGCTCTATGTTGACCCAGCTTTGTCTCTGAGGGTCACTTGGGGTCCCCATCTCACAGGGAAAAGGGAACAAGACTATAGATGAGGGACCATGGGGAGACATCAGAGGGACCCAGAACCCTCAGGGCTGGGGGCCGGGCTCAGAGGGTCGGGGAGGTCTGGGGACTGTGGGTCTGGGGATCCGGGTCGCGGATCCTGCAGAGGTGGAGGGGCTCCCCCAGGCCTCCGTGGGGCTGCTGTGCAGATCCTGGCCCAGTCAGGGACCATGGGGAACTGCAAGAGGAAAGATAGCGGAGGAGAAGGTGCTGGGCTCAGAACTGGGGACGGAGATGGGAGGTCAGGGCACGGGGGGCGCGGACTCCTGAGTCTGCAGGACACTCTCCTCAGGAGCAGGAGTCCCTGAGGAAGCAGAGAGACAGGTGCCAGGGTAGGAAACCTCCAGACCCAAGAAGAGCCAGAGAGGAACCTGAACTCAGATCTGAGGATGGGGCACTGAGGACAGGCAGACAGGCTCCTCCTCGACCCAGCCCAGAGGCTCCAGGGGCGCAGGCTTGGAGACCAACGGACCCCTTCCGGCAAAGGCGCAGACAGACACGTCAGGTCAAAAATCACCTAGATTGACCTCACAGGAGGCCAGGGAGGTCATGTCATCTACTCAGGAGACAGACAGACAGACAGACAGCCGCAGGCAAACTGCCATCAAATGTCAGAAAAGGGCAGGCAAGGAGAATGAGGGTCAGATGTCTGTGTGGGAAACCAAGACCCAGCGGGGTCTCAGGACAGCGCTGGCAGGGGTCCCGGCTCAGGTTTCCCAGGAAGATGGGGAGGTGCCTGAGAAATCCCCACCCACCTTCCCTGGCACAGACCCTCTGGCTCACGGTGGTGCCTGGACTCGGGGTCCTGCCGGGCTCTCAAAGGATCCTGGTTCCCACTGTGACACAGACTCAGTGGCCCCCAGGACGGACAGCAGACCCGATTGTGACCTTCATCCCCTCCCCCACCTGCAGGTCAGCCCAAGTCCGCACCCTCGGTCACTCTGTTCCCGCCCTCCACGGACGAGCTCAACGCCAACAAGGCCACCCTGGTGTGTCTCATCAGCGACTTCTACCCGGGTAGCGTGACCGTGGCCTGGAAGGCAGACGGCACCCCCGTCACCCGGGGCGTGGAGACCACCCAGGCCTCCAAACAGAGCAACAGCAAGTATGCGGCCAGCAGCTACCTGACCCTGACGGGCAGCGAATGGAAATCTAAAAGCAGTTACAGCTGCGAGGTCACACACGAGGGGAGCACCGTGGCGAAGACAGTGAAGCCCTCAGAGTGCTCCTAGGGCCCCGGGCCCCTCTCACCCTCACCCCCTCCCCAGCCCTCCATGGACCCCTGGGCCCCCGCCACCCTGGTTCCCCCAGCCCTTCCTCCTGCACACAATCAGCTCTCAATAAAACGTCCTCATTGTCATTCAGAAACGAATGCTCTCTGCTCATTTTTGTTGATACATTTGGTGTCCTGAGCTCAGTCGTCCTCAAAGGAAACAAACCCTCTTAGCCTCTGGGAATCAGGAGAGAGGGTGGAGGCTTGGGGCTTTCGGGAGGGACGATTTCACTGTCACCCAGAATTCCCCAGAGAACATTCTAGCACAGGGGACGGGGCCACTGCAGGAGTGGAAGCCTGTCCACCCTCTCCATCAGCCTGCATGCCTCCTCCTCTGTATGGACCACGTCCCGCTCTGATGGTCCAGGCCACACACTCCTTGGTTGCCATGGCCCCAGGGCAGTGTCTCAGTTCCCTCCCCTGGGTCCTCAACAATCACATCTGGAAGCTGCTCCTGCTCAAGCAGCCCTCTGTCCACTTAGATGATGACTCCCCTAATGTCATGCGTGTTTTGGCTGAAACCCCACCCCAGTGGTTCCCAGTCGTCACAGCCGAGACTTCCCCCGACTCCACCTCTCCAGGGCCACTGCCCTCTGCCCCTCCCCCAGGCCTCCCTGTCACATTCTCCAGGGGACCGGCAAGCCCCAACCCTGGTCACTCATCTCACAGTGCCCCCAGGTCGCCCTCCTCCCGCTTGCGTGTCAGGAAGGTCCCAGCTGCCTACGAGGTCTCTGACCAGCCCAGCTCTGCTCTCTGCAACCCCTTAGAACTCAGTCACCACGGAGCCCAGCACCATCTCAGGCCCAGGTGCTCATTTAGGCCGACGTGTTCCGTGAGCTCAAGCCGAGAATCACGTTAGGGAGGTTGTGGTGGGTTCATCTCTGACCTTGGGCGCTTTCCTGGGAGCTCAGAATGGGACCTGAGACCCGGATAGACTGTGAGCACACGTGAGCACCGTTAGACACACACACGAGTCGCTGCAAACACGGCCATGCTGCTTGGACGTGTCTCTAGGACAGAGGTGCTTCCAGAATCCGCCCTGGCCTCACCCTGCAGAGACCACAGCTCCGTTCCCTCCGGGCTGTAAACCGTCTCCTCACCCTCCCACCGGGGCGACCCCCAAAGCTGCTCACGAGGAGTCCCCGCCTCCTCCAGGAGAAGTTCCCTGGGACCCGGTGGGACACCCAGCCATCCCTCCTGCCCCTCCCCCGCCTGGAGATGGCCGGAGCCCCATTTCCCAGGGGTGAACTCACAGGACGGGAGGGGCCACTCCCCTCGCCCACCGGGAGGGTCGACCAGCCCCCCTGACAAGGAGGGCGGGCGTGGGGCTCATGTGCAGCTGCAGGCGGGCCTGGGCCGGGGGTGGCGGGGCTGAGAGCAGGGTTTATGTTCGAGGCTGTGTCACTGTGTGTGTGCTCGGTGGAGGGACCCAGCCGGCCATCCAGGGTGAGTCTCCCCTTTGCCAGCTTTCTGGGGTCAGGAGTGACAACTGGGTAGATTTTTGTGTTTTTCTTACCCATCTGGGGCTGAGGGCTCAGTCGCCCTAGGCCTGTAACCCTCCCCCTTTTAGCCTGTTCCCTCTGGGCTTCTTCACGTTTCCTTGAGGGACAATTACCCAGCAAAGCCCAGAGAACATCCAGATGGGGCGGACAATATGGGACGGCAGGCATGTCCACCGCCAGCTTGCCGGAGCCTCTCCCCTGGCTCCCTGCAGCCTCCAGACAATGTCTGAGCTGCTTCCCTGGACGCTTCACCATCTGAAACTGTGAGGCAAAAGGGAGGGACCCGACCCCAGGGCAGATGGCCGTGCTGTGTGGGGACCCTGGGAGTAGGTGAGGTCTGGGGGTGGCAGGGGTCACTGCAGAGCGATGCCCCAGGAAGGGTGAGGGGTCACGGCCGCCGATGCCAGCAGCTGCAGGGCGCACAGGCGGGGGACGTGTTATGCAGACAGGACAGGGCGTGTGACCCTGAAGAGTCAGAGTGACAGCGGGGGGCGGGGGGCTGGAGCCCCCGAGATTAGGGCTTGGGTCCCAACAGGATCCAGGAGGGTCCACGGGCCCACCCCAGCCCTGTCCCTGCACCCAGTCTATTTGCAATAAAACTTCCTTGTTGTCATTCAGAAACCCTGCTCTCTGCTCATGTTTTTCCTTGTCCTGTATTTAATCGGCACCCTCTCCAGGATTCTGGAACTGGGGTGGGGAACCCCAGGCACCAAGGAGGAAAATACCCCAAGGGGAGCAGCTTACAGTGTCAGGCGGGCTGGGGGGGTGGTCTCTGGGAGACTTGTCGGGACCCACCCCCCCACCCGCCTTCTCCCCCTCCAGCTCAGGGCCTTGCCCACCCAGCCACCATCCGGGACACAGTGGCCCATGACTGGTGCCGTCTGGATGAGCCCTCCCTCCTTGCCCTGGTCCAGACCCTCTAGACGGCCACCCCGCCACCACTGTCGTCTCTTTCCTGCCCTGGCCCTGCCCTGGAACGCCCGTCTCCCTCACTGCCCAGTTCATCTCCTGCCTACCCTCACGTCTTCCTCGTCACTCCCGAAGGCTGGACCACCCACAGGGCCAGGCCACTCCAGCACTGTCAGCTTCAGAGGCTCTTAAATCTAAGGTGCGTCTCGGTTCTCCGCCCGACGACAGGTTCAGGGGTGCAAGAGGCTGGAAGGAAGCCAGGAAGGAAAACGGTCTCAGGAAAGACCCACCTGGAGGGGGCTTGAGCCGGCGACAGAAATGAGCTCTGAGCTCCCCAGGGAGGAGGCAAGAGGTGCCTCGGAAGCTCCGAGATTCACAACAAAGCCTTTTCTGGAGGGAAGCTGGCGTCTCTGTCCCAAAGTCAGGCAGCTTGTACCAGAGTTAAAAGCGGGGTCGTGTTTTACCGGAGACCTCAGCATTGCTGGGAGCCGGGCTCTGACACACACACACAGGTGATGGTCCGGCAGCCTCAGGATGGGGTGATGACCACAAGCTGGCACGGCTGCCCCTGCACAGGGAGCCCGCCGTGTTCCTGTCTCGGGTGCCATCTGGGGGCAGGCGACGGCTACATAGTAACGGTCCCTGGATTTGGCCCCTGGGAGGTGCCCCAGGTAAGCTCCTCTGGACCCAGGGTGGACCCTTGGAACAAAAGCCCACCACCCTGCACACCCAAGGCCTCTCCCACCCCTGCCTGAGATCCCTGCGTGCCCCAGGACCCCTGAGCTGTCCCCCAACTCACCGCCCAGCTCTGCCAGGTGGGAGCAAAGAGGAGAGGGCTGCGCTCCCAGGACTGAGGCCCAGGAAGGCACCTGCCGCCTCCCCGGGGCTTGTCCCCTGGCCACTTGCTCCCTTCCATCACGACACCAGGACCCACTCCCTCCGTGAGGCCCCCAGGGTCTGGGGGCTCCAGGGGCTCTGACGACGAGGGGTGTGATGAGCCCCAAACAAGCCCTTCACGCTGGGACCCCGGGCAGTGGCCCCTTGCTGCTCTGCACTTGGGGGTAGAAAGGTGGGCCGTGGTCAGGGCTCGGGGCCTCCCTTGGTGACTCTGTCCCTTGGCTCCTGCATTAGTGGCTAGAATGAATCACCCAAGCAGAGAGGCTTTAAGCAATACACATTAATTCTTACAGGTCAGGGTGCAAAAGTACAACATGAGTCCTACAGGCTAAATTCAAGGTATCTCAGGGCCAAGAGCCTCCCAGGGGTCTTTTCCAGCCTCTGTTTTTTGTCGCTAAGTCGTGTACGACTCTCTGCAACCCCGTGAACTGCAGCAGGACAGACTCCCCGTCCTTCACCATCTATTGCAGTTTGCTCAAATTAATGGCCATTGAGCCAGTGATGCTATCTCACCATCTCATCCTCTGCCACCCCATTCTCCTCCTGCCATCAAATTTTCCCAGCATCAGGGTCTTTTGCAATCAGTCCTCTCTTCCCATCAGGTGGCCAAAGGACTGGAGCTTCAGCTTCAGCATCAGTCCTTCCAATGAATATTCAGGCTTGATTTCCTTTAGGATGGACTGGCTTGATCTCTGTGCAGTCCAAGGGACTCTCAAGAGTTTTCTCCAGCACCACAATTCAAAAGCATCTATTCTCTTTTGCTCAGACTTCTTTATGGTCCAACTCTCACATCTGTACATGGCTACTGGAAAAACCATGGCGTCGACTACTCGGATCTTTGTCAGCAAAGTGATGTCTCTGCTTTTTAATACACTGTCTAGGTTTGTTATAGCTTTCCTTTCATGGAGCAAGCATCTTTTAATTTCATGGCTTCAGTCACTGGCCACAGTGATTTTGGAGCTCCCTGCCCCCCGCCAAAAAAATCTTTTACTTTTTCCCCTTCTATTTGCCATGAAGTAATGGGACTGGATACCATGATCTTAGATTTTTGAATATTAAGTTTTAAGCCAGCTTTTTCACTCTCTTCGTTCACCCTCATGAAGAGGCTGTTTAGTTTCTCTACACTTTCTGCCATTAAAGAGGTATCATCTGCATATCTGAGGTTATTGATATTTCTCCCATTAATCTTAATTCTAGCTTGTGATTCATTCAGCCCAGAACTTCACATGATGTAACCTGAATATAAGTTAAATAAGCAGGGTGACAATATACAGCCTTGACGTACTCCTTTCCCAATTTGGAGCCAGTCCATTGTGCCATGTCCAGTTCTAACTGTTGCTTCTTGACCTGCATACAGGTTTCTCAGAAGGCAGGTAAGATGGCCCAGTACTCCCATCTCTTTAAGAATTTTCTACAGTTTGTTGTGACCCACACAGTCAAAGGCTTTAGTGCAGTTAATGAAGCAGAAGTATTAAATGATGTCCAAGGCTGTATTTTGGAATTCCCTTGCTTTCTCTATGATCCAATGGATGTTGGCAATTTGACCTCTGGTTCCTCTGCCTTTTCTAAATCCAGCTTGTACATCTGGAAGTTCTCGGTTCACATGCTGCCGAAGGCTAGCTAGAAGTCGTAGGAAGCATTACTATGAACAAAGCTAGTGGAGGTGACGGAATTCCAGCTGAGCTATTTAAAATCCTCACAGATAATGCTTTTAAAATACTGCACTCAAGAAGTGGAAGTCGCTCAGTCATGTCTGACTCTTTGCGACCCCATGGACCCCATGGAATTCTCCAGGCCAGAATAGTGGAGTGGGTAGCCTTTCTCTTCTCCAGGGGATCTTCCCAACCCAGGGATCAAACCCAGGTCTCCCGCATTGCGGGCGGGTTCTTTACCAGCTGAGCCGCAAGGGAAGGCCGTGTTGCTGCACTCAATATGTCAGCAAATTTAAAAAACTCAGCAGTGGCCACAGGACTGGAAATGGTCAGTTTTCATTGGATTGATCAGTGTCAGTGTCCAATCCCAAAGAAGGGCAATGCCAAAGAGTATTCAAACTATCATACAGTTGCACACATGCTAGGAAAGCTATGCTCAGAATCCTTCAAGCTAGGCTTCAGCAATCGTGAACCGTGAACCGAGAACTTCCAGCATCTAGACGAGCCCAGTCCTCAGCTCAACCCTTCCCCTCGGCTTTGAAGCCGCAGCAGCTTCTAACCTCTCTCCTTTCCCCTTTGACCTCTGCCCCCATCTCACCCCTCAAGGAGGCTCCAAGTCCATCAGGGCTGCCGTTGCCCACTTCAGAGGTGTCAGCTACAAACTAGCACTTGCCAAGGGCACTTGCACCTACATCTACAAGGATTAAACCACGTGCGGCTGCGGCTGCTGACCGCCAACACCCGATGAAAGGAGTTCAGGGGAAGAGCACATTGAGGCCCTCTGTGTTGGGAGCAGGGTGGGGGACTGGCAGGACAGGTCTTCAGACAGTTAAGACGTCCTCAGGAGCTGATTTCATGAGCCCAGTTCCCGTACGTTCCCATATCTAGAAAAGCACTAAAAGTCTTCGTGGTGATGATTGTTCCTTGTGCCTACCAAAAGCGTCACAAGACTGGTAGAAATCTTCTGGAAAGATATGTGCTTGGTTGCATGTCTTTCCCCTCATCCGAAGTCACACATGTGCTGACCTTTCTGCCCCCGCCTCTTCGGGGCAGTTTCTCAGAGCCCTCTGAGGGGCTGTCTCCTGGGCTGCAGTCCTCATATTGTCCCAGTTGACAGAGGGCACGTTGACCATGAGGGACGCACCAGGCTCGCCCTGCTCAGCTCAGAGGCGCCGCCTCTGCCGACCGGAGGCCCCAGAGCACTGGGTTGAGCAGGCCCAGCTCGTGGCCCCTGGAGGAACAGAGAAGTGGGTCAGGTCAGAAGAGGGGCCTTGGCCTGGCCCTGCCCTGCCTCGCTGAGCCACGCTGGGCAGCACGCGTGGTCCGGGGCTTGCTCGCTGAGGCCAAGGCTGGGGGAGGTGACTGAGGTGGGTGGGGGATGGGGGTTGTGACTTCCTCCACAGCCGAGAAGCAGAGCCTAGAATAGTCTCAGGCTGGGGAGGAGGGGAGGGGCAGGGAGGGGACTGTGGGGCCCTGGCGGAGGAAAGGGGAGGGGACTGCTGGGACCCTGGGGGAGGCCCAGGAGTTTCTACTGAGCTGAGCTGGGTGCCTCTCCCGACTGCCCAACCCTCTGCGAGGCCCGAACAGCTGATGAGAGAGCGCAGCCTGGCCAAACCTGGGCAGGGCACACCATCTCCTTCACCCCACAGTGTTCACCATGCCCAGCAGCCGTGGGGAGGGGCAGGGTCCCCGTGTCTGACGGGCAACACAGACCCTCACACCCAGCACAAAGGTCTCAACCCAGGTTTCCAGCCTCTTTGAAATTAGAGCAGCCGTGCCCTCTGGGTCAGTGACACAGGACACAGAGAGATGAAGTCCGCATCTCTCACAGGGCGCTGTCTACCGGCTGGTCAGGTCCAAGGTCCCCGGCCCATCTGTGGCCATGACGGGGCATCATCAGCCTCCTCCCTGCAGCTCCTGAGCAGGACGCGTGGGAGGAACTGGCCAGGTCTCCAGGGCCCCGGGCGGCACACACGGGAGCATCACCCACCAACCCCCGCAGGCCAGGCTGTTCCAACACACTGCTGGGCAGGAGCCTTTGAGAGGCTTCGAGGGGTCGCACCCCCCTGGGGTGGCCAGGGATCCCCTGCTCCTGTGAGGTCACCTAGAGGGATTGCACATGGGTCTCGGGGACACAAATGCAGTGATATGACAGAGGGTAGTGGGTCCCTGCAGAGCCTGTCTCTGGACCCGCTTTTCTGAAAAGCCAGTTGGTCACCTGGGATCACAGCAAAGCTAATCCTGTTTGGCCAGGAGTCTCCCAGTGACGGCCTCCCCCAGAACATCCGGCCCAGTGGGGGCTCCGCCGAGGAGACTTGCCTCCTGGGTTTCCCACACATTCCCAGCTCATGCCCGCGTCTTGGCAAGTCCATGAGCTGGTAAAATTAATTTGTGTTTGAGTGTAGTTGATTCGCAGTGCTGTGTTTGTTTCTGTGGTACCGCAAAGTGAATCAGTTACGCATACACGTGCATCCAGCTCTTTTTAAGATTCTGTTCCCATATAGGTCATTACAGAGTATCAGGTAGAGTTTCCTGTGCTATGCAGTAGGTCCTTATTCAGTTCAACCACTCAGTTGTGTCCGACTCTCTGTGACCCCATGGACTGCAGCACTCCAGGCCTCCCTGGCCATCGCCAACTCCCGGAGTTTACTCAAACTCATGTCCATTGAGCCGGTGACGCCATCCAACCATCTCATCCTCTGTCGTCCCTTTCTCCTCCTGCCCTCAGTCTTTCCCAGTATCCACCAGAGAAGGGAATTGCAAACCATTTCGGTATTCTTGCCTTGAGAACCTCATGAACAGTATGGAAAGTCCTTATTAGTTATCTATTTTATACATAGCAGTGCGCACGTCAGCCCCGGCCTCACAATTTATCGCCGCCCTCCCCCCCCCGCCCCGCATCGCCGCCACTTGGTAGCCATAAGTTTGTTTTCTACATCTGCGACTCTATTTCTGTTTTGTAAACAAGTTCATTTATACCACGTTTTTAGATTCTGCACATAAGTGACAAACCCACAGCAAACATGCTCAACGGTGAAAACCTGAAAGCATTTCCTGTAAAGTCAGAAACAAGACAAGGACGTCCACTCACTCCATTTTTACTCAACACAGCTCTGAAAGTCCTAGGCATGGCAATCAGAGAAGAGAAGGAAGGAAAAGGGATTTCCAACTTTTCCACGTTGGAAAAGAAGAAGTAAAACTGTCACTGTTTGCAGATGAGATGAGATGAGATGACACTTATACACAGAAAATCCTAGAGAAGCTATCAGAAAACTATTAGAGCTCATCAATGAATCTGTTGCAGGATACAAAGTTAATACACAGAAATCTCCTGCATTCCTATACACTGACAATGAAAGATCTGAAAGAGAAATTAAGGAAACCAGCCCATTTACCATCACATCAAAAAGAATAATACCTAGGAATAAGTCTGCCTAAGGAGGCAAAAGACCTGTACTCAAAAACTATAAAATACTGACGAAAGAAATCAAAGATGACACAGACAGAGAGAGATACCATGCTCTTGGATTAGAAGAATCAATAGTGTAACGATGACTATACTACTCAAAGCAATCTATAGGTTCAGTACAACCCCTATCAAATTCCCAATGGCATTTTTCACAGAATTAGAATTAAAACAAAAAGTTTTACAAATTGCAGGGAAACAAGAAAGACCCTAAAGAGCCAAAGCAATCTTGAGAAAGAAAAATGGAACTGGAAGAGTCAGTCTCCCTGAGTTCAGACTGTGTCTACAAAGCTGGCGTGATTTTTAACAGCAGTGGGGGCAGGGGGGTGGGTGGGGTGGGCTTCCCTGGTGGCTCAGCTGGGAAAGAATCTTCCTTCATTGCAGGAGACCTGGGTTCGATCCCTGGGTTGGGAAGATCCCCTGGAGAAGGGAAAGGCTACCCACTCCAGTATTCTGGCCTGGAGAATTCCAAGGACTGTATATATAGTCCACGGGGTCCCAAAGAGTGGGACATGACTGGGCGACTTCCAGTCCTGGAAACATCCCAGTGTGGATGATGAACTTGGGGTGTCCGAGCTCAGGTCAACCGTTTGCTGAATGACTGACTGACACTCCTTCTCAGGGGTTAAAATGTGGGGCCCAAGGCCAGGACCAGGCCCCGGGTCAGCCGGGCAGACCCCGTGCAGCCCCACTGAGAGCTCACCTGGGGCCACACTCAGGTGGCCGCCATGGGGTTCCCAGCCCCCGTGGGCCTCAACTGGAGCCCCTGGAGCGAGCCCACCCTGTCCCAGCCCGTGAGAGGCCTGGGTGCCCACTTGGTAACAGATCCGCCTGTGTGGAAACCTGCTCTTGTCCCCAAGGATCTTGGCAGGGCTCAGGGAGAATCTCATGGCGGCTGCAGATCAGGGCCGGGGGGACAGGGCTGGGTCCACCAGAGGCCTGGTGTCCACTCCAGGGAAAGCGCAGCTGACGGTCAGCACCACCCACCAGGGCACTGATGCGTGCTTCCACACAGGCTGGTCCCTCATGGTGACACTTTTCCTGAGGCCACGTCACCCCCCCAGGTCCCTCCTGCTCCCCAGCTCCTGGCCTGGGGACCTCCTTCCCCCCAGGGACATCAGGGCTGGCTTCCACTGAACACCCCGGTGCCGGGGACTGTGCTTGTCACCAGCGCCTGCACCCCCTCTCGGGTCTCACCAGGATGGGCAACTCCTGCCCGCCCAGCGCCCAGCCTCCTGGGGACACGTTGGGGGAGGAGGGAGAACCTGGGCCAGACCCCCAGTGGGCTCCCTGAGGACAGAAAGGCTGCCGTGGGCCGGCCGAGAGCAGCTCTCTGAGGGGAGGTGGGACCCCAGACCTCACCTGTGAGCCACCTGCAGCATCTCTGCTCACAGAGACTCCAGCCCAGCATTAGTGTGGACCAGGGCGGGTGGGTGAGGCGTGGGGGGACCAGGATGAGTGGGTGAGGCCCAGGGGGAGCAGGCTGAGTGGGTGAGGCCCGGGAGGACCAGGATGAGTGGGTGAGGCCCGGGGGGAGCAGGCTGAGTGGGTGAGGCCCGGGGGGACCAGGATGAGTGGGTGAGGCCCGGGGGGAGCAGGCTGAGTGGGTGAGGCCCGGGGGGAGCAGGGTGGGTGGGTGAGGCCCGGGAGGACCAGGATGAGTGGGTGAGGCCCGGGGGGACCAGGCTGAGTGGGTGAGGCCCGGGGGGAGCAGGGTGGGTGGGTGAGGCCCGGGGGGACCAGGATGAGTGGGTGAGGCCCGGGGGGAGCAGGGTGGGTGGGTGAGGCCCGGGAGGACCAGGCTGAGTGGGTGAGGCCCGGGGGGACCAGGATGAGTGGGTGAGGCCCGGGGGGAGCAGGGTGGGTGGGTGAGGCCCGGGGGGACCAGGATGAGTGGGTGAGGCCCGGGAGGACCAGGATGAGTGGGTGAGGCCCGGGGGGAGCAGGCTGAGTGGGTGAGGCCCGGGGGGAGCAGGATGAGTGGGTGAGGCCCGGGGGGAGCAGGATGAGTGGGTGAAGCCCAGGGGAGCAGGGTGGGTGGGTGAGGCGTGGGGGGACCAGGCTGAGTGGGTGAGGCCCGGGGGGACCAGGATGAGTGGGTGAGGCCCGGGGGGGGCAGGGTGGGTGGGTGAGGCCCAGGAGGACCAGGATGAGTGGGTGAGGCCCGGGGGGAGCAGGGTGGGTGGGTGACGCCCGGGGGGACCAGGATGAGTGGGTGAGGCCCGGGGGGAGCAGGCTGAGTGGGTGAGGCCCGCGGGGAGCAGGGTGGGTGGGTGAGGCCCAGGAGGACCAGGATGAGTGGGTGAGGCCTGGGGGGACCAGGATGAGTGGGTGAGGCCCGGGGGGAGCAGGGTGGGTGGGTGAGGCCCGGGGGGACCAGGATGAGTGGGTGAGGCCCGGGGGGAGCAGGGTGGGTGGGTGAGGCCCGGGAGGACCAGGATGAGTGGGTGAGGCCCGGGGGGACCAGGATGAGTGGGTGAGGCCCGGGGGGAGCAGGGTGGGTGGGTGAGGCCCGGGGGGACCAGGATGAGTGGGTGAGGCCCGGGAGGACCAGGATGAGTGGGTGAGGCCCGGGGGGAGCAGGGTGGGTGGGTGAGGCCCAGGAGGACCAGGATGAGTGGGTGAGGCCCGGGGGGAGCAGGGTGGGTGGGTGACGCCCGGGGGGACCAGGATGAGTGGGTGAGGCCCGGGGGGAGCAGGCTGAGTGGGTGAGGCCCGGGGGGAGCAGGATGAGTGGGTGAGGCCCGGGGGGAGCAGGATGAGTGGGTGAAGCCCAGGGGAGCAGGGTGGGTGGGTGAGGCGTGGGGGGACCAGGCTGAGTGGGTGAGGCCCGGGGGGACCAGGATGAGTGGGTGAGGCCCGGGGTGGGCAGGGTGGGTGGGTGAGGCCCAGGAGGACCAGGATGAGTGGGTGAGGCCCGGGGGGACCAGGATGAGTGGGTGAGGCCCGGGGGGGGGCAGGGTGGGTGGGTGAGGCCCAGGAGGACCAGGATGAGTGGGTGAGGCCCAGGGGACCAGGGCCCAGAGCAAAGCCCCCGCTCAGCAGGGCATTCCTGAGGGCACAGTGTGTGCAGGGACCTCGGCAACACAAGGTGGCCCTGTTGGGGGCTCCCGACTGGGGCCAGGGGCCAGGGGACAGCTGGCGGCGGCCGAGTGGTGCCCTGGAGAAACGGCCAGGGGGCGGCCGGGAGCCCCGCCAGTCTTCACGAGGGGCCACAGCTGAGCCCGGGGGCAGCCAGGGGCCGGGACAGCCCTGATTCTGGGTTGGGGGCTGGGGGCACGGTGCCCTCTGTGCAGCTGGGCTGGTGACAGTGGAACCTCGCTCCCTGGGGGCCCGGGAGGGACGGTCAGGTGGAAAATGGACGTTTGCGGGTCTCCGGGGTTGACAGTTGTCACCAGTGGCGTTGGGCTGTTTGGGCCCAGCGGCCTCAGGCCAGAACCCCTGAGGCTCCCTGCGGGCCCCGCACCCTCACCCCCACGCAGCTGGCCTGGCGAAACCAAGAGGCCCTGACACCCGAAATAGCCAGGAAACCCCGACCGACTGGCCCAGCCCTGGCAGCAGCTGCCTCCCTCTCCCCAGGGTGGGGGGAGGGGTGGCTCCAGTTCTGGAAGCTTCCACCAGCCCAGCTGGAGAAGGGCCCGCATCCCAGCGCCCAGGCCCCTGTCTCCAGGCCTGGCCGCCCCAGTCCATCGGCCGTCAAAAGCGGCATCTTCTGTCCCAGGAGCCTGTGTCTGGGATCCTGGAGGTCGTGACCCCTCTCGGGGCCCCAGGAGCCCCTCTAAGTGCCAGGCTCAGAGTTGAGGCTGCTGCCGGACACAGAGGAGCCCGGGCTGGCCGGGGGCACTGCGGGCCACACCTCCCCTGCCGCCCCTCACTTGGGACTGAGAGAGGGGAGAGACTGAGCCAAGTGTGAGGAGGGGGAGAGAAACGGGGACCCTGGGAGCCCTGGTGCGTCTGGAGCCACAGCGTGGTGACTCAAAGCACAGCTGTTCCCCGTGAGGCCTCACAGGGTCCTTCTCCAGGGGCGGGACCTCAGATTGGCCAGTCACTCATCCATCCATCTGTCCACCCATCCATCCAACCATCACCCTTCCCATCCACCCGAAGGCCTCCCCGAGGCCTCCCTGGGGGCCCGGCCTGCGTGCGGCTCTCAGCTGCTCACCCCAGGCCAGTCAGGACCAGCACAGTCAAGGCCAAAGTCAGACCTGGAAGGTGCCTGCTTCACCAGGGGAGGAGGGGGGCTGCGCACACAGGGCGCCCCCTGCCCTGCCCAGCCTCCCCATGCTCGGCCGAGATGCTGAGGGCAAAGCGGGGGGCAGGAGGTGGGATAGACAGGCCAGCATGGGGAGACCAGCTGCTCCCCTGGCTGCGGGTGGGCAGACTGCCCACCCCACCCCCAGTTACAGGCCTCCCTGGTGCCCCCTCCCCTGCTCGCCTCCCCATCCGGCTCCAATCAGAGAGGTCCCGGGACATTCCAGGGCTCTGTCCTGATGGGAGTAAAAGGTGGGGAGCGAGCACCCAGCACGGTCTCCTGAGTCCACCCCCAAACACACACACAGGAAAATCCCTCCACCGGGTGGGACTTCACCAGCTCGTTCTCAGGGGAGCTGCCATGGGGTGCCCCGGCCCCGGGAAGCCAGGGGCCAGGCCTGCAAGCCCACAGCCAGAGCTCCGTCAGCTGACACAGGGAGGCACAGTGTCCGGCTGACAGGCGCCCCCGCCCGCGAGCCTGGGGAGCGTGGTCCTCTCCCGCCCCAGCCGCGGTCAGCCGGCTCATCAACTGCTGTCCACTCCCACCACCCTGCCCCCGCCGCGGGCCCAGCTCAGGCCCTGGGGGTGAAGCTAAGTCAGGGAGCCTCGCCCCTGCCCAGCCCGGAGCCGACGGCACCGTCAAGTAATGCTTCTTCCCTCCGTCAGGAAACATTAGTGGGGAAGATGAGAGCCAGGGGATTCTGGGGTCCTCGGGGGTCAGATGAGGGGGTCTGGGAGCAGCAACAGCTTCAGGCACCCCAAAACAGGGCCCGGGAGCTGGACTCCCAGGCTGAGGGGCGGAGGGAAGGAGGGCCTCCTGGGGGGTTGGCATGAGCAAAGGCAAATAGAGGTGGGGGCTGAGCACCCCTCGGCTGGCACACGCAGGCCCCCGCCGCAGCACCCTTCCCCCTCAGAGGCCCCAGGCTCCTGTCTCCCACGCCGCTGGCCTGCCATCCTGCTCAGCACCCAGAAATCCTGGGTTCGGTGCCATGTGGCCGGGCCCTGTCCTGGGGAGGAAGGAGACTCAGACAGAGACAGGATGCCAGGGCAGAGAGGGACAAGCAGAGGGTGCTGAGAGGTGGCCAAGGAGGCCCTGGGGGCGGGGGGCAGGGGTTCTCCAGGGTGGACAGCTCTGTGCTTACACGGAGAGCACAGTGGCCCCAGGTGTCCCAGGCCCGGGAACCCAGCAGAGGGGCAGGGACGGGGCTCAAAGGACGAAGGCCGAGCCCTGACCAGACCTGTGGGTCCAGAAGGCAGCTGCGCCCTGAGGCTACTGAGTGGCCCCCTGTCCCAAACCACCTCTGAAACGTGGGACACAAGCTCCCGGGCGGAGCCACTCACGCCTTCCGGGAGGCTCCCAGCGGGCTCATCACTCCAACTCACAGGGAGGGAAGCTGAGGCCCAGATGACGAACATCCCGGCAAGCGGGTCAGAGCCAGCCCCTGGGGTTCCCCCTCCCGGCCTGGGGCCTCCCCTCTGCGGGGTGGGAAACCGAGGCCACACAGGGGCTCCATGAGGGCTGCCCTCTGCCAGACCCTGGGCACCACGTGGGTGACCCCCGTCTCCATCATCCCAGCCCTGGGGGGCAGAGGGGAGGCCCAAGGGTGGACCCCCTGGCCACCCCCTACCCCACCGCTGGGAGGAGCCGGGAGCTGGTGGCCAAGGGCCTGGAGGAGCCCAGACCCCAGAGTGGCAGAGGGATCTCCCCACACACAGCCCTTCTCAGCCTGGACCTGGGGCCGCTTGCCTTCTTGTGTAAGTTCAGTTCCCTCGCTCCATCTGTGCAAGGGGCGGGGGCACGGTTAGCGAGTCTCCCCACAGGGGGGCTTGGGGATTAAAGGAGACGATGCCTGTGACGTGCTTGGACCCCAGTGACCCTCACCCGCCCAGGCACTCTGTCCCCTCCTGGCTCCTTGTCCAGGGCCGGCCTCTGCCGCACTGTGTGACCCTGGGCAAAACGCTTCCACTCTCTGGGCCTCGGCCTTCCCCTCTGCTCCGGGAGAAGCGGGTGGGGGGACTTGCAGGCCAGAAGCAGCAGGAAGACTCTTAGATTCCTGGGTCACGGAGCTGGGCGACCAGGCCCTTGGCCTGCAGGGGCAGTGAGCCCCGGGGGTGGGAGCGGGCAGGGTGGGGGCCCTGCCTGCAGCTGGCCGCCCCTGGGAATCCCCAGGCTAAAGTTAACCCCACACTGGCTGAAACCAGAACGCCGGGTGTCAGCAGGGCGCCGTAAGAGGAAGAGAAACCGTGCCGCGGTCAGCGGGGCGTGGGACGGCGGACAAACAGGGCCAGGTGCGGCCACACGGCGGGCCGGGCCAGTTTCAGGGCTTACGTCAGATGTTTGTGCAGCTCGCAGGTGGGGGGGCGCAGAGCCCCGCCCCCCACCTCTGCCCAGCCCTGGCCTGGGCCTGATGCCGCCCCCTAGCTGCCTCCTCAACATCCTTGCCATCCTGGGTGCTGGGATCCTGGAGGGCCAGACCCCAGGGGAATCTCAGAACTGGCCGGCGGGGGCCCCCGCGGTCAGCAGGGCCCCAGGGAGGGGACGGCACGGTCACCGAGCCAGTCAGCACAGCCAGGAGGGGCTCTGGCCCCAGCGTCCCAGCCCCGCGCCCTCCTGGCCACAGAGTGAGCCATGGGTGGGCGAGGGGGTGAGCAGAGGCCTCCCTACTGCCCGTGACTCCAAGGGGCCCCAGGGAGACGCAGTCCCGCCCTTCAGCAGCAAATGTATCCCCTTGTCCACGCCCTGGGGACGCACTCCCCGTTGGCCCAGCAGGCCTGCTCCTGGGAGCTCCTCACCAGCCCAGGACACGGGGACAACACGGTGCCCAGCCCTGGGTCCCCACCAGCAATACATCCACACAGCCTAACGTCCAGAGCCCCAAAGGGCCTCGGAGACGTGCCGTGGGTGGATTCCACTGTAGGGGACGGGGACAAGGACGGGACGGGACGGGAGGCAGTCTTGTCTGAGCCCACCTTTGTGAAAAGGTCATGACTATTACAGAGAAAAGGCTGGAAGCATGCACATTGAGTTCTCCCTAGTAGCAAGATCAGGTGTTTATTTTCTTCTTTATGCTCCCCTGTATGTTCTCGTTTCTCAAAGAACGTGACACTTTCATCATCAGAAAGCAAAGCAGTGAACTGATCTACGATGAACGACCCTCTAAAAATGGTGTGGTAGAAGGTTTGAACGGCATTGTGAAAATAATCCCCAAGAGGTCATAAGACAAGACCTGGCATATGTGAGCATGTGTCTCTGTATCTACACGTCCATCCGTGTCCATACCTCTTACCTGGGGTTACCCGGCGGGGTGGACGCACCGGGAATGGTGGTTTTCACTTGGCACTTGACACTTTTCTGATTTTTTCCTACAATGATGATATGTTTACTGGGTAATTATAAAAAACACGTGTTTTTAAGTGTTTTTTTTTTCACTTGTGTTATTTCAATTCACTTAACATTCAACAAATATTTATTGCTTACCTGCTACATCCACGACAGGCCTGGTGCAGGGTTTGGGACTGACCACATTCATGATAAGAGGGAGAATTGTCTTTCTTTATCGGTGGTCCAGGGTGGTGGGGGTGGTTATTTGGAAAGAGGTCATTACAACGCTAAGATGGAGTCTTACTTCTAAGTCTTAGGTCATGTCTAAATCCACGAAACTCTCTCACAATTCCAGCTCCACACTCAGGCAGAAAAGCTACTGAGCCCCTAGGAACAGACAGAAGGTATTGCAGGGGTGCTGAATACCTACCAGCATGCAGCGAGCAAAGAGGATGGAGAAAAGCAACCCCTTTTAAAACAGCTAAAAACATAAGAGTGAGCGACTGCAAACAAAAAGTGTAAGCAATTTCTGTAAAGAGTTATAAAGAGAGAAAAAAAAAAAACCTTCCCACAAATAAAGTAGACTGGCCTGGGACAAAGTCCAAGATTGGCAGAACTTAAGAAGGAAAGAGGTACCTTTTGAAACAGACCAGAATAAACTTCAAGAGTGTTTAACCAGTTCTTCAGACAGGAAGAATTACGTGGCAGATGAACGCACAGTCCGCGCAGGTGGGAAGACCTGGGCTGACAAACTTCTCTGCCACGGAGGTGACAAAGTATCTCAGCAATGATCTCTCTCCCTGGGTCTGATCTGGTCGATGGTGGTAATATTAGAGGCCACCTCACAGCTCCATCCTGAGGAATGCAGAAAAGGCTCAACAAATGAAAAAACAGGTTAGCAATGATCATTGGCAACACACTCACATAGAGCTTGTTAACCCTAATCGAGTCACAGGAGCTGAAGGATCTTGTATAGACGTCCTTTCTTTCCTTTTACTCCTAAACACTCTATTTAGAGCCTCCACTTTAAGAGGCTTCCCTGCTGCTCAGACAGGAAAGGACCTGCCTGCAATGTGGGAGACGCGGGTTACATCCCTGGGTCAGGAAGATCCCCTGGAGAAGAGAATGGCTACCCACTCCAGTATTCTTGCCTGGAGGATTCCATGGTCAGAGGAGTCTGGTGGGTTACAGTCCATGGAGTCATAAAGAGTTGGACACGACTGAGCAACTAACACCACACATACAAATTCACTGCCAGCTGGCAGTCCTGTAAACGGCATGAGCATACCTCAGTTGTTCATTCTACACTTTCTCCCCAGAAAAATATGAGTATTTAACCCCATTCAGTGAGTCTGGCACTGTGACTGCGAGTCCAAGTGGGCAGAAACTCAACAGCCTTCTCTCCAGACTGCCTGTCTCCTGCCTCAGCTCCCGCTCCTCAATCCTCACCACGAGGAGGTGCAGCCCCTCCCTGGGCATCTCACCCCCAGCCCAGTGCCTGACCACTTTACGGCTCTCAGTAAAGTGTTTGAATGAGGGTGGGAAGGAAGGAAGGAAGATATGACGGGCAGGTAGATGAGTGGGTGGGTTGGTGGGTGCATGGTTGTGTGGGTAGTTGGGTGGGTGAGTGGATGAATGGATAGTTGGGTGGGTAGGTGAATGGATGGGATAGTAGGTGAACGATTGATGGATATGTAGGTGGATGGGTAGATGTGTGGTTAGATGGATGGATGGACGGATGATGGATGTGAGAGTGGATGGGTCAATGGCTGGGTGAGCAGATGGATGGATGGATGAAGGATGTGAGGGTGGATGGGTCAATGGCTGGCTGGATGGATGGATGGTTGATGGACATGGCGGTGGATGTATCAATGGCTGGATGAGTGGGTGAATGGATGGAGAGATAGGTGAATGACTGGTGGATATGTAGGTGGATGGGTAGGTGTGTGGTTAGATGGATGGATGACAGATGTGAGGGTGGATGGGTCAATGGGTGGATGAGTGGATGGATGGGTAGATGAGGGATTGGACTGGGGGGCTCATGAGCAGGTTAGTCGTCAGATGGGTGAGTGGATAGTTGAGTATGTGCGTAGGTCCTAATCATGAGGAACACAGAACCTTAGCGCCTGGCCGCTCTGTGGAAAGGGACAGAACCCAACACTAAGGTTCCAAACCCAGCTCTGATCCTGACTTGGTGTGACCTTGGCCACGTCCTTAGTGCCTCGAAGCCTTGTCCCCTTGCAGGCCAAGAGGACCGCAGCCCCTGCCCTGCCCACCTCACAGTCTGCTGGGAAGGACACACATGCGTGGAGATGCTTTAGAGGCCCGAGAGACTGCTCAGGCACACTCAGCGCTGCTAGGACCTTCAAGGGAGCTGAGCTGACGTCCCCCAGGCTTGGATCACAGCTGCGGCTTGAAGAGCCTGAGCTTGGAGCCCAGACAGACCTGGGCCCCAGTCCTGGCTCCACCCTTTCCAAGTGTGTGACCTCGGGCAGACGACTGTCCTCCTCTGGGAGGTGGACATGATGACCCCTCAGGGCTGTGGGGGGCATTCAGGGGGATGGTTCAGGAAGGCACCCTGCGCAGTGCCCACCAAGTGCGCAGGGATGGATCTGGGGTCCCAAAGAAGAGGCCCCATCCCGCCTCTCGGCAGCAAGGAGTCCTGGAGACCTGGAGGTGCTCCCGGACAATAACCCAGGGGATAGAGAAGCCCTGAAGTGTGTCTGTGAAGATGTGTTTTGTAGGGGGACAGATCCAGAGCTTTGAGCATAAAAGCGGCCATGGCCTGTGGAGGCCTAACTGCGCTGATCTTTTTTTAAAGATTTTTTTTTTTTTTTGATGTGGACCATTTTTAAAGTCTTCATTGAATTTGTTACAATATTGCTCTGGTTTATGTTCTGGTTTTTCTTGGCTGCAAGGCTTGTGTGACCTTGTCTCCCCAACCAGGGACTGAACCCACACCCCCTGCGTTAGAAGGCGAAGTCTTTAACCGCTGGACTGCCAAAGACATCCCTCACCTTAGTGATCTAATCCCAGACCCTCATTAAGGAAAAACAGAGATTCAAAGCTCCCCCAGGCGGACTCAGTGGGTCAGGAGAGAGCCAAGGACACAGGCACTGAGTCCCACATGGCACCCTCCCCGCCCGGGAGCAGGGCCACCCCCCACCCCAGTCCAGCGTGGCACCCTCCCCGCCCGGGAGCAGGGCCACCCCCCACCCCAGTCCAGCGTGGCACCCTCCCCGCCCGGGAGCAGGGCCACCCCCCACCCCAGTCCAGCATGGCACCCTCCCCGCCCGGGAGCAGGGCCACCCCCCACCCCAGTCCAGCGTGGCACCCTCCCCGCCCGGGAGCAGGGCCACCCCCCACCCCAGTCCAGCATGGCACCCTCCCCGCCCGGGAGCAGGGCCACCCCCCACCCCAGTCCAGCGTGGCACCCTCCCCGCCCGGGAGCAGGGCCACCCCCCACCCCAGTCCAGCGTGGCACCCTCCCCGCCCGGGAGCAGGGCCACCCCCGCCCCAGGATGAGGGGACGGCAGGAAGACCACAGGAGACCCTGTCTGATTCAGCAGTAGGATTGTGAGGATTTCAACTTCCTTTTAAAATCTGTCTCTCAAGGTTGGTACAAGAGGATTTTACCAGTAACTTAAAAGTTGAAAGGGACTTCCCAGGTGGCACTCGTGGTAAAGAACCCGCCGGCTGACTTTAGGAGACATAAGAAATGTGGGTTCGATCCCTGGGTCAGGAAGATTCCCCTGGAGAAGGAAATGGCAACCCACTCCAGTGTTCTTGCCTGGAGAGTCTCACGGACAGAGCAGCCTGCGGGCCACGGGCCACGGGCTCGCACATAGTCGGACACGACTGAATCGACTTAGCTTCAAGTTGAGAGAGGAAGAGGTAGTGACTGGTGGCAAAACATCTCGCCCACTCTCCCAGGGGACCTGCAGCTCTCTGGCTCATGAGCTGTGCCAACAAAAATCAACCCAACGAGAGGCCCAAACAGAGGGAAATTGAGCTTATCAAACATGAGTGTGATTTGGAGGAGATAATCCAGGAAGGGAACTGCCAAGCCCAGACAGACCTGTGTCCTGTCTCAGGGCCGTCCTGGCAGGGCCCTCCAAGACCCCCCGAACTCCAGACCCAGCTGGAGGCAACAGGATGGGGCTGAGCTGCAAGGATTCTGGAGTGAGCCCCACGTCAGGGAGAATCACCTTGTTTGTTTTCTGAGTTCCTCCTAAAATAGCCTTTATGGGCCCTGGTCTTTGCTTTTAAAACAACAACTGTTAACTGTAAACAACTGGAAAAGTACAGAGAAATAAACAGGAGGAAAACACGCACCCCAGGTATTTCACCCAGGAGAGCCGCCTCTCATATTTTGATGAGTTGCTTTCTATTTTAATCCTATTTTAATTGTAAACTATAAAAACCACATCATAAATAAATTAAAGGTATCTGTAAGGTTTAAAAAGTAAGAAAGACGGTGGTGATGGTTGTAGCACGTTGTGAATGCTCATTGCAAAATGGTAAAGTCTAGGGACTCCCCTGGTGGTCCAGTGGTTGAGACTATGCTTCCATTGCAGGAGCCGTGGGTTTGATCCCTGGTTGGGGAACTAAGGTCCTACATGCCATATGGAGTGACCAAAAAGAATTTTTTGTAAATGGTGAGTTCTAGGTGATGTTGATTTCCCATGAATTAACTTCACAGGCTCAGAACGCAGCCAGGCCCTCAGGAACCCCAAGTTCACAGTTTCTTTACTTTTCCTTAGAGTTTTACTTACGTCTTCTGTATTTGCCCTTAAACCAACTGTGTTTCAACTTCGTCTGATTTTGGACTTTATATAGATTAAGTTAGACTGTGTTTCAGGAAACTTTGCTCAATATTCTGTGATAATCTAAATGGGGAAAGAATTTGAAAAAAAGAATAGATACTTGTATATGCATAACTGAATCACTTTGCTATACGCCTGAAACTTCAGTTCAGTCGCTCGGTCATGTCCGACTCTGTGACCCCATGGACTGCAGCACACCAGGCCTCCCTGTCCGTCACCAACTCCCGGAGTTTACTCAAACTCATGTCCATCGAGTCAGTGATGCCATCCAACCATCTCATCCTCTGTCGTCCCCTTCTCCTCCCACCCTCAATCTTTCCCAGCATCAGGGTCTTTTCCAATGAGTCAGCTCTTTGCATCAGGTGGCCAAAGTATTCGAGCTTCAGCTTCAGCATCAGTCCTTCCAATAACTCCCCACACCTGAAACTAAACGTTGCTAACCCACTATGCTCCAATATGAAAGAAAAAAAGTTTTTTTTAAGTTTAGACTGTGTGTGTCTTCCTTCTCTCAACACTGCGTCTGACGCCCACCCACACGGCCCAGCGCTGCTTTCACTGTGGACGGGAGGCCCCCTGCCCCAAAGCTGCGTACCCGGGCGGTCACCACCGAGCAGACCTGTCCCCCCAGAGCAGGGCCACCGACCCTGGGGGCAAGGGAGGGGCTTCTCCAGGGCCTGTCACTGCCCATTGCTTCTATCGGTTCTGTTTTCAAAAATGGAGGCAGCTTAATATCTCCCTGATGATAAAAAGACGTACACAGGTTCTTCACAAATAAAACAGGGGAAAAGTATAAAGAAGAAAAGTTTCCAGCACAGCCTGGAGATCACGCGGGTGTACCTGGTGTGTGTCCTTCCAGGCTGGACCTCACATTCCATGCGGACATCAGAAGGATGAGAGACGGTAGGTAGATGGGGGGTAGGTCGATGATAGACAGTAGACAGACAGATACGTAGACAGATGACAGATACACAGGCAGATGATGGATAGGCAGATGATAAGACACAGAGCGAGGCGAGAGACGGTGGGCAGACACTGTCCTTTGTCACTGAACCACACACCCACAGGGTGTGGTGAGCCAGCTGTCACACTTGGGAACCTGCGGCTCTCACACCAGCCGGGTCCCTCCGGCCCCAGCGTCCCACACAGCAGACGCCCCGGCCTCCATCCCCAGGCAGGAATCCCGCCACCGACTCAGGGTTGGCCCTCCCGGCAGGGAAGGAAGGTCGCACCCGTCTAAGGCCTTGAGAGCAAGTTACAGACCTACTTCCGGGAAGACAGCACACCCCACCGCCTGCCCCACAGAGCCCAGGAGGACGCCCGGGCCTGAGGGAAGGGAACGCGCGGCGTGGACAGGGAGGGGCCCGGACGCTGCCCCCCAACCTGTCCCACCTGACTCCTGCTCTGCTCCGAGGCGGGGGGCAGAGAGGGGCCCCGAGGCCCTTTCCCAGGTCTCGGGAGCACCCGCCGGGCCTGAACCAGGCCGAAGCCCCTCCTCCCGGTGTCCACGACCACTCCCCTCCACCTCTGGTTGCTTGTCTCCCGGCAGCAGGGAGCCCCGGTGAGGCTGTGACCTCGGCCCCGGCTGCTCTGGGAGTGCGTGTGTGGGGTGTTGCTGGGAGGCCATGAGTGCTGGGGGTCGGGGGCTGTGAAGGCACCACAAGGTCAGCGGGCTGTGGGCCGGGCTCTGTGCGGTCCGCACGGGTGGAGCTGTGCCGAGACACAGGAGGCCGGTCAGCAGTCCCCAGAGTCAGGGCCGAAGGAAGGGGTTCGGGCCCCTCTGGCTCCTCAGCTTCTGAGGCCGGGGACCCCAGTCTGGCCTTCATGGGGAGGGGTGCTTGGAGGGGAGGCCCCCAGCCCCAGGACCCCCAGGAGCGGGACCTGGCCCCCCACCCCCCGGGCCCTGATCTCAGAGCCTGGGCTCGGCAGGTCCACTGGGGGTCCTGGCTACTCTGTCTGGCTGACTCGGAAGTCAGTCGGGGGGCTGGGGGTTAGCGAGGAACCAGGAAGGGGGTCTTAGAAGCCGGGGCCCACCCACCCAGCTTTCACAGGAGAAACGGAGGCCCACAGGGTGCAAGGGGCTCGCCGGGGCCACACTGTGAGCCCAGCAGCTGGACTCAAGGCCCAGGGCTGTCCCCACCCATCACGGTCACACGCCCTGAGAGCCCCCTCAGCTTGGACAGGGCCAGCCCTCTGACCTGCACCCCCCAAGACTCAGGCTTGGCCATTCTAAGCTAAGGAGCCCTCGGGCTCTGCAGTCAAGGCCACAGGGCCCAGCCCCCTCCACCCCCGTGCGGGCCTCTGGCCAGGTCCTGTCCGGCCAGTGGGCCAGGCCTGGCTGGGTTCCTGCAGGCCTCGCTCCCGTCTTCCTCCTCTGGGCCTATGGGGGTGTGGCAGTCCTGTAGCTGAGGCTCCGGCCCCCCGAGCATGCAGCTCCCACGGGGGCCACAGGCATGGCGTCCAGTTGTTCACCCACCACGAAGGTGAGGGTGTGCGATGCCAGAGAAGAGGGGCCTTCCAGGCCTCCGGGAGCACAGTGAGCCCCCTGAGACCGAGGTCCCTTCTCACAGGCCGGGCCCCAGCCCGGCGGCCTCTGTCCACATGTGGGGCCTAGAGCTGGGCCTGTCGGGAGCTGACCCGGGGGCAGGATGGCTGAGCTCAGCAGCCCGGCCAGGCGGTCACTATGTACCACATTTGGAGGGGGTCACCCACACAGGGGAGCCATGACCCTCACCTGACGGTGCTCATGGGCCACGAGGAGGTGTCCCGGCTGCAATCCTGACCACGTACCCGTGTCCCCGCACCGTGCCCACCCCCACGTATGCACACACATATGCGTACACGCTCACATACGTGCACACACATAGGCCCCGGCGGACACCGCCCTCTGGCGGCCACTGTGATCACAAAGTTGCAGGCACGTCTGTCAAGACCCGGAGTCTGGGAAGACCGCTCTCTCCCTTTACAGGGTGGAGGGTGTGACCTGGCCAAGGTCACATAGCAGGTAAGCAATGCGGCCCTGACCCCTGACCCCGCGTGCGTGCATGCTAAGTCGCTTCAGTCGTGTCCGACTCCTTGCCACCCAGGGACTGTAACCCACAAGGGTCCTTGTCCTTGGGGATTCTCCAAGCAAGAATGCTTGGAGAGTGGGTTGCCGTGCTCTCCTCCAGGGGATCTTCCCGACCCAAGGATCGAACCTACACCTCTTATGCCTCCTGCATGGGCAGGCGGGTTCTTTACCACAAGGGAAGCCCCCCCGGCCCAGATTCCAGCTCATTCCAGCTCCCAAGGCCCTGCCAGAGCCCAGAGGCTGGGCCTTCTGGGACAGAAAATCTGGGCCCACCCTTCTCACACATGGTGCGTGACCCCCCCCCCAGGAGGGAGGAGTCACAGGCGGAGAGGAATCTCAGGACAAGAGAGTCCCCAAGCCCAGTCTCCTCTATGCTGATGGGATGGGGTGTCAAGAGGGGAGGGGGCTGGGTTCACAGAAACCCCGAAACACCAAGATGACGGACACAGACAGGACACACCTGCCACAGAGAAGCAAGACATGCTGACCTGCGTCCCCTCTCCCGAGGGAAGGAGGACCGGCCACACCAGGTCCCCTTGTCCCCCTGGCCCAGGTCTCTCTCTCCCCAGAAGAAGCAAGCACCATCCACTCCACACACATAGTCCCTGATCAGACTCGAAGCCCAGCTCTGCTCTGGGCCCTGGGGACACGGCAGGGGCCTCAGAGACCAAGGCCTGCAGCAAAGTCCCAGGAGGTGAAGCAGGCAGACAGCAACACATTACATTCTTTTTTTTTTTTTTTAATTAATTTATTTATTTATTTATTTATTTATTTTTTAATCACAACCATAGTGTATCTTTTTTTTTTTACATGTATTCCCCATCCGGTCCCCCCTCCCACCTCCCTCTCCACCCAATCCCTCTGGGTCTTCCCAGTGCACCAGGCCCGAGCACTTGTCTCATGCACCCAACCTGGGCTGGTGAACTGTTTCACCCTAGATAATATACGTGTTTCAATGCTGTTCTCTTGAAACATCCCACCCTCGCCTTCTCCCAGAGTCCACAAGTCTGTTCTATACATAGGAGTCTCTTTTTCTGTTTTGCACATAGGGTTATCATTACCATCTTTCTAAATTCCATATATATGTGTTAGTATACTGTAATGGTCTTTATCTTTCTGGCTTACTTCGCTCTGTATAATGGGCTCCAGTTTCATCCATCTCATTAGAACTGATTCAAATGAATTCTTTTTAATGGCTGAGTAATATTCCATGGTGTATATGTACCACAGCTTCCTCATCCATTCGTCTGCTGATGGGCATCTAGGTTGCTTCCATGTCCTGGCTATTATAAACAGTGCTGCGATGAACATTGGGGTACACGTGTCTCTATGGGAGGTGTGATGAGCTCTTTAGGAAAGGAAGCGGTTGGGGTGACAACTGCTGGTTTAAACTAAGATCATGGCATCCGGTGCCCTCACTTCATAGCAAATAGAAGGGGGGAAAGTGGAAACAGTGGCAGATTTAATTTCCATGGGCTCCAAAATCACTGTGGACAGTTACTGCAGCCAGGAAATTAAAAGATGTTTGCTCTTTGGAAGGAAAGCTATGACAAACCTAGAAGTGTATTAAAAAGCAGAGCCAATGAAGGTCCATCACTTTGCCAATGAAGGTCCATCTAATCAAAGCTACTGGTTTTCCAATAGCCATGTACAGATATGAGAGTTGGGATATAAAGAAAGCTGAGCACTGAAGAATTGATGCTCTCCAACTGTGGTGCTGGAGAAGACTCTAGAGAGTCCTTTGGACAGGAAGGAGATCAAACCAGTCCATCCTAAAGGAGATCAGTCCTGGGTGTTCATTAGAAAGACTGATGCTGAAGTTCCAATACTTTGGCCACTAATGCAGAGAGCTGATTCATTTGAAAAGACCATGACACTGGGAAAGACTGAGAGCAGGAGAAGTGGGCAGCCCGGATGAGATGGTTGGATGGCATCATTGACTCAAGAGACATGAGTTTGAGCAAACTCCAGGAGACAGTGAAGGACAGGGAAGCCTGGCGTGCTGCAGTCCATGGGGTCGCAAAGATTGGCCACAACTGAGCGACTGAACAATAACAAGAGAGGCGACCCCCAAATGAAGGAGGGGAACCCCAGCAAGGGCCTGGGGAGGAGCAGTCCTGGCAGAAGGGACAGCAAGTGCAAAGGCCCTGGGGTCAGGCGTGTCTGACAAGCTGTAGGAACAGCAAGGCGGTCGGTGTGGCCGAATTCAAGGCAGGGGTCCGCGGAGGGGGCCGGCCCCTGGGGGCTCGCAGAGCAGGCTGAGCCCCTTGAGCTTTGTCCAGGTCCTCAGATGAAGCTGGATGGCATCATGTCACACCTGCCCCTTCTAACTTCCTGCACACGCATGTCTTGGGTGTATGGTCAAGCAAGGGGAGCCAGATGGCTCAGCGTGTGGACACACGGCGGGTGCCGGCCGTCCTGCGAGGACGGACACGGGCGGTTCTGGCCCTTCCATCACAGACATGGCTGGGGGAGCCCTGTGCCTCCCCGGTGCACAGGTCAGCGCTTCTGGGGGGCACAGGCCCACCTGGAGCCGCAGAGCGGGGCGTCTCTGTGAGGGTCGCTGCGACCTGCTGCCGCCTCTGCAAAGCCGCGGGACTCACGGCCCCGGAACAGGCCGAGGCCGGGCCTGCATTGCGCCCCGGCTCGGACTGCGGCCCCGGGACACTGTCCCCAGCGCACCCCCCGCGGCGTTAAATGGGGACCGGGGGAGGTCCCTGACCCCGCCGCCGGGCCCCCACTGCCCCTGCCTGGGGTGACCCCGGGCTCTGGGCCTCAACGTCCCGGGGTGTCACTCGGAGGCCCCTGAGTCCGTCCGTCTGGGACCCTTCCTCCGCTCACCCGTCCGGGTCGCTCAGCGCTTCCAGCGGGGGAGCAGCGACGCCTTGCGGCCACGGAGGGCACGCCCGCCCCGGCGCCGGGCGGGAGCGCCCAGGTCGAGGGGGCGGGGCGGGGCGGCCCGCGGCCGCAGGGAGCCGCTCCCGGGCCCGCTCCGGGCGGCAGCCGGGACGGCTGTGCCCGCGGGGGCCCCTCCAGGCTGCCCCCTCGGCTGCGGGCAGGACGCCCAGCTTCTGAGTCCTTGGGATAGAGGGGGAATTCTGGGTGGACGGCGCTGGAACCAAGTCCGTCTGGTCGGGGCCTGGAAACTGCCCAGGTGACCGGGAAGAGGAAGGCTGTTCTCCCGCAGGCGGGCCTGAGCCTCTCTCAACTAGGATCGGCCCCTTGGCTTCTGTCTCTTAAAAAAAAAAGGTAAAGGGAGTTTTGCGCCTTGAACCAGCTCCAGGAGTAATCTACCGATCCGTTTGGGGGAAACTGGCAACTCGACCACACTGAGTCTTTCAGTCCACAGATGTCCCGCTCTCTCTCCCTTTAATCGGTCTGGTAGTTCTTGGTGAAGCTCTCTGTGGAGCTTTCCTCATGAACAAATGACTTGGGCATCTCTGTAGATTCATCCCTAGTAAACTTACACATTTGAAAGTGGAAATGTAAGTCGCTGGGTTATGTCCGACTCTTTGCAATCCCGTGGACTGTAGTCCGCCAGGCTCCTCTATCCATGGAATCCCCCAGGCAAGGATACTGGAGCGGGTGGCCAGCTCCATCTCCAGGAAACTTATATATTTGGGGAGGGGGGGATTTTATTGAAATATCGATTTATAATGTTGTGTTAATTTCTTCTGTACAGCAAAGTGACTCAGATACATATATATATGTACTTTTTCTCAGTCTTGTCAATTACAGTTTCTCATAAGCTATTAAATATAGTTCCCTGTGCCATACAGTAGGACCTTGTTGTTTATCCTTTTTATCTATCCTATATATAATTTGCTTCTGCTATATATCCTATATATATATATCCTATATATATCCTTGCTTCTGCTAATCCCAAACTACCATTCCATCCCTCCCCTACCCACCCTCTCCCTTGGGAACAAGTCTATTCTCTACAAGCTGATATTTTTTATGCAATTGGTAAAATATATCCTCTTGAATGTTATTCTCTATTCATTTGCTATTATACTGTGCTGTTGCAGAAGACTCTTGAGAGTCCCTTGGACTGCAAGGAGATCCAACCAGGCCATCCTAAAGGAAATCAGTCCTGAATATTCATTGGAAAGACTGATGCTGAAGCTGAAACTCCACTACTTTGTCCACCTGATTCGAAGAGCTGACTCATTGGAAAAGACCCTGATTCTGGGAAAGACTGAAGGCAGGAGGAGAAGAGGATGACAGAGGATCAGATGGTTGGATGGCATCACCAACTCGATAGACATGAGTTTGGGTAAACTCCGGGAGTTGGTGATGGACGGGGAGGCCTGGTGTGCTGCAGTCCATGGGGGTCCATGACTGAGCGACTGAACTGAACTGAGAGACCCAGTACGTTTTTATATTTGAAATCGCACCTGGTAAACTTGCTACACTATTTTTTAATAGATTATATTAATTTATCTACATTCTGTGGGACTTGCCACATACTTAAACATATCCTCTGTGAAAAATGACAATTTTGTTGCTATCTTCCCAATGCTTATATATTTCATTTCTCTCCCAATCATTTCAAAAGCCAGTTTGGGAGGGAGAGAGTTCCACTTCAGGAACAGTAGCATGAAGACATCCACAAAAACATCCTCCAGACAAAGGGGTGAAAATTATTGTTTAAATTTATATGTTTATAACAATATTTAAATACATTTATCACATGTTTATAATTATTTATAATAGCTGAATATGTTTATATATATATATAAGTAAATTTATTTATATATGTGTTAATCACTCTGTCATAGCCAACTCTTTGCGACCCCATGGATTGTCACCTGCCAGGCTCCTCTGTCCATGGAATTCTCCAGGCAAACGTGTTGGAGTGGGTTGCCATTTCCTTCTCCAGGGAATTTTCCCAAACCAGGGATCGAACCCAGGTCTTCTGCACTGCAGGCAGATTCTTTACTGTCTGAGCCACCAGGAAAGCCCAAAGTTACTTCTATTTATAATTATGCTGATAATAATATATACTTGCTTATAAATATAAAGTATTATAAATATAATAACATATACTTGCTTATAATTTTCATTTATAATATAAATGTATTATATGCTTATATTCTACATGTATATGTTTTATATATTAATTTTAAATTTATATACCAATTCAGTTCAGTTGCTCAGTCGTGTCTGACTCTTTGTGACCCCATGAATTGCAGCACGCCAGGACTCTCTGTCCACCCAAACCCATGTCCATTGAGTCGGTGATACCATCCAACCATCTCATCCTCTGTCGTTCCCTTCTCCTCCTGCCCTCAATCTTTCCCAGCATCTGGGTCTTTTCAAATGAGTCAGCTCTTCACATCAGGTAGCCAAAGTATTGGAGTTTCAGCTTCAACATCAGTCCTTCCAGTGAACACTCAGGACTGATTTCCTTTAGGATGGACTGGTTGGATCTCCTTGTAATCCAAGGGACTCTCAAGAGTCTTCTCCAACACCACAGTTCAAAAGCATCAATTCTTTGGCGCTCAGCTTTCTTTATAGTCCAACATTCACATTCATACATGACTACTGGAAAAACCATAGCCTTGACTAGACGGACCTCTGTTGACAAAGTAATGTCTCTGCTTTTTAATATGCTCTCTAGGTGGGTCATAACTTTCCTTCCAAAGAGTAAGCATCTTTTAATTTCATGGCTGCAATCACCATCTGCAGTGATTTTGGAGCCCAGAAAAATAAAGTCAGCCACTGTATCCACTGTTTCCCATCTATTTGCCATGAAGTGATGGGACCGGATGCCATGACCTTAGTTTTCTGAATGTTGAACTTTAAGCCAACTTTCTTCCTCTCTTCTTTCACTTTCATCAAGAGGCTCTTTAGTTCTTCTTCACTTTCTGCCATAAGGGTGGTGTCATCTGCATATCTGAGGTTATTGATATTTCTCCCGGAAATCTTGATTCCAACTTGTGCTTCATCCAGCCCGGTGTTTCTCATGATGTACTCTGCATATAAGTTAAATAAGCAGGGTGACAATATACAGTCCTGACGTACTCCTTTTCCTATTTGGAACCAGTCTGTTGTTCCATGTCCAGTTCTAACTGTTGCTTCATATACATTCTATGAAATAATATTTTTATACAAATATTGAAAGCCTTTCAATATATTTAAAGTGTCTGGAAACAGACCTAAGGGCATACAAAAAATGAAATATTTATTAAAGAAAATCTACTGAAATTTGGCAAGAGCAGGGACAGTCTGTCCAGAGCATCTCAATCGTGACCTGTTTCCTTCCTCCCGTCCCCAGCCCAACATGAGGCCCCTCCACTCCAAGCAGTTGCGGGAAGAACACAGGGCACCCTCTCCACCGAGCTCCGGGTCAAGGTGACATCTTCCTGACATTCTCCCCAGGGGAATTGCTGAGCGGATGACATCTCTGAGACAAGGATGGGGGCATCCAAGCCAGACACCAAGGTTTGGCCTGCGGGTGCAATGCCGAGTTCTGCCAGCAGACGGTGCTAGAGGAACGCGAAAGAAAAAAGGGCCAGAAAGCGCCTTTGCTTTCCCGGTTTCCCTCCCTCCTATCGAGCCCAGCAGCCAGCGTTGGTGCGGGGGTGGCCCCGCGTTTGCTCAGCAACCCTGACGGGCCAGTTCAGCAGGTACTCAGGCCCCACTCTGTCCACCAGGCGAACCCTCTGCAGTAGACCAGCCCTGGGCTCCCGCACCTGCTGGCCAGTTGAGGGCCACTTCTGTGCGCCAGCCCGGGCCACGCCCTCCACGCTGTCTAGCTCGGGACCAGGTAGGTTTTTCCGGCACCCTAGGACCTGGAATCGCCCCCCTGTCCCAGAACTTCACCTGACTTTATCTGTCACCCCAGATCTCAGCACCGAGGCCCCCACCTTTGGAAGGATAGGTGGGGGGTGAGGGCGGCCCCTGAGATGTCAAATCCATTCCGCCTGCCCGCACTAATCGAGGGTGTTTTAAGACTTGGACGTCCTCCAAGCACGAAGCCAGAACCATAAAATACCCGCCCGGGTTGTTCTCTAGAAAGCCGGACTCAGCGGCGTCTAGCTGGAGCTGAGCTCTTAGGACCGGATGGACCGCTGACCCTCCCACTGGGCGTGGCCGCGAGTCCGCTGCCTGGAGGCTCCGCCCCCAGCTCGCGCTGTGAGCGCAGAGGCGGGCCTCGGGTCCACCGCGCCGACCGCGGCCCGCGCACCTAGTCCGTCCCTTTCCCCGGGCTCCCCGCGCCCCACACCACCTGCTGCTTGGTCTTCATGCCCTGAGCACCCAGCCCGGTGCCCGCGGGGAGGCAGATTCCAGAGCGCTCTCTGGTCTCCTTGCCTGGTTGCCTTGTGGATGAACCCGCTCTTTGCCACGAACCTGGCATCTCAGTATCTTGGCCTGCTGTTTGTAGGGGGCGGGGGGAAGGTTCCCTAACAATAGTAAAACCATTACATGTAGCACTCGGAACCCCCTCACCGCTGAATCCCCCACAGATTGCTGACCACCAAAGGTTTGTCTCTGAGTCCCTGCAATGGTGAATTTTCTAGAAAAGTTTCCCTCTAGCCCACGCCCCTGTTTTCCAGATCCCTGGAGGGGCAGAGGGGGAAAGATTATAATTCAAACAGAAGTCCCGGGTCCAGGTAGAACCCAATCACCATTCACTAAAGGAGAAATCCACGCCTCCACAACGGATGAGGCTGATCGTCTGAGGTGGCCTCTATTGAAGGTTTCCTGAGGAAACTGCCTTCCGGGGGACACAGCCCAGTATTTTGCCTCTGGCCCCTCGAGACTCTGGGGCTCACCTCCCCTCTCCACTCCCGTCCTCGGCTCTGACAGGCTAGGGTCCCGCACCTGCAGACAGCCAGCGGCCCAGGGAACAGCAGGAGGTAGGTGGGGACCCCAGGCCGGCCCACCCACATGGGGTTAGACCAGAGGGGAGGGACCAGCTGTGAGGTCACAGGCAGCTGCTTTGGGACGGCCTTGGGGGGGCGGGTAGCAAACATGGGTGAGTCTCCAGCACTCAGCCCCACCGGAGTCCTGGAGGCTGGGCAAACGTGTGGCCTGTGGTGTGGGAGACACCCCACTCGGCACCCCCAGACCACCTTCTGACTTGGTTTCCTGGTTATCAGACACTGAAGAGGGGGTCCCCCAAAAGAAAAGGGCTACCTTTCCCCACCCCTTACCCCCCGAAGGTGGTACATCAGTCCATGGCGCACACATCCAGATACCTGTGATCCCGGCAAACCTCGCACAAGAGGCTGTGTGGTTTCCACCTGGGCCAAGGTGACTGAACCCCCTTGTCGCCTCTGAGAAGTCCCGGCAGCTGTAGGTGGGGGCTCCTGCCTCCCACTGAACTGTCCCCCCGACCCCGCGGTGGCAGGCAGAGCTGATCTGAGACCACTGCACCTGCCGTAAACTCCTGCCCTCGCTTCCCTCCTGCCACAGGAGTGGCCAGGGCGACCCCCTTCTTCAGCCTCTGCAGCTGTGACAGTGGCCGGCCCCTGCCACAGGAGGGCCAGGGGAGAGAGGGCGGGTGAGGGGACCGTCCTGGGACGGACAGGAGGTGGGAGAGGGTCCAACTGACTGTGGGCTCCCTCACGCGGGGGCCTGATCTGCAATGTCTAGTTCTTTGCTGCATCTCATGGTATTTGCTGAAACTTTTCTAAAGTGTAATAAAGCACCATGTAACATTCTAGGTTATGCTGAATGAACTATGGGAGTAAGGATAGAAAATCAAAGGAATATTTCAAAACGCTAACAGTGTGATAGTCACCTCTGCCTGCAGTCTGCCGGGCAGGTGTGCATTCTTTAGTCCCCCAGGCCCCACTGGGCCGGGCAGTGACATCACAGCCTCCGGGTCACAGCCGAGGTCGCTGAAGCACCAGGCTGTGATGTCAAGAGTGGACTCAGGATAGAGCCTGGCACTGACCAGACCAGGAGGGGGGCAGGTGTGCCCGATGGTGGATCTCTCGTCGGCCTAGACGGGACGCTCCGCACTCGGAAAATAACTCACAGAGATGGACTGGGGATGGGGATAGGCATGACCTTTTGGGGTTAACTGAGCCAATACATACTAAGATAGAAATAAATCATGCCTCGCTCTAAATAGTAATGTTAATAGTAGGAGAACTTCTTATGTAAAAAGAATTATAGAAAGAATCAGAAAACAAAATCCAATAATTTGCTGTTTATAGGTTACAGATATATAGCAAAAATATATACACAAATTTTAAAAATAAAATGCCGAGCTAAATAAACTCTCATGCAAATGCAAATTAAAAAAAAAAGCAGAGGTTTCCATTATGATGTTTGGAAAAGAGAAGTGGAAGCTAGAAGCATTAAGAGAGGCAAAGAGGACATGCAAAGGCACAGGTTTTCAGTTCATCTGTTAAACAGACATCTGCTCCAAATGCGGTAATCACTTGGTCATGTATACCCTGTCTCTCAAGATAACGGCATGACCAACAAAGCATAAACAGCACACATAAAACAGAAATAGAAACTAAGGCAAAATAGAAATACATTAAGAAAAAACACACAAAATCAGAGTACGATTTGACCAGGTAAATGAGCGTCAGCTACTGCGGGGTCACAAGGCCCCTCAAGGGCTATCGACTCGCCCAGAGGAGTCCGTCCGTGCACACGCCCACACGGCTTTGCTCGGTCCCGGGGCCCACGACCCCTGAGCCCGGCATGCTCACAGGCTGCCAGGCATCCTCAGACCCTGAAGCGGAGACCAGGTAGAGCAAGTGCGGACTGGAATAAAATAATATAAAGATTGATGTAACGAACTGAACTGATGGAGTAAAAACACATTTCTTGAGAGTACACAAATGCTGTATAAAAACTGATAATATATTCAGGCTCAGAGAATTTCTGTGGACACTTAGAAATACTGACACCACCACGTACAATAAGAAGTAACAGCAATGACTTAAGCAGTCATCACTGGGATTAGAATTAATTTAAAAAATACTAATTTTTAAATTAGTATTAAAAATACTAATTAGAATCATAATAATTGAGTCAAAGGGAAATTCCTAAGAGCAAAAAAAAAAAAAAAAAACCAAACACGTCAACATTATAGAGCAGAAAAAGCTCTAACTACAAGAAAACAAACTGACCAAAGTACCCACGTTTACTAGAAATATTAAAAGTTATTAACTACCTAAATAATTCATCTTAGAAATGTAAAGTATTAAGTAACAAAAAAGATAAAGAAAAGAGCAGAATACATGTACTTTGACAAAACAATTCGATTAGTAAACAGAACCAAGAACTGGAGCTTTACAACAGTCAACAACATCTGCTAAAAGAAGGAAAAAATCTAAGACAATAAAACAAAATCAAACAACGAAACTCAAGGACAATTCAAATACCACCAGGATGGTCTCTTATAACATCGCACTAAGAGCCTAAGTAAAAGGATTTAAAAACACGTAAGAAAACAAGGAAAGAACGTGAACTGCAGAACTAGGTTCTACTCACACTTCTGAAAAAGAAGTACTTGCCTGGTCTGACCATGGTTTTGTGCAAGTCTGTCAACCCTTCAGGAAAGGAGTCTTACCCACCGTGTTACATAAATTGTCAGAAAAGAAAGGAGACAGGGGAGGGGGAAGAAAGAAAGTGCACGTTTAGAAACGAGACGAACATGAAATAGCTGAGGGCAGGTGGGAGGGAGTGGCGGGGGGTCAGGAGGCTTGCTGGGGCTGAAACGGGGGGATTTACGTGCAGGAGACCCCGGAAGGGTGGTTTTAAGGAGAGTGGTGATGTGTGCAAAGTGATGCTTGGAAAAAAATAAAATAAAACAATGTGGCTGGGAGCACGGCGCGTGGCGGAGACGGCAAAGGTTGGAAGTGGATGACTGCCCTGCCCAGTAAGGACAATCCTGGCCAAGGCTGAGGCCGAATGGGGTGCCGGGGCGGGGCAAGGAGGTAGATCCTGGGGGGCCCTGTCCCCCTGCACAGAGCGGGGGTGTCGGCATTCTCTTGGCTCTCACGAGTGACTGGGCGATCCCCCCGTAGGGCTGCCATTCAGACGGGCGCACACAGGGGCCGGTTTACTGCCCCACAGACAGCAGAGAGGTGCTGCACAGAGCCGGCCTCCCCAGACCAGCGACCTGTCCTCTCAACGTCCCCGGCTGCCAAGCCCACTGATGCAGGAGCAGCTCTGGCTTTCCCATTTTTATTCAGGACCATCCTAGCCGCCGAGCCGAGCCCCATCCGCTGAAATAAGCAGCGTGACCCTTAAGGCTCGTGGGACTGCGGCCGCAGACGTGCAAAGCTTCAAAAGCAGCTCAGCCGCGACTCCGCGACTGGTGCTAGGGGAGCCTGCACCAGTACCAGAGGGCCAGTACCAGAGACCCCCGCCGACACCCGGAAGCCTGGGACAAACGCTTCCGGGGCAGCCAGACACGGCCCTGCCCGAGCCCATTCCGGGCCGAGGGCAGGGGGCTGAACTGGGATGGCCATCTTCAAGCCCCGCTGGGCCTGGCTGCCTGGGAGCCGGCCCCCGCCTGCTACGGGTGGGAGGAGGGGGAGCTCTGGAAACAGCACCTTCAGAGCCCCGCCCTGGGGACGCCCAGCTGGACTGGCCCAGGGAACGGGACAGCGCCACTGTGCAGGGTGCCGTAACCCCGGGCACCACACCCAGGGAGGCGGAGGGGCCCTGCCATCTCGGGAACCCGACCAGGCCTGTGTCTCCCCTGTGCGGGGGCCACCCTGGGTCTCCGTCTTCAGTTGCCAGTTGACAAAGCTCATGAGTGCCCAGTCGCAGTCTGAATGGGAGCCTTGCACACCCGCCCCCACCCCAGGGGAATGTGGCATTCCCAACGTCCCCACCTCTCCCAGAAGGAAACGGAGCCTTGGGGCTTCCTCCAGGTCATCAAGGCAGGAGGGGCCACAGCTGGAGCCTGAACCCAGACCTTTCGGACCAGATCCCTTCATCCCCGGAGGACAGAGCACAGGCTGCCCAGCCCGCAGAACAGAGGCCCTGCTGATGCCCCAGCCTGGACCCCGGGTCTGGCAGAGGGCTACTCCTGGTGGCAGGGGCCTGTGCCTGGCTAAGCTAGGCAGGCATCATCGGCCTGGCCGCGCCTCCACCTCCACCGGAGGGCCTACAGCCAGGCCTGCCCTCAGCCAACCCAGGCAGAGGGCTGAGAGGCGCAGGGGCCTCGCCGTCACCCGAAGCCCAGGACAAGCCCTCCTGTGCCCCCTCCGCCCCATCCCCGAGCGGCCCCGCAGTGGCCAAGGCGACCCTGGACTTTGGACTTGTCTTCCCTGGTCTGTTTGGACCGCAAGCCAGCTTCACTTCTGCAAGTGCCTAAGGTTAGAGCTCGCCGGACGTCTCCAGGGGGCCTAACCCCGGTTTCTCCCTCTGACGTTTATTCCTCTGCATTTTGTAAAAAGCGAATGGAGGGCAAAACCAAACCCCCGGGGTCACAGCAGAGGACGAGGCGGCCGGCGGAGACCCAGCTCCGCCCCAGCGCCCCCCCAAGTCCGCCCGCTGGGCCGGGGCACCAGGGCCGGCGTGCCCTCGCCCTGGGCGGAGCCCTAGAGCTTGTCGGCCGCGTGGACCTTCTGGTGGCGGAGAAGGTGCGAGCTGCCCCGGAAGGCCTTGCCGCAGCGGTTGCACTCGTAGGGCCGCTCGCGCGTGTGCGTCTTGTAGTGCTCGATGAGCGCCGAGCGGTGGCGGAAGGCCTTGCCGCACTCGTTGCACACATAGGGCTTGCGGCCCGTGTGGATGCGCTGGTGCTGGATGAGCGCCGAGCTGTGGCAGAAGGCCTTGCCGCACTGGCCGCACTCGTAGGGCTTCTCGCCCGTGTGGATGCGCTGGTGCTCGATGAGCGACGAGCTCTGGCTGAAGGCCTTGCCGCACTTCTGGCAGCGGTAGGGCTTCTCGCCCGTGTGCGTCTTGCGGTGCTCGATGAGGTTGGAGCTCTGGCTGAAGGCCTTGCCGCAGTCCTCGCAGGCGTACGGCTTCTTGCCCGTGTGGACACGCTGGTGCCGCAGCAGGTGCGAGCGGTGGCAGAAGGCCTTCCCGCACAGCTCGCAGGCGTGCGGCCTCTGCAGCGAGTGGATCTTGCGGTGCTGGCTCAGGCCCGAGCTCTGGTTGAAGGCCTTGCCGCACTCCTGGCACGCGTAGGGCTTCTCCCCGGTGTGGATGCGCTCGTGCTTGCGGAGGCTGGAGCTGCGGCTGAAGTCCTTGCCGCACTCGCGGCAGGCGTAGGGCCGCCTCCCGCTGTGCGTCTTCCCGTGCTGCGCCAGGGCCGAGCTCTGGCGGAAGGCCCGGCCGCACTCGCAGCAGGCGTACGGCTTCTCCCCGGTGTGGATGGCCTGGTGCCGGAGCAGGTGCGAGCTCTGGCTGAAGGCCCTGCCGCACTCGCCGCACTCGTAGGGCTTCTCCCCGGTGTGAATCACCAGGTGCCGGAGCAGGTGCGAGCTCTGGCTGAAGGCCTTGCCGCACTCCCGACACGCGTACGGCTTGGCGGGCTGCGCGGTCCTGGGCGGCCCCTCGGGCCCTGAGTCCCCCCTGCCCGCCGCCTCCCCGGCAGGCAGATCAGCGGCTTCCCCGCTGCCCGTGATCCGGTATGCAGTCGGGTCTGATTTCTGGAGGAAGGCCGGGCCAAACGGCTCATCGTCCTGGGCCCTGTCTCCTGGGGGGACGCTCTGAGGCAGAATGGGGCTCGAGCACAGATCGAAGTCCCCCCGGAAATCATCCTGCTCCCCGCCTTGCTCCCCGAGAGGGATCTCCTTGTAGATGACGGCCATCTGCTCCAGAGCCCTCCCCTGAAGAAAAGGGGCCCCCAGGTCCTCCTCTGGGAACAGGTCTGTCTGCATGTCCAGCCCATCTGCAAACACGAAAGCCTCACCCAGCTTGGCAGCCAGGGGGATCTCCACTGAGGGTCCAGTCATCCCAGTGGCTGGATCTGTCTGGGACACACAACTGCTCTTGGCTTCTGAAAAGAAAACAAGAGACACAGTCAAGTCAGGAGGTCAAGCACCGAGCAGGTGCCAGAGCCCAAAGGAGACAGAACCAAAGACACAACCTTGCCCTTGAAGATGGTCCTTGGTGAATCAGAGACTTACCAGAAACAAGTGCAAGGGAGGCAGAGAGACAGACAGACAATGCTGCACGCTAGTGTCCAGACTCTAAAGGTTCAGGGTGCCGGCCAAGATGGGCGAGGACACGAAAGGGAGCCATTCTGGAAAAGGGGCAGGAGTCCGGCCCCCAGAGAACACGGGGGCTGGGGTCTTGCTGGGAGAGCACGCATTTGCCTCCTGTGGGTGGGCTGCACCCCTCCAGCCCGGAGCCCCAGCCGGAACCCAGGAGTCAGATCATCCCAACACCCGCCCCATCCATGTCCTGAGGCCTCACTGAAGGGGTCTCTGCCTCTCTCCAGGCTGACCCCGATGGATGCCCATCTCCAGCTTCCCCCCTCCCTCCCACATCTGTTCTCTACGTGGACACCAGGGTAAAACGCCTACACCCAGTCCTGATGGTGGCATGCCCCTTCTCAGGAGCCTGCAGCAGCCCACACCCTCCACGCCCAGCCCTGTGGCCCCATCCCCTGCTCCCACACACCCTTATGCGTCCGGCTCCACAACTCGTATGAACTGCTCTTTCCTCCGCCTGAACTGCTCTTTCCTCCACCTGACTGGTCCCCCCACCACAGGCTTCTCACGTGGCCACGTGCTCATTTTTCCAGACTCAGTCCAAACGCACCCTCTTCTCTGCACCCTCAGACCCTGACAATCTCAGGCACATGACCCTAGTGACCACGGGCTCAGGACATGGGTCCATCACACACTGGGCACCTGCAGGGCAGGCGTCCTGGCAGGACCCCCCGCAGCACTGCCTGTGAGCTCCCGGAGGGCAAGTCTGGGGTTCCTCTGAATTGGAAGCCCCAGCTCCCAGCACAACCGCTCCATCTCTACATGCACACATAAATTGAATAAATAAATGACTCAACAGAGGAAAAGACATTTGCTTTTGTGTTATTACTGCTTGCCATACTTTTATTTTGTTGCCAAAGAACTTTGTATTCAAATAAGTCAATTATCTCTGAGCTATGTTTTTTCCAGTAGTCATGTACGGATGTGAGAGTTGGATCATAAAGAAGGCTGAGTGCCGAAGAATTGATGCTTTCGAACTGTGGTGTTGAAGACTCTTGAGAGTCCCTTGGACTGCAAGGAGATCAACCACTCAATCCTAAAGGAAATCAACCCTGAATATTCATTGGAAGGACTGATACTGAAGCTGAAGCTCCAATACTTTGGCCACCTAATTCGAAGAGATGACTCATTGGAAAAGACCCTGATGCTGGGAAAGATTGAGGTCAAAAGGAGAAGGGGATGACAGAGGATGAGATGGTTGGATGGCATCACCAACTCAATGGACATGAGTTTGCGCAAGCTCCGGGAGATGGTGAAGGCAGAAGGCCTGGTGTGCTGCAGCCCGTGGGGTCGAAGAGTTGGACACAACCGACTGCCTGAATAACAATCTAGGAGATATAAATTAATACAACAAACAAAAGCAGAGCTGCTTTATGTTGAAGGGGATGTTTTCATAGGGACAAGAGAAGGACACCCCCACTCAGCACCCCGACCCCACTGTGGAGCCCCAAGGGAGCCCCGCAGGACCCCACTCAGAAACTGTGCAAGCTCCAAGGAGACTCTTGAGGTACCAGAATTTGTCGATGACAACTTGAGGTTATTGAGCACCTACGGTGTGCAAGGCACTGCTAGGCCTTCTACAAGCATGTCTCATTTACTCCTCAGGACTCCATACAAAGGTACACTTACCCTAACACGGAAGTTCAGAGAGGAATGGCCTCAAGAAGACACAGGAAATTAATCAGGATAGTCACGGCGGAACTCATTCCTAGTTGGAATCTTTTTAATAAAATGTTTATTGGAGTCTAGCTAATTTACAATGTTGTGTTTGGGATTTTTTATTTTATCTTTAATTGGAGGATAATTACAATATCGTCTTGCTTTCTACCATACATCAATATGCATTGGCCAGAGGTACACATACGTCCCCTCCCTCCTAAACCTCCCTCTCACCCCTCTAGGCTGTCACAGAGCATAGGTTGATTTGTTTTGTTTTCAGTGAATTTTCAGCCAGGTGTGGAAAAAAGCATAGAACCAAAGCATCCTCCAGACGTCTACGCTCACTCCCATTCCTCTTCACGACCCCCATCTCCACCGCTCCCGCTCCTCAAACCTCACACCCCATTTCCACCCTGGCCCACCCCTTCCCCGTTAAGCTTAGACCTTCTTTACTTGGGCCTTCTCTAGCGGGTCCACCTATGGGTGTCACTCCAACCAGCTCTCTGACCAGCCTAATGTTCCTCACCTTCCTGCCCTGCTGCAACCCGCCACGAACTACCCGCCTCCCCCGCCAGCTCCTCCTAAGATGCTGAACGTCGCCAAGGAAAATCATACGACCTGTGGCTGGCACGGAGACAGATTTCAAGTTTCCATTTTCAGCTGGCGCTTCAGCTCCAGCGTCCAGTGACCTCCTTGCAGCTGGCCAAGCCCTCTCTTCTGGGTCCTCACTTTCCGCGCCACCCCCCCCAATTCTGGCAGATGCCCCAAAACCTCCTTTTCAAAAAACCCTCTGTTTCAGAGACTGCAAATGGGCAGCCTGGAGACCCTGTCACAGATGAGTTGTGCCTGGCTCTCAAAGAGACACGCTTTTCCTTATTTGTTTGACTCAGCTGACACAGTATTTACAACTCTGTAGGTTTTCTCGCGAAGAGCTGGAAGATGTGACAATACAGGGCCCAGCCTTTGCCCACTCACAGGGGCGCTGGATAACCGACCTCCCCACTCCCAAGCCCCCTTTCATTCCCTTGGTTTCTGAAAGCTCCTCTCCCGCTAATTTTCCCGCCCCGCTGACCCCTCTTCCTCAGGATCTGGGGAGTTGTGACCTCCACCCACCTGCTAAGTCCTGGTTTTTCCATTCCCCCTAGGTGCCAGCTCCCTGCTAAAGTCTCCGCCGTGTTGAAAAAGTTGGCGACCCTTTTATCTGTGCCCAGCAATGTTTTCACCGATGCTCTGAGGCCGAAATACCCAAGGTCTGATACCCCGCGCTTCCCACCTCTCTCGGGCCTTCCCGGCTCCTCCGGCCTCTGTCACTCCGTCCTCCGGGGCTCCCAGGGCCTGGGCACCGGGCCGGCCCCCGGGGCCCGTCCTCCGGGCTGGAGGCTCGAGAGTGGCCGCGGCCCCGCACCTGCTCCCAGCGCTGGGGGCCGCCCACACCTGTGCCCCCAGAGGGACAGGTGGCCGCTCTCCCGGGCCGGGGCGGGGCCGCTCTCCCTGGCGGGGCGGGGCCGCACCTCAGCGCCTCCAGCCCCGCGCCCGTGGCCTCGCTCGGCCGCGGCTGCTGTCGCGAGCCCGAGGCCCCGCCCCGAGAACCGGGCCCCGCCCCCGCCTGCGGCACTTCCGGGGCCGCTCTAGGCCGCGCGGAGGCCCGCGTCTCACTGGTCCCGCCGCCTGCAAGCCGGGCACCTGAACGCAGGACTCGGGGTCGGGGAGGCCAGTCCCGTGGGCGCGCGGCTCTCCGGGCGGTCCCCAAGCGCGCCCCGGCCGGCTGGGAGGACGTCGACCAGGCACCTGTCCTGCGGGTGGGGCCGGCCGGAGGCCAGGGGTGGCGCTGGGGTCCCCGGGAGAAGGGCAGGCGTGCCCATCACCCCTGTTGGGATTTTCCACCCGCCCCCTTCGTGGGGAGCCCGGGACCCGCCTACCCACCTCATCCCCTCAAAGACCGATGAGAGCCCAGGAGATGGCTGGGCGCCTGGGCGGGACCCTCTCGTGCATCTGAGGGGTGGTCCCCCTGTTCAGGTGGCGCCTCTTAGAGGAACCAGGAGAGAAGAGAGCTGTGCTCCTCAACCCCCCACCCCCGCTCCCACGGCTAAATTCTGCTTCTGGTGGCAAGACTGCCCGTCCACCCCAGGAGGGCTGCTGCCCATGCCGCCCCTGCCCTCTGCCCACCTGCCTTCAGCGCCCTCAGGTGCCTCTGAGTGCCCACACCCCATGCACACACTCACACCTGCCTCTTTGCCCTACCCAGGAGCAGGCAGGAGCTCCCGAAGACCCAGTCCAGTCGCCCCCATTGAGTGTTGGACCCCAACCAGCCATGCAGAGCCAGGACTAGCGAAGGCTGGTTCCTTTTTCTCTCACTCAGCTCCTCCCCTCACAGGAAGGCAAGAGCCACCAGTCTGAGCCCCTGGGGGCTGGTGGGGAGGCTGGGCCCCATGCCAAGGTTCTCAGGTGCTTTCTCTTCTGCAGTAATCCCCAGGATCATCCCTACCCCCACACCCCCGGACGCAGGGATCTCAGGACCCTCAGAGCAGTTATTGTTGACATGGTGAATATTATTAACCCATTTCACAGAGGAGGAAAACAGAGGCTCAGAGAGAGGGTCCCAAGGTCAGGAGCAGAAGTGGGAGGCAGATGGAAAACACTCATCCCACACCCCTAGAATAAGTCGCCCACAAAGCAGTAATAATCAGCATCATCTTCGGGCTGCACGGGGCTGATGGTCAGGATGCAGGTGTTGTGGGCTGCATCCGCAGCTGCGGAGAAGCGGTCCGGGATGCCAGGGGCCCGGTGTTGGTCCTCCTCTGAGCGGTAGTAGAGGAGCAGGCGGGGGGCGCTGCCTGCTCGCTGTTGATACCAGGACACGCCGAGGTCCCCGATGATGGCGTAACGGGGGCTGATGGTGCAGGACAGTTGGGCCACTTGGCCTGGGAAGACCTGCAGTGCTTCTGGCTTGGTCAGGGCTGGCTGGAAGGCTGAGAGACACACACTCAGGTCTGGCCTGGGCCCCTTCCCTCCGGCCCTTGCCCCACAAAACCTGAGTCAGACTCCCCAGGAGAATCTGCTCCCAAAAGCTCACAGCTCGTACTGTGGAATCAGCACTGGGTGGGCCACAGAGCTGGCAACCCTTAAGCCCCGTCTTCCCAAGGAGCCATGTGCAGCTAAGGGTCCAGAATTCAGAGGGTGGGCTGGTGGCCTCTGGGTCCTCCTGCTGCCCACCCTCACCATTGCCCTGCAGACCCCCATCACTGAGGTCACACTGGCTTGTCCGAAACCCGGCTACAGGCTGATCACCCCCAAGAAGCCTCCTGGGCCGTTACTATATCCATCAGCTCAGTCTCCAGCCACTGACTGCTGGAGACCTTCTCAGGGGTAGCTCATCCCTGAGGCCCTGCGGGGCGGTGACTAGGCCACACCAGCCTCCCCTCTGAAAAACTGAATAGGTGACCGGTCTCTGAGACCCGCCACCCCCCCACCAGAGTCAGAGTCCAAAGGGATCCTAGCCATCTGGTCACTCACCAGTGGGGAAACTGAGGCCAGATCTCTCCCCCTCACAGCCCCTTCGGAAACCATCCCTGTTGCCCACTGCAATTTACTTCCCCGCAGGGGTCTTCTAGAGCCCCGTGCTGCCTTCCACACACACCCCCCAGGTGAGCCAGGCCTGGGTAGGGCTCACCTGCCAGGAGGGCCCCCAGCAGAAGGAGGGCCAGAGGCGGGCAGGCCATGGCCGGAGGCAGGGAGGCAGGCGGGAGTCCGCTGTTGTGCAGGTGGTGTTCCAGGTGCTTCAGGACCTCCACGCGAGGGAGGCCGCTGGACCCCGACACGGCATGCAAATCATCAGCCCCCTGACAGGGGGGGAGGGCGGTGCCATCTCCCCAAACGTCAGCAAGCAGCCCATGGGGCCTTCTGAGAGCAGGAGCCGGAAATCCACAGGTGCAGTCAGAGCAGGTGGCTGCTTTTCACCGAGGTCTCATGCGTACGGTCACGTGCACAGACCTCACACATGTGGCTCGAGGGTCACACACACACACACACACACACACACACACACACATCCCTGCAGCCTGTACCCAGACCAAATTTTATAAAATCTCCGCCACCCCAGAAGGCTCCCTCAAGTGCCTCCCTGACCTGTAACAGCCCTCCGGACCGTTACAAAGCTCCCACTGTGGGCCCCTCTTTATGGCACCTCTGTGACACTGCAGGCAAAAGGACTCCCCCTGTCAGCTCGAAGACAGAAACCCCTTGGCGAACAGAGGGGTGGTGACTGGAGCCGAGAGCACAGGCGGGCATATGGCCGCAGCAACTCCCTACTGTGCCACAGGTCCCCTGGGGAGAAAGCGCTGGCCTGTGAGTCTGGGAACGCTGCCCCCAGGCACCTTTGAGCGCCTGCTGTGGTGGAAGTGCGTCCTCCCCCTAACCTGCCTGCGCGGGGCTGAGGCCAGCGCTTCTCATCCTTTGTGCAGGTATGAATGCCGAGGGAAGCATAGAATGCTGGTGGGCTGCGCTGGGATCTGGGCCTCCTCTCTTCTCCTGCGCTGAGCTCTGCCCCCAGAAGGGCACGGCCGGCCTGACCACCTGGCGGGCAGGCCCGCTGAGAAGGCGTTCTCCTGAGTCCAGAGGCCCGGCCACAGGCAGACGCTGAGGGGCTGTGACATGGTGCAGCATGCTGGAGGATGCTGGCAGCTTCTTACAAACGGAAACATACTCTCCCCGGACAGCCCGCACCCCCCTCCCAGGATTTGCCCTCGAGAAAGAGAAATAAATGCCTGTTCACCCAGAGACCTGCAGGCGAGTGTCTGTACTGGCCTTCCTCATCATCACCCCACACGGGAAATGACCCAAAGAGCAGGCGGTGAGCGGATCCACAGACCAGGGCCCCTCCAGGCAGGGGGACCCTCCTGGGATGAAGGGAAGGACCCACCGGCACAGTGACAACCCCTGTGGACCCCACACGCAGGGAGTGCAAGGCCCTGCCCCGTCGGCCGCCTCCCTCTGCGTGACAGCCTGGCTGGGAGTTTGGGGGGGAATGAGGGACATGTTCTGTATCCTGACTGTGGAGAACACGTCGAAGGGTGGCTGTGACCCGTATGCCAATCATACCTCAATAGTAACAGGGGACAGAAGAGGAGGAGGCCGGGAGTGCGCCTGGGAAGGGGGCCTGCAAGGTTGGGGGTGCCCCCACCTCCAGGAACCTTCCCCACTCCCCTCCTGGGAGCTCTGTCTCTCCTTGTGGGCGGCGGCGGCGGGGGGTGTGGGCAGTGGTCTCTGGACACCTCTGGGCCCGAGGCTCCAAGCCCCGCTAGAGCCCTGCACTGGGAATGCCCGGCCCCCGGCAAACGCCGCCGCCCAGATACTGGGGGAGGCATTGCCTGCTCAGACCTCTTGGCAGCGCCCACTGCCATGGAAACCAGCTTGGAAGCTGGCTCAGGGGGCAGGGGAGGGAACCTCCGTCCTCTGATCCAGCAAGCGGGAGAAGGAGAAGGCCGGGGACCCTGGATTAGCTGCAGAGACCCCCTGGGCTGAGCAAGGAGCTCCGCTTGAGCCTACCCACCCATCACCCCCTTGACCAGCATCTACCCAGGGCCCACCCTGCAGTCCAGCTCCACCCCAGATCCTTCCCCAGGTGGGAAGTTGAGGGTCCGAGGGGTCTGTTCCCCACCACAGCCATGTTTATCATGGTGATGTTCGGAGGTAAGTCACAGGGGGTCCCCTGTGCTGGCAGATGGGTGGGGGTACGTTCCCTCTGCCTTGTGGAGGGGGGAGAACAAGGAGGCAGTGTGGGAAAGGGGGTGCCCATGGGATGAGTCTGGGGGGAGTTGCTTGAGAAAAACCCCCGCCCAGGCTGGCTCCTGGGCGAGGCAGGCGGGCTCCTCCGGGCCACACAGCTGCCGTGGCGCCCCTCGGGGAGCGTGTGTTCCAACTGCCCCATCTCTTCGCTGGCCAGGGGTCCTGCAGCTCTCGGGGGCACGGGGCACCTGGCCTTCTGGTGGGGGGGCTGGTGCGGGATGGGGGTGGGGGGCTGCATGGTGGAGGCAAGAGTCGTTCAGACGTCTGGGGAGATGGAGTGGGGTACATTCCTGACCCCGTAGGCAGGAGGGAGGCAGAGCGTCCCGGTCTGGGGGGAAGGGTGGGTGCCATGCACCCACCTCCGACCCTCTCCCGCAGCTGGGTGCTGGGAGCTGGTGAACATCTGGTGCAGCCTCGGGACCCTCACCGCCCACCTGAGGCAGAGGTGCCAGGTGCCCCCTGACGGTGAGGGGGCAGCGACGGGTGCTGGAGGGCCAGCTGAGGGCCCCCCACCCTGGCAGGGGAAGTACCATCCCTGCCCTGCATCCCTCTCCGCCCTCCCAGCAACCATCGCCCTGCTGGCTGAGGACGGGCACCTGGTCAACCTCGTGGAGGGGCTGGAGGAGGGGCCTTCCCCGGTGCCCTCCGTGGCCAGCCCCCCACAGCAGGAGCGGGGAACCTATGTCCTGGTGCAGATCATCAGTAAGTGGGGTCCAAGATTCACGCCCCCCTGCAGTGACGTTGGAATATAAGAGAGACAGCATCCACGGGGCACCCATGCCCTGCAGAGTCCCCAGCCTGGCCAGGACCCAGCCCTGTCCTTCCCATCCAGTGCCCTGTCCTGAGCCCAGGCGGGGGGGTAAACATGTCCAGAGTTGGGGGGGGCGCTGAGGACCACCAGCCAGCCAGTGATCAGGCTCCCTCCCTCCACAGAGGGGGAGGGAGGGGACCCCATGCACTATGAGTCCCTCCTGGAGAACCTGGATGCGTGGTGTCCAGAGCTGGCTGGTGAGTGTCACAGGAGAGCCTGGGGGTGGGGGCGCCTGCCCGCCCGCGCATTCAGGCAGGGCATCCTGGGCCTCACAGAGGAGCTGCGCTGGCGGTCGGGCCTGCCCCCCCAGGGTGACGGCCAGAGGTGGCACCTGGGCACTCAGCGTGGCCACCAGGAGCAAGGCCCTCCTTCACGGCCCCGAAGGGTGGGCTCCCTGCTGTCCTGCACCCAAGAGCCGGGGCCTGGAGCCAGGTAAGGAAGAGACATGGACCCCAGAGGGGCTGCTCACACCCAGAAATGGGACTCCCCTCCCAGGGGACGGACGGATGTGTGTGCTGAGAGGTGGACCACAATGTCAGCCTCCCTCGGAGACACACTGTACCCGAGGACAGGCCCCCATCAGCCCGCTGGGGGCTCGGTGACGGGGGGACGTGGGACAAGGCCTGGTACACAGTGGGTGCTCCGTGCAGAGACACTGAACGAACTCAGTGGAGGCAGCAGCTCCGAGTGCGCAATGGCATTTGAAGGGCCTGCTCCTCTGCCGGCAGGCCCCGTGAACTGGCACATCATGGCCAAGTGGCCGAGCTGGACTGAGATCCCAAGGGGCTGGCCGTGACCTCTGCTCGTGTGGTCAGGTGAAAAGGCCCGAAGCATTCCTCCTGCTGAATCTGCAATTACGGGGAAACTGCATCAGCAAGAGGGGCAAGGTCACTGACAGAGCATGAGGCCACCATGGGGCCCCCAGAGACAAGAAGGGTGGAGGGGCGGGGGTCCCTGAGAGGAGGCAGCATGCTCCTCCGGGGTCTCCAGCCGGCCAGAGTCGGATGCCCTTGAGGCTTGAGGTCAGCAGTTAATGCCTCACCATCCGGTCAGCGCTGCCTATAGGATTACGCAGGATAACAAGGGCACCCTCCGCACCTGGGACAGCAGCTGAAGGGTCGGCACCACACCCCGCAGCGGGAATTCCATCTCCCACCACCCTGCCACCTGCAGACAGTCCAACAAGAGGGGACACAGCAGGCTCGGCTAAAATAAAGGCTTTTAATTGCACGTTTTCATCTTGGATCATCTGTGAGGTGAGGGACCCCCTCCTCACTCCGGGTCCCAGCTCAGTGGGTACAATCTGACATCGTGGTCTGGCTGGTGGTGGGAGGGGGGTGAAGGTGAGTGCAGGGCTGGCCACCCAATCTGCTCTGGTCTCTTAGGGCAGGGAGCTCAGACCTGTAGAGAGAGGAGGTCAGGCTGAAGGTACAGGAGCACCCGGGAGGCCTGGGAGCACCCAGGAGGAGCAGGAGCACCCAGGAGGAGTGGGAGCAGCCGGGAAGTACAGGAGCACCTGGGATGAGGAGCACCCAGAAGGAATGGGAGCATCAGGGAGGCATGGGAGCACCCAGGAGGAGCAGGAGCACCCGAGAGGCATAGGAGCACCTGGGAAGCATAGGAGCACCCAGGAGGAGTGGGAGCAGCCGGGAAGTACAGGAGCACCTGGGATGAGGAGCACCCAGGAGGAATGGGAGCATCAGGGAGGCATGGGAGCACCCAGGAGGAGCAGGAGCACCCAGGAGGAGTGGGAGCAGCCGGGAAGTACAGGAGCACCTGGGATGAGGAGCACCCAGAAGGAATGGGAGCATCAGGGAGGCATGGGAGCACCCAGGAGGAGCAGGAGCACCCAGGAGGAGTGGGAGCAGCCGGGAAGTACAGGAGCATCTGGGATGAGTGGGAGCACCCAGGAGGAGTGGGAGCACTCAGGAGGAGCAAGAGCACTCGGGAGGAGTGGGAGCACCTGGGAAGCGCAGGAGCACCCAGGAAGAGCGGGAGCACCCAGGAGGAGCAGGAGCAGTGAACCGCCCCTCCTGCCCCGGGGCAGGTCAGGCAGCGGGCACTCACCGTGATTGTACTTGCACTGCTTCAGGGCCTCGCTGAAGCCCTCGCACAGGGTCAGGTCGCTCTGGGTGGTGGAGCAGTCCAGGAACTGCCTGATCTCATAGGCGCAGGGCCCCGTCTGCAGGGGCGGCGGGGCAGCGCGCGCCGGGGCCTGGGGCACAGCACAGGAGGCAGCTGGGTCAGCTCGGGGTGGAAACCCCGGAGAGGACTCCGAAGCTGGGGGTGGCGGCTGCCCCTCCGCAGACCCCTGGCTCTGATGCCTCAGGGGTCCCTAGCAGGCAGTGTGCCCCAGGTCTCAGCGGCTCCATCCCTGAAACAGGGTGAGCCCACAGCCCTCTCGAAGCCCCTGCCGCTACTGCGGTGGTGCGGGAACCAGAGCAGGTGGGGCGGGAGGTGGGACATGGGTCTAGAAAAGCCCAGGGCGCTGCTGCTTTGAGCTCCAGGCCGACAGGTTCTAACACCTTCCTGGCTCAGCCACGCTGATCCTCGTGATCCCTGACCCCATCACTAAGCCCAAATGTGGCTCAGGACTGGTGCGGTGCCCAGTGGGGGACAGGCCAGCAGGCCCAAACTCACTGACTGCCAGTCACCCCTGGGCGCAGGAAGGGGCCTGCTGGGGGATGGGGGTGGGGGGAGAGCGGGCACTCAGGAGCTCCAACAGCCCTCCTTTCTACTAGGGTTGGGCAACCTTGGGCCGTCTGTGACCCCAAGGGCCTCGGTTTCCCCAGCTTTAAAGAGCTGGGTTGGTGTCTCTCTACGGGGTTCTAGGGACCTTGGCCACAGGGGATGGGTTGAGAGAGCCTGCCTGTGAGTGGCCCGAGGCCAACAGCTGAGTGACCGGCTGGACCCTTCTTGGGGCGGCTCTGGACTGGCGCGGCACCCCGCGCTGTGTCGGGCCTCATTTTCCTCTGAGCCCTTGCTCACCTGCTGGGCGGCAGGCTGGGCGGGCTCTGAGCCTCCCCCACTGAAGGCTCCAGTCAGGGCGCTGCCCACGACGTGGCCCACAGCCGAGCCCACGGCCACTCCGGCGGCGGTGGTCGCCATCTGCGCCATCAGGCCGGGCTGGCCCGACGGGGCGGGGGCCGGGGCCGCGGCCGAGGGCGGCGGGTGCGCAGGCGGGTGGGCGGCAGAGGGCGCGGCGGGGCGGCTGTGGGATGCGGGGAGAAGTGGGGTCATTCCTAGTCGGACCCCAGGCCGTGTAACCACCGTCCTAGACTCGCGGCGGCGCGCCCCCCGCCCCGCCCCCGCCAAGATGGCGCGGCCGTCACCAAGGTCACGCTGTCGCGTCCTTGCCGGGCGGCGCTTAGCCCGCGCCCGCGCCCGCTGCCCGGCGCCCGCGCCGGCTCCTACCTAGCTGGCCGCGAGGCCACGCTGCGGCTCCCCCGGGGCATGGTGGCGGCGGCGGCGGCGGAGCCGGACAAGCCGAGTCGGAGACGGCGACGGCGACGTTGGCTGTGGCTCCGGGACGGAGGCGGCGGCGCAGGTCCCCGCCGGCGGGGCGGGGCCGGGGCGGGGCCGGGGCGGGACCGCGGGGACACGCCCCCTTCGGGAGGCCTTGGGCCCGATCACGCGGCACCCCCGCGGGTCCCCGGCTTCTCCCTCGGCAGCTCCGGGGGTCGGTGAGCCTGCGCCCTCCTGGCCGCCGGCCCGCGCTGTGTGCGCCCTAGGGAAACGCAGCCGCTGTGGCAGGGCGCGGAGGGCGCACGCAGGGGCCACGGGACGGTCCTTCAAAGGCCGCGTCGGAACGCGGCGAGCCGAACCACGGGCGGTCTGGCGATCGGCCGAGCCCTGCTCCTGCCCCTTCCGTGGGGCCGGGCTCGCTGGCTCCTGCGTGGTCCCAGGGTCGCGCGTGGACTGGGGCGGATACAAAGCACGCACCCCTGTCTGCCCCGAGCAAGCCTCGCACGACTGCTCACAGAGCACCCACCAGGAGGCGTCCGGTATCCCGCCCCCCCCACCACTTCGGTTCAGTTCAGTTCAGTTGCTCAGTCAGGTCCAACTCTTCGAGACCCCACGGACTGCAGCACCCCAGGCTTCTCTGTCCATCACCAACTCCTGGAGTTTACTCAAACTCATATTCATTCAGTCGGTGTTGCCATCTAACCATCTCATCCTCTGTTGTCCCCTTCTTGTCCTGCCTTCAATCTTTCCCAGCATCAGGGTCCTTTCCGATGAGTCAGTTCTTCGCATCAGGTAGCCAGAGTATTGGAGTTTCAGCTTCAGCATCAGTCCTTCCAATGAACACTCAGGACTGATTACATTTAGGATGGACTGTTTGGATGCAGTGCCAGACCCCGACCATGTTTATCCGGCGTGTCCTTTCCAAAGGCCGTCCCCTGCTGGCCTAGGGGCATTGCTGCAGGTTTGAATTCTGTGGCCTCGAATTTTACCCCTTGGTTCCAAGTCCAGGGCAGGGCCATCCAGATTCAGGACACTTCCCAGCCATTCAGGAACGGCAGGTTTTCACCCTTTTCATTTTTTCTGAATGAGTTCTGAGTGGTCATATCGGTGCCCTTGGCAGGGTGGGCTCCTGACTTTCCTATCCCCACATCATGGTTCCCTACCCCCAAGGGAGGCCTCCTGGCACCGGGACTGCAGGGAGGATGAAGTCAGAGCAGAAGCATGGGGTGGGGGGCTCAGGTGGGGAGAGGAGGCCCCTCTGTGAGGAGGGGAGGGCAGGCAAGCAGGGAACAGGGGCACCGGCAGTGTCTGGCAGGCTGAATGATGTCATGACTGCGTCCCGACCACACAGTCCTTTCAGCCAGCCCGGGAGGCAGGGTCCTCCCCTGAGCCCCATCTGGGCCTGGGCTTCAGTTTTCTCCTCTCTGCAATGGGGTGACCATTTGCCTCCAGGAGAGGGGAGCGTGTAAAGGTGGCCACTCTCTTCTTGCAGACATGCCAGGCCTGGGCCAGCCTCCACCCCTTTGCTCCTGCAGCCCCTGCTGACCTGCTCTTTTTTGCCAAACTGACCCCTCCTGGGCTGATCAGGGTCCCGCTGCTGCAGGAAGCCCTCTGGGACCAGCGCAGCTTGCTATAACTGTGGCTTTCCATGGTGGAAACGTGTTAAGGTTGTTACTAAAAACTCCCATGACTGGTGGATTGCAGGTCCCCAAAACAAGGCCATGCATCCCTGGAGGCACTCAAGACCACTTAAGGTAGTTGAACATTTTTACTTTATGCATTTCCATGTGTATCAGAAAGAAAAAAAAATGTATCATCAGTTCATTAAATCCATGATTTGTTGACCAATATTGCTAAGATGAGGCTGAAGTAAGCATTTCCATTTTTAAAAGAGTAAATCACTCTGAAGAAACAAATGGCAGGACTTCCCTGGCTGTCCGGTGGTGAAGAGTCCATGCTTCCAACGCAGGGGGCATGGGTTCGATCCCAGATCAGGGAACTAAGAGCTCACATGCGTTGCAGCCAGGCCAAAAGTTTTAAAAAGGAAGAAAAAAATGGCAAACGGCCTAGGGAGTGAAAAATCACAGCAGTCTTCCCTCTTCTCGCCCTCTAGGGGTCTCTGTGGAGCCTCCCTGGAGAGGCCGCGGCGGCTCCGGGGACTGGAGCGGGAGGAGGGGGTTGAGTCCGCCGGTGGCCCTCCCCTCGCTGCCCGTCTCCTCCCTTTTCAGGCACAGCCCCAACCTGCGGCAGCTCAGGGGCCGGCCCGCCGGGACGGGGGCCACCGTGTCCCGGCTCCCCGGGGGTCAAGCAGACTGCCTGCGCACGGGGTCACCACAAGGGCTGTATGACCCTTTCCCAGTGTGGTCACGACGCCTCTCTCCGACTCTCACAGACGCGTCCTCGCCTCAGGAGGCTGGCCCTGAGGGCCTCTGAGGAGCCTGCTCGTCAGGCCAAGGGGCGGCGTGGGGTCCCCTGCGCCCCGCACAGACACTGCCTTCTGACCGCCTCCTCCCAGCAGCTGACCTGAGGAGGAGGCTTCCTGACCCCTCACCCTGCCCGGCGGTTTGGGAAAAGCCTCATCTGGCCCCTCTCTCCCGGGGCCTCAGCCTCCTCCTCTGTGAACTGGCGGATTCTGCCAAGCTGACGTCCTGGCCGGCCGCCTCCCCGTGGCTCAGGGTCCCCCGGGACACAGCTGGATGTCCCTGCTCGGGATGCACCTTCTCAAGTTGGGCCTGTCAGGAGGCGGGGGCGAGCACGGGAACTCGACTCCCCTCAGACGGCCCATCGCGCTGGGGAAACTGAGGCCCGGAGCAACGGCAGCCCCTGGCCAGGGTCACCCGCCAGCACCCCCTCCTCCCCGTGCCTCCGGGCCTCCGAGACCGCAGCCGGCACGCCGCGGGAGGGACCGGATCTGCGGGCCGGGCCAGCCCCCTCCCCGGCCGCCGGCGCGGGGCGAGTGCAGAACAAAAGCGGGGGCGGGGCCGGGGCGGGGGCGGGGCTGAGGCTATAAGGGGCGGTGGCCGGCGGCGGCCCAGCAGGCCCTGCAGCCCCGGGGCGGATGGCTCGGGCCGCCGGGCTCCGCCGCGCGGCTCCGCGCGCCCTCCTGCTCCCGCTGCTGCTGCTGCTGCTCCTGCCGCTGCCGCTGCTGCTGGCCCGGGCCCCGCGGCCGCCGGTGAGTGCCCACCGCCCGCCGCCCAACAGCCCCCGGCCCCGCCCCGCCCTCCACGCCGAGGGGCGCCGGCCGGCAGAGCTGGACCCACGGGGGCGTCCGGGAGTGGCCCGTTACCCTGAAACGCTGTCTGGGTGCCCCGGGGGCGTGATGGATAGTGAGCTTCCCGTCCCCGGAGGTATGCAAGTGGAGCCGGCGCCGGGATTGCTTGGACTGGCTGGTGAGCGGGACTCGGTCGGACGCTAGACGCACGCCACCACCCGCCCAGCTCCGGGACCTGCCCCCTCCGCACCCCCCCGGCCGCTATCCTGGGGGTGTGTGTGTGTGTTGCAGGGGAGGGACAGCGGGAGTGGCTACAGGGCTCCCGACACACCATAGGGACAAAGACCCGTGGGTCTCCAGCTGGCGTCAGCCGCCAGGTGTGTGGCCTCGGTGAGCACGCCTCCAGACAGGAGGGCGCGAGGGGTCTGAGCCTGGCGGAGACAGATGCCACCGCCTGGGACCTGTGAGTGGCAGGATCGGGAGGCCGCGGAGCCGGGAGGCAGCCGGAGCGTGAGAGCTCCGGATTGCTCCAGCGGGGCTGGTGGCGGGGGGACGCCCCTGTGTGTGCCAGCCTGCGTGTGCCCTGAAGGCTGCGCCCTCCCCAACAGCTGGGGCTTCGGGGGACCAGTCACAGCCTGGGCTACTGCAGGCACATAGCTCCCTGGGTGCCTGGCCCGCTCGGGCGTGCCGCTGAGCTTCCAGCCTGACCGGGCAGGGATGGGGGGCAGAGATGGGGTTGTTAGCGGGGATGGGGGCGGGGGTGCAGGCAGACTCTCAGCGGACAGCTCTGGGGACGAGGGAGGTCTGGCCAGCCTGGGCCCCTCTGTCCAGCCATACCAGCTCTGCCCTGGCCAGTCTTGCCCCCTGGCAGCGCTGGGGATGGAAGGCGTGGTGGGTACCTATGTCCAGGGGCCCTGCCTCCTCCCCAGCCCCGCCCGGCCCCCTAGGCCTGGGGGCAGAGTCTAGGGGTCACCCTGGGGAGCTGCTGAATCCGCGGGTTTAGGAACCAGAGGGATCTGGGCTTTTGAACCACATGGCCCTAGGTGAGCCCTCTGGCGCCTCGGTAGCCCTCACCCCCAGCCTTGTCCAGTGGGCGGGTGGGAGGCAACAGTGCCCACTACTGGGCCAAAGAGCGTCTGCAAGGAGGCCAGGAGAGCTGGGCACACGGACACATTCCGTCACCTGGAGCTGCCACTGTGCCGCTTGTGCGGGGTCAGGCGGGGTCTGAGCTGGGCTGCTGTCTGTCACCCCGCAGATATGCAGGGGGCACTCGGGGTCACCTCGGACGTGCTTATCCCTGGACTGCGTTGGCAGGGCCAGGAAGGCTCTGTAAATATTTATCCATCCCAGCTCACAGCTTTCAGGGTTGATGAAAGCCCCGCCGCCCGCCCGCTGTGGGGGACCCCGCCTTCCCTTCTGGAACCAGCAAGGGAGGTGGGGGGGCGGGGGGAGGAGATGGACCTGCCTGCCCAGGAGCAGGCAGTGTGACTCGGGCGGGTCACTCAACCTCTCTGAGCCTCAGAGAGGCCCGGGATGGTGTGCGGATGCTCCCTGCCTTCCTCTCAGCCGGCAGCGTCCTCCCCTTGGGGTCGCCTCCTGCCCACCGCAGAGGGGGTGGCTACAGGGACCTGGGCCAACGGCAGGCAGGCTGGAGAGGGCACACCCAGCCCAGCCGTGCCCAGCGCTTCCCAGTCCGGGGGCCCCCTCATTCCCAACCGCTGGCTGCCTCCCATTTTCCCGATTGCAGGTTGACCCCTGCCCAGGTGATTCCTCAAGGATGTGTGAGGCTGTGGTGCGGTGCCCATCGGGGAGAGGTGGGGTGAGCGGGCTGGGCACCCCTGCCCAGGGCAGGCCCAGGGAGACGCTGGCCAACGAGCAGGCAGGCCTGCAGGGAGGACAAGCAGCCATCTCAGGAATGTGGGTTTTGGAGATGAGCCACAGCTTGGGGGTTGGGGGGGCCGTGGGTGGGGAGGCCTGAGCCCCAGCTCTAGGTCCAGCTCTGGGCTCCCTAGCTGTGTGACCCTGGGTCAAGACCTGGACCTCTCTGGGCCCTGTCTCTTCCCCTGGGAGTTGGGGCGATGCCTGCTCCCTAATCCCCCAGGGATGTGGATGAGGCAGGCGTGGTGTGTGCTCACCCCCACCTCACTGCCTCCCAGCAGCCCCGGGCGGGGTGGGGGGGACTGGCGCACCCAGGTGAGCGATCAGGCCTCGCAGCTAGGGAGAGACCCCAGCCCCAGGCTGAAAAGGACGTGGGGAGACAGAGTGTGCGAGGGTGGCGGGGCAGGGGCATGCGTCCCGTCCCAGCAGTGGGGAAACTGAGGCCAAGACCCTGTGGGTGGTGGGCTCCAGCAAAGGACCTCGCTGCCGTGGGGCCCTGATCGTAGATCCTCCAGGAGTGGTGACCATGACGTGGGCAGGGGACCAGAGGCCCGGCTCGCAGGTGGACCCGGCGCAAGTCACTCTTCCTTTCTGGCCCTGAGAGCTTCCTTCCAGCTGCCACTCCTGCGTTCTGATGTCAAGTCTGGAGGCCTGAGGGGGAGGTGGGGGCTGACCGCCAGGTGGGGGAGGGCAGGACTTTGGCAGAGCAGCGTCCCAGAGGGGGAGAAGCCAGCCCGGGGAGGGAACTCCCTCCGTGCCTGCTTCCCCAGAGGGCGTTACAGAGAGAGGTCCATTACCCTTCGCCGCGGCCCCGTTCCCACTGGACAGATAGGAGAGTGGAGGCTGAGAGAGGGCTGTGAGTTGCCCAGGGTCTCCGTGGTGTGGAACTGGGCCTTCTGAATCTCAGAGCCAGGGATCTCGCCACTGCACTGAGGGTGCCAGGATGCAGGGGTCCGGGCCTGGACCTAGCGCCTCATGGGGGCAGGAGAGGAAGGCACGGTGGGCATGCCTATCACCCACCGCCCCCCTGAGGCTTGCTGCTCAGGCCTCCCTGGGAGGGGCAGAGGAGAGGGGAGATTTTCCCTTACTGGCAGGCTGGGCTCTGGGCTCTCTGGGGCCCCGGGGGAACAACGCACCCCTGGCTTTTCTGGGGAGGGTCCTGGGACCCCTGTCATGGTTGAGGAAAGGATTTCTGTTCCTCCTGGAGGTCACGGAGCTGGTGTGGGGAGGAGCAGGGGCAGGCCCGGGGCCCACCTCCCCAGTGTGAGACCTGGATGTGTGTCCTCCCGCCTGACGGCGGGGGTGGGGGTGGAGGGTCCAGTGAACCCTGCCCCCAAAGTGTCTGGACGACAGCAGGTACTTGGTCATTTCCCCTTCCTCCTCTTCGGTCACCCTGGTGGGGCCAGTCCCTCCCCTGGGGAAGGGGGACCCCAGCCTGAAGGACAGAGCAGAGCTGGGGTCAGGGGTGTGCTGGGAGCGCAGAGAGCCTCCTGCCCTGCCTGCAGCTGGCGGGGGGCTGGGATGCTCGTCTGAGCTCTGGGGTGCCCAGGGCCTGGGAGCGTCGCCAGATCCTGAGGCTGAGGGTGGGGCCCCGGCGGCCCGGCTCCTGCCCCAAATATGGCTCGGGAAGGCCACAGTGGCTCGGAGCAGACAGGCTGGGCTGGACGGGCGCTGAGGCTCCCCCAGCTCTGCTATGACCCACGCTGGGCCCTCACCTGCGGCCCGGGGTGCCACGGCCCCCGCTTGGCTCCACCGTGTCCTTGCGGGCTGATCCCACGGGCTCTCCCAGCCTCTCTGAGCTTCCGCTTTTTCCAGGCAGGGGAACCACGACCTCCAGGCTGGGACGTGGGGAGGGTGGGCGCGCCAGGTCAGAATCGCCCCTCCACCGGGTGAGTGTGGTCCAGGATCCCTTGCAGGGTGGGGGCTGGGCATCTAGGAACTGCCAGCCCCCCCACCCATGTGGAGAGGACACACAGCCCACACAGAGGCCGTGCCCCCGCTGGCAGCAGCGGGAGAGAACCCAACCGTGGCCAAACACATAAATAACTGAACAATAAAAGTTTTAAAGATCGTTACTTTAAAAAAACAAGTGCGCCCCAGGGATCAGACCCCAGTTCCCGGTGCCCTGAGTGGCGCCAGCCCCATGCTGAGCGCGGCCTGGTCGGTTCACCCCCACATCCACGCTGGAGGGAGGGATCACCCCTACTTGTCAGGTGGGCAGATGCAGGCAGGGCAGTGCGGCAGCCCCCCCATGCTGGCGGGTGGCCGCAGTGTACATCCTGGGCAGGGGCCAGCTCATGGAGCTGGATAGAACAGACCTGGGGGCTGGGGGTGCCCAGGAAGAAACAGAAGGGGAGAGGCATCTGCTGGGGGGTCCCTTCGGGGCTGTGTGTGAAGAGGGCAGGCGGGCCTGCAGCCCCACCCACCCCTCCCCAGCCCAAACGGCGGGAATCAGTGACCCTGGGCGCCTGGGGCCCTCCAGGAGGGGGCAGGAGGCCTTGGGATCAGCATCTGGATGCCATGCAGCCCGCCGGGCCACCGTGCTCCCCGCTGGCCTCCGTTGGAGTGAGGGTGCGCTGACGTCCACACCTCTGACCTGGGGCCTGTCTCCCGCTCAGGACGCCCCCCGCCGCCACCCCGTGAGCAGAGGGCCGGAGCCGTGGCTGGAGGCCCCTCCCGACAGCGATGCCCCCGCCCTGGCCGCCCAGGAGGCCCTCCCGCCCGCTGGCCGCCCCAGACCTCCCCGCTGCGGTGTGCCCAACCCGCCCGATGGGCTGAGTGCCCGCAACCGACAGAAGCGGTTCGTGCTGTCGGGTGGGCGCTGGGAGAAGACGGACCTCACCTACAGGTAGGGCAGATGACCACGAGCTGGCCTTTGACCTCCACCTGCTGTCTGAGACACACCGGGGTGGCTGGGGGGCCGATCCCTGTGGCCAACAGGATGGAGTGTCTCCTGACTCCTGCGCCTGCTGGTCAGTGCCCCAAACCCACACTTAGATGCGCTCCCACGCCCTCCCTCAGGGGCGTGGTCTCTGCACCTGTCTGGCCCCTCCGCAGACCCATGGGGCACGGCCATCAGTCACCCACGCAACCCCTGCTGGCACCGTGCTGCGGGCCAGGCCCCGGGACGCTCGATGAGGCAGACACAGCCCTCCTCCCCCGGGGGAGCGAGGTGCTCCCCACGCCCGGTTCAGACCTAGCACTCAGGATCCGCACAGGGAGGGACCCGCCGGGGCAGGCCGGGTGACGGCTCGGGTGACCTTGGCCCCTGGTGCTGAGACTTACACATCCTGCAGCGGGGCGGGGTGGGGGGCGGCATGAAGACGGGTGTGGTGTCCCGTGTCATGGCAGCTGGGACTCCTAGGGGCCCTGGAAGTGTCCTGGGTGGGGAGCCTGGGGACCCAGGAGGAGCAGATCCCGGGGCCCAAGGTCTCCCCACGGTCAGTGGCACGTTCAGGTCTGGGGGGGCCACGGGGCTCCTGGGTCCTTTCCTCCCAGTGCAGACCCTCGCAGGCACCTAAGGGCACACAGACCACACGAAGGTGTGCCCATGTGGCGCAGGGAGCGGTGGGCACCCTCAGAGCACACCTGCCCCCTCTGTGCATCCGGGACAGCCAGCGGGGGCTGACGCTACCCCGTGAGCCAGACCCAGCCCCCCCACCACCCCCGTGCTCCCCAGGATCCTCCGGTTCCCATGGCAGCTGCTGCGGGAACAGGTGCGGCAGGCGGTGGCGGAGGCCCTCCAGGTGTGGAGCGACGTCACGCCGCTCACCTTCACCGAGGTGCATGAGGGCCACGCCGACATCGTGATTGACTTCACCAGGTGAGCCGGGGGCCTGGGGACCGCCCCCCACCAACCCCAGGAAGGAAACCCACCTGCCAGCAGCCAGCTGCCCCTACCCACCCCCCACCACACAGGTACTGGCATGGGGACAACCTGCCCTTTGACGGACCTGGGGGCATCCTGGCCCACGCCTTCTTCCCCAAGACCCACCGAGAAGGGGACGTCCACTTCGACTACGATGAGACCTGGACCATCGGGGACAACCAGGGTAGGGGCTGGGGCCCCGCTTTCCGGAGGGGCCCTGCCGAGGCCCCAGAGCCGGGCCCAGGCTCGGCGTCCTGCTGCAGGAGCTCGCGCATTGCTGGGCTGTCTCCCTCTTCCAGGCACAGACCTCCTGCAGGTGGCGGCCCATGAGTTTGGCCACGTGCTCGGGCTGCAGCACACGACAGCTGCGAAGGCCCTGATGTCCCCCTTCTACACCTTCCGCTACCCGCTGAGCCTCAGCCCGGACGACCGCAGGGGCATCCAGCAGCTGTACGGCCGGCCTCGGCTAGCTCCCACGTCCAGGCCCCCGGATCTGGGCCCTGGCACCGGGGCGGACACCAACGAGATCGCGCCGGAGGTGAGGCCCTGCTCCCCCTCCCCACAGCTCCCTCTGCGGCTCCACCATGGGCTCCTCCTGACCCTTCGCTCTCACCCCAGCCGGACGCCCCACCGGACGCCTGCCAGGTGTCCTTTGACGCGACCGCCACCATCCGCGGCGAACTCTTCTTCTTCAAGGCAGGCTTTGTGTGGCGGCTGCGTGGGGGCCGGCTGCAGCCCGGCTACCCTGCGCTGGCCTCTCGCCACTGGCAGGGGCTGCCCAGCCCTGTGGACGCGGCCTTCGAGGATGCCCAGGGCCACATCTGGTTCTTCCAAGGTGAGTGGGCCAGGTCACACTTAGGAGACTGCTGGGAGCCAGGAACATCACAGCCAAGGGTAGGGACAGACAGACGGGATGAGCAGATGAACAGATGGAGGGGGCCCCAGAGTCTTGGGGCCCAGGGAAAGTGTGGCTCATGCCTTTGGGCACAGCTGGGAGCCTTCCTGGAGGAGGCGGTTGTCGAGGCTGGAGTAGGATGGAAGGTATTGCACCCCATGAAGCACATGTGATCCTGGCCCCTGGCCTAGAGACGAGGCTCCGGGGCTCAGAGGTGGTGAAGTGACCCGCGTGAGGACACAGCTTGGAGAAGGTCGGGAGGGATGTGAGCTCACTGTGCCAGAGATGGGATCCTGGAGCACGCCAGGGGCAGGGCCTGCTGCGTGAGGGCTGGCACCGGGGTGAGCAGCCAGGTGCAGGGAGGGAGCAGGCGCCCAGGTGGCCTCTTCGCTGCTCAGAACGACCTTTCCCACCTGTACCTCCCGGGGCTGCTGGCATTGCCCAGTGTCCTTGGGGGTAGGGGTGCGAAGCAGGCGTTATTACCGGCCTTTTGTGTTTTATGGACAAGGAAACTGAGGCTGGGAAGGTCCGAGGTGGTGTTGGTGGCGGAACGTGGCCGCTGGGCAGCCCTGTTGCAGCACACACACCCCAACCCCCTGTTTCTCCAACAGGAGCTCAGTACTGGGTGTATGATGGCGAGAAGCCGGTCCTGGGTCCCGCGCCCCTCTCTGAGCTGGGCCTGCGGGGATCCGCGGTCCACGCGGCCCTGGTGTGGGGCTCCGAGAAGAATAAGATCTACTTCTTCCGAGGCGGGGACTACTGGCGCTTCCAGCCCAGCGCCCGCCGCGTGGACAGCCCCGTGCCGCGCCGGGCCACTGACTGGCGAGGGGTGCCCTCGGAGATCGACGCGGCCTTCCAGGATGCTGAAGGTGTGTGGGGGGCTGGGCCTCTGCCCAGCCCGCTCCCACTCCGCCCTTCCTCCTGCCAAGGACCGTGCTGACCCCTGTGTGCCGCCTTTGTGGCCGTGGGCACCAGGCACAGCATGGAGACTGGGGCGCATGCCCAGGTCCCTCGGGGGTGGCTGGTGAAATCACCACCACCACGTGCTGAGGGCGTCAGAGGCTCCAGCCCCTGTCAGGCTGGGTGGTAGCTCAGACCAGACCCTGGGGGCAGGCGGAAGGGCTCACCCAAGGGTAGGAAGACCCTGGGGCTTCCCTGGTGGCTCAGATGGTAAAGTGTCTGCATGCAATGCGTGAGACCCGGGTTCGATCCCTGGGTCGGGAAGATCCCCTGGAGAAGGAAATGGCAATGCCCTCCAGTACTCTTGCCTGGAGAATTCCATGGACGGAGGAGCCTGGTATGCTACCGTCCATGGGGTCGCAAAGTCAGATACAACTGAGCGACTTCACTTTCTTAAGGGCCGCCTGAGGTCCTCGGTCTTCAAGGAACCCAGCAGTGGCCAAGGCCTGCGCCCACCCCTGTGTCCACTTACCAGGCCCTGACCCTCCTGTCTCCTCAGGCTTCGCCTACTTCCTGCGTGGCCGCCTCTACTGGAAGTTTGACCCTGTGAAGGTGAAAGCCCTGGAGGGCTTCCCCCGCCTCGTGGGCCCCGACTTCTTCAGCTGTACCGAGGCTGCCAACACTCTCCGCTGAGCACCTCCTGGCTGTCCTCAGGCCCCTGACACGTCCACACTGGAGGCCGTGGCCATGGCCGTGGCCGTGGGCACCAGGCAGGGCACGGGGCTGCGTCTGCTGGGGGGATGGGCGAGTGCTGCCACCAGGACTGCAGGGAGGGCCACGCGGGTCGTGGCCACTGCCAGCGACTGCCTGAGACTGGGCAGGGGGCTCTGGCATGGAGGCTGAGGGTGGTCTTGGGCCGGTCCACCCAGCCTGTGCAGGTCACATGGAACCCAGCTGCCCACGGTCTCCGTCCACACCCCTCAGGGTCGGGCCTCAGCAGGGTTGGGGGAGCTGGAACCCTCCCCGTCCTTGCTGTGGGGTCCCACAGGGGGCTGGCATGTGGGTGTCAGGGTCCTGCGCCTCCTGCCTCCCACAGGGGTTGCTCTGGGTAGGTGCTGCCTTCCAGCTTGGTGGTTCTGGAGACTTATTTCCCATGATCCAGGCCAAAAGGCCCAGTCAGCTGGTGGGGGTGCTTCCTGCCGGAGACCCTGCGCCCTGAGGGCCCCAGTATACCTCAGTCCTATCACGGGTCAGATCCTCCAAAGCCATGTAAATGTGTACAATGTGTATAAAGCTGTTTTGTTTTCCTTTCCTTTTCTTTTTTACTGACTGTCATTAAACACGGTCATTTTCTACCTGCCTGCCTGGGGTGTCTCTGTGAGTGCAAGGCCAGGATAGGGATGGAACTGGACCAGCGAGTTGGGAGGCTTGGCTGGGGACCCCGCTCAGTCCCCTGGTCCTCGGGGCTGGGTGTCACGTTTAGAGCTCCCCCTGCCCCATCTTGTCCTGCTTGAATGCCTACGGTGGCTTCACAGTCTGCTCCCCACTTCCCCAGCGGCCTCTCAGACCATCATCCAGCAAGTGCTGCTCACCTTTCCCGATCCTGCCACTGTCAGGACACAGAACCAAACTCAAGGTTACCTTGCCTGACTCCTCACTCTCTGGGATCTACTTGCCTGGCACCCTCAGAAAGCCAAGGATCCGCCTGCGATGCAGGAGTGAGTGAAGTTGCTCAGTCATGTCCGTCTCTTTTGCAACCCCATGGACTGTAGCCTACCAGGCTCCTCTGTCCATGGGATTTTTCAGGCAAGAGTACTGGAGTGGGTTGCCATTTCCTTCTCCAGGGGATCTTTCCAACTCAGGTCTCCCGCATAGCAGGCAGATTCTTTACCATCTGAGCCACCAGGCAATGCAGGAGACCTAGGTTCAGTCTCTGGGCGGGGAAGATCCCCTGGAGAAGGGAATGACAACCTGCTCCAGTATTCTTGCTTGGGTGGGCTACAGCCCACAGGGTGCAAAGAGACAGGACTGAGAACTCACACACACACACACAGAGTCCTACATGGATGCTCAGAGCGGCACCTCTCATAGCTGCCATGTGTCAGATGTTGGCATAGGCAGCCGTCAGCAGTGGGCCGTTTCTGACCTACTGCACTGTTCCACCGGATACACGGGTGCCTTCCTGTGTGTCGGGCAGGGCTGTCGGGAGGCACTGGGCACAGCAGCGGAAGCACCAGGCAAAGCAAACACCGGCTGGGCCTAGGAATCCTGCCAAGCCCAGTAGTCTGCCCATGCTTGCCCCATCCCCAGAGCCACAGGAACGGAGGGTGGGGGGTGGCCCGGAGCTGGGATACTGGTCCCTGGGCCCGCCCGTGTGCTCTGCCACACAGCGTTATCCGGGCGGGGAAACTGAGGCACGGGCGCCTGCGGCTTTCTCCCGGCCTTCCGGGCCTCGCCTCGTTCCTCCTCACCAGGGCAGCGTTCCAGCTCCGGCTGTGACACGGGGAAGGGCGTCGCCCGAGTCAGGGCCGCGGCTGCTATTTCTGCCCACGAGCGGCCTTCCCTGGTACCTCCACTTGGGAGGCGGCCTGGAAGGCCGAGAAACGGGCCGAGGCTCCTTTAAGGGGCCCGCGGGGGCGCGCCCGGCCCTTTTGTCCGGGAGGCGGCAGCGGCAGCGGCAACGCGCGCGTCAGCGTCAACGCCCGCGCCTGCGCACTGAGGGCGGCCTGCTTGTCTGTGGTGGCGGCGGCGGCGAAGCCCAGCGGCGGCGCGAGCGCCCCCGGCCCGGCCCGCCCTTCGTCTCCCGCGTCAGCTTCCCCAGGCTAGGAGCGTCCCCGGCCCCGTTTCGGCCCTCCCGATCCTCGCAGCCCGGCCGTGGCCGCCCGCCTCTGCCGCCGCAATGATGATGATGGCGCTGAGCAAGACCTTCGGGCAGAAGCCCGTCAAGTTCCAGCTGGAAGACGACGGCGAGTTCTACATGATCGGCTCTGAGGTAGCCCGCGGCGCGTCCTTGCCCTCCGGGCCTCTCGGCCGGCCCGGTTCCCGCGGGAGCCTCGGGGCGGGTCTGCGCGCCGGGAACGCGCGTCTCCATTCATCGCCGAGGGCCTGCGTGCGCGCGCGCGCGGGGGTGGGGCGTGGCCTGCTGGGGCGTGGTCGGGAAAGGCCCCGCCCCGGCCGTCTGGGCACGCCCACCAATGTCCCGGAGGGACGCGGCGGGTGGAGCGGGGGCGGGGCCTATCGCGGGCGTGGTCGAGCAGGCCCCGCCCCCGCGCCCGGCCGTCTGGGTACGCCCACCCGTGTCCCGGGGCGGGTGGGGGCACGCCGCGTGTCCAGGGCCCCGGGGGTCGCGGGGGCCCCGGGTCCGCTCTGAGTTCCACAGCTCCAGACGCACGTACAGAAACGGGGTATTGGGTTATCTCTTGCGGCACACGGGGCGAGGCGTCGGACCCCTCGCACTCTCCCTCCCTCCCTCACTGTCGCAGCTGAAACCCTGAAACCGCTGATTGGAAACACCGAGCTTAGTGGGGGCTCACCCGCTTGGTGTTCTTTAATTTTGGGGTGGGTGGGTGGGCGTTTTGATCTTCCATTATCAGTGAGAAGACAGATTGGGAGGACGATGATTTTGGATGGCTAGGGCCCAGCCAGCCCCGGGCTAGATCCATCCGCAAATGGGAGGCACATGGCACTTTGCTTATCTTGAACTAACTGAGTTAGTGCAAGGGAACGAGCCTAGAACCCCTTCATCCTTACCTAAAAGGTGACCTTTCAGCACTCCGTTAAATCAGCCGGGTGACTGACTCTCACTGGTAGTGTGCACCAAGTATTTTAAGTTCTTCCAGTATTCCTCAACCTTTGGCAGTCTCCAGTTTGTGCGTGTGTCTACACACACACACACATTTTTAAATTATGGATCCGCAGTTCAGATGTGCAAGTACTGAGCAGCAGTGCCTCCCTTCTGTAGCGAGGCGAGTGCGAGTCTCGGGAGTTAAAACTATTACAAACGCCAATGCTTGCTTCTAGCAGCAGTTTTCAGTATTATTCATTTCACTCTTTTTTTTTTCTTTTTCTTTTTCTTTTTTTTTTTTTTACAACTGTTCTTCCCTCTTCACGATTGAATACACTGCGAATGAATTAAGCCTCATGATGATCACACCTAACGAGGCTTTCGGGATTCCCTGTGACTCCCTGGGGCTTGTCTGACTTGTATTGAGTTATGAGACCTGTGTTGTCAGGAGCATCAGAACTTTCTGTGTTTCTTTTCCTACCACTTTTTATAAAACACAGGGGGCCAGATGCAATGTATTTTCACATCACCACAGAAACGCCGCTCCTCACAGCTGGCCGTACTGAGAGGCGCCACTGCCTGCCACGTGCCGTAGCTCAGAAAGGGCTTCGCCAGTCTGTGGGCACAGAGGCGGCATGTGGTGACCGGCAGGTTGATTAAAGAAACCTTCACCCAATCTAATGGGCAGAAAGGGCAGTGGGTTTAGCGTTGACTCTGAGTCGGTTGCACTTTTGAAAATCAAGCTTGCATTTATTGGGTGGAACCCGGTGCCAGGTGGGCAGAACGTGAGGAGGCCTGGCTCCAGTTTGGCATCCACGGCACGTCTCAGGTATCTAATGAGATGCTTAGGCTAGACAGTTTCTGCGACTTGCCCTGTAGCACATCTTAGATTCGAGGAAGATAACTGCAGTCTTCTGTTTCAGCCCTGGTGAGTGAGAAGACTTGTCCCGAGATGCAGTTTATAGAGACCAGACGGCAGGAGGGAGAGGCAGTTGCCATCTGGGGCCGGACTTTACAATATTCAGACCTCAGGAGGCCTGGGCAGGGTACAGGGCTAGAGTGGCGTCTACTCGCAGCCAGCAGCTCCTCTGACAGCAGCGGTGCTTGGCCCCCAGGCCGGTTGCCCTGGGCAAACAGCAGGCCCTGGTTTCCAAGAGGTGCGCCAGGCAGAGCAGTGCCCGCAGTGCCCCACACCTGTCGGGGGTAGCCGCCTTGGGAGGGCGTCCACAGCTGCCGCAGTCCTGCCTCCCCACGGGCAGCCGTCATCACCACGCAGAGGCACAGCTGAGAGGAGCCGGGAGCCTCCATATCCACACCCTTGTTTTCCATTTGGGAAAGCCGGGTTAAGAGGGGGCAAAGGCTGGTGCAGGGAAAACCCAGGGGGGTAGACCGAGTCTCCTAAGTTCCGAAGGGACCTCGGGAAGGGCCTAGGAGGCTGGGAGGCCTGCAGGACCTGCACGGTGGTAGTGGGGGCATTAGGGTCAGTGTCTTGTCAAAAACCTACTGGAAACGCTTGTGTTTACCCCCGGATGGTAACCATGCTCAAGCCAGATCACTCACAAGGGCCTGTGCCTGCGGTGGGGAGCAGGAGGGACCCTGTGGCCCCCTTCTCTCACGCCATTCAGCAGCCCTGGTTGTATAAATCTCTAAACTCATGAAAAATGGAGAAACTGTAAAAAGGAAAAATACTATAATGGGGTAGGTACGTGGGAAAATAGCAGAAGTGGGCCCTTCGTGGTGTGAACGTCACAGTTGATGAACATTTGACAGGAGTAGGGAGACAAAGAGAGGGAAGTGTTGCGCAGTCGCAGAAGGAGCCAGCACCCAGTCCAGCGACTGTCCCCTGCCACGTGATCGAGTGGTTGTTGCTGAAAAGTCAGTGAAGCAGTGGAGTTTCTTTGTAAAAACGTTAGGACTAGATCTGTTGTCGTCAAATAAGCTGTACTTTTGAGTGTATGGCACAGGCAGACTGTTGTTTGGGGTAGTGATGGTGTCTACAGCGATCTAGTGATTGCTGACAACCGCTTTTGAAACTCTTTGGAAAATTCCTTTGGTATTTCTGGTTTGAATTTTGTTACTAAACAAAGCAGCAAGGGCCACGGGGGGAAATTATCCTGCATCTGTCTAAAATTAAAAGCCCTTGTTGGCCTTTACTACATCGTAAAAATATCAAAGTCTTAAGATAAAAGGAAGAGAGGCCTTACATTTCTGGACTGCGCCAGAGATGCTTAGTGCAAAGTCAGAGCTTCTCGGGGAGCTCTGGGGGCCGTGTCTCACCAGAGTCTGCTTGGCCCTTCCTGAACTTGGCGCTGTCGTCCGGAGGCAAAGCTTACCCCTGTCAGCGGGCCAGACCTTCGCTGCTGCGGAACCCCTGATGTCAGCAGAACGGGCTTTGGCTGCTCCTCAGAGCCCAGCGCAGGGCTGCGCGTGGTCTATGTGTCACTGAGGCAGCAGAGCCTCGGCGCCAGGGCCCTGCCCTGCCCCGAGGAGCCCTGGCCCTCTTAACGAGCCTTCTTGCTTTACCCCTAGGTGGGAAACTACCTCCGTATGTTCCGAGGTTCTCTGTACAAGAGATACCCCTCGCTCTGGAGGCGACTAGCCACTGTGGAAGAGAGGAAGAAAATAGTTGCGTCGTCACATGGTAAAAAAACAAAACCTAACACCAAGGGTGCGTCTTCACGAGGGTTTGTAAACCTGTTTCAGAACCACTGCTTATGTCCTGGAGAGAAAACGCTTTCACCCAGCGCGTCTTCACGCAGCCCTGACCTCAGCGTGGCCCAGTGTCCCGGGAGGGGGCGGGAGGTCCTCGCTCAGGGTGCTCGGGGTTAGGGGATGCCCGGCGGGGAGCGGGCGTGGTGAAGACACGCCGGTCTGAAAACGTTTCAGGATTGCTGTGATGCTGTGCCATCTGCGGGCGTGCGCCATCCTCACCCTCCATGCGCCCGGGCGGTGGGGCGGCCCCGGCCCCGGCCCCGGCCCCGTCCCCCTCCGGGCTTTCACCGCTTCGCTCCCCGTCCCCCCGTCCCCCCCCCCAATCCATCGCGTGGCACCTGATCTGGCAGCCGGTCCGCTAGCAGTCGCTCGTGTGCATGTTTGCTCCGTGCTGTGTGCGCCTGGGGCCACGGGACACCACCTCCGGGCCCGGGCACCAAGGTGCCCTGGTGGAACCGGCCCGCGCCGTGTGCCGTGTGTGTGTGTGTGTGTGCGCGCGCGCGCATGCTCTTGTGCGCACACGTGGCTGTGTGTGTGCGCGCGCGCGCGCGCGCGCGCTCGGCAGTCCTCCAGTGTGGGTGTGTCTGTGGCGCTGCCGTGGTCTGTCCACCACGTTCTTTTAACGCAGGAGCCGGAGCCTCTTGTCCACGCACTGCTGTGACCTTTCAGCCCCTCCCTGGCCCTCCTGCGCCAGGTGCAGCGCTGGTCACTAACCCTGCGCCCCCAGCTGCACTTGCCCCTGGCGAGCCTTGGCGATCCCAGGCCTCCCGCTCACTGGGGAGCCGCCTTCCCCTAACCCTCCTGCGCCACCCGGCTCCCTAGGCAAGCTGTGGTCGGCCTGCCAAGAACTTGAGCTCCCAGGGCCACTGACACCAGGGCTAGGAGTTCCTGTCTCGTGTGCCGCAGCTCTTTCCAGCTCCCTGGGCTCTTGTTTTAAAAGAAAAGTCTTTCTCATCCCTCATCCCATCTCCACCTCGCTTTGTGTCGTGGACTGTAGCGGTGTCAGACCTCTTCCTGCCGGCCGGCTGACTCTGGAGCCCTCCTGTCCCCAGAGGCCCTGTGGCTGAAGCCCATGCAGGCGGCCCAGCAGGGCCTCTGGAGAAAGCCAGGGTCCAGACCGCCCCTTTGGAAGAGGCCAGCATCGGGCAGTCGTGAGGTCCACAGCCGCTTCCCCCACCTCCTGCATGTGAGGACCTTGGTGTGCTGCATCTCCTGGCTGCTCCTGCCCACCGCCCGCCCATGGGCTGACCGCAGCCCCGTCTCTGGTTGCAGATCATGGATACACAACCCTGGCCACCAGCGTGACCCTGCTGAAAGCCTCCGAGGTGGAGGAGATCCTGGATGGCAACGATGAGAAGTACAAGGCCGTGTCCATCAGCACCGAGCCCCCCACCTACCTCAGGTACCCCGCCGGCCCCCACTGTGCTCACAGGCCGCTTCGCCAGGTTTCCAAGTGTCTGTCTTTGGAATTTCTAAGAAATGTAAGCCAAGCCCTGGGTTCTGGAGAGTTGTTAAGAATGCTTTGAAAGGCAGAACAGTGGCCTAGGTCCACTCCCAAAAGAAACACACAACAGTTTTGAACATAGAAACTCAGGTCCTTTGAAAGCACGTTTACGTTCCCAGTTAAACAGGCAAAGGTCATGGGAACGTTGTTGCTTATGGGTAGTGTTCATTCATTCAGACTTATCAGCAAAACTTGGACACGCTAATGGATAAGTAGATAAAGGGTGTGGAGTAGACACACAGGGAATGGTGAGTGTCCTTGGGCATCATTTCTAAAATGCAGAGTAAAAATAGACATAGCTGGCAGCATAAAGAAGCAGGGAGGGAGCTCGCTCACTCGGCCACTCTGCACCGTGGCTGCTCTGCGCCAGGCGCTGTGGTGGCCTCAGCCTCCTTTGGATCTCTGGCCCGTTTGTCTCAGCCCCAGTGAAGTACTTTACACCGTCAACAAGGGCCGTCTTGAACTTCCAGGTTTTCTCCCAACTGCACCTTGGGATTGTTTTTCTAACCGCCCGCCCCACCCCGCAACCCCCTGAAGAAGGTGGTGTGCTCATGGCCTAGCCCGTTGTAGACGTGAGCGCTGCAGATCACTTTTCTCGCCCCGGTGGTGTGATGAGGATGGAGGGTTAGCTGGGCTTCCCTGGAGTAGTCGCCGGAGACGATTACGTGCACGTGGATGGGGCTTTGAGATCCGCACATGCCAGCCGGGAACCTTGTGTGGGCAGTGAACACTCCTGGTGGAGTCCATCACTCGAGGGAGAGAGCTCGGCCAGTAGCCTCCTGTTACTGGGCAGTGAGAAGTGCTGGGCGGTGGTGGGGCTGCAGGAAAGCCCCCGGTGGGCCCCACTGTAAGGAGGCGCCTGCCCAGCACCCAGCCAGCCCCGCACAAAGGGTGGCACACCCCCTCCCCAACACCAGCCAGGTCGGGCAGGGGCTCTTGGACAGACCTCTCTGCAGCAGAAGGGAGGCTGCGTGGTGGGACTCGGATGCCCGGACCCCGTGTGGCACTGTGTCCTACTCGCATGCTGCGACATGACTTGCGTTGTCCACTCGAGGCCATCAGGCAGGAGGCGTCAGCCGGGCAGCCTCGGCCCGGATACGAGAGGCTGCTGCGAGGGGGGGTGGGGGGTGGCTGGCCTGGGGGGCCTGGGTGACCACTCCGGCCAGGGACTCAGTCGGGAAAGGCATGGTGGTCCATGCCCGTGCTGCGCACACAGGCCCAGCGCGCCCGTTTCACCCGTGGGAGTTACAGAGGGTCCAGCCTCGCGGGTCCTACCCGGAGATGGCAGGCGCCTGGCCTGAGTGGGGCCTGGATAGAAACCGCCAGCCAGGTGGCCCGTGGTGGGGACCCCGTCTCGGCACCTCAGCTCTTGGTCCTGCCCGTGTTAGCCCTGGTCCCTGATTCCCCAGGTCTCTGGTGTCAGGGCAGGAGATTCGGGGGGGGTCCTGGCCCCCCTTGGTGTGTGGATCTCCCTCCCTGCCCCACCCCAAGGGGCGCTCCTGGGCCCGGGCGTGGGGTGTGGGGCCTCGACCTGGGGTGTGAGGGGCCCCAGCTGCAGAAGAGGAGTGAAAAGGCCACCACCTCTCCCTCCGCCCCCCCCATCCTGGAAGGGCACTATCTTAGCGGGAAGCCGGGCGGACGTCACCGATGGTGACTCGTGGTGGGCCGGGGCTGCAGAGGTGAGTGGTGCAGTCACTGTGCTGATTGCTCCCTGGGTCACCGGGGATGCGGCCCAGGGTGATGAGCCGTCTCGCAGATGGGCAGCCCGGCCCGGGAGCCTCAGCTCAGAACAGCCTTTGGTATTTTCCTCCTAGCAAATGCCCCTTGTAAACTGGAGAGAAGAGCTCCCCCTGTGGGACGCAAGTTCTTTGAGTTACTTTGAGTCCCGCCTTCTAGAGTATCTCCCCATCCCTGAATCCCGGAGGCCAGAGGCGCTACCCAGCCTTTCTCAGGCTGGACTGAGCATCTGAAATACAGCCTGATCGAGAGTATGCCTGCCACAAACCCCCAGGGACTCCCAGCCTCCTGCCGAGTGCAGGACCCCCGCCTCCCCCCAGAGTCGGGACCCTCTCTGTGTCTCCAGCCCTGGTCCCCTGCCCAAACGTTGACCCGGGCCTCCTCCCTGCCGCCCTCGGCACTCTTCTGGAAATCTGCCCTCCACCCCCACCCCCCATGAACCCTGACTCTCTTTACTGAGTGCCCAGCCCAGCCCAGCACGTAGCACGGGGTGACAGCTCACAGACTGGGCCGGGGCCCGTGCCCTCTCCTCCTCCCCTAACCCTGGTGACCCTGAGCGGGTGCTGCTGGGAGCCTGGGGAATAGCCCCCCGCGGAGCTGGGTGCACAGAGGTCCTGCGGGGGGCTGGGCCCAGCAGGGGCACAGCAGGCATCCACTGGCCACGACCTGGCGGCTGGGGGGCGGCTTTTGGCCCATAGGCTGAGCGGAGCGGTGTCCGTGTCTCCCAGGGAACAGAAGGCCAAGAGGAACAGCCAGTGGGTGCCCACCCTGCCCAACAGCTCGCACCACCTGGACGCCGTGCCCTGCTCCACCACCATCAACAGGAACCGCATGGGCCGTGACAAGAAGAGGACCTTCCCGCTCTGGTGAGGGGCCTCGACCACGAGGCCCTCCCGCACACGGGTTGTTCCCATTGTTTGCCTGTTATCGGCGCCCCTGGGTTCTTGGACAGCGATGATCACTCCTGGGTCTAAGGGGGCGCACTTGGTTTCCTTGCCCCCCGCCACCCCCGTCTCGTCCCTCTTCCCCATCCTAAAGGGCAGGCGCGAGTGCGGAGCCGCCTGGCCCTCCGTCCTCTGGGGCTCCCTCGGGGTCCAGGCTGCAGGTGGAGAGCCCTGGGCGCTTGACCACCGAGGCTCCCCAGCGTCCCCCCTGCCCCCCTGACCCGGTCAGCACCCCTCCTTCACTGCTCTGCCAGCGGCTCCTCAACCCTCCTGTCCCTTGGCGTTTGTTCCAGGGTTTCCTCTTCTGGACATACCCTTTCTTCCCCAAAGCTGCTGGGAGAATCCTGCCTGCTCTGGGGCTTAAACCTCTCTTCCTGCAGGGAATGTCTGAGCTTGTCCCACTGCCCAAGTCAGCACCTCCATTCCTGCCCCGTGTGGACCCCCGCCGGCCCTGTCTGCTGGCTCAGCCCGTAGTGGACGGGTCCTCTCTGGGCAGCTCTCAGTGACCATTGGTGCAGAGAGGGAGGCCCTGGGCACAGGGACCCAGCCCACATTGCTGAGCACGCGGCCACTTCCCTTCCAGCTTCGACGACCACGACCCAGCCGTGATCCACGAGAACGCGTCCCAGCCCGAGGTGCTGGTCCCCATCCGACTGGACATGGAGATTGACGGGCAGAAGCTGCGGGACGCCTTCACCTGGAACATGAATGGTCCGTCCACTGCCCTGGCTGGCGTGCACCCAGCCCTGTCTGCGTGGCGTCGGGGGGTCCTGTCGTCACCCAGGGGGTTGGCAGAGGAGGCCAGGGCTGAGTGTGCTGACTGTAGGCCTTGCAATCGACCAGCAGTTCCCTCCTCCATCTTCGTTTCAGAGAAGCTGATGACCCCGGAGATGTTCTCAGAGATTCTCTGTGATGACCTGGATCTGAACCCTCTGACGTTCGTGCCGGCGATCGCCTCCGCCATCAGACAGCAGATCGAGTCCTACCCCACGGACAGCATCCTGGAAGACCAGTCAGACCAGCGCGTCATCATCAAGGTAGGCAACTGCTTGCCCGCAGCTGGCCTGCCTTGTCCTCAGGCTTGCAAGGTGCAGGAGTGCGTGGAGGCCTCGACAGGAGCCTCTCTGGGGTCCGTGTTGTGGGGCAGGGCTCTGGAAAGCTGTCTCTCGGGCAGCTTATCCCAGGAAGGGCACGGGCTGACTTTGAGGAGGGCATCACATTCTGGGCATGTCTGGGTCCTGCTGCAGCCTTGCCAGGTATGGAGCAGAAGCTCGGTGGTACCACGGGTGACCCAGCTAACGAGCAGAGCAAGGAAGGGCACAGTGAGGTGGGCACACTGCCACTCTTGCCATGGCCAGGCTGGGCCAAGCACATCCATGCTGTCTCAGCAACCCCCACAGTCCTGGGGGAAGTTATGAGAAGAGGGGTCCACCTGCCCCGAGCCCCCCTCAAGAAGGCCTGCCTGGTGGTGAACAGTATCTCACTGTGAGTTTGATTTGCATTTCCCTGTTGATATGTTATTGTTCAGTCGCCCAGTCCAACTATTTGGGACGCATGGACTGTAGCACGCCAGGCCTCCCTGTCCATCACCAACTGGAGTTTGCCCAAACTCATGTCCATTGAGTCAGTGATGCCATCCAACCATCTCATCCTCTGTCATCCCCTTCTCCTCCTGCCCCCAATCCCTCCCAGCATCAGGGTCTTTTCCGATGATTCAGTTCTTCACATCAGGTGGCCAAAGTATTGGAGCTTCAGCTTCAGCATCAGTCCTTCCAATGAATATTCAGGACTGATCTCCTTTCGGATCGACTGGTTGGATCTTGCAGTCCAAGGGACTCTCAAGAGCCTTCTCCAACACCACAGTTCAAAAGCATCAATTTTTTGGTGCTCAGTTTTTTTTATGGTCCAACTCTCACATCTATACAGGACTACTGGAAGAACCATAGCTTTGGATATGGACCTTTGTGGGCCTTTCCTGGCTGATTAGTGACCCAGTTGGCCATTTGCTTGTCTTCTGTGTCTGCTGAAGTCCTTCCCTTTTTTGAGTCAGGGTTTTGTTGTTTTCTTGTTTTCTCAGTTCCCTGTATCTTACAGATAGTGATCTGTTTTCAGATAGTGTGATTTGCAGAGGTTTTCTTCCTTTCCATGGGTTGCCTTTTTATGTTGTTGATAGTGTCCTTTGATGCATAGAAGTTTTTTATTTTGGTGAGGTCCAGTTTGTTTTTTCTCTTATTGCCTATGCCTTTGACGTCATATCTGAGAAATCACTGCCAAATCCAAAGTCATAAAGCTTTACTCTGTGTTTTTCTGAGAGTTTTATAGATTGAACTCTTGCATTTATATGTTCTATTTTGAGTTAATTTCTGTATATGGGGTTAGGTAAGTGTCCCACTTCATTCTTTTGCATGTGTATGTTCTTTTTTCCCAAAACCATTGGTTGCAAAAACTGTCCTTCATTGAATGATCTTGGCATCTTTGTTGAAAATCATTTGACCACTTATTTGAGAGTTTATTTCTGGGCTGTCCCATTGGTCCGTGTCTCTGTTTTTATGTTAGTCCCACAGTGTTTTCATTACTGTATCTTTGCAGTAAGTTTTGAAATCAGGAAGTGTGAGTCTTCTGGCTTTGTCGTTCTTTTCGTCATTGTTTTGAGCAGATATCCTTTGCTTTTCCTTAGATTCCATATGAATTTTAAGATTTTTTTTTCTATTTCTGCAGAAATACTGTTGGGATTTTGATAGGGATTACATTGGCTTTGTAGATTGCTTTGGACAGAGGAACCTTGTAGGCTACAGTCCACAGGTTGCAAAGAGTTGGACGTGACTGAGCAACTAAACTTTGTCTTTCTTTCTTTCTTTCTTTCTTTCTTTCTTTCTTTCTTTCTTGGGTATTCATGACAGCTTAACAATTTTAAGTCTTCCAATCCATGGACATGGGATGTTTTCCCATTTATTTATATCTTTAATTTCTTTCAGCGTGTTTTATATTGTTCATTGTACAAGTCTTTCATCTCCTTGGTTAAGTTAATTTCTAAGTATTTTATTCTTTTTGATGTTATTGTAATTTCGTCATACTTTCATTTTCAGATTGTTCAGTGTTAGCATATAGAAATGCAGCTGATTTTTGCATATTGACTTTGTATCTTGCTACCTTGCTGAATTCATTTATTCTAATAGTATTTTGTTAGCATCTTAAATTCTGCATATAAGAGCATAGCATCTGGGAACAGAGATAGTTTTACTTCTTCCTTTCCAGGTGGATACCTTTTGTTTATTTTTCTTGCCTAATTGCACTGAGTAGAAATCCCAACGCTATATTGAATAAAAGTGGCAAGAGTGGGTATCTTCGGCTAGTTCCTGATCTTAGAGGAAAAGTTACCAGTCTTCTACCATTGTGGGTGATACTTACAGTGATTTTTGTGACTGAATTAATCTTGTTGATGTAGTTTCCATCTGTTCTTAGTTTACTGAGTGCTTTTATCATGAAAGCATGTTGAATTTTGTCTAATGCTTTTTTCTGCGTTTATTGAGATGACTGTGTGGTTTTTGTCCTTCATTCTGTTCAAGTGGTTTATTGCATCGATCAGTTTTCTTACTGAGCCATCCTTGCATTCTCAGAGTAAGTCCTACCTTTTATAATTTATTTGTGTCATCATCACATCATTCACAATGGTGTATAATTATTCTGATGTGCTGGTGAATGTAGTTTTGCTAGTGTCTGTTGAGGTTTCATATCAATGTTCATAATAAGTGTTGGTCTATACCTTTCCTTTCTTGTAATGTCTTTATCTGGCTTTGGTATCAAGGCACTGAGTTATGAAATGTTCCTTCCTTTTCGGTTTTTTGGCAGGATTTGATGAGGATTGGTGTTAACTCTTGAGATGTTTGGTAGAATTCACCAGTAAAGCCATCAGATCCAAGCTTTCTGTGTAGAGAGTTATCCTATTACTGACACATCTTCCTCGGTAGTTAATCCCTTTTCAGAGAAATATTTTCCTTGCCCCAACTAGCAGCACCGGGGCACGGCCGTGAACAAAAGGGGGGATATTCTGGAGAGAAGGGGCGGTGTGGGTGTGACCTGGCCCCGGAGGGGAGCCGCTCCAGCTCGTGTCTGCGCTCCTGGGCCAGCTGAACATCCACGTGGGGAACATCTCCCTGGTGGACCAATTCGAGTGGGACATGTCGGAGAAGGAGAACTCGCCCGAGAAGTTTGCTCTGAAGCTGTGCTCCGAGCTGGGGCTGGGCGGGGAGTTCGTCACCACCATCGCCTACAGCATCCGGGGACAGCTGAGCTGGCATCAGAAGACCTACGCCTTCAGGTAGGGGCTGGGACGGGTGGCCACCCCCCGCTCCCCTGCGCGGGGATGCCTTCGCGACTTCCTGGGGCCTCGGTGCCAGCTGACCGAGGGCCACCCCGTGCGCTTGGTGGCCTGTGTCACCTCCTCCTGTCCCCTGTCCCACTGGGGACATTACTGAGACCCGTGCTGGTCCGCTGGACTCTGCTCAGACAGGCCTGCCCACCCCCGCCCAGGGCGGGCCAGACGCTGCTGCCGCCTCTTGTTCAGTCCTCGAGCGGGCAGCAGGCGCCCCCGTGGGAGAGGAGGTGGCGTTCAGGCGCCCACAGAGCAGGGAGGGGGTCTGGTCCCGGGTCCCAGGCAGGCTCCTCGCGACCCCGGCGTGCCTTCCAGCTGCCGGTGGCTGGACCCGGCAGAGCTTGCCCGGGGCAGCCCCATCCCCCAGGGCCCACCTGCGGGAGGTGTCCAAACCAGATGTTAGGCTTTATGCAGCTGCTCAAGCTGTCACCGTCCCCATGTGGAGGCCATTACCGAGGGACCACCCCTGACGGGGAACAGCTGAGGGAGCACGTGGGGCTGTTTGTGTCTCAGCTGCTTCTCCAGAAACCCCCGGAGGCAGTGCCCGCTGTGTTCCTGGGACTCTGAGCAAGAGAGGGAACGGCCGCCACACGGGGCCCCCTACAGCTGCCGGCAGCCCCGCTGCCCCGGGGTCCCAGTCCACAGATAGAGGCCGGGCCACGCCCCGAGTCCTGGGGGAGGCCTGCTCACGGCGCCTGTCCACCCACGGCTCAAGAGCTGAGGCCAGCGGGCCTGGGGCCAGCCTGGGGGGCCTCACTCCCCAGAGCAGACCCCGAGGTCCTGGGAGTGACGTTGACACCAAGTGCCTCATCCCCGGAGGCCGACTCAGAACGCGCCTCTCACTGCGGTGCAGCAGGGGACTCAGAGCGGGGCTGGGCCGAGTCCTCCTGCTCTGATGTTCAGGGGCCTGGAGATTTTCTACCCAGATGGCGCTGCTGGTAAAGAACCCACCTGCCAGTGCAGGAGAGACATGGGTTCCATCCCTGGGTTGGGAAGATCCCCTGGAGGAGGGCATGGCACCCCACTCCAGTACTCCTGCCTGGAGAATCCCATGGACAGAGGGGCCTGGCGGGCTGCAGTCCATGGGCTCGCAAAGAGCTGGACACGACTGAGTGACTAACACTCACTTTTCAAGAGTTCGTTATACATTCCAGATACAGGTCTCTTACCACATACCTGAAAATACAAGGCATATATCTTCTCCCTTTTTGTGGGTTTGTAGTTCACATTCATGACAGTATCTTCTCAGGCAAAAAGTTTTTAATTTTGACGATGTCCAGTTTATCTGTTTTTGCCTCGGGTTGCTTGTGCTGTTGATGTCATAGCTGAGAAACCGTGGCCTGCCGGGTCCTGTCCCGGCACCGCTTGTTGGAAGGACCGCCCTTTCCCCATCGAGTGGGCTGGGCCCCTTGTCCAGAGTCAGCTGATCTCATGCAGGAGGGTGACACCGAGTTTTGTCCCCTCTTCCCGGTTGCGGAGGTGTGGGGGTGGTTGCTCCCTGCAGTCTTGTTCTCATCTACCAGGTGGGCACAGCCGTGCCTCCCAGCTGGCCTGCTGCACCTGTGAGGTTGTAAAACTGAGGTCATGTCGAAGATGACCCTCCAGGCCCTCTGCCTCCTCCGACACGGCCTCCCTGCTTGCACCTGGCAGGTGGTGGGAATGCAGGGTCCCAGGCGGCCTTGAGGCCCAGGAAGCTGAACGCCCGGGAGGGTGGGCGGCTGTCTGCCCACCTGTCCCTACGCTGTGGGCTCCTGGCTCCAGGTCCCTCCTTCCAGGCCTGGCCTGAGCAGCCCTTGGTTTGGCATAAACCCCCCGGGACAGAATCTTCCCAGAGCCAGAGGGAGGCAACACGGGGCCTCCGGGACCCACACTTGTTTACGTTAAGAGGAAGACGTGTTTGCTCCTGTCAGCACGGGCTTGGTGGCTTTCGTGTCTGCCGCCCCCAAGGAAGGCAGCTGGGAGCCCGCCACGTGAGGAGTGACGTTTGGGTCTGCGCTGCTGGCTTCTGAACTGCCGCAGAGCCGCCCGGCTGGGGAGCAGCTGTCGGCAGGGGTGGCCGGGGCAGCCCAGCCACTGGCCTGGGACTTGGGCGCCGGCTCGGGCCCCAGCCCTCGCGCAGTGGGTGTGTGTTGGATGTTTAGTGGTAGTGGTCCTCTGAAACCCCTCGCAGCAAGGACACTGTCCCCATTTTCCAGGTAAGGAGTTAAAACTAAGGCCGGGGGCCTCTGTTTTCCTGTGCTGTTCCCCCAGCACCCCCGCCCTCCCTGCTCCGGGGCTGACTCCGCGGGGCTCCCAGCATGCCAACTCTTGGGGCCGAGCCTCGAGGACCGGGCACCAGTTGCCCAGCGGGAGGCCAGAGGAGAGGGCCCAGAGGCCAGCATGGGCAGGGCGGGGGAGGGCGCAGCGGAGGCTCGCTGGGTGGGCTTGACCTGGCTCTCCTGGCAGAGGCAGTGGCTTGGCCAGGCATCCCCAGCCTTTGCGGCCTCGCCGAGGCTGACCGCCCCCGGCCCTGAGTCCACTTTGCCAGACGGTGTGCGGGTGGCCCTTGGGAGGCATCTGGGCGCATCTTTGAGGGGCCCCAGGGTGGAGCGGTCAGGGCTTATGGGTTCTGGGCCCCTGTGACATGGGCCGAGGGGCTCCCTGTGGGCTGCTCAGGGCAGGGGCCCTGGGACTCCACTCCTGGGTGGATGAACTTTGCTCTCATTCCTTCTGGACGCTGAGCGGGGCAAATGGCCCTTCTCCTCCCCACAGGTCCACTGGGAATGGCTGGGCCCGCAGCACTGTCCTGTGGACCCCTCCCCACATGCAGACCCGGAGATGCCGTGTTGGCAGCATGCCCTGTGTCGGGAGCTGGGCACAGAAACCAGACTCCACGTCCTGTCTGCCCGCGGCGGGGGTGGACACTGCTTTCTGGGGCCTCTCCTGCAGCCGCTCTGTGAACCGTCTCACCCTCCTGTCTTCTACAGTGAGAACCCCCTGCCCACGGTGGAGATCGCCATCCGGAACACGGGCGACGCAGATCAGTGGTGCCCGCTGCTGGAGACCCTGACGGACGCAGAGATGGAGAAGAAGATCCGGGACCAGGACCGGAACACAAGGTGCCGTCCCAGCCCCCTTCCAGGCAGGATAGGGCCCTGGGCAAGCGGTCCCAGGCGAGCCCTCGGGCAGGTCTGACCACAGCCCAGACCAGGCTCACCCCCCCTGGGGAGACGGGTGGGACAGAGGGCGGCGTCCAGGCCCCAAGCAGCAGAGCGACTGAGGGAGGGGCTGGGGGCTGCTGCCCCCTCGCTCGGGTGCCTGAGACCCGGGGGTCGCCGCCCTCCCCCCCCCGCAGGCGGATGAGGCGTCTGGCCAACACGGCCCCAGCCTGGTGACCACCCCGCAGTGCTTGGCTCCCAGGGAGCGTCTGGAGATTGGCCCGCCTCTCCTCCATCTTCTGGTTTGGAGGGGACCAGGCGGGGGCAGCCTGGCCATCCTAAGGAGCAGGCCAGGGGCCTCCTGATCCCCCACCGCCCAGGGACACACTCCGGCTGCTGAGCCCCAGTCCCCACCGCCCGTCTCTGGTCAGGAGAGGCCATGTTGAGCTGTGTTTGTTTTTTGTATAGAAGCCCCAGGCAGGGCAAGCAACACTTTCTAAATAAAAAGGCAACAGGTTCTGTTTTGTTTCTTCTAAGTGGTGGCCCGGAGCTGAGAACGGGGCAGCATGGCACGGGCTGGCCCCTCACCCTCCTGCGCACACGTCCCAGCTGGGCCTCGGCAGGGCCCGGGCGCCCTGGACCACACCACCCCCCGCAACCATGAGCAGGACCAGGGCTCACTCAGCCCTGCGGGCCGCCCCTCCCGCCCCCACCTGCCCAGCTCAGCGAGCCCTTGGAGTCCCGGGCTGGTGGGAGGTGGCGGGCTGCAGAGGGCGGGGCCGCCTGTCAGTCCCGGCCCGCCCCCAGCCAGGAGCATGGGCTTCTTGCCCAGGGTGGCACCTGGGGGCTTCCTCCTGGGACCAGGCCCGGCAGGTGACCCAGGCCCAGTTGCATGAAGCCCGTGAGCCCAGGCCCTGCACCTTCTGCTGCTGGCAGGGCTGAGGGTCAGGACTGCTCTGCTCCCGCCAACGGTGGGGGCCTCACACCAGGGGGGCAGAGCTCTAAGGGTTTCCGGTTGCCGGGTGGGCTGAGATGGGCCTTGCCTCTGGGCTCGGGGGTCTTGCGAGCACATCCTAGGAACTCGTACTCCAGCCACTGCCCTCCATCCAGGGCAAGGGGACAGCGGGGTTTCCCCCGAAGGCCCTGAACAAAGAAGATGGGTCCAGGCCCAGTTGGCCTCGCGAACAGTGGGCTCCACCACGAGCGGGGGCGCAGGGGGGGGATGTTCTGGCCACAGCAGGAGGTGGCCTGAGCCAGAGAACCAGTGGGGGATGATGCTGCCTGCCTCCCCTGCTGGCCAGGCGCCACCTGCCTGGCAGAGGCCCGGGAGGGGCCTTCACCTGCCAGCTGCCCGCCAACCCATCGCGGAGCCCACAGCTGGGCCAGAGGTTTCACAACAACATTAAGGTCAGACTCCACAGCGGGTACTTTTATCATGTGTGAACGTGACAGCCGGCGGTGGCTGGTGCTGCTTCCGACCCAGGAATAAACCACCGTGTGGACTGGTCCTCTGATGCCCATGAGCCAGGGGCCAGGTGAGGCTCCCGTGGGCCTCCGCTGCAAATGGCAGGGGCGTAGCTTCCCAGAGGCCTCTGCCTCAGCCACTGGACTCTGCAAACGTGACACTTGAGGCTTCAGGGTCACAGAAAGGGCTGGCCCTCTTCTGCACCTGGCCCATCCTTCAGCAGCCTGGCTGGGAAATGAGGTAGAGGTCCCCTTGGGGGTTGCTAGTTTGGGACAGGAGGGCCCTAAGGAGGCGTCAGTGGAGGGCCCCCATGACCCAGCATCCCAGTCCCAGCCCCGCCCCCGAGATTGACACCGCCCCCCCATCACTGGAAGCTGAATTAAGGCAGACAGTGTGAGGATGAGAACCCCAGCAGGGCTGCCCTCTGAGCTCAGAGCTGTGCTGGTCACTGGGCAGGTTCTGGACCCTCTCTGGGCCTCCGGCCGTGTGCCACCTGTGCTGGGTCGGAGAGCAGGTCAGGCTTGGCCTTGGCTCTCGGCCAGCAGCACCCGCCCCGCATGGAGAGGCTGGCCGCAGCAGGAGAGCCAGTGCTGTGGGCGACAGGCTGCAGGTCACTTGTTTATTCAGGGCGGGAGCCCTAGGCCCGGGCCTGGCCTCCAGGACAGGGAGCTGAGTTGCAGGCCAGGGTTGGGGTGGGGGTGGACCCGGCCCTGGGTGAGGTCGTCCTCACTGCTGCAGGGGTCCTGGCTGCTCCTCGGGGAGGGGCCGGTAATTGGGGTCCTCCTCTGGGGCATCCAGTAGCAGCTTCCTGTGGGGAGGGGCCCATGCTGAGCTGCAGCCAGTAGGGTACCCCCAACGGGGTGGAGAGCCATCTGGGGAGGGGGGTGGGGAAGGCTCACAGGAAGCCCCCTGTGACCCCCACTCACAGGAAGCTGGGGGTCAGCAGCAGCCTCTTGCCTCCAGGCTGGTTGGGGAAGACGTCCTCCAGGAAGTAGTAGACGTGGCCCACTGCGATCCCTGTGGGAGAGCCGCCAATGCCGAGGCCACCCTCCACAGCTCTGAAGCCCCCAGAGCATGGGTGTCCGATACCCTGTACGGCCGACTGGCCCAGCGTGGGGCCAGGCTTGGCCCAGAAGTGGGCAGAACCTGGGAGGAGGTCAGCCCTGAGGACACCAAGGGAACTGGAGCCGTGAAGCAGGCACCCTAAGCCACCCATCCCCACCGGGTCGGGCCCCATACAAGGGTCAGCGAATGGGTCAGGCTCGAAGAAGTAAAGCTGATAGGCTGGCTTGTTGGAGGGGCTGAAAGGATGGGGGCGCCAGGAGGGAGTAAGAGGGGTGGGGGACAGGGAGAGGACCAGGGCTCTGGCCCAGCACACCCAGCTTGGGGCAGGCTCCCTGAACAGCAGGCTCACCCAGTAAGTCCACCAGGATGGAGCTGCCCAGCAGCACTGAGAAGCCCATGAGCGCCCAGGGCAGGAAGGGCGCCCGGAAGGTGAGGAGGCCGAAGAAGCTGACCCTCACCCCAGGGCTGCGGCGGCTCCACACGTACACCAGCATGGCCGTGAGGGCCTGGCCCAGGAAGAAGAGGCTACCCAGGAACCCCAGCAGCTGGGCCAGAGTCAAGGCCTCACGCCCTGCCCAGGGCCCCTCTGACTACCTAGACCCCTGGAGCCCTCAAGCTGGCGGGCTTCACTTCCCAGTCTAAGGCCAAACCGTGGCCTCCAGGGGCCCCCTGATCGCCCCGCCTCTCCGCCTCACCCCAGCTCCTGAGCCCAGGCCTAGATCCTCCTGGCTACCTGCATTCAGGACCCAGCCCCTGGGCACACTGCCCTGTGGTATTTTGGGTGTAGCCCTGGAGTTTGACAGGGGCACCTGGAGCTGAGCACGTGATGCACGCTCAGCTCCGGGGCGCAACTCTTTCCCTCTGCGGCCGGCGCTCAAGCAGGGCCCCAGGGCCGACAAGGGCCCGGACCCACAGGTCCCCGAGCCCGGGAAGGATACAGTCATCAGGAGGCCCCCGAAGAGAAACATGAAGACGAAGTCGGCCGTGCGGCCGCGGAAGGAACCCTCCTCCAGCATGCGGCAGTAGCGGAACCTGCGGCTTTGGTATAGGAAGCGTGCCCCTTGGAGGGGCTCAGCTTCCCCGGGCCCGCTGCCTCCCTCCCAGTATCCACCCTGCCCCCGCTCCCGCCTCCACCACGGCGCAGGATACACGAAGAGCATGTTGAAGAAGAAGCTGAATCCCAGGGGCCCGAAGAAGAGGAAGTTGGTGATGAGCCTCCAGACCTGCGTGGGGGGCGGCGGGGTGGGGGGCGGTCAGGCCAGCGCTGGGCGGGAGGGGTTGGGCCAGCAGGTGCAAGGGGCGGGGCGGCCTCACCTGGAACTTCCGGAACACGAGGTGCGGGTTGAAGTAGAGCTGGAAGGGACTGAGGAGTTCCAGCTGCTGCGGAACCAGGGGAATCTTAGAAACTGCCCCCCGACCCACCCACCCCGGGGGAGCTGGGGGGAGGTCTATTCGTAACCTTGGCAACCCCCGGAGGCGGTAACCACGGCAGCGCTCCCCAAACCGCCCTTCCGGCTCACCACGGCGGCAGTGGTGAGGATACAGGCCGCGGTGTAGGTCCGCGTCACCGCCGGCACCTGCAGGAACTCGGTCGCCAGCCCCTGCCACGCCATGGACGCTCCCCAGGCACTCTTGGTCCCGCTGCCGAGCTCTCTTAACCCGCCTCCAAGCCCCGCCCAACCGCCTTCAGCCAATCCGCATCTGCGGTGGAGCGCGCCGGCGGCTGGAGGGCGGGGCTCTGGGGAAGATAGCCAATAGGAAGAAAGAGCGGAGGGTCGGAGGCGGGACGGGGGCGTGGGTGGGGCGTGACTCGGGGGCCAATGAGCAGGCCCCACGCTGGAGCACGTGGCGCGTGTTGTGGTGCCCGCGGCGGCGGCGCGGGAGAAGGTGTGGCCAATGAGGAACTGAGGCCTTAGGCCCACCCTGCGAGCGAGGCTATGAGCACTTGTTAGACGGGTCCGCCCGCCCCGAGAGACGGAGGGGTGCGGCCTCGCAGCCTCCCGCCTGGCCCCCCACTCCGGTCCCGCCGCCTCCCCCGGCCCCGGCCCCCCACCCCAGGTCCCGCCGCTTCCTGGCCTCCACCCACGCAGCGTGGGTGGGGTATGGGCGGGGCATGGGCGGGGCGGAGCCCGGAGTTGGACCGCCCTACTCAGCCAACCCACCTGGGCTGGCTGGTGTCACAGGCTGTCCTCTCTGAGAAGCAGAGCAGCAAAGGAGACCTCGGCGGCTGCGTGTCCAAATCTCCCTGCAAGCCCATACCCCGCTGAAACTGCCTGTTCCTTTGGGAAGCCCCAACGAGGGCCGCCAGAGGAGGGGCAGACTGGGGACGTTGAACACAGCCCATAGTTCACTGAGCATGGACTGTGTGCCAGACACTATTCTGGATGCTTGGAGACCCGGTGGCCGACAAAAAATGCTGTCTCTCCTGGTGTAGCCCGGGCGGGGGGGGGGGGGGGCGGGGAGGGGGTAGGGTGGTGTCCGGGCTTATGCTAACTGAGAACTAGTGTTTGCAGGACAGCGCACTGATGGACATGATGGGTAGCGGGCCCCCTGCCAGATGGGATGATCTGGGAAGGTTCTGTGAAGAAGCGATGCTTGATTGTCACTTTAAAACGATGCCTGTGGCTGCTGTGAGGAGAGCAGACGGCCAGAGGGATCTGGGGGCAGGCAGAGGATGCCAGGGATGCTGGTGGCTTGGGCAGGGCCAAACCTGGAGGACCAGGAGGGCCAGGATGTGGGTTTTGCCAGCAGACTAGACGGAGCTGTGAGACAGGAGTCAAGGGTGACTTCAGGGACTGAGCTATAGAGGAGATGGAAGGCAGTGAACTTTTCCTGAGCTGGAGAACGCTTGGGGGAAGGGCAGGCAGATGGAACATCCTGTTCTGGCCTCACTGAGTCTGGGGGATCTATGTGACATCTGCATGGAAAAATCCAAGTGGCAGAGAGGCCAGGTAGGCGGCTAAAGTGTGGGTACCAGTCTTCAGTAGACCAATGGACTTTGTAGCCTTGGGCCCGCATGAGATGCCCGAGGCTCAAGGCCAGGCCCGGCCAGCTCGATCTTCATGAGTTAGAGAGAGAATGTGGACAAGCAGGGAGGCTGCAGCAGAGCCAGGACAGGGCTGCAGGGCCGAGCGGCAGGAGGCCCTGGGACACGTGGCCTGGGAAGGCTCTGAGATGCGCAGCCGCGCCAAGGGCCCTGGATAACAGTGGCCACAAGGGAGAGGAAGTGCCCGCTTACCAAACGGGAGCTCAACCTCCGTCTCTAGTGTGACAGGTGAGGGAAGCCCTGGGCGGGGCCCTGAGTCCCCAAGCAGCCAAGACGGTTGTCTCCAATGGATCATGGCAGGGCTAAGAGGAGTTCCTGGGGAGTGCTCTTGGTAGTCCACTTGGGAAGGGGGGCAGGGAGGAAGAGGCCTGGATGAAGGGGGGTGCATTTCGTTCAGGCCTGAGGAGAGGTCGGTCTGATACAGCAGGAGTTGGATCAAGGTGTTGAGAGCCTGGGTGGTGGGAGCAGGCTGAAAAATCCCTCCCTCAGGCAGCCTCCGTTTTGCAGCTGAGCAGACCTACGTCAGGCTGGAGGTGAACCCGGAGGAGCAGAGCCCACCCAGCTGGAGGTGCGGCTGCAGGCCAGGGATCCAGGGCCTCAGACACCCCGGCAGGTGCCTGCCAGGCTTCAAGGAGCCGGGAGAGGGGTCGGGTTTCCTGTGTGTAGTGGGAAGGGGAGGGAGGCATTCCAGCCTGCAGGCCCTCTGCTGGGGTCAGGTCGGGGCTAATGGAGGGGCCGTCATGGGATAGAGGGTCTGTCTCTCCCCTTCGATGGGGTCGATCAGGCAGGAGCCTGGTTTGGGGCTGAGGAGGCATACTCCTGGGAGCCCCAGGTTGGGGGCAGGACATGCCAGGGAAGCACAGATTCTACTGCAGATCTTCCGTCCTGCCCGGAGGGTCCTCTCCCGGAGAGCCTGGGGAGTCCCCAGGTGGGGACTCAGGCCCAGTAGGAGGCAGAGCAGGGCCTGGGGTGCGCCATCACCATGAGTCCGGGCTTTCCCGTCCAGCGTCAGGCCCAGGACTGGCCGCTCTGGAGGCACCAGGTCCGTGGCTCCCACCCCTGGCACCTCCAGACAGTTCATTACAGAAAGACGCCCCAGGCTCCACACGTTCCCAGGAGCCAGACTGCCCCAGGAAGGTGGTGTGCTGGATGCTGACAGCTTTTACTGCATCTGTCTGTCCTGAGCAACAGGGCCGCCTCCTCTCTCCTGGGCTGAGGACTGTGGCAGGAGGGGCCTGTGGTCCCTTGCTGGCCTGGGGCCCCTGCCTGCTGCAAAGTAAGGACAGCGGGGTGTCCAGGTCTGGAGACCCCCAGAGGACCCCTTCCTCCCCTGTCCTACAGGCGGGACAGCACCCTCTGCCTGCCCACGGAGCCCACCTTCCTCTCAGGGCTCTCACACCAGGAGAGACAACCCCAAAACCTGGGGTCATCCCTGCCCGCTCTCCCCCTCACAGGGAACCCTCCAGCCCTCCCCCCACCCCTAAGTCAGCTTTTCTTTCCTGGGACAGCCCAGATCTGACTCCGTTCACTTACTTCCTTCCCTACCAGCCTCAGTGTTCTGTTAAGAGAGAGAGAGGGAGGGCGCTGGAAATGCCCCCCACTCCAGGAAGCCTCCCTGAAGAGATCAGAGCTCACCTACCTTCTCTTAGGGTCTCGTGCACTCAATTTTTAAATGTTATTTTATTCCGAAGGCAGCACAGGCCTGAAGCAGAAACACGGTGAGTGCTGGGGGCACAGTGTCTTCCTGTGGATGACATGGGGTGCCCTCACAAGGCCTTCCCCCCACCCCCACTGCTGTGGGTGGGCCTCACCTCAGCTCCAGCCTGCGCCCCCAGGAGCAGCTGCGTCCCCGGTGGCCCTTCCTGTCTGGGTCATGGGATATTTTTAGCATTGATTCCGGAACTCACTCGGCAGCAGCTGCTCGTGGCCAGAGGGTAAGAAGGACACACAGTCCAGGTGGGCTGCATCAGGCCTGCCCAGCAGATGGGGCGACTGGGGTCTGGCCTTCTGAGCCTGGTAGCAGAATCGACCTTCCAGGAATTTGAGGGTCTCCAAGTGGGCTGGGGAAGGCAAGGGGGCCATCAAGATGGAGGAGGAGGACAGACAGCTCGTGCAAAGGTCCTGGGGCAGCTGGAGGAACAGAGGCGGGGGAGGGGGAGCGGGGCTGCACGTGCTGAGAGGCTGGCCCACCGGGCACTGCAGGCTGTGGTCTCCGTTCCGCGGGCAGTGAGGACCCTCAGTGAGGTGGGGTCAGATGGCAGCTGGCTCTTTGAAGGAAGCCGGGGGTCAGAGGAGAAGATGGCCACAGCCTGCAGTGCCAGGCGCTAGACAGAGACAGTGGAAGGGTCCAGGAGGCAGGAGGCACAGACCTCAGTAAGCGCCTGGCCCGGTGAGGGAGCTGAGACGGGGAGGGCCAGGTCCAGTTCAGAGACTAAGCTGCCCTGCTGCCTCTGGGCTCCTGTCACGGAATCCTGACAAGCGGCTCTGCACCCAGCCTGCTCCCTGGCTGAGCAGTGGGGCCTGGGGCTCCCCGCCCGGCCCTTGGTTGGCTAGACGAAGCAGTCTCTCCCAGCTGCCGGGCCAGCCTGACCCTCGGTGCACGGCTGTCACAACCCTTGACAACTGCCCCTCGTTCCCGCTCGCCACCGTGGCCACCGCCCTATCGGCAGAGCCGCCTCCAGCTGGCGCCCAGACCGGCTGGCGGGGCCTCCCCCTCCTCCGCCTGGGCTATTTTCGGGCTCAGTGTGGCTGCGGGGCCGTGTTTTGGAAGATTATCTGCTTGGCCAAGTCGGCCAAGTGGCAGGGCTGGGGATGCAAGTTCACGGAGACACGTGTGTCCCCGCGTGGGTCTGCCCTCCCTGCCCCCGCCCGCTGGGCTGCACGTGGGATCCGGTCCACTTGAAACCTAAGGCCACGCTGTCCCATAGCCTTCCTTAGCCATTGCCGGCTGGCCAGGTCATCAGGCAGTTCCGGCCTGTGGTCTGGCAGTGACCTGGAAGGCCAGAGCCACCACTCTGGGAGCCTTCGCCCAGAACCAGTGACTCAGCGCTCAGAGAGGCCCGGGGCGCCACACCTCCCTCCTGGCTTGTCCCCCCGCCCCCGACAGCCCTGCTCCCACACCCGGGAGAGGGAGCCCCAGGCGGGTGCGTGGACAGGAACCCTGTGCCCTCAGGGCCCCGGAAACACCATCCCAAGCCCTGCTGCCAGTTTACTCAAGACCTTCTCCCAGCCTCGCCCGCCCTTTGCTTGTGTGAGGTATCGGGGCCTCTTTAAAAAAAAAAAAACAAATGCAAAATTACAGATCTAAGATTAGGTACGAAAGTACCTCGTTTGCTTAGAATACGGATAAACAAAACAAGCGACAAGTTCGTTAAAGGTAATAAATAGCACTTCATATCAAAGCCAGACAAAATCCCCTCCCTGGTCAGAAGCAGGGGCTGGTGAGAGAGGAGCCCAGTTAACCAGGCCCCGGGGGAAACAGGCTAGGGTGTGGGGAAGGCAGGGGGAAGCGGGGGGATGGGCCCAGGAAGGGGTGGGCTCCCTGTTCAGCTCTGTCCCAGACCTGTCCAGGTGGCCTGGCCACAGCGGACTGGTTGCTTTGGTGTTCTCCCCTCTCCCCCGCTCCATGGGCCCTGGGGAGGGGGCCTCCCCGGCAAGGAATGCAGGTGTCAGCCCTCCAGACGCTGGTCTAGCCGCCATCCCCACCGCCCCCACCACCCTTTGCCTCCAGATGTGGGCACAGCTGTATTTTTAGAACAGCCAGCCACGAGGGCATTCTTTCCTTCTGATTAAGACGGCTTTAAGACTCCGGTCCGCAATCACAATCGGCTCCACTGCTCAGTCTTCAAGTGTCAAACGGTGGCCAGGAGGGGCTGCTCACCCGGTGGTTGCTCGAGGTTTTTCTTTCTTTCTGTCTTCTGAATTGTTAAGTTGGAAACGTGACCCAGAACTGGAGTGGATGCCAGTTCGTTAGGAGGAGGGGGAGGGGGGAGGGGGGCAGGTGAGGGGAGGAGAGGGCGAGGAGGGCAGAGCTGGGTCTTGGGGTAGAGCCTGCAGGGGCTGCCCCCGGGCTGTGCCCTCCACACTTGGCCAGGTCCACAGGTGGGCCAGGCGTGTCTGGAGATAAAGGGGGGGGGGGGGTACCTGCCCTCAGGATGCTGGGTGCAGGCAGTCAGTAGACACATGTGGGGCCTGAGGACACAGCACCTGTGCAGGGGGCAGGTCAGTTATTATGATGTCCCCATTTCACAGGTGAGCAGACAGAGGCTGGGAGACAGGAGGTAAGTGCTGGGATTGCAGGGGCTCCATTGGGATCCACCACAACCAGGCCCGTCGCCGGCGTGCTGAGCTTGGCAGTGGCTCACTACCCACCTTGGCAGCCTGGTGGCCAAGGTCAGCTGGCCTCTGAGCTCCGCCCAGTGCCCCCTATGGAGGCTGCTGGAGTGGAGTAAAGATACCAGCCCAAGTGGGAAGGCTACAAGGAGGAGGGGACTTCAAGCAGCCTGGAACGGCTCTTGAGCCCTTTCTGGAAAGCACCGCTGACCAAGAAGGACACTGAGGTCAGAGAAGGGGCAGTTAGGTCAAATCCGTTCGGCCCATCGGTGGTCAGGAGTGGTAGGGACCCAGCCACCACTCCACCAGAAGATGGGCGTCCCGCTGACAGGCTGAAGGGCAGATCAGGGCTTCTGGGGTCCAGCCTGGGCCCTGGCTCCAGGCCTTAGGCCTCTACGGAAACTCCTGTCCCATGACCTCACGGATCAGCGAGGGAAGGCAGGCAGTGAGGCAGAGGCAGGGTGGGCTGGGGAGCAGACCTTCCAAGCCCCCTCCAAGGCCCTGGCTCACCGGGGAGGCGCAGGCTAGGTGAGCAGGACAGAGGAAGTGAAATCACCCGGGGCTCACGGAACCGGGGATGCCCAGACTCAGCCAGGAGCCACGGGGTCAGCTCCCACTGGAGGGCCCGGCACCTGGCGGGGTGCCGGCTCAAGCCTCTTTGTCTACGCCACGGAGCCCCAGAAGGTCCCGCAGTGCCGACGCTGGCAGCGCGGGCTTTGTCGGCCCCTCGCGGCCGGAGAGGGTCTCTGCGGCGTGGGTGGGTCCCTGGGAGCTGGCGCCCGGGGGCAGTCTGGACGGGTCACCCGCGAGTCTGGAGGCCACATCTCTGGGGAGGTCTCCGAGCCCAGGTAGTGATGGAGACCTCATCTGGGGAAACGGGCTTGGATCGACCAGGCGGCCCTGCCGCTTCTGCGGGGCTAGAAGTAGCCAGTGGCTTTTTGGGGCAAGGACCTGGCTTTGCGGTACTGATCGCCTGCGGTGCGAGCCGTTGCTGCTCCCGCCTCCCGCTGAATGCTGGGCACGGGCCTCCCCGGCCTCCGCCCTCCCCGCCGCTCTGGTTCTCAGTTTCCCAGTCTGCAGAATAAGAGGCTCTGGCGTGTAGAAGCGAGCATGCCTGGCTCCCAGGGCTGGGAAGGGGCGCCACCACCCACGCTGGCCACGGGCGTGGAGGTCCTGAGCACGGTGGCCATGGGCAGGCCGCCCCTCCTCCCCTGCTGCCTTCTCCGCCTTCCCACCCGGGAAACCGATAGTGGGTGTGAATCCACGCGGGAAGGCCCGCGGGGGAGGCGTCTGTCCACGCTCCCCCAACTTGGGCGTGGTTTGGCCGCCCCATCCCGCAGGGTCTGCTGCACCGCACTTGAGATCTGACAGCCCAGCCCGGACTTCCAGCACATCTGGCGGGGGCGCCAGATGGGGTACAGGATGCGGGCTCCCCCTTGTGGAGTCTCAGGGACTCCTCCGTAAGGGAGGCTGAAGCCACCCCGTGTGGGGTGTTGAGAGGATTCGTCATCAGCAGCGGGCGGCCACCAACACTCACACCCTTGGGTTTCACATGCCGAAGGTTAAACTCACCGTTAATGTTTGCCGAAGAGAAACCTCAAGCTTCCCTGCTCAAGGATAATAGTTAGTGTCCGGGGAGCCCACACACTGAGGGGGTGGGGTGGGGGAGCTGACTCCAACGAGGTGTCCAGGCGGCATCCGGCGGTGGGGGGGTAGGGAGTCGGAGCGGGTGCTATTACAGCAGTGGATCATCTCAAGAGATGCAGAAAGGCGAGCACTTAGCAACTGCTAATATTTTATCTTGTGTATTTTTCCTTAAAAATGCATGACGCTTCAAAAGTTCAGAGCAACGAAAATGAAACCCAAGCAGGAGCAAGAGAACTACTGCATCATCCCTTGCAGTGTATGTCCCCTCACCATCTTCGCTCCGATGACCTCCTGCGGTGACTTTCGGGTCTATGTTTCCATGACCACAAATAGCATCTTTGGCAGGTCTGGTTTAGGTTTGACCTTAATCGACCTCCTGGATTCAAGCAGGACCTGAGAAGCCCTAAGAAATGAAAGATTAATCCGGCCCAGCGGACCCGGTAGTTGTTCACCTGACAAAGTCCGCTGGACTGGACTCATCTTGTTTCCGGGGCCAGCGCGGCTTCGCACACAATGCATGCCTGGGCTGCAACCCGAGACCCGCTCTCCCATCCGGTTCCTAGTCCGCGGCTCTGCCGGAGACGGACAGATGAGAGAGCTCCGGAGACTGGTGGGTCGGCCTTTCGTCCCTCCGAATCCTGCCCCTCCTCCGTGGAAAGGGCACGGGGACACCTGGGCTGGAGGAGCGTGGGGATGTCCGCGCAGAATCAAGGGCTCGGCCTCAGAGTGCCCTGGGACGGAGACCTCCCGGGGACGGGGCCCTCCCAGGGACAGGGGTCTCCCGGAACCTGGCAGAGGGCGGGGGCGCCAGATGGAGGTGAGAGCCGGCCCCAAAGAGGGGCCGGAAGGGCCGAGGCGGAGGTCCACAGAAGGGCGCGGCAGGGACCGGCAGAGAGTCGGTCCGGAGGCCGCAGCGGGGCAGGGCTCGGCTAACCAGGGCTGGGATTTCGGGCGAGTCCCGAGAGCGCTGATCAGAGCCGCCAGCCAAGACTTGCGGGGGGGGGGGGGGGTCTTGGGGGGGCGGGGGCGGGAGGCGGAGGCAGGCTGTTTGTTGGGCGAGAAGTCCTCGGATCGGAGCTCCCTTCCGGTCTGCAGAGGTGGGCCCGGGCTGGCCCTCGGAGCTGCAGAAACGGGGGGATGGAGGATGCGCGCGAGCCGCCTCATCCCGGATACCGCCTCGGACCCTGGAGACCCGCTCGCGGGCCCCCCACCCCTCACGCCCTATGCGCCTGCGCGCGCGTTAAGGTGCGCCTTGCTCCAGCCTTCGCAAACGCCCACGGCACAAGCGCCTCGCCATCCCCTCGGGTCCGCTTCGGCCGAAAGTCTGGCTGGGGCGCAGGGTGCTGGACCTGTCCCCCACCAGCATCCCTTAGGTTCTCGTGCGAGCCGGACAGCGCCCCTAGACGCGGGAGCCCCTGGCCACTGCACCCGCTCCTCGTCCGGTCTGGGGCCTGTCTCCCACCTTCATCTACTCCACGCTCCCCCTAAACTCCGTCTCCAGTCACCTCCTGCTTCACCCAGGGAGCCAGGCATCCGGAAGAGCACGTTCACACCGCCCACCACCCCACCCCGGGGGGTTTCCCCGCCAGGGGAGCTCCTTCAGATCCCTGCACCGCGCCTCCCCTCATCTCCTTGGTCCTCGTGTGGGACCACGTGCGGGACGCCCCCCCTCCCCCCGCCCCGACTGCGGGCGTCTTCCCTGACCTCGCCCCAGACCCCGCCCCCTCCCCTTCCCCTTTCTGTGTGTGTGTCTGCACCAGCTCAGTTCAGTTCAGTTCAGTCGCTCAGTCGTGTCTTTGCGACTCCGTGAATCGCAGCACGCCAGGCCTCCCTGTCCGTCACCAACTCCCGGAGCTTACTCAGACTCATGCCCCAGCTAACACCCTACATATTTTCCTTGTTCATTTATTACTGCCTGTCATTCCCCCGCTGGATTCCATCAGATCCCGGATTTCGTCTCTTTGGTTCACTGCTGTATCCTCAGCACCTAGAGCCGTAGATTCCTTGCCCAGAGTGGGGAGGCAAGCCATCTTTACTCACTGAATGACTCCTCCCCACCATAGTTACTGTTTGAAGGCTGTTCACGGCCAGTCGCCCCAGGCCTAGGCGGTCTCCATGCACAATCTCAGGGAATTCAGTAATTTATGCTGCCTTGGAGACCCGCCAGCCTCCTCCCTGCCACAAGGGCTGAGTTCTCACTGGGGGACTTGCTGCGTCCTGCGGATCTGCGCTTCCAGTGGGCCTCTCACCGGCAGGCAGCCCAGCAGGGAGCTTCTGCGTGACTCCAGTGAGACTGGACTCCTGGGTTCCCACCTGGCTTCCCTCTGTGACTTCCTGCTTGGGAGGAAGTCACTTAGCCTGGCGGCCAGCCAGGGTGCCCGGTACAAACCTGCCCGCAGACTGATGGCAACATCTTTGGCAGGGTCCTGCCCTGGGAACCCTTTCCCCCGCCTCCCCACCCCAGCCCAGTTTCTCACCATCCAGTGAAAGCAGGTCTGTTTCCATCCCTCCATCCCCACCCGGCCCCCATATCTGCCCCCCAGCTCAGTTCCTGGCTGGGTCAGGCACTGGGTATTCATCGGATGAATGAGTACGTAGCCTCAGGTTCTGGAAATTTTTCACAAAGTCCTGAGCCAAACATCCTTCTGCTATGAAACTTGCATTTAAGTATTAAAAAAAGTAATAAATATGACACAGTACTTTATACCTGGGGGACAGTTTTCCAGAACAAGAAAGGTAGTATAGAGTTACTGGGAAAAGATCAACAATCCAATTTTTGTATAGTTAACTACTTTGTGAGTGTCTCGTGAAATATCTGAGGGAAGCAGGTCACTGCTCTTTGGGAGAGTGGAGAAGCTTCAGTGTGTACTGAGCTTTCAAAAGATTTAATGAGTGAGTGTGTGTGTGTGTGTGTGCATGCTAAGTTGCTTCAGTCGTATCTGACTCTGTGAGACCCCATGGACTCTGGCTCACCAGGCCCCTCTGTCCATGGGACTCTCCAGGCAGGAATACTGGAGTGGGTTGCCATGCCCTCCTCCAGGGCATCTTCCTGACCCAGGGATCAAACCCAGGTCTCCTGCATCTCCTGCAGTACATGTGGATTCTTTACCGCTGTGCCACCAGGGAAGCCACTTAATGAGCATACTATTTTGTAATAAAAAATGGCAAGACGGGGACTTCCCTGATGGTCCAGTGGTTAAGACTTCACTTTCCAATGCAGGAGGTGCTGGTTTGATCCCTGGTCCTGGGAGCTGAGATCCCACATACCTCTCGGCCAAAAAAACCCAAAACGTAAAACAGAAGCAATATTGTAATAAATTTAATAATACTTTGAAGAAATGACCCACATCAAAAAAATCTTTAAGTTGGGGGGGTGGGAGGGAGACTCAAGAGGGAGAGGATATATTTATACTTAGAGCTGATTCGTGAAGCCAACACAACATTGTAAGGTAATTATTCTCCAATTAAAAATAAATTTTAAAAAGTGTGGGAAAAAAATCTTAAAAAAATATATACGTAAGAGGCAAACTCTAAATAGATGGTGAATCCCTAGGAAAACTTAGCAACCTAACAACGGGGCACCAGGGGGATGGGCCTCCTGGGGGTGCCTCGGGGAGCCCCCCGCCTGTCTAGGGATGCTGCTCTAGGACGAGACGCTGCCCTCTTGTTGTACCAGGTGTGTGCGCGCCGGCTGCCCCCCAGCCTGGAGGCCGCCATCAGCATCAGCAGGGCTGCGGCTGCTCTCTGCGGCTCAAGGTGCCTCCCAGGTCCCCACACGTGTAGGTCCACGTGGCCCCTTCTCTTAACAGAGGGGGGCACCCAGCCCGTCTGTGGAGACAGCTGCCCTGAGCGCAGCTTACCCGGTCTGCCAGAGGCAGAGCTTCACTCTCCTGGGGCCCCAGCTCAGGGTGTGGTCCCCGGAGCCACAGCAGGCACGCCCGGGGGGCAGCTGGGCAAGGAGCTGGGGGCCGGGAATGGCTGTCCATCTCAGGAAAATGCGGTCAGGGCTGAGGGGCGGCGGGATCCCGGGCTCAGGGCAGAAGGTGAGGGGGGGCCTCTGCCCCCTGCCCCAGGCTGTGACCCAGGCACCTCCTCTCTGCCTCCGTTTCTTCATCTGCAAAGTGGGGGCGTCATCACCGCCAGCTTCAGACAGGTCGCCATATGGGACTGGTGGGCTCCAGCCCCGCGGGAGGGGGGTGGAGGCTGCCGTGAGTCACTGGGTCCTCTCCTCTCTCCCCAGGTTCAGGGCAGGGTCCTGCTCCTGACCATCTGTGCAGCTGGCATTGGTGGAACTTTCCAGTTTGGCTACAACCTCTCCATTATCAATGCCCCGACCTTGGTACGTACCCTGCATGCCCACTGTTACCATCCCAGCGTCAACAGCGGCCCACGTTGCATCTGCAGGCCGCCATCCGCTTGGTGGAGCTTCCTCCCACACCTCCACCTCCACTGGGCTGTTCCGCAGGCCTTGCGAGTTCAAATCCATCTCTGCCCTCTCTCCTGAAACTCACACATGCTCCTGTGTCTCTGATGTCAGCAGACAACTGCTCCTGTCCCCCCAGTGGCAGGGGTCCACCCTGAGTCTGCCCTCTCTCCTGGAAAAGCACCAAGTCCTTCCTGACTGTCTCTGGCTTCCAGCCATTTTCCCTTGGGTCTCTGCCATGATCCCAGTTCAGACCCATCTTTCCTGCCTGGATGGCTTGCCCAGCCTCCCCACTGGCCTCCCCACCCTCAGTCTCTCCCCTGTAGGTACTGTCAAGTCTGATCAAACCACTGCCCTGCTCAGAAACCTGTGACTCCCAGTGCCTGTAGGCATTCCTTGGGGGTTCAGATGATAAAGAATCTGTCTGCACTACGGGAGACCCAGGTTCAATCCCTGAGTCAGGAAGATCTCCCGGAGAGGGGAATGTCAACACACTCCAGTCTTCTTAGTTGGAGAATTCCATGGACACAGGAGCCTGGTGGGCTATGGTCCACGTGGTCGCAAAGAGTCAGACATGACTGAGAAACTAATAAACACACACATACACACATCTACCTGGAGCCCAAGGCCTCCTGGGGTCCGAACCTGTCCACCTGTCTCCCACCTTGATTCTTCCAACTACGTGCCCAGAGCAGTTAAACACAGACCCCTCAGTGGGCCAAGCCCTCCCCGCCCTTCCTGCAGAAGCCCCTCAAGAGCCACCCAGATGCCATCACCTGCCTGGAGCCTTCCTTCAGCAAGCTCCCAGCTGGGCTCAGCCTCCTGCTGGTCCCTGCTCGGGGTCCCATCATCTCTGAGTCCCCAGCAAGCTCGCTGGGCCTGTGCCCATGCTCAGCAAGTGCCCGTGGAAAGGCGGCATCTCTCAGCCCAGTGATAGAAGCCGCCTCTGACCCACCTGACTGAGAAGGTCACGTGTCCCGTCACATAGCTGGGGCTGTAGGAAAAACAGGTCCCAGGACGGAACTGGGGCCCTCCTGTCCCTTCAGGGTTAGGTTTCGGGTGCAAGAGAACAACTGTCAGCAGACTCACTTCCTGTCCAGGGATGGAGCCCGGGGAACAAACGCCCCTCCGGCCTCCTCTGATACCCTGCTGCCGCTCATCGACAGCCAAGTTGATCAGAAAGCTGGGGAGCCCACTGATGTGGCCCAGGTGGGGCTGGGGGAGAGACGGGGCTGATCCTGGGCTCAGAGGGACCACATAGACACAGGCCAGCTGTGAGCTCCAGAACACACTATGACCAAAACGGCACAGCGCCCCGCACTCAGGGGAGTTCTGTCCCCCCGACAGCGGGCAGGGTAGCTGGGGAGGCTGCCTGCCCTGTGGAGGCGGGGCCTGGGGGAGAAGGCCTGTTATGAGGAGCCCCCACCCCAGGGTGGGGGGTTGCTGACCGGCATCTGTGTCCACAGCACATTCAGGAATTCACCAATGAGACGTGGCGGATGCGAACCGGCCAGCCGCTGCCCGACCACCTGGTCCTGCTCGTGTGGTCCCTCATCGTGTCCCTGTATCCCCTCGGGGGCCTCCTGGGAGCGCTGCTCGCTGGGCCCCTGGCCGTCACGCTGGGAAGGTGAGTGCTTCCCATGGACCCCCGAGGGCCTCTCGACAAGGGGCACCCCAGCCCACGGGCTGAGGGGTGGGGGCAGGACACCCAGCAGGCCCTGGCCCCGGTCAGCTCCGCACCGGCCGCTGGCTCTGCCTGCCACGTCACCGAGAACCCCACATTCCCCGGGGACATGGTGGAGGGAAGAGTCCGCACCGGGAGGGAGGAAGCACCCACGGCTAACAGCACAACACAGCGCAGCCCAGCACCCGCTCAGCCAGGCCTCCCCGTCCATCACCAGTCCCGGAGCCCGCTCAAACTCACGTCCATCCAGTCGGTGATGCCATCCAGCCATCTCACCCTCTGTCGTCCCCTTCTCCTCCCGCCTTCAGTCTTTCCCAGCATCAGGGTCTTTGCCAATGAGTCAGCTCTTCGCATCAGGTGGCCAAAGTATTGGAGTTTCAGCTTCAGCATCAGTCCTTCCCATGTATATTCAGGATTGATTGCCTTTAGGATGGACTGGCTGGATCTCCTTGCAGTCCAAGGGACTCTCAATAGTCTTCTCCAACACCCCAGTTCAAAAGCGTCAATTCTTCTGTGCTCAGCTTTCTTCATGGTCCAGCTCTCACGTCCATACATGACTGCTGGAAAGACTGTGGCTTTGACTAGACGTGACCGTGAACAGGTGCTTTCTCCCCGAGGCCCCCCTTTGTATCCACCTGAGGCAGTTCTTGGGTCGCAAGCCGGAGACAGACTCTGACTGAGGAATGGAAAGCTGTGAGAGTGCGGAGCACCCTGAGGCAGCTCACCGGACGAAGGAGGTGCTTGGAAGCCGGCCTGGGGCGGGCGGGCCGAGGCCTGCAGCCTGGGCTCTCCTGGGGGGGTCGGGAAGGTCACCTTGAGCACATCAGCTCCGGGAACACTGCGACTCCAGCGTCTGCACTCGGGCTCAGAGTGCTGGGAGACGGCTTGTTACTGGCCGAGTCAGCGGGAGAGAAGGCAGGCCGGACTCCCACCATCCCCCCTTGGCTGGCCGCCCAGCACGCGTCAGCACTGTTCTCCTGGATCTTCGGCTCCCCACGTGTGCCCCCTCACGGTACCCAGTCCTGCCCTGAGCCCGCCCAGGGCACTGCCTCGCCACAGCCACCAGCGCCGACACAACCAAGCTGACCTACCCGCACACGGGGTTTCCATGAGGCGGTCAGTCTGCGGTTCACCTCTCAATATCCTGCCGTCTACACACTGATGGTGAACTTAACTGCCCTCAGGACCTCTCACAGGAAGAGAGCAGAGGAAAGAGTACAGACAGACCAAGGGAAAGAATCTAGCGGGTGAATTTAGCTTGGAGCACAGGACCCCGAGCCTTGGGAACACAGGGTGGGGTCTGCTCCGGGGTCTTGGAGCCGCTCACGCTGTTGCCCGCCTCGCTGACGTCCATGCTCCAGTCTCCCAGACGGTATCGGCTCAGCACTTCCACAGGCTGCCGCTCTTTGCCCACCGGGGTGACCCCAGTCTTTGCGCCGGAGTGGGTGCGGCAGTCCTGCTGGCGTGGGTCCTTTAGCAGGCTCCACCCTCTGAGGTCAGCTCCTGCACGACGAGGCCCCTGAGATGATGCTGGGCACCATGCGCTCTCGCCTGTCATCACTGAGGTAACCTCCGCTGTCAGAGGCAGGGGTGCACAGGACGTCGTGTTCGGGTGTTTAACAGAAGTGTCACCTGCAAGTGACAGAAAGCCGGGACTCAGTTGGCTAAAACGGCAGCCAGACACCCCAGGCTGATGTTTCTCCTCTACCAAGGCATAGCGACCAGTCAGGAGTTATTTCAGGTTAAGAAGATAATAATTTACTGAAGTTGTGGCTTTGCTCAAAAGTCCGAAGTCTTGCATTCTGATTCTCTGGAGGCACTTTGAGCACTACAATCTCCCCAGTCTAGAGGGTCAAAGGGCAGAGCATCTGGCAGTTGGTCTGGACCCAGTAGAAAACACTCCCCTCACAGGACCTGGGTTTGCAGATCACCCAGATGATGACACTCACCGTGGGACAAGCTGCCTCCAAACTGGAAAGAAGCCATCTGAGATTTTTCCATCCTTTTTTTTTTTTTTTTTAAATTACAAGCTGCCTCTGGCCCATTTCCCCATCAGGACCTGAGCTGCAGGATCTCCTGTGAGCTCTCCTGGTGACCTCAGGATGGCGCCTCTGAGCGCAGTGTCAGGAGCCCAGAGCCAACACCTCATGTGGGAGGAGCCACCGACGGACCCAGTGCCCCTTCCCCAGTTTCCCAGTTTGTCCCGCTGAGCCACCTGGGCAGGGGCCATCCAGATGTCCTGTTCTGGGCGGTGACTGTAATGAATGGAGGACATAGGAGGTTACTTGGCTTCTCCTCCTTTCCTTTGGTCTGAGGGTTTCATTTGGTCTGAAAAATAAGATATTAGGCACTTGGCTTTTCAAAGGACTTTGAGGAGAGTGGTGCTCAGTCTGTAGGGATAAACCCATAAAATATGCGTTCTGTCCGTTCAAGCTCTGGTAGAGGCAGAAAGGACAGTAATCTGGGGGTATACCGGGGGCAGGGGGCTTCCCTGATGGCTCAGATGGTGAAGAGTCTGCCTGCAGTGCAGAAGACCAGGATTCGGTCCCTGGGTCGGGAAGATCCGCTGGAGGAGGGCATGGCAACCCACTCCAGTGTTCTGGCCTGGAGAACCCCATGGACAGAGGAGCCTGGTGGGCTACAGTCCACGGGGTCGCAGAGTAGGACGTAACTGAAGCGACTTAGCATGCACCCACTGGGGCTGAGGGTGGGGCATCCCATGGGCGACCCCAGCTGCAGTGGCCAGTATCACTTCTGTGCAGGCAGCTCACACTCCACACACACACACACAGGGGCGTGATCAGGGCTGGCCGCGGCTGCAGGGAGGGGTCCTGGGGGTGGGGGGGTCATCCTTGGCCCTGAACCTGAGCCGGCCTTGCCTGGTTCTGCTTCCCCAAGGAAGAAGTCCCTGCTGGTGAACAACATCTTCGTGCTGGCCGCCGCGGGCCTGTTTGGCTTCAGCCGCAGAGCAGGCTCCTTTGAGATGATCATGCTGGGAAGACTGCTTGTGGGCATCAGCGCAGGTACGGGGTGGGCGTGGGGCCCTTTCCTTCCCGTTGCCCCTTATTCCTTTCATTCACTGATTTCTTTTCCAGGCGTGCTCACCATTGGTTTTTTTTTTTTTCAGAATGATTTAGTCATGATTTATCTTAAAAGGCTCATATAACTAGACACTTAAAGTGGATCTAGAGAAAATGGAAACAGGGCTGGGAGGACAAACATCCCGAGAAGGCTAAGTCGCGAGCTTCCTGGTGGTCAAAGTGTAGAGGCATGTAGGAGGAGATCTCTGGTCATCCCTACAGAAGCCGAGGAGGCTGCCAGGGACCTCAGGCTCCTGCAGGGGTTGGGGGTGGAGCAGAATTTTGAGCGTGTCCACCTGGGCTTTTAGGGGCGCCACCGTCAGTCCCCTTGACGGCCTACTGTCTATACAGCCGGGTTCCAATGTCTTTATTAGGTGTCTATTCCTGTGACACAAAGCGCTCCACAAGTCAATGGCTTAAAGCCAGCAATGCTGATTCACTCACGGTTCCTATGGGTGAGGAACCAGAGTGTCTTAGCCGGGGGGTCCTGGCTAGGGGCCGCTCGGGAGGCTGTAATGTGCCAGGTGGGGCTGTGGTCAGCTGAGGTTTGGCCGTGGCTGGTGGGCCTGCTGCTGAGATGCTGTCGCCCTTGTGTGCTGTTTCCGGGGGCCGTGCTCCCCAGCCTGCGCGGGTCTCCCAGCAGGGCTGCGGAGTGTCCGCACAGCACGGCGGCTGGCTTCCTGCAGGGGAGGTGATGGGCGGCAGAGAGCCTGTGTGTGTGCGTGCGTGCGTGCGTGCGTATGCGCCGCGTGCCTGCGAGGAGCGAGGCCCAGGGAGGCTTAGGGCCTGGTCTCGGGAGTCACACACCGTCAGCTTCGCCACGAAGCAGGTCAGTAGCAGTCGCCACGCTCAGGGATGGAGGGGCCAGTCAGACGGCGCCTTTGTGCCCCGAGTTCCTGGCACCCCTACCTCAGCGTGCCTCTGAGAATGTCTGGCCATCAGCGCAGCCCCGTTCCTCTCAGCTCCCCCAGCAGTGCTCAGAGGCAGGACCTTGTGGAGGACCTGTTTCCTGATCCGAGGTCAGGGGGGACTGCGGGAGCACTGCAGCCGTGTTCCTGGGCAGATGAGTGGTGCCCCGGTACTGCCAGCTGCTGCCCTCTGGGGTGGGCAGGGGGGCACCTGCCGGTCCCGGTGCTCCACGGGGTGCCAGGTGCCTCTCTGGGGCAGGTGGGAGGGGGACAGCCTACAGCTGATGGGCACCGGCTCCCTCCCGCCCCTCCCACTCCCCAAGAGTGACCAGGGCTTCTCTCCCAGGAGTCCTGGGGGAGGACTGGAGTCCTGCTTGCCTGACGGCGGGGTTTGGGGGGGCAGGGAAGCCCCCCAGAGCACTCAGGCTGAGGGAGCAGCACTGGGGGCCTGTGGATGGGAACCTGGGGTGCCGACGGGGTGGGGGAGCCCGTCCTGTGGCTGACCATCGCCCTGCATGGCCAGGTGTAAGCATGAACGTCCAGCCCATGTACCTTGGGGAGAGCGCCCCCAAGGAGCTCCGAGGGGCCGTCGCCATGACCTCCGCCATCTTCACCGCCCTGGGGCTCGTGATGGGTCAGGTGGTCGGACTCAGGTACACGCCCCCCCCACGCACGCTGAATGGTGAGAGGGCAGCCTGAACTTCCCCCCACTGCCAAGTAGATTCAGACGTGGCTTCCTTGGACAAAGGCGTTGAAAGCTGTCCATGGGCTTCTGGCCAGCGGGGAGTCCGTCAGCCTCTTCCAGCCCCGAAGGACCAGGCAGCAGGGACAAGTCTGGACAGAGGACAGGGGGCAGGCTTGGGCTTTGAACGGGAGCGTGTACTGTTTGTCCCAGAAAAGAGAGGCGAGGGCAGAACCTGCTGCCCTGGGGAGAGCCCTGGAGAGAGGAGTCGCCAGGGATAAGGGGAGGCCACGGCCCTGCCCTGCCGTGCATCCCTAGCTGGGTGTGCGACCCAGAGCTGGCTAGGAGGAGGCACAGGGGAACGCAGACGCTGCCCTTGGGGGCGGGAGGGAACAGGGCTCTGGCCAGGCGGCGCTGGCCCAGCCTCTCCTTTCTCCCCAGGGAGCTCCTGGGTGGTCCGCAGGCCTGGCCCCTGCTGCTGGCCAGCTGCCTGGTGCCCGGGGCGCTCCAGCTGGCCTCCCTGCCCCTGCTCCCCGAAAGCCCACGCTACCTGCTCATTGACCGTGGAGACCCCGCAGCCTGTCAGGCAGGTGAGCCTCTGGCATGGGTCCCCGGACCACCCTTGACCATGGGGCACATGTGGTCAGGGCACGCGGGTCCCTTTCTCATGTGGGAAAAGCTGTTGCTCTCTCTGCGCCCTCATTTCAGGCTCCATCCGTCCCCTCCATGCTCTTTACAGGGGCTGTCCTGAGTGGCAGGGCAGCGGGAGGGGCAGACCCAGCCCCTGCCATCCGAGAAGCCCCAGGGGGGTGTGAAGAAAGAGCCACAGGCAAGGTGATGAAACCCCAAGCAAGGGCTCAAGGGCCCAATGCCAGCTAGGCTGGTGGTCCCACCTGCTAGCCAAGGCCACAGTAAGGATGCCCAAGGAACAATCCCCAAACCTCCGGCTTAAAACAGCAGTCCTTTACGGTGGCCTCCTCTTGTTGGGCTGGGCTACATGACCCTGCTGATTTCAGCCGGGCTGGCCCAGGGTGCCAGGGTCAGCGGGGGCTAGCCAGTCCAGCCTGCTTTTGCTGGCGGTTTTGCTCATCTTGGTCACTCTCGAGGGTCAGCGGGGCATCGGCTGACCCATGGCAGTCCTAGATGGGCTAATCCTGCGGGCCAGAGCAAGTCACAGGGCAGAGCCAAGGGGCAGCATGCACACGCCCACTTGGTGGGTTCAGTTCAGTCCAGTTCAGTCGCTCAGTCGTGTCCCACTCTTTGCGACCCCACGAATCACAGCACGCCAGGCCTCCCTGTCCATCACAACTCCCGGAGATTACCCAAACTCATGTCCATCGAGTCGGTGATGCCATCCAGCCATCTCATCCTCTGTCGTCCTGTTCTCCTCCTGCCCCCAGTCCCTCCCAGCATCAGGGTCTTTTCCAATGAGTCAACTCTTCGCATGAGGTGGCCAAAGTTTTGGAGTTTCATACTTCAGCATCATTCCCTCCAATGAGCAGCTGCCAAATCCTGCAACCCCAGGGGTGGCGTGGGCATGGGGACCCCCGGAGACCCGGGGCGGTAGTGGCGACCTGCCACAACTGTGTCCTGTGTGAGGCACCCGCAGACCTCCGGAGTTCTTAAAGCCTTTCTGGTCCATGGGGCTGTGAAGTGACCTGGCTGGGAAGGTCACCCCAGCCAGAACCCGGGGCCCTGGGAGGGAGATAGGAGCTGGGTGTGGGGAGCTCACTATGGGGGCCACCGAGAGGCTGGGGACTCAGCCCAGTGCCCTCTGCCCCTGCTCCTTCTCCTCCCCCCGCCCCTCCCCTCCCCTCCCCCTCCCTTCCCCTCCCCTCCCCCTCCCTCCCCCTCCCCTCCCCCCCCCCATCCTCCCCCTTCCCCATCCTCCCCTTTCTCTCCCCAGCGCTGCAGCGGCTGCGGGGCCCCGCGGACCTGGCCGGGGAGCTGGCGGAGCTGGAGCAGGAGCGCGCCGTCTGCCGGGGCGGGCGCGCGCGACGCCCATGGGAGCTGTTCCGGGAGCGCGCGCTGCGGCGGCAGGTGGCCAGCCTGGTGGTTCTGGGCGGAGCCATGGAGCTGTGCGGGAACGACGCGGTGAGCCGGCCGCGCGGGCCCGGGGAGTGAGGGCGGGCGGGGAAGGCGGGGAGCTGGGGCAGCCGCGGCCGGGCGTGGCGGGAGCCAGCGCGCAGCGGCCGCTCTCCCCGCAGATGTACACCTACGCTTTGGCCGTGTTCAGCCAGGCGGGGATCTCGCAGGACAAGATCCAGTACGTGGCCATCGGGACCGGGGGCTGCGAGCTGCTGGCGACGCTGCTCAGCGTGAGTCTGCTGGGGGCTGACCCCCAGCGCCTAGCCCTGCGGCAGACCCTCGGGATGCTCACCTTGGGGATGCCGCCCCGCGGGGTGTTCACCTTGGGGTGCAGACCGTCGGGGTGCAGATTGTCGGGCTGCACACCCTCGGGGTGCTAATGCTCCAGGCACCACAGGCCTCCAAGCTAAGGCACTTCCACTTCAGGTCACTTTGTTAAAACGCAGGGAGTGAGCGAGCACTTATTGAGCACCTACTGTTTTCCGGGTGTTCACACCACCATTTTGAGATGGAGAGACTGAATGGGGGTTGAGTGACCGAGGCCCTCTGCGAAATTAATAATGTCCTAATCCACGAAGCGCTAAACCGCGCCCAGCCTCCTCCCCAGCTTCTGCCTGATGCCCCTGCCCACTGCGGCCCGTGGCCTAGGGGACCTTGCCCTGGGCTGCAGCGGTGAGTCAGCCAGGGCTCCTTCCCTTCGCAGTGCCTGGTGATTGAGAGGGCAGGCCGGCGGGTGCTGCTGACGGGGGGCTACGGCCTAATGACCTGCTGGGGGAGCGTCTTCACGGTGGCCCTGTGCCTCCAGGTAGCTGGGCCCTTTGGGCGGGAGGGGGGGGGCTGGGCCCCGCCCACTTTCCCTTCACCCCTCCCCCTGCCAGCAGGGCTCCTTCTCCTGGATGCCCTACCTGGCCATGGCCTGCGTCTTTGCCTCCATCCTCAGCTTTGGCATTGGCCCTGGTGAGTTGGGGCCCCGGGGCCTCCCTCCTCTGGGCCTGGCTGAAGGACCAGGGGTGTCTGGGTGAAGGATGGGTGGGTGTGCCTAACCCTAATCCTCACCCCCCCACACACTCCCTGTGGCTGGAGGAAGGCTGGGGGGGCCCACTTTCTTGTCCAGGGGCAAGGTGGGGGGAGGCAGGCCAGGGAGCCCTGACTGGCAGCCCCCACGTCCCCACTCCCCCTTCCAGCCGGGGTGACCGGGATCCTGGCCACGGAGCTGTTTGACCAGATGGCCCGGCCTGCTGCCTACATGGTCTGCGGGGCGCTCATGTGGACCATGCTGTTCCTGGTGGGGCTGGCGTTCCCCTTCATCATGGTAGGCCTGCCTGCCCCTGCCCCCCGGGGGGGCCTGCCTTTGTTTTGTCCCTGTCTGTGTGAGAACTGCCCCCCCAGGGAGGCTCCATCCATCCGGGGAGTGTGAGCCTGAAGGGGGATGGGGTCACCTTAGCCAAGAGGGTGGAGGCCCTCGCCGGGGCCTGTGCTGGAGCCTCCCGTGCGGCGGGGGCTCCAGGGGCCACAGCAGGCCTGGGGTCTCTTTCAACCCCCAGGAGGGCTTGTCCCACTTCATCTATGTGCCTTTCCTCTGTGTCTGCATCTGCGCGGCCGTGTACTCGGGCCTCTTCCTCCCTGAGACCAGAGGCAAGAGCTTCGTGGAGATCTCGGAGGAGCTGCACAGACTCAACTTCCCAGGGAGGGGCCGAGGCCCGGCGTGGGCTGGCCCCGAGGTCGTCAGGTCCACGGAACTGTAGCCCGGTGGCGCGGTGGGGGCCAGCCCCAGGCCCGCCCCCTCCTGTGGGGCCCCTGGGTGTGCAGGCCTGGTGCTCAGCCTCAGAGGGATGGTTTCGGGGGCCTCTTGGTGCCCCCTGTCTGGAGGCCGTTGGCAGGACGGCAACCAACCAACAAAAACATAAACTCAGAGAAACACAGGGGAAGAAAATACAGCTTGGGAAGCCTTTGAGAGGGGCATGATCACAGAAGGATTTTCTGAGGAATTGATTTTTTTTTAAATCAACTTCATTGAGGTGTAATTTACATACAATAAAGGGCATTCACAGTAAGTGCACATTTGATGAGCTTTGACAGGTGTGCACACCTGTGAGCCACCACCTTGACCAAGGGAGGCCATTCACATCACCCCTCCTGCCTCTGTGTGATCAGTATCTCCCCACCCCCTGCAACCTCGGACCTGCCTTCTGTCACTGGAGGTCAGATTTCTTTTCCAGACAATTTGACAAAATTCCACACTGTGTGTATGTGTCTATGTCTGGTCTTGCTCCAGATAAAGTCTTTGAAATTCATGCATATTGTTGTATGCACATATCCCTTTGTATGGCTGAGTAGTATGGATGTACCATAATTTAGTAACCCATTTGGACTGTTTTTAATTGTTGACCACGATGAATAAACCTGCTGTGAACATTTCTGCACAAGTTGTATAGACGTGTGCCTTCATTTCTTTTGGGTTGGTGAATTGCTGAGTATAATAATGAATGCATGTTTACCTGTAGAAGAAACTTTTCCAGAGTGATTATACTGTTTTACATTCCCACTAGCCATCCACAAGACTTCTAGAACCTCCAAGTCCTCCTCAGCACTTGGCATCATCAGTCTCTTCAATCCAGCCATCCTACTGAGTGTAGTGGCACCTCGTGGCGTAATTGTGGGATTTCCCTGATGGGTAATGATGCTGAGCATCTGTTTACATGCTAACACAAATGGCACGCCATGCACAGATCTCCTTTGGTGAAGAATCTGTTCAAATCTTTTGCCCATTATTTTAAAAAAATTTTTTGTGAGCAGTTTTAATTTGACAGCAAAATGGAGAGGAAACTACAGAGATTTCCCGTGTGCCCCGGGCCCCATACATGCACAGCCTCTCTCATTATCAGTGTCCCCCACCAGAGCGGATGTTTGTCACAACCCACAACCTTATGTTGATACGTCATTATTATCCAAAGTCCACAGTTTACGGGGTTTTCGCCCCTGTATTTTGCATGCTAATTTTTAGCTACTTTTTTCCACGCTAATTTTCTCTCCTGTACATGCTGTGAGTCTACACAGATGTATGGTGATGTGTATCCACTCTCTGCTCTACGTGGTCATCCCTTTCCTGCGCTGCACAACCCCTGTCAATCACTGATCTTTTTACAGTCTACAATTGTCGTTTCTCCGGAATGTCAAATAGTTGGAATCCTGCAGTACGCAGCCTTCTCAGATTGGGTTCTTTCACTTAGTAATGTGCATTTAAGTTTCTTGCCTGTCTTTTTATAGCTTTTAAAAGTTCATTTCTTTTTGCACTGAGTAAAATTCCATTCTCCGGATGTCCCACAGTTTTATTTTTGGTTGCTTTTGGAAATTATGAGCAAAGTAACTATATGCGTCCATGTGCAGGTTTTTTTATGGACATACATTCTCACCTCGTTTGGTTAAATACCAAGAAGCATGATTGCTGGATCATAGAACCCACTAAACTCTCCTAGAAAGTGGCTGTACCATTCTAATTCCCACCAGCAACGAGTGAGTGTTCCTGTTGCTCCATACCCTCACCAACGTTAGGTATTGTCAGTGTTCCGGATTTTGGCCATTCGGTAAATAATGGGTACCTGGAGGCAGTATTTTGTTGTAGTTTGCACTTCCCTGAGTTTAAACCTGGAGCATCTTTTCATATGCTAATTTTCCATCTGTATATATCTTCTTTGGTGAGTATCCCTTTATTTTTTATTTTTTTGTGAGTATCCCTTTAGAGTGACCCGTTTTTTAAAAAAGAATTTTCTTTTTTAAAAGAATTGTTTATTTTGGCCGTGCCGGGTCTTTCCTGCTGCTCGGGCTTTGCCTCGAGTTGCCGTGACGGGCTCCTCCTCACAGTGGCTGCCCTTGCTGCGGAGCTCGGGCTCCAGGGCGAGCAGCCTGCAGTACTTTCGATGTGTCGGCTCAGTAGCTGTGGCCCCCCACCCTGGAGCACGGGCTCAGTACTTGTGGCACACGGGCTTAGTTGCTCAGCAGCATGTGGGATCTTCCTGGACCAGGGATCAAACCCGTGTCTCCTGCATTGACAGACAGATTTTCTTTTTTTTTAACCAGTAAGCCACCAGTGAAGCCCCTGTTGGTCAATTTTTAAAAATCAAGTTGTTTGCTTTCTTAATGTTGAGTTTTAAGACTTCTTCGTATATTTTGGACAATAGCCTTTGATCAGATGCATCTTTTGCAGATATTTTCTCCCAGTCTGTGGCTTGCCCTTTCGTTTTCTTGACAGTGACTTCCACAGAGCAGACGTTTTTATTTTTTATTTTTTTTACATTTTTAATTTTAAAAAAGTTGAGCTTATTAATTCTTTCATGGGTCGTGTTGTATCTAAAAATCATCACCAAATCCGTAGTTGTCTAGATTTTCTCCTAGAGTCCACCAGTATTTTTAGCTGCGCCCCACAGCTTGCAGGATCTCAGTTCCCCAACCAGGGGTTGAACCCTGGGCCTTTGGCAGTGAAAAGGGCCAAGTTCCAACCACTGGGCCACTAGGGAACTCTATTATTCATTTACTGGTAATGGATGTGCAGTGGTGCTGGCATCGTTCACTGAAAAGACCATTTTCCCCTGTTGGATTAGCTTGGCACCTAGGTACAAAAGCCAGCCGGCCACTGTTGTGTCATAAAGACTTTGTTGGCTTTCACAGGAAGCAGTGGCCACCAGGTTAGCAGGAGTGGCAGGCAGTGGGCCCTTCAGGGAGTGAGAACTCCGAGTCAGTTTCAGGGGAGGTCTCGTGGAGAAGTCACCAGTGGACAGGCCCAGCTGCGGTTCCCTTGGAGGCAGGCGTGTTGTAGGATGCGAATGAGGGCCTCTGGGTCCAGTCACTGCAGTGCTTTCTGGAAGGCAGGAGTCAGCACTCCGGGAGCCCTCCGTGGGGTCTCCCAGCCTCTGCCCTCCATCCGCCCCAGCTTTGCCTCTGCTGACTGGCCTCTCTGGATCCTCCTTGGGCTCCAGGGGACATTACGGGCCTCACAATCCCAGGGTGTACGGGCTAGGGGCAGGGCAGGCATCCGGCCGTGTCTCGGGTCTGGGACTGCATTGGTCACACTCCAGTGCGCTGCTCCCCAGTATGGGCTGCAGAAATGCGCCCAGCCCAGGCCCAGCCCTTGGGCCACATCCCCCTTGCCATCCACCTAGCTAAATTGGCTGTGGGAATGTGTGTGTGGGGGGGGTGGGGGGGGCGTTGGGAGTCCTTGTTGCCTAGGGAACGCCCCCAGCAGGGCAAGGAGATAGGGATGGGACCCCGAAGGTAGGAGAGGCTGTGCCAGGGGAAGTGGATGAGACATGCCTGGCCTTGGCTTTGATGGGATGGGGGCGGGGCGGGAGTGGGGAAGGAACCAGGCCACCAGGGAGGGAAAGCCCAAGGCCACCATCAGGGTCAGGCCTGTTAGTCCATTTGCTGCTCCGGGACACTTGGTGACAATGCAGTAAGATCAGGTAGCATTTACTGAGCACCTACTGCGTGCAGGCGCTTTGTGCATGTCCTTTAATGTCTCACATCTTCACCCACGTGTGCGGGAGAGGAGTTCCCCGATTTTGAAGTTTTCTGGCTGAGACTCAGAGAGTTCGTTCACGAGGTTCAGCCCAGATCGCCCCCTCTGAACCGTGTCCTGATCTGTTGGGAGACCTGACCAGGCCTGCTAGGACCCCGCTAAGCCTCAGCCCTGCTTCGGCAATGCGGCGGTCTCCTGGCAGACACCCCTCTTAAAATCCGGTCCCTTCAGCTAGGATGGTGGCCCCCATGGCTCCTGCTGCTATGACTAGAGGGGAGGGGGTTGACTTGGCTTATCTTTGCCATACCTTTCACCGCACTCAGCAAACAAGAGCACAGGGGCCTGCCGAGGGCTCTGTGCCAGCTGGATCCTTCTACGAGAGATGAACCGTGAGTGCTGGGGGAGGGACAGCGGGGAACGAGGCTGGCAAAGGGGCCCTGGGAGCTGCTGGGCAGTGGACTGTCCATGGACGGGGACTAATGGCCAAGAGGACAGCAGTAGCCCTCCCCGGGCACCCCTCCCAGCCTGGGTGACTCAGGTCCTGCCCTCGGAGATGTTCAAACCTGGGCCCAGCTGCCAGCCCTCTGGGCATGCTGGGTTCCCTGCGGTTGTTTCCCACATCCTAAGGTTTCCTTCCCTCCTGGTCTCTGCCTGCAGCCCTCACCTGTGGGGCATGAACCCTGGTAGTCCCATCTGACTGCCCATCGGACAGTCCGGTCCAGGTTCCCAGCGGGCAGGAGGAGGGGCGCGGGGAGGCAGCGCCATCTGCAGGCAGCTGCTCCCTGAGGAGCCTGCACATCACGTGGACACAGCTGCTGGGGGGCGGGGCGGGGGGCCACGCCCAGTTGCCAGTGGCTCCGGTGTTGAAGGTTCCAAGCAAACAGAAGCCGGAAGCTGTCGGTGAGGAGGGAGAGGACGGTGGGGGGGGTCCAAGGCCTCCTGGTGCACAGGCCCAGTTATTGTTCCGTGGCTAATTACAGAGCCCCTGGGGATACAAGGGTGATGCTGTTCTATTGCTCCTAGAACAAATAACCACAAATTGAGCAGCTTGAAACAACACACATTTATCTCACAGTTTCTGCAAGTCATCTGTTGAATGCAAAGTGACTGGCGTTCTGCTTCAGGCAAGTCAAGGCATCTCAGGATCGACAAGGGAGGAGCCCACTTCTGAGGTCATTCAGGATGCTGGCAGAATTCACTGTTGGCAGAATTCAGCTCCGGATGACTGAGGCCCCTTCGTCTTCACAGCCAGTTAACAGCATTTCTGAGTCCTTCTGCTTTGAGGCTTTCTGACTGCCCCTTCCATCTCATCTGTGACTTGAGCTGGAGAAAATTCTCTGCTTTTAAGGGCTCATGTGATTACGTCGGCCCCACCCAGATAATCCACGATCATCTTCCTACTGTAAAGTCTGTAACCCTAATTACATCTGAGAAGTCCCTTTTGCCACACAATGTAACATATTCACAGGTTCCAGAGATTAGGGCAAGAGGTCTTCGGAGGCCCTCTGCCTGCTACTGAGTCATGTGCCAGAAGTCATGTGGCCCAGAAGTTGCCCCACTGCATGGAGCCTAGGAAGGAAACAGTACAGTAACTCACAGATAGAAACAGGGTGACAGCCTTCAAGGAGAGGGCTTTCCCGAGGAACGGAGCCCGAGGCAGCAGCGTTCCAAGAGCAAGGCCCAAGCCAGGGGCCAGGAGCACGGCACTGGAGGGCAGCACACAAGATTCAGAGAACCAAGGAGGGCGGTGCAAGGCGCCGGGTGGGGACCAGGCCACCCAGGGCACCGTGACAGCACGCCCCGAGGATCAGAAGGGACCATCGCCAGACGTTCGGCTACTCGATCCCCACCCTCTGTAAAGGGGGCTCTACCGTCATGCCCGAATTACCCGTGGGAAAACAGGCTCAGAGCGGGGAGCCAGGTGCCCACGCTAGGAAGAGGTGGGACTGGGAGCCTGCCACCTCCTCTGACGCGCTTCTACAGAGAAAGTACTGACACCCCTAGGAAGGTCGGGGTGAACCGAGGCGGTGCCGACCAGGGAAGGCTCCCGGTGCCACAGTAACGGCCCGAGGGCCCCAGGGGCTCACCTACCCATCATCGACGCCGGGTGTGTCTGCCGGGGTGCGGGCTTCCCCGTGTCACCCACTTCCACTACCAGAGAACCGTCAAGCAGGCGCTGGCTCCTGAATCTTCTGCTTGGAGTCACTTGGGTCACTTCTCTTCACGTACCACTAGGAAGGTCACATGACTGTATGGATCCGCCGCCCCAGGCAGCTCACTGAGATTAGCAGGGGTGGGTGGGAGGGGTGAGGACCCCAGCACAGTGGAGGAAGGTCCATTTCACTGGCAGGCGATCAGGGGCAGGCGAAAGGCAAGCACCTAGATTTGAACATAGGGAACAGGCTGCGTGGGCTTGCCTTCTGGGGCTCGGGGGAGCACCCGAGCTGGAGACCGGCGTGGAGGGCATCCGTGGTTAACAGAGCCCTGGGCACAGGAAGCCTGCTGGGGTGAGGGCAGGGACGGAGGGGCCCGGGGCCCGGGTTTTACAGACCATCTGCCAGCTGGGCCACGGGACCTCCTGCCTGAGCACGCCTGGTCCCACAGGCATGCGGGCCAATGTCCAGGCCAGCATGTGCAGGGCCCCCCTTAACCAGACCACACCTGCCAGAGACCAAGGGCAGGACCTCTCTGGAGAGATCTGAGACTTGGCCCAACCAGCATGCCGCCTCGAGTGCCCGACAGAGCTCCGCTCCCAGCGCAGCCCCGTGACCAGAGTCTCCTCAGAGTGGGAGTTGGGCAGCCCTTCTGCTCAGGGACAGCAGGGCCTACAGGCTCAGCCCTGGCCCTGCCTTATTCCTGCCCTGTCAGGGCTAAGTTCATTCATTCATTCATTCAGCCAGTATTTAGTCCACATCTCTCATATACCTGGCACCTACGAGATGCGCCCTGAGCCGATCAACAGTGGCAGAGAGAGACTTCCCCCCCAGGGTTCTAAGGGACGGCACCCCCAGAGGACCTGATGGGGTGGGCTTCCCTGAGGAGCTGACATTTTCAGCGCTGCAGAGAGGTGGCCCGCTGGACTGAAGCTGAAGCTTTGGGGTCTGCCTCTGGGCTCCGTGTGCTCCCGGCCTCTCCCCTGGGCACCTCCGGGCAATCTCGCCCGCCCCAAGAGCTGGGTGCGGGAAGGCCCCTGGATGGCGACGCGCTGCGGCAAGCGCTGCCCGCAAGCAGCAAAGCCCACCGCTCCCCATCACTCACACGCACGCACACACACAGCCACGCGCGCAAGACTGTGGCCCTGGAGACTGCGGACACACAAGGTCTCCGTAGAATAAACTGGGACTCCGCCTGTGACCTCCTGGAGGGCCAGGGGTCATCTGTCCCGCAAACCGCTGTTCCCAGCACAGAGACATCACTGTGACTAAGTGAAAGGACTGACAAACCAGGGACCGGCCGACTTCCGGCCGCCCAGCGGAGAACGGCTTGGACCGGGCGCGCAGAGCCAGAGGCGGTGACGTCACCGGCAGGGAGCGCGCCGCCGCCCGGGGGCGGGACCGGCGGTGACGTCACGGGAGGCGGGCCCACGTCGGGGCAGGGCGGGGCGCCGGGCGGCGGTCACGTAGCTCAGGTTCCCCGGCTGCCTTAGCGCGCGCGTCGGTCGGGTCTTGCGTGCCGGTGCCTGCCATCCCTCGCCATCATGCCGATGTTCGTGGTGAACACGAACGTGCCCCGCTCCTCCGTGCCGGACGGGCTCCTCTCCGAGCTCACGCAGCAGCTGGCGCAGGCCACGGGCAAGCCGGCGCAGGTCTGCAGGGAGGGCCGGGCTGGGAGCGCGGCTCCGGGATGGGGCTCCGGGCGGGGAGGGCAGGCGGCTCCGGGATGGGGCTCCGGGCCCGGAAGGCGGTCGGCTCCGGGATGGGTCCCGGGCCGGGAGCGGCGGGGGCGCGCGGGCCGGCTGACCGCAGCCCCTCGCCCGCAGTACATCGCGGTGCACGTGGCCCCAGACCAGCTCATGACCTTCGGGGGCTCCAGCGAGCCCTGCGCGCTCTGCAGCCTGCACAGCATCGGCAAGATCGGCGGCGCGCAGAACCGCTCCTACAGCAAGCTGCTGTGCGGCCTGCTGACCGAGCGCCTGCGCATTAGCCCGGACAGGTGCGTGGGCGCCGGTGGGCGGGCGGCGCGTGGCCTCGGCTGCCCCCGCACGGCCGGCTCAGCCCCGCTTCCTCCCTCGCAGGATCTACATCAACTTTTGCGACATGAACGCTGCCAACGTGGGCTGGAACGGCTCCACCTTCGCCTGAGGGTCGCGCCACGGGTTCCCCCGGCCCGCGGCCCTGACGCGCACGGGTTTCCCGCCCGCCGCGCCCCCCTCCCCCTCCCCCACCTCCCTGGAAGGAGAAATAAACTGGAGACGCGGGCTGCCTCGGCTCTTCTTGGCTTGCGGAGGAATCGGTGCAGGGCGGGGCCCATGAATGGGGAACCGAGGCCGAGACGGGTATCCCCGGAGTCTGCAACCTAGCCTTTCCACGCCTCAGCCCCCAGTAGAGGGCCCACACTTGGTTGGCATCCTGCCTGCACGCAGACCCAGGAATGCAAGTCAGATCCGGAACCCTCCGCCCCCTCTCCCCACCCCGACCTCCCGCGGAGACCCAGCCACCTCGTGGGTCATGGCTGGCGGGGAACTGGGGGAGGGGTCAGAATCCCAGTAGAGCCGAGGAGGGGCGGGAAGGGGGAGGAGCGGGAAACCTGGACTCTTTCGAGGCCACTGCCCCGTTGCCGCTGCCCGCCTCAGTGTCGTGATTTGGGAAATCCCCCTGTGCTGGAGCTTGGGAACCATTTTCCGGTGTGGTGGTGGGGGAGGTGCCCAGAAGGTGGAGTTCCTGGTGATGCCTCCCGGTCCACCCCTGGCCTCTGGGGCACAACAGTTTCCTGCGAGAACAAACTAGTGGTTTGGGTGCCGTTCAGGTCTCGGGGTATAGCAGCTGCCAGAGGCTCCAGGTGGCTGTTAGCCCCTGTTGGACAGGAAGGTCTCGGGTGCTGAGGGGACAGTCGGGAACACCAGTGTGGGGGTCGGGTGTACCTGGGGTCCCCTGGCCTAGGTGGGATCCCTTCTCCAAGTGCAGGGGCTTGCTCCCTTGTGGCCACCCAGCTGCCTTTGGGCCCCGCCTGGCGGCAGCTCCTTCCAAACAAAGACGTGCCGTCACTCAGCCGTGCGCACAGCCTGCCCCTGCCTCCTCAACCCGGGTTCCGGGGCCCCCCGTGGACTCGTGCTGGCCCTGAACCTCAGCCCCTAGGACAGAGAGCGACTTGAAATTCCACGGAATTGAAGTGGATTTGGTTTTGGAAGCTGAGACACTGAGGAAAAGGGTGTCACTGCCTGGGCAGGCCTCGTGCGGGGAGTGCCTTTGAGCCACAGGCAGTGGCAAGGGCCCCTTGATGCGCGTGGCCACCCCAGGCCCTTCTTGGGCGGCTGCCAGTGTTCCTGCCCGTGTGGCTCCCCGCAGGCAGGGGCAGGAAGCTCCAGGTGCCTAGTCCAGGCCAGGAGTTGAGGACGGGTCACAACAACCCGGTTCACTGGCACTGCACTGGGGCAGCCTGCCAGGGCCAGCCCGCTCCCCTACAGTCCAGGCCTAGCTGGGGCGGTGCGGGGAGCCCTCCGGCCCTCAGCCCCAAGTATGCTTCCTGGCTGTGGACGGTTTAACTTCCAGGACATGGGGGACAGGCATGACCTTAGAAAGGAGGAGTCTGGAGAGAGTGGCCTGTTGGGGGGGGTTGCTCCTCCCCCGACAGAGGTCTTCAAGCTCCCCTCAGTCTCATTCTGTCCTAGCTGAGGGGACAGGAGTCTCAGGGTCTCCAGGCTGGGGCAGGCATGGCTCAGCGTCCCCTTGGGTATGAACTCCCGTGGTGTAACAGGCTCCCACCAGCCTGGCCCAGCACCCGTGATAGGAACAGCAGGGGGCTGGGTCTCCAGCATCTCGTCCAACTTCCTCATTTCACAGCTGAGGACCTGGTTCTGGTCTCTGGGGCGTCTTGACTCTGGGCCGCCTCCTCCCAGGGTCCCGCCTCACATGCCCCCCCCCCCCCGCCCCCGCCCTGAATGCCCCAGCTAGGACTCTCAATGTGGCCCCATGGGAGCCATGGGGGTCTCCCGAGGCTCCCCGGCTGCAGGTGTCTGAGGGCCCAGGCTGGGCGCCTGCTGTCTCAGGGAGGGTGGAGGGACTCTGGAGAGCAGAGGGTGGCTCACCGCCAGAGGCTGTGGTCAGCTGCGGGTTGCATGGCAAAGGATCCTTGGAATCCAAGGAAAAACAGGGCGCCTGTGGGTCAGGGGCCCATACTCGGCCACGCCCACTGCACTCCCGGGTCCTCCGGAGCGAACCACTGTTCCTTCTCCATCCCGCTCAGGCCAGCCCCTGTCTCTCTTACCTCACTCCCCGCCTCACCCCATGAGCTCCTCCATCTCCTCCGAGGCATGGGCTCCCCTGCCCCCCGACAGCCTGTTCCGGCCCCCGGTGCCAGCAGCTGCCCTGCCCACGGGGGTGCCAGCAGCCTTGGAACCAGCAGCAGAAACTCATTTCCAAGGAACCCCTCACACCGAGGTGGGAAAGACAGGGGTTGGGGTGCCAGCGCCGGCTGCCACCTGCTCTCCACCATCTTTTCAGTGCTACCGGGTCGTCTGCCAGTGAAGACCCACGGCCTCCAGGGGGACCGGCCGCCCTCAGCCCCAGTGTGCAGCCTGGTGCCTCTGTTCCTTGTGCACTGAATGCCCTCCCCTTCCTCGTCCCCGGGAGCCTCGCACAGCGCCTTCTAGGATGCACTCCCTGAGGCCCCGACACCAAGGAAGGCCACTCTAGGCCCTACACTGCTCCTCCTGGTGGTGTGTCCCCAGCAGCTTCTGGGTAGCTGCACCAAGCTTCGTGATCTTTGAGGCCAGCAGCCGGAGGCCACTCGGGGCTTGTCCACTCTGGACAGCCTAGCAGCCTAGGTACCCCCAGGCCTCCCGCCTTGTCCCCTCCAGGCTTGTCCCACTGCCCTCTCCTCCAGCCTGAGACCCCTGCCTCCAGGCCTGCTTCCCCGGGAGCCTGACCCAAGGGGCTCTGGAGTCAAGTGCCCATGGCTTCCCTCTGGGCCTCAGTATTCCCCATCGATGAAATGAAGGGATTCCCCAAACGTCTTTCCTCTGTAATCCCTAAACCATGGAGCCGTCCCTGTCGGCCTCAGCAGCACAGGCACCGCGGAAGGCCACGGATGCTGAAGGCGCCAGTGGGGTCTGCGCCTGCACTCAGGTCTTAATACTATCTGGGGGGCTCCGCGGACCCCGGAGCTCAGGACGACACCAACATTTCTGGGCCAGTGAGCTCCTTGACACTTTGCCCCACTCTGCACCAGGTGCTGGCCCCCAAGATGGGGTTTGGTGAAGCTCTCTCCTGCCACTCAGCCCTTCTTTCCAGTTGAGCAAAGCCAGCTTCCAGCCCTGCAGGCCTCACAGCAAGAATTACAGAATGAGCTGGAAAGGTGGAGTGGCAGAGCGGGTGTGCATAGTAAGGCTCCGTCAGCCGTCTTTCCCCAGAATCACCCTCCTGATCGAGTGGGTGCATCTCCCTTTCTGTGTTTGAAGCCCACGTAAGAGGGGGGGGGGGAAAGAGGCCAGTTTTCAGGAGCTGACTGTGCCCGCTTGCTCCTGGAGCCTCGGCTGCCACCCGGGGGTACCCCCAAGACAGGGCTCCGAATCCCAAAGCTACAAATGGGAAGTCTCGCAAGCGCGACCCGTGACCGGATTTCTTGCCTAATTCTGCTTTTGTTTTAATAGGTGACATATGTATGTCTGGGGCGCAAATTCAGAGTATTCCAAAGATCCCCCAAGAGAAAGCTCCCTGCAGCCACCCCCTCCACAGGCACCCCCAGAGGCATCTTTACACACACATAACACCCCTCCCCCTAACTTTTGTCCCCCACAAATGGTAGCCTATTCTAATGCTAGTTTGACTTTGTTTTCTTTTCTTTTTTCAATCTAGCTCAGTTACTTAACCAGCCCCGGTCAGGACGGTTTGGCCTCAGTCCATCCCTCTGCCCTCAGCTCTGTGCTGTTGGCGTCCACGCGTGCGGAGGTGTACCTGGAGGATAGGTCCCTAGCAGGGTGAGTAGGTCAAAATCGATGCTGTGACCCGATGTCCCTCCTAGAGGGGCGGGCTAGAGCCGGGGGGCCTCCCCACCTGTGGGGAAAGTTTTTCTCTCCTTATGAGGTAGACATAAACGGCCATTCCTGGTACCTTTTTGGGGAAGCAAAGTCCAATCCTTCAGCCTGTTTTCCCACTGAGTGGTTTGTTGTGTTCAAGCTCTTTGTGTATCAGGGAAGCTAACTCTTTGCTGGGAGTTGCAAATGTTTTCCCCAGCTTGGGCCCAGACCTTGGCTGGCCCGAGCACCACGGGGACGAAGCCCCCTCGGGCCACAGTGATGCTGCCCGCAGTGGAGGTATCGCCCCAAAGTCCACAACTATCAACTTAGCTTGTAAATTAGGGCATCTGGTGGCAGCCAACCCCCTCCTTCTTCCCAAAGAGCTTCTTCCTGCCACCACTAGCTCAGCGGGGGATGCCAGGGCGATGTCCACCTGAACTGTTACTTTAACTCGTGACCCTCAAAGGTGGTGTGAATTTCACGGTGGCTTTCCTGAAAAGTAGACCTGGCTGGTCAAAAATGCACTGTGACGGGGACTTCCCTGGTGGTCCAGTGGTTAAGACTCTGCACTTCCAACACGGGGGCCGGGGGGCGAGGGTTCAATCCCTAGTAGGCAAGGTGGCAACAGGACTGCCACCCACGAGAAAATCGGGTGGACTCTGTCAGAGTCTGCCAGTGTTTCCCCAGGAGAAAGCCCAGCTTCAGGGAGTGAGTCTCTCATCTTTTGCTCTCTGATAATTTGGAGGATACTTTTTTTGATTCTAAAATAAGCCCATATTGTCCTTGTTCAGGGAGAAGTGAAAAGACCCTTTGGGTCTGAAGCTTTCCGATTGTTCTTTGTAAAGTTGTAGTGAGCCCCCAGTCCTCCGCTCCAGAAGTGGGTCTGAGGGGAAGGGGCAGGTACCAGACCCCCTCCAGGGAGGTGCATGGCTTCAGAGAAGAACACGAGTGACCCTGCCCTCCAGTGCCAGCACTTGGGGCGGGGCTGCCCAGGTGGCCCTGCCCCCCGGGAAGCAGCCGGGTCTGGGCGGGCGGTGTGACATACGCGACAGCAGCAAAGAGCCCAGGCCTCTTCCCCACCAACAGCAAAGCACCATGAGAGCTGAGTGTTCAGGGGGGTTCTGGAAAGGAATTTCTAAAAACAAAGTCTTCCATGAAGGCTGATTCCTTGCTGAGTGGCTGGCTGCCAGTCAGAACAAAACACAGCGACGAAGCCGACAGGCAAGTACAGGTTCTACCGCCGTCCCGCGTGTAGACAAGGGTAAGGGGCCTGGTGATCGTGGGGGCGGGTAAAGAAGGACACGAAAGGCGGTCACAGCCCTTGTCCTGTTTCGTCAACAACCCGTGTTTATTAGACAAGCAAAATAAAGAACACTGAGGTATAGTGAATGTTGGTGCAGAAACAGACACTTTCCAGAACAGGCTGTGACTTCACAGATACCACACTGAACGTGACTTCAAACATGCAGAGAAGGTAGGATGAGAGGTGGTGAGGAGGCAGACAAGCAATTGCTGAGCTCATCGCTCGTGTCCGGGAAGGAAGCCAAGATGCACTGAACTCCACAGAGAAAACTAACACCCGGGGGGTCACTGGAGGTCCCCATAATGTCTTCACTTCCCCCCAGTCTGCCCCACGAATCCACACAGTCCCAGTAGAAATTACCACAGACTTGGGGTGGGATTTGATCACCAAATTCTAACATTTATGAGAATCCAAAGGGTCAGGAGGAGCCAAAACATTTTCAAGGCGGGGGACCTGCTTCGATGTCAAGATTTCTTATCACGCGTCGTAAGTGAGGCAAAGTGAATCTGCACAGGGTAGACATTGCACACACGTGTGGGCCCCATGCAGGGTCAGGCAGAGGGAAACAAAATCCTTGTGCAGGAAGCCCGGGTCAGCGAACCGCCAGGGCCTCCGGGCACCACATGGGGACAAAGGGCAAACCGGATTTCTATTGCACACCCATGCAAAAAAACAAAACAAAACAGTGAATTAAAGACACAGAGGTCACAGAAGGGCATATTACCTTCATGACTTCTTCACCGAGGTGCAAAAAGCACAGATGACTAAGGAAAGATGGACACGTTTGATATTATTAGTAAGATACCACGATGAGTCAAAAGACATGTGCGGTGAGAGGTTCACATTCAGATATTTAAAAAAAATCCTGCTACAAATTGGGGACAGACAAACCAATAAAAAATTAGCAAAGGACTTTATAAGCCTCTTCACAAATGGAATATCCAATGGGAAAGATGTTCGGCCTAAAGATGAGGGGAAGGCAGTTAAGGCACCACAAGCTGCCACTCCTACCCGTCTCGTCGGTGATAATGATGCCCCTGCAGCTCTCCGCCCAGGTGTTGACCCTGCAGAAACCTGGAGACCACCCAACGGCCATCGAGAAGGGAATGGATAAATAAAGCGCAGCATATTCCTGGCACCCAGCACGTACAGCCGGGCAGCGCCGTGAGTGAGCCACGGGGACACGCGCCACCGCCACCATGGACCCGGCCCTTTCGGGCGCTTACAGTTCCCAGCCAGTGAACCGCAGCACTCAGACCCTGAGGAAGGCCGGGCCAGGCTTCCCCTCCCAGGGGACAGCGGGCTGGCCTGCCGTGGGGAGGCTGGTGGTGAGCGCGGCGGAGAAAGGCTGTGGAGACATCGTCTCTCACTCTTGTTACAAGCGTCTGGGTTACACTTGTTCAAGTGCTATGCATTTTTCTGTGTGTGTGCTATACTTGGTGGTGTGAGGGACCACCCCCCGCACACACACTGAAAGGGAGGCAGGGAAGACCGGCACGTGCCATGCGCGTGGCCCCCTGGTCCCCACCCCTCGGAGGCCTTGCCCGACAAGGGCTGCCCCCCTGGCTGCCTCCTCCCAAGCCTAGCCCCGGCCTCCCTGAGCATCCGGCTGCCATGGGCCTGCGGAGGTGGGAGCTTCCCCCGTGGTCCGCGTCTATCCCACAGCACCCCCCACTGCCCCCCTCCACCTGCCGGCGGGACCCGCTGGGCTCCGTGTGCTCAGCCCGCCTTGTGGCACGTGCTGGGACCCCCCACACTATGGCCAAGGCCCCCCAAAATGGAATTGGAAGAAAGCAGTGGTCTACACAGGCCCCTCGAGCCCACCATCTTGCACACTGGCGTCAAGCTTTGAGCGTACTCCAGTGGACCCCACACAGGAGCCCAGGTGAGGTCTGAGGCTGTGGGGATGGGTGCCAGGGGCCTCGGGGGCCGGGTGTGGGCCACAGCTTGGCGGTGCCTTAGCTGACGCCCAGCTTGATGGGGGGGGCTCCACCGGCCACGCAGCAGGGTTCTCATGGGTGGGTGGGTTTGTGAGCTGCCGGAGGACTCGCCAGGGTGCAAGAGAGCTTCTGCCTTCTGGGTGGCGGTGGGGTTCTCCAGGGTCTGTTTACAGAGAGGTACTGGCCCCCCGAGTTTGCCGTAAGGAGAGGGGCCCTGGAGGGCCCACCTACACCTTCTAGAACATTCCCGGGTGACGGCTGTCCCCTGGAGCTGGGAGCCCAGCCGGCCCGCCAGTGGGAGGTGTGGGGTTGTGAACTCACAGCAACATCACCGGCAGAGAAGAGGGGCTGAGACAGAAAAACAATTCAGGAGGTCACTGACCACCTGAGGCTTGGCACAGCCAGCAGAGGGGCGCTCAGGAGCTGGCGGGGGTGCGGGGGGGACAGGGTGGTTTGAGAAGCCCGCCCTGGTCTCATGCTCAAAACAGGAGCAGCGGAAAAAGGAGAAAGAGGGGTGTCCTCAAAGGAACATGAGGACAGGCTAGGACAGTCAGAGACAGGCTGGGCAGAGATGCAAGGCAGCGAGCGGCCAGGCCCACAGAGCACCCGGGCCAGCGGTGCTCCCTGGGGGACGGGCGCCCCAGGGCCGAGGCTGGGGACGTGGCTGGCCCCCCTGGAGCCGGGCGGCGCAGCATGCCAGCAGACGGGGCCTCTGTGAGAGCCGATGCCGGGCCTCGAGCCGGCAGCTCGCAGGGGCTGGGGAGGAGCCGGGCCAGCTGGGCAAGCTCCAGGACAGGAGACGGGCACCGAGCCCCGAGAAGCGCCGGGTGCACGGGATGGGCCGGCAAGACTAGGGGAGAGGTCCCAACGTGGGGGTGAGGCCTTGGGCAGCCCAGCCGGAGGCCAGCGGGCCACACCCCGTCTCTGCGGTGGAGCCACCCTGGGGCTGTTTCAGCAACAGAGGCTGTGATCACGCTGGCCTCAACAGTGTTTCTTTCTCTTGCCTGGGAGAGCCCAAGGGACAACATCTAGAGGAATATGTCAGAAAAGCTTAAATGTTTGGGCCAGGAAGTGAACAGAAAAGGTCAGGAGGAGGGAAGGCCCTGGAATCCAACAAAAGCGGCAGGCCCTCTGTGCACTGAGGAGCCCGGCTGGGTGTCCCCGCCAGACCACAGCCCCCCGTGTGCCCTGCCCTCAGCAGGGAACCCGCTCCGGGCGGGTTCAGTCAGGGGTGGCCAGAGGGAAACGGCAAGTACAAGGTTCTGAACATCTTGCAAGGAGAAAGTTATCATAAATAAGCTCCGAAGGCTGGGCCGCCCACGGGGTAGGGTTTATGAGCAGGCAGGAGTGGCTCGGATGGACTCAGAGGAGGTGGAAGGCAAAGAGGCTCCGGACATGGCCCCATGCGTGCCTGTGAGGCTAAGCTCACCCTCTGCAGGGTCAGGGCCCCCAGGGGTGGGGCTGAGCCAGCATGCTCCTTCCTGCCCACTCTGTCCATTTCCGCCCAGACCGTGAGCCAACGGGAAGAGGGATCCACACAGGGCTCAGCACCATGGATTCTGAGGCCGCCGAGCCACCCGCAGGCCGGCCGGCGGCGGGCGGGGCACATGCGACAGGCTGGGGCCATGCCCAGGTGTGGAGAAGGTCCCGGGAGCCCTGCGGGCGGCTGGGCGGCGCAGTCCCTGGAAAAGGAGCACACGGCCACCAGGGAAAGGCTCTGGGCTTTAATCCCCCTGACCTTAGACGTTCCGTTTTTCTTTCTTTGAACTTTAACCTAAAAGGGCAAAGGAATTTAATTTTTTGATTTGCATTTCACCCTAGGAAATTCAAGACAGAGAGTCTGTTTCTAGGCTGACACTCTAATTGGAGCATCTCTGTCATTTTATCTCCTTGCAGAACCTCTGAGCCAAATTTGGACTCTGAGGTTGGACCTAATTCAGGACGGGAAAGGGGAGGGAGAGAGTTCTGGGTCTGGGGTCCAAGGTGTCCTGAGAGTTCAGTGATGTGGGTGCTGATCCATCCTGAGGTGACTGACGTGGGAGGCTCTATAAACCGCCCACAGCCCCCAAAGAGGGATGCGTAGATTTGGGGCCTGCCCCCACCCCTGGGAAACAGCTGAGGCACCTGGTGGCCCCTGCCCTCCCCTCGCGTCCGGCCTGCCACTCTGCTCGGCGAGCAGCAGCAGTATCGCTGACCCATAAACTTGGGAGGACAAAGGGGGCAGCTTCCATCTGGCTCCCTCAGCCTCTCTGGGGACCTCGCCCGCCCTGCCGTGTGGGTACCTGTGGCCTCCTTGCTCCCGTTGGGGGTGAAACGGAGCAAACTGCCCAGCAGGTGAGGATCTCTGGCCAGCACCCCAGGCCCCCCCGTCAGCTGCTGAGCGGTCCTCCCGCCACCACGCCACGTACCCCCACCCCCTGTGTTTCTCTTCCTCCTCCTCCTCCACGCTGCACCGCCCCTCTGACCGCTGTTGCCCCCTCAACCGTCATCACCCATTTTCTCTGCTGGAGATGAACCCCAAACTATCACTTCAAGTCAGCTTGTTTGGTTTCTTAAAGGGGTCTCTCTGCGCACACTGACAGACGCAGAATGTGTTCAGATCATGGAGGCGACAGGGAGCAGGATGGGATCAGAGGGGCTAGTGCCAGCTACGAGGTGCAGGAAAACTGTCAATGGGCCGGGGGGTGGGGGCAGCAAGCTGGCCCTGCGCCCACCCCACCGGGGCCCACCAGCCCCGCTCTGCGGCCCCCTGCAGAGTCGGCCCCCTGCTGGCCCCGCAGCCGGGCCCACGGCTGCCCTTTCACCGCTGTGGCTGTGCCGACTGTCCTGCCCCCAGGCTCTGCAGCGGTGGGGGCTGTGCCACAGCAGCAGCCCCTCTGTTTTCCAGGCTTTTCCCGCAGCCTGAGGTGCCACTCCCCTGCCCCCGCCCCCCTCCCACCACCCTCCCGCCCCCGAGCTCGGGCCAGGGCTCTGGTGGGCAGCATGGCCGCTGCTCCGCCTAAGGCAGGGTCAGCTTTGAGTAAAGGCCCGAGTGGCTTCCCCACCCAGGCAAGGCCCCTGGGACCTGTGTCTGGGGCCTTCCAGGGCTCCTGGCCCCCTTAAGCAGATGCCCTGCAGCGTGAGTGACCTTTCCCAATTTCCGAAGCAATTTCCCCCGACACTACCTCGTGTTATCCTCACAACAACCCTGCGAGGAAGGGACTAGCGGCCTTACTTTCAAGGGGAAACTGAGGCGCAGAGAGGTAAAGTAGGCGGCCTTCCCCGTGTCACACAGCGAGTCAGCGAGAGGACCGGCGCCTGCTCTCACCCCACCGCCCTTCCCGCCGCCCCAGCCAAGGCCCACTCGCTTTTCTTCCCAGTTTTCTTCTTCTACACTTCCCCCACCACATCCCCTCCCACCACCCCCCCTCCCGGCCCGGCCTGTCAGTGGACAGATAGGTTAAGAGCAGCTGGCCTGGGACCTGTGGTCCTCCCACCCCTCTTCTCAGGAAGCGGCGTGCAGCGCAAGGATCAGCTTGACCAACACTTCGTGTGGACAGGGTGGGGAGGGCCCCCAGGAGAACTCTGCTCAGGGCCAAGGGCCCTCCCCCTGTCCAGAGGAGGGCTTTGGGGTGGCACCCACAAACCCAGGAACCTCCCTGCTATGTGTACTGGAGGACGACAGTGGAGGGGGCAGGAGGAGGAGCTGGTGCGACACCACCAAACGAACGAGGCAAAATTAGAGTGAGCCAGTGGCTTGGCAGTGCTCAAAGGTGCCCGCCCGTCTTCCCTTGAACTCCGCCCCCACCAACCTTGAGCCTGGCACGCTGCCATCGCTCAGAGCCACTCCCTGTGTTGCACACTCCCCCGTGGGAGTAGTCATGGGCATTGGGGTGTGGCTACAGGGGAAGGTAAAGGTGGTGGATCACTAATGTATGGGTGGAGTGGGGTATGTCCACGTGCTTTGAAGTCACTCCTGTGTCTGCTGCTTTGGGGCATAAATGGCTTCTGGGGACATGCTTACTGCCAAAGGAGAGGTGGGGGAATCCCCTGTTCCCTGCAGGAAACATAAAATCATGGTCAAAATGAAAGGTGAATCAAAGAGTCTGCAATCAAAAAATATGGGGGAAAGAGGGAGTATTTGAAAGAAGGTGTGTCTGGCAGTTAAGAAAAATTTCAGGGTATTTTGCTTGAGTTTGTGATGTCTGTGGGTCCTCATTTTTAAAATTTGTAACTTCTCAATCTAGATAACTGCTTTATACACATATATGTATTTATTTAAAGTTTATAATTTTGAATGTGTTGACAATGACCCAGTTTTTTTGTTCAGCTCCCTTTCCCAACCAACTCTACTCAATATTCCCCGGTGTTCACGGGTGGGACTCTTACTGGCTACCCATGGGCCCTGTTCAGGGCTCTGTTCTCATGCTGGGGCACCTGCTGCTCTTCAGGACTGAATCCTCCCGCCTGATGCATGTAAACTGTAATGTGACTGCAGAGCTTCCTTATCCCAAGCTTGCTGGTTTCTGCAGGAATCATTATCCCTAAGTCTACACAGGAGGAAACTGAGGCCAAGGCCAATTGAGGGCTGCAGGCGGTGATAGGGTTGAAAAAGACAGCATGACAGGCAGGGTGAGGCAAAGACAGCGGCCGCACTTTGTCCCAAGGCCATTCCAGTTGGTGACAAAATAACTGTAACAGATTCCTGGCCAGGGCCCCTCCGCAACCACAGCAGCCTCCTGGAACCAGAAATGCCTTGGTTTCTATGGTTTCATTCACAGGCCAGCTTTGTCCTACTTAAGCAGGAAAGCCAAAATGTCTTGCCCAAGATCACTCAGCTAGTAAGTGACAGGTCCAGGATTTAAATCCAGGTCTCTGGGCCCAGAGCAGGTCCAGGGGGAATGGGGGTACATGAAGGCCCACACATCAAGCTGACCTGGCCCAGCTAGCCAGTGGTGGCAGCAGGCTCCAGCCCCTTCCTTCCCCTAGTGGCTCCCCAAGCCACATGGACTGGTCTTTCAAGTAACTCATCCTTCCATTAGAGGGCCCGCACCCTCTAAAATCACTTGCAGGGTCTCACTAGGTCTCTATATAACCACCTCTGGAGAGGGGAGAGCTGTAGTTGTTTTACAGGTGACAAGACGGGCTCAGAAAACTTTGGGGAACTCAATAATGTGTGATGTTCCCTGGCGTCATCAGCAGCAACGTGTTTTCCCCCTTCGCCCACAGGAGCCGTTCACCAAAGGTGAGGTTGTATCAGAAGAAAACCACCAAGGTTCTCCCTCAGGGAGATGAGCTGGGACCTCAAGGTGCCCGGGCAGAGGATGAATAAAGCATCAACAGATGGGGTGGGTGGGGTCCCATGTGAAGTCTCCTACTGACAAGAATTACCAAAAGGCTTCTTGTCCAGAGCCCCTAGTCTTTTAACTTGGTCCACCTCACTCAGAAGCCCCAAAATGGCACCGGGGTGTCAGGACAAGGATTTCTCTTAAAACCAGTGCCTACTTCTCACCAGCATGGACTTCATGGTGCTCTCTCCCCTTTCCTCCCACTGGCATCCCTTCCTTGCAATTCCTACTGGCCATCTTGTCCCTTCCTCTCTCCCGTCCTTAACCCAAAGGTAAGTCTCTCACAGACAGAGGGGAGTCAAGGTGATTTAGATCTCTAGGCGCCAGAAAGGGCCGTGTGGTCAGACTTCCACCTGAACGTGCAAGCAATCCATGAGGACCCTCCCTGCTCTACAACGCGGCTCTAGGCTCAGGTGTCCGACCTGCTCGCTCCCCTTTCCCTGACCATTCTGTCCCCCCTCCGTCGTGTGGGTAAATATATTCTCCTTCCAACACTGACTACGGGTCTGCCACGGTTTGCTCGCTGATGGGGCGTGTCTGGCTGGGGCATGATGACGCCGTGAAATCAGGTCTCCCACAGTTTGCTCAGTGATGCGACTCCACGAAACCTGCCTTCCCCGGCAGGCCCGCCCCGCTGTTTCTTCCCTCTTCTCCGTTTCCCTGCACCTTCCGAGCCCTCCTCCTTCCTCCCCTCACTCGACGCGGCCTGAGACGCTGCACTCCCTCCCTTCGCCCCGACCCCTCTCTTCCGCTTCTACGCCCTGCTCCCGTGTGGTTTTCCCTGCCCTCTCCTTCCAGGCTCGGTCGACGCCGTGCAGTAACGGAACCACCCGCCGCCCTCGATACCCCGGCGCTCAGCGGCCGCTTGGGTCTCGGGACCGCAACGGTTCAGCGCGCGCCCCGCCGCACGTCGCCAGGGCAACCCACCCACATCCCTTTCTCCCGGCAGGCCCCGCGCGCCGAGTAGCCCGCGACGCGGCGGGCCGGCCCACTCCCGGCATGCTCCGCGCGCGGGGCGGTGCTCTGAGGGGCGGGGCGAAGCTGGCAGCTCCCGGCGTACCCCGCGCGGCAGGGCGCGGTTGAGCCAAAGGCGCCGCGGGGCCTGGTGGTTCCTGCGCGGGCAGCACCTGCCCGGGAGGCAAGTGAGGTCTGGTAAGATGCGGCTAAAGGGCCGACGAGAGGCTCTCGTCGAGGAGAAGGACTGAAAGTGAAAGTGAAGTCGTTCAGTCGTGTCCGACTCTTGGCGACCTCATGGACTGTAGTCTACCAGGCTCCTCCGTCCATGGGATTTTCCAGGCAAGAATACTGGAGTGGGTTGCCCTTTCCTTCTACAGGCGATCTTCCCGACCCAGGGATTGAACCCGGGTCTCCCGCATTGTAGGCAGACGCTTTACCGTCTGAGCCACCAGGGAGAAGGACTATTTAACGTCATTTTTGATTTTGCAGTGACCTTTCTTGTTAATATGTTCAGTCGCTAAGGCGTATGCAGCCCTTTGCGACCCCATGGCCTGCAGGCCAGGCCTCCCTGTCACCAACTCCCGCAGTTTACTCAAACTCATGTCCATCGAGTCGGTGATGCCATCCAACCATCTCTTCCTCTGTCTTCTCCTTCTCCTCCCGCCTTCAATCTTTCCCAGCATCAGGGTCTTTTCCAATGAGTCGGCTCTTCTCATCAGGTGGCCAGAGTGTTGGAGCTTCAGCTTCAGCATCAGTCCTTCCAATAAATATTCAGGACTGATCTTTAGGATGGACTGATTTCTTGCAGTTCAAGGGACTCGAGTCTTCTCCAACATCACAGTTTTCAATTCTTCGGCACTCAGCTTTCTTTATAGTCCAACTCTCATATCCATACATGACTACTGGAAAAACTGTAGTTTTGACTAGACGGACCTTTGTTGGCAAAGTGATGTCTCTGCTTTAATTTATTGTAGAGAATAAGGTACAAATAACTTGTGCATCCCCCACGTGGGTCAGGCTTAAGTGAGCCCTCAGGGCGCTTCCACCACAACCTCCACGCTCAGGAATCTGGTGTTTCCTATTTGATTTGTGTTTATAATTGAAGAAGGTCAGAACACCCCAAAGCATGCTCTGGCATGTTGACTATTTTGAGTCAGACACTTGAAAAACAGCAACTGCAAGAAAAACACTAACTTTTCTTTTTCTTAAAAGCAGGAGATGAAATTGCTATGTGAAAAAAGTTCATGTCTTTTGCCCAGTTTTCTATTCCATCTTTTTTTTTTTTTCCTTACGGATAGATTTTCAGGCCTGTTTTACTGGCAGTTTACATTTTTAGGAGTGAACCTGGGGGCTTTTCTTTCATTTCCTCTCCTGTGGCCTCTTCCTGTCATTTGTGGAGATGGTGAAGGACAAGGAAGCCTGGCGTGCTGCGGTCCATGAGGTCGCAAAGAGTCGGACATGACTGAGTGGCTGAATCCTAGCAGGGTCTCCAGAGGACACATTGCACGGTATTTAATCATCACGAAGTGCCGAGGTCCAGCCCTGGCAGGACCAGGAATACCCAAGGGATGAGTGGCATTGGCGAGGAAAAAGACACACACACACACACACACACACACGGTTGCGTAGAAGAGGTAGCTTCTTTTTTTTATTTTTAGGATAGCTCAGTTTTTATAGAATGAATGTTACCTACCCCTTAAGTCACCACATATTACATCAGATATTGGTTTGTGCTTCCGTCAATATTTTTTTCCCCCAATGTTTTTCCCCTAAGCATTCATCTAGAACATTTCCGATTACAGGGTTTATACTTAAATGTCCCGTACATAGCTTTCTTGCCTCAATGGCCTAACATTCTCACTCTAACAAAAACAATGTTCCACAAATCTCAGGTATAGTGTAAATTCTTTGGGCAATAAAACAATATATGGGAAGGGTCACAGTAACATGTTTGACATTTCTGAAAATAGTACCATGAGAAAAACCTGATATTTTTCTTTACCTGAAACCACAAAATCTCAATTTACAACGATTAACTATTAAACAGCAAAAACACCTCTAAAGCAGCAAAACATCTCTATTAATAGTAAGATAATGGCAGTAAAGCTGGTTAATATAAATCTTCTATTAAAATCCTATATACCCCATTTTCTAATTTTACAAAAATACCCATAATATCCCATGTTGTTTAAAGAAAGGGAAACAATGAACAAATAGCAGCAAGGAAATAGCAATGATGAAAACCCTTTCAACCAAGGAGCAAGTAAACTAAAGCAGTATATCTACTTCTAAATCTAAATACCTCTACTCTTTTCTATTCTAGAACATAATCTTTTTTTTTTTTAATTTATTTATTTATTTATTTATTTTTTATCACAACCATAGTGTATCTTTTTTTTTTTTTTTTTTTTACATGTATTCCCCATCCCGGTCCCCCCTCCCACCTCCCTCTCCACCCAATCCCTCTGGGTCTTCCCAGTGCACCAGGCACGAGCACTTGTCTCATGCACCCAACCTGGGCTGGTGAACTGTTTCACCCTAGATAATATACGTGTTTCAATGCTGTAGAACATAATCTTTTAAGCAAGCAGCCAAACTACACCTGTGGCCTTTTCTTTTCTGACTTTATGTTTATGGTCGTGTCCTGAGCCAGAGCAATCATAAGCATTTCCAAAAACGCTTGGACTTTTCCAGCGAGGCCTTATTACTATATATTATCATTTCCAAAAATTAATAGCCCAACAACAGTAAGACAGAAGGAAGACAGGGACATATCGGGCCCCTGGGACAACCTCGAGGGGAAGAACTGTCTTGCAGATTCCTTTCTTGTCCCGGCGGCTCCGGAGGGGACATGTTGGGCCCCCGGGGCAGCCCCATGTGAGGAAGAGCTGCCTTGCAGGTTCCTCTCTCGTCCCATGACCTTGTCACGGACTGGGTGCATCCCGGCAGCTCCCGACAACGAAGCCTTCACCCTGTTCTGTAGTCAGGGGCTCCTTACAACCAATAGTGAGTCCAAACACAAATGTTTAGGGAATGGCCCCTAAGCATCAGAAACAGCACAGATGCAAGCACACCACGGTTTCAGGTTTCAAGTTTCTCCAGTTTGCCTTACATACATTTCTGTTTTCTTCTTTTTTTCTGGCTACACCTTGGGTATATGGGATCTTAGTTCCCTGACCAGAGACCAAACTTATGTCCCCTGCAGGGGAAGTTCGGAGTCTTAGCCATTGGACCAGCAAATGTGGGAAATGCCCACATTTCTATTTTCAGTGGAGTGACTTATTTTCTTATATGTGTTGTGGGGCAGGGCAGGGCTGGGGAGCGGGGGAGGCTGTCTTCCAGGGCTCCCCACATGAGAAAGAAAGAGAGAAAAGGAGAGAGAGGAAATTCCTTCTGGTCCTGTGCTGTGTGCTCCAGGATAAGAGTCTCGCTGGAGGCAGGCTGAGTCTGGAAGTTGGTGAAGCCACCAGACCACCGCAGGGAAGAGGATGGGGGCGGGCCAGTGGTAAAGACTTTGCCTTCCAGTGCCTCTGGGTTCGACCCCTGATCTGGGAGCTAAGATCCCACATGTCTCTGGGTCAAAAGACTAAAACCTAAGACATAAGCAATGTTGTAACAAATTCAGTAAAGACTTTAAAAATGGTCCGCATCAAAAAATCTTAAAAAAAAAAAAAAAGAAAAGCCAGCGACCAGCCCCTCACCGGGCAGAGGCCAGGAGGTGTGGTGTCCTGGCTGGCTGCCCAGCCTGTCATGGAGGGAGTAGGCTTCGGGAGAAGCATGGATCAGACCTGAGTGGAGAGCAGGCAGGAGGGAGGCACAGGGATGGATGCTGAGCTCTTTCTATACCTGTCCTTGCCCCCCTGCCACGCCACCTACATTTTCACCAGGAAGAGTGGCATCCCCTTCGAGCTGAGGCCTGTGGAGCTGGCACCATGGGGTGAGCAGAGCCAGGTGAGCTCCACAGAGGGGGGACCCGGGGGCCAGGCCCTGCACTGAGCCTCGTCTGCGCTCTCTCTGCTCCCCTCTCCCCCAGGGGGAGCACTTGAAACCCGAATTCCTGGGTCTGGGGCTCATCATTGCTTGGAGGCAGACAAAAAACTGGAAATCTTTCCAGCAGCCCCTTCCTCTTTTGAGCTAGCCCAGCTCAGAGGGCAGGGACTTGGACCAGGGGGCTGCTTTGGGGCTAAATCTGGGAGCTTCAGAGAGGAGGGCTTGCCGGCCTGGCACGCCTGCACAGCCTGGAGGCAGCCAGGGAAGACTGAGGCTTAAGGGGAGCCCCTCCCCAGATGTCCCCACATGGCCTTTCAGAGTCACAGGGGCCCGGCAACCCTGGGCTGCACTGCGCTCTGAATGCCAGTCCCGTCCTCACTCTCTGCCCGCGGGCAGGTCCCGAGCCTTGGGCCCCAGCCTTCTCTTCTGTAAGACAGGGGAATAAGGTAACCACCTCCCAGGGCTTGTCGGAGGATGGAGACTGAGCACCAAGTGCCTGGAGCCCAAGGGCGATCAGGAGTGGGGGACTCTCCTGGTGGTCCAGTGGTTAAGACTCCCCACTTCCACCGTAGGGGGCTGGAGTTCAATCCCCGGTCAAGTAAGATCCCACAGGCTACTCCCCTATGTGGCCAAGAAAAAAAGAGTGGAGGTCCCCTGAGCCCCTCCCCCAGACCCTGAACACCAGGCATAACTGGCCCAAGAAGGGAATGGGGCGTGCGTGGCTGGTCTGGCTCACCCACCTGAGAAAGGCCCCTGATCCAGAGAGCTGGGCTCTGAGACGGGGAGCAGGCTGGAGTCATGGCAGAGCGTGCTAAGCATGCTAAGTCACTTCAGGCTGGTCCCACTCTTTGCGACCCCATGGACTGTAGCTCACCAGGCTCCTCTGTCTATGGGATTCTGCAGGCAAGAATACTGGAGTGGGTTGCCATGCCCTCCTACAGAGGAGCTTCCCAACCCAGGGACTGAACTCGCATCTCCTGCATCTTCTACACTTCAGGCAGATTCTTGACCGGCTGAGCCACGGGGGGGAAGCCATCATGGCAGGGAGGAGGCTGGAAACTGGGGGAGGAACAGAGCCTGGAGAGCAGGAATGGAGTAGAGTGGTGGAGGAAGATGCCACCCAGAGGGGAGGGGCCCTGGGGAGGTCCTCCTCTGGGGGTGGAGTTGAAGGGCTGGTGAGAGATGGAGCCGCCCACCCCAGGTGGGTGGGGAGACCTCTGACACCCCCTGCCTGCAGTGTGGCCATCCTTTTATACCTGAGCCGCAAGTACCAGACGGAGGCACACTGGTACCCGCCCGAACTGCAGGCCTGCACCCGTGTGGATGAATACCTGGCCTGGCAGCACTCGGCCATCCAGCAGCCCGCCACCAACACCTACCTGTGCAAGGTGAGCCTCCCTGCTGTATCCTGCAGGCTTGGGCAGGCGCTATTTTTGGGGTCTCCAAAATCACTGTAAATGGTGACTGCAGCCGTGAAATTTTAAAAGACGCTTGCTCCTTGGAAGAAAAGTTATGACCAACCTAGACAGCATATTAATAAGGAGAAACATTACTTTGCCAACAAAGGTCCTTCTAGTTAAGGTTGTGGTTTTTCCAGTAGTCATGGATCGATGTGAGAGGTGGACTATAAAGAAAGGTGAGCACCAAAGAATTGATGCTTTTGAACTGTGGTGTTGGAGAAGACTCTTGAGAGTGCCTTGGACTGCAAGGAGATCCAACCAGTCCATCCTAAAGGAGATCAGTCCTGGGTGTTCATTGGAAGGACTGATGCTGAAGCTGAAACTCCAATATTTTGGCCACCTGATGTGAAGAACCAACTCATTGGAAAAGACCCTGATGTTGGGAAAGACTGAAGGCGGGAGGAGAAGGGGACAACAGGGAATGAGACGGTTGGATGGCATCACCGACTCAATGGACATGAGTTTGAGTAAGCTCCTGGATTTGGTGATGGACAGGGAGGCCTGGCGTGCTGCAGTCCATGGGGTCGCAAAGAGTCGGACACGACTGAGTGACTGACCCCTCCAGGGGGGTCCTGGCTTCTTCCCCAGGCAGACGTCACTAATTTATGATGTTTCATTATGTCCTTGTCACACGGAGCAGCAATGTCACTATTATGTGTCCTTTGGATTTTATCTTGGTGTATTATTCTTCTGTCTTATTAGCAGTTTTAGACAGCTCCATAGCATGGGTTAAACCCTCTCCACCCAGTCACCAGTCTCGGAAATACCAATGCATTCATTTAAGAGTATTGCCAGCATACTGTGGCCTTTCAGTATCCAACTTGCCAGAGATGGAGTGAAATGCATAGCTTTTTTCAGAGCCTGAATGAAACCTCAGAATCCTGAACACAAAGCCCCAGAGGGCCTCACTGATAAGTGGCTGCTGAGGGAGGGGTGGAGAACAGCTGGGAGGCCTCCAGGGCCCCGAGATAAGCCACCTCCTCTCTTCCTGGCTCAGTGTCTCCTGCCCCACTTCTCCGGGCAGCCCATGGACACTGTGCAGGTGGAGCAGCTGCTGGGGAAGCTGATGCCCACTCTGGGGCACCTCGATCAGGAGCTCCTGGCAAGCAGGCCCTTGCTGGCGTCTGGGCAGGTCTCCCTGGCCGATCTGATGGCACTCACAGAGCTGATGCGGGTGAGGTTCTCCTGCCCACTTGCCCTCTGGGGGTCGCTCAGGGCACGGGCTGAGCCCGGCCCCAGCTGCTCTGTCTTCCCAGCCCTCTGCCTTCGGCTGCGACCTCTTCCAAGACTGGCCCCGGCCTGCCACGCGGTGGGCCTGTGTGGAGGCTGCCCTGGGCCTCTAGCTCGTCCAGGAGGCCCATAGGCGTGCGCTTCAGTGCCCAGGAAGCCCAGCACGACCTCCCGGATGGCCCAGAAGCTGGCGCAGCAGGTGAAGAAACAGCTCCACTGAGGGCCGGCCCTGCCCCTGCGCTTTGCGGGACGCAGTAAACGTGATGTGTGCCCGTCAGTCGTCTCTAGCCTTGCTCTGCTCTAGGCAATGGGCTCTCCCCATTTCTAAACAGTCTGGGAATCTCCCCAAATCGAGCAGCTCAGAGACAGCAGCACTCAGGCCCCCCCGCGTGACCCTCCTCTGCCGCCGGGTGCCGAGTCCAGGTGCTTGGCTCTCGGGCATGGCTGGTCCCATTCCAGGCTGGGAGCTTCTGAGCTCCTCTGTGACCCCTTGAAGTCCCCAGTGGTGTCACCCAGTGCCCTGACAACCTCCCAGTTTCCAGTTTCTTTCTCTGCACCCATTTCTAGCCACAGTTCAGGCTAGAAACCACCCCCCTCCGCCCCGCACCGCTTCTGGAACAGCCCTGGGTTAGTTCTCGCTCTGGACCCTATGACGCCCCTTTGGTCACTTTCTGCCGTGAAGGCCTGGCCCCGGGAGCTCCTGAATGGAGGCCCCTCTCCGACGCCGGCCAGGGCACACACACTTGTGCCCCCAGGGAGTGGAAGGGCAAATTCGCAGGGTCCGCTTGCGAGTGTCCTCACAGTCCTTCCTGCATGCGCATGTTCCAGGCCTCCGGTGGTCATGGCAACAGCAAGAGAACAAGAAGTTCCAGAATGTGGGGGGCCGGGCCTGGGTGGGCGGGCACAGGCTGCGGTGGGCTGCGCGCGGCTGGGCGTCTGCCAGCCGTGGTGGGGCCCAGCATGGGCTTGGAACTCTACCTGGACCTGCTGTCTGCGTCCTGCCGCGCTGTCTACATCTTCGCCAGGAAGAATGGCATCCCCTTCGACTTCCAGTTTGTGGATCTGCTGAAAGGTGGGCACCTGCAGCTGCCCGGGTGGGCCGGGTGCGGGGTTCACAGAAGCGGAGGCAGAGGAGACCTGCCCCCCCACGTGCCCATGCCCCGCCCCGCCACACATGCCCACACCACCCATGCGCCCACGCTACACCACGCCATGCCCACACCATGCCACGCCACACCACCATGCCACGCCATGCCCCACCCAAGTGCACAAGGGGAAGAAAAGCTTCCTGGTGGGAGCAGTTGTCCGCTGTGTGTCTGACCGGCCCGCCTCTGCCATTCCCCGCGGATTCTTCCTCACTGTGATGAATGGGGGCGGGGGGCAGGCAGTGGGAGCAAGAGGGGTCCCTGGGCTTCCACCCAGCACCCCTGCCTTCTCCGCTGCCCTGCAGCTGCCGATCATGGCGGCCGAGGTCACAGGAGCAAGTGTACATATTCCTCATTCACCTCCATCCATACCTGTCTGCCCACCCCGACCCTGGCCAAGTGTTCAGACCTGCCCAGGGTGACTCCTCGGGGCCCAGGTGAAGGTCATGGCCCCGACTACAGAGGTGGGAGAATCTCCTCTTGCAGAGCCTGGAGGGGGCGGGAGGCCTGGGGCTGGGATCCAGTCCCCCATGGCTTCTGTTGATTCACAGGCTGTGGCTTTGGGCCCAGAGTTGGGGGTGAGGGCTGCAGGCCTCCAGCTTCCTGGAGCCAAAGGGTTGCCCTGGCCGTTTGGCCTGGGAGGGCGGCAGCGTGCCAGCCTGGTCCCTGTTAGGCTCCCTGATGTGCCTCCTCACCTGGGTGGGGGGCGTGATTCTGCTCTGGGGCGCAGCGTCCCCTTCTTGGGAAGATGCATCGAGAGGCGTTGTTTCTGTCTCGGGGAGGCCCTGGTCTCTCATCCCTGGGGTCTCAGCAGCCTCAGAGCTTCCTGCCCCTCTCAGGCCAACACCACAGCAGGGAGTACATCGAGATCAACCCCCTGAGGAAGCTGCCCAGCCTCAGAGACGGGAAATTCATCTTGTCCGAAAGGTAACCATCTTCCCGGCCCTCTAACCCTGCGTCTCCGCTCCTCCTAGGAGAGAGTCCCACTCGGCCCACCTGCTACTGATGGCTTGCTTTCTTTTGCTACAGAGAAGTTTGCACACACACCAAAGGAGAACAAATGCTAGACAGCCAGGGCGGAATGAGCCCAGCACCCACCCCCAGCTCCGTCGGTGGTCCACTTGGGCTCACTGTGCATCGCCCGCACCCTCGGCTCAGTTCCCCTGCCTCCTGGCCACCCCATCCTTCACCTGCCAATGTTTAGGAATGACCTCCTAAGATTTCCCCACGTGCTCTGCCCTGTCTGAGGCCACCCCCCAACACCCCCTTTCCCCATAGGGCCCTTGCTGATGGGGGTGAACTGACTGCCTTTCGGGGCCTCTGGGCTCACCCTCCTCCAGGAGGAATGCCGGGGGCCTAGAACCGGCCTGTGGCCGGAGACGGTGTTTTGGGCCCTGCTGCACCGGGTGGCGAGTGAGCAAGGCCTGGGGAGTGCCCTGACCGTCCTCTTCGCAGCGTGGCCATCCTTTTCTACCTGTGCCGCAAGTACAGCGCCCCCTCGCACTGGTACCCGCCAGACCTGCACATGCGCGCCCGTGTGGACGAGTTCATGGCCTGGCAGCACACGGCCATTCAGCTGCCCATGAATAAGATACTCTGGATGAAGGTGAGGGGCCCACGGCTGGGGCTCAGGCAAGCATCCCGGCCCTGGTTGGGGAACTAAGATCCTGCAAGCTGTGAGCTGTGCAGTGGGAGGAAAAAAAGTGAAAGGGCCCATAAAGACCGTCCTATTTGAAGATGACAAACAGTCCATGTGCCCCTACTTATCCTACACCTGTGGCAGACATCACTAATCAATCACAGCATTCTTTCCTGCTGGGACCTCAAGTCCTTTTGTTAAAAAATATCTTTTATTAATTAATCTTTTGGAGCTGTGCTGGGTCTTAGTTGGAGCACACGAGATCTTCGATCTTTGTGACAGCGTGGGGATCTTTAGTTGTGGAACTCTTAAGTTGTGGCATGTGGGATCTAGTTCCTTGACCCTGGATGGAATCTGGGCCCTCTCTTCATTGGGAGCTCAGTGTCTTAGCCGCTGGAGCACCAGGGAAGTCCCTCACATCCTTCTGAACAAGGGCCCCAGGCGACTTCTACCCACTGGAACTGCCAACGGAGGCGATACCACTTTACATCCTTGGTACTGTCCACCACCTCTCAGCAGACAAGGGTCAGACGGGGCCTCCAGAGGCCTGAAGGGTCAGATGGGGCCTCCTCTCCCTCCCCTCCCCCATCCCGGGCAGCTGCTGATCCCAATGATCACGGGTGATGAGGTCCCAGCTGAGAAGACGGAGCAGATGCTGGCGGAGGTGAAGAACAACCTGAAGCTCTTCGAGGAAAAGTTTCTGCAGGACAAGATGTTCATCACTGGGGACAACATCTCCCTGGCCGACCTGGTAGCCCTGGTGGAGATGATGCAGGTTTGCAGTGGGGTGGTGGGTGGACGGAGCAGATGAGGGACTCCACTGCGACCATAATTTGCAGAGAGGCTGGGGAAGGGGGAGCCACATCTGGGTGCCCGGCCTTGACCCAGGGGGAACCACAGGAAGCCCAGGTTTTGAACCAGGGAGGATCGTGGTCGTTAGTGCTTCAAGAAGAGTCCTCCGTGGGGAAGGGAGCCGGAGGGTGAGCCTGCTCAGTCAGCTGTGATCCCAGTGCCTCCTCCCCCCAAAGGACTGTCCAGGAAGAGTCCAGAGGCTTCCAAAGTGTCCTTCTGACCAAAGTGCCCCTCTTTTCCAGAGCTCCAGTCAGGGCAGCTGGACAGGGCTGCTCCCCGGCTCTGGGTCTAAGGGGCCGTCCGCTCTGCATGGGGGCACACTTCTGGGTGGGGCACATTCATGCAGCCTCTGCGTGCAGGGGAGGGCGGCCACTTCTGACCCAGCTGGTGTGCAAGATGGAGTTGAGGCCCTGGCCAGTGCGCAAAGTGGCCACTTTCGTCCTTGGTCAGCATGCAGCATAGGCCAGCACAGGGAGAGGAAAAGTCCCAGTCTTCCTGTCCCAGGTGGTGCGGTCCCCTGAGTTTCACCCCACACCCCTTAAACTTTCCCCACACGCACCCCAGACATCTTGGGTTCATGTTTCTTAGGATGCTGGCTGGGTCTCTCATCGCAGTTCCTCTGCTTGATCCCAGAGGGAGGTTCAACACAGGGAGAAATAACTGAATTCCTCCCACCTCTGTCTGGGGGCAAGGGATTTCCATGGAAGAAGGCAAGACCCCCGGGGAGGTTTCACACTGGAGAAGTGGGAACCCCACTTCTGAGGGGTCACGGGCCCCTCAGAGAGGGACTCAGGAGCCGTGGAGCAAGACCAGCAACGAGAGAGCCACTCGGGGTTCTCCACCCCCACCTCCATCTGTTACATGACCTGTGAGCCCTGGCCAGGCCTCAGGGGTCAGCAGGCTCACTGGCCACAGGGGCAAACTGGGAGAGTCTTGTGCCTGTAGGCGGGGCCCAGCTGGGGCTGGTCCACAGGCTGACCATGCCTTCCTCTCCGTCTGTCCACAGCCCACAGCCGGCAACCATAACGTCTTCCTCAACAGTGCCAAGCTGGCCGAGTGGCGCATGAGGGTGGAGCTGGCCATCGGCTCTAGCCTCTTCTGCGAGGCCCACGACCGGCTGGTGAAGTTGGCAGAATGGGACTGCTCCATGCTGGACCCAGTGGTCAAGGAGAGGATCTGCGATTTGCTGCAGAAGTTCAAGTAGAGGTGCCCACCCCGCGGGCCTGGCCGCTCAGCCCCCAGGACCCTCCTTAAGGGAGACGCTGAGATTCACTGCTGCTTTGCCTAATAAAGAACCGAAACAACTCCTGTGGCTCCTGAGCCCAAGATGCGCCTGGGCTGGGAGGCAGTCGTGAGTCCCCCCAGATTCCGAAAAGAACTGGAAAATTAAAGGTCACACATGATTAAACTGTCAGTGTGACAGCTGATGACTTTAGTGCTTCACTTTCACTAATGGATAGAATAACGAGATTGGAGATTCCCCCGGGAAATGGAGGTTGGAACCACATTCTAACATTATCGGGGAACGTCCCTGGTGGCCCGGTGGCTAAGACTCCATGCTCCCGATACAGGGAACTGAGGTTCAATCCCTGGTCAGGGAACTCTATCCCACGTGCCACAACTAAGAGTTTGCTCACCCAGACGAAAGACTCCACGTGCCACAATGAAGACTGAAGATCCCACTTGCTGCAACTAAGCAATAAATATTTATTTTGCCGCAGCCAAATAAATAAATAAAGATAGATAGTTTTTAAAAAATAAACCCATCGGCCTGCTGGCTACACACAGCACAGCACCCACAACACAGAATACATGATCTTCTAAATGGCACATGCAGTATTGTCCAGGATAGACCCTGGGTGAGGTCATAAAATAAATCCCCCAAAATTTAAACTGATTGAAATCAAATGATGTATGTTCTCTGAACACAGTGGAATGCAATGAGAAATAATAACAGAAGGAAAGCTAGGAAATGAAATATTTTTTTAAATGCATTTTAAACAACCTATGAATCAAAGAAGAAATCACAAGGGAAATTAGAAAGCACCTTAAAAAATTAAAAACACAACAGACCCAAACTTATGGGAGGCAGCAGAAACAGGGTTAAGGGGCCATTTTATAGCTGTGAACGCATACAGATCTCACCCACTCCAGTACTCTTGCCTGGAAAATCCCTTGGACGGAGCCTGGTGGGCTGCAGTCCATGGGGTCGCTAAGAGTCGGACACCACCGAGCGACTTCACTTTCACTTTTCACTTTCATGCATTGGAGAAGGAAATGGGAACCCACTCCACTGTTCTTGCCTGGAGAATCCCGGGGACAGAGGGGCCTGATGGGCTGCCGTCTGTGGGGTCGCACAGAGTCAGACACGACTGAAGCGACTTAGCGGCAGCAGCAGCAGCATACAGATCTCAAACCAACAACCTAACTTACACCTGGAGGAAGTAGAAAAAGAGAGGCAAACTAAACCTACAGCCAACAGGAGAAAAGAAATAATAAAGATTTGAGTGGAGACAGAGTATAGAAAAATAACAGAGAAGATCAGCGAATCAAAAAAAAATGGATTTTTGAAAAGGCTACTGTTCTCCGCAAGACCCTGGATCAAACTTCACTCACAGCATTCAGGTTGTGCTTTTTTTTTTTTTTCAGTAGACAGTTACCATTTTTTTTTATGTTCCTGGTAAGAATAATTAAGAACTATTCAGCAAATTGCACATGTACTACGCAGTCCTGTTAACTATAGTCACCACGCTGTGCATTAGATCTCCATAACTTACTTATCTTGGGTGCTCAAAGCTTTCTACTCTCTAACCATTGTGTTGCAATTCCCCCTCTCACCCCAGCCCCTGGTAACCACGGTTCCAATCCCTGCTTGTAAGAGTCCCAGTTTTTAAGATTCCACACAAGTAAGATCAGGCACTTAGGTTGTTTACACTTAGGTTGTTACCCTATCTTGGCTGCAGTGAACATGGGGTTGGAGATATCTGTCTCTTGGAGATCCTGTTTTTCATTTTCTTTGGATATATGCCCAGAAGCGGGCTTGCTGGATCTTTCCCATCATTTTCAAAGATGGAGAAACAGAGACCCAGAGGAGGGAAGAAACACACCCAGGGAATGAGACGGAGGCACTGTGCTGGGAGCAGGAAGACCTGCTGTCAAATTCCAGGGGTGCACTCGGGCAAGGGAGTGAGCACTGCCCGAGAGTCTGAGGCTTTGCCTCTTGGTCATATCAGTCCTGGATGTTCATTGGAAGGACTGATGCTGAAGCTGAAACTCCAATATTTTGGCCACCTGATGCGAAGAACTGACTCCTTGGAAAAGACCCTGATACTGAGAACGACTGAAGGCAGGAGGAGAAGGGGATGACAGAGAACGAGATGGTTGGATGGCATCACCGACTTGATGGACATGAGTTTGAGTAAACTCCGGGAGTTGGCGATGGACAGGGAGGCCTGGTGTACCGCAGTCTATGGGGTCGCAAAGAGTCGGACACGACTGAGCGACTGAACTGAACTGAACTTGCCTCTTGGTGGCGCCGGGGTCTCTGCAGCTTGAGGCCAACATCGTGGATGCTGGAGTCAGACTTGCTGGACCCGTGATCCCTCTGGGCCTCGATTTCTTCATCCCTAAAGCAGTAACTTCTGACACACGCCGCAGCCGGGATGAGCCTTGACGATGTTCTGCTCGGTGAGACGAACCTGGGTGCGACCTGCCCGCCTCCCCCAGGGGGACCTTCCGGAGCCCCCGCCCCGCAGATTCGCTGGGCGCCGGCGATTGGACCAGAGCCTGCGGCCCGAGCGCCTACGGGGAGCGGCGCGTGGGGGGCGGGCCGAGCGCTGCTCCGTCGGTCACGGCCTGGGGCTCGCTGAGTCCCGTGTCCCCTGCGTGGAGAGGCCGGTCCGCCACCGCCATGGGCCTGGAACTCTACCTGGACCTGCTGTCCCAGCCCTGCCGCGCTATCTACATCTTCGCCAAGAAGAACCGCATCCCCTTCGAGCTGCACACCGTGGACCTGCGCAAAGGTGGACTCCCGGCCGGGGTTTGGGGGACCCAGAGGTGGGGGGAGGTGAAGGGGAGGTCAAACGCTGCTCAGGGGAGCCCCTCCCCGAGCCTCAGCTGTCCTGCGTCCAGCCACCAGGGAGATCGGAGATTTGGGGATCCCCAAACTTGGCTGGGTCCCTGGAATGGACACCGAGGTGGCAGCGGGGGTGGGGGGCAGGGAAGCTCAGTTGAAGCAGAGTAAAAGAGCCGGGGGGCGCATGAGGCATGGAGGGACTTGGCGAACAGGGGGTGCCAGTGGGCATAGGGACAGGGACTGGGCGAAGAGGTGGGGGCAGGAGGAGAGGGATTTAGGGGGCCGCTTGGGGGGTGGGACAGAGTGAGTCCCTCCACTGTGGCCCCAACTGCTGATGCTCTGGCCCCTGCTGCCCTGGGCACCCTAACTACCTCTGCTTTGCCTGCACTTACCTTGTCCTCTGTCTTATCCGTTCTCAGAAGGCGGCACCTGGCGCTGGGGATGCGGAGAGCAGGAGGAGGGCTGTGGGCGGGTGGGGGGGTTGGTGAGCCCTGCACACAGAGGACGAGGGTTTGTACTTTCCCTGGTAGGTCTCCAGAGTCCCAAGGGCACAGCTGGCATGCGAGGGCAGCTGGGGGGAGGGCAGAGCTCCCGCGTTGCTAGTGGGGGGGGCGGGGGGGCGGGGAATGTAGGGGGTGCACGGGACAATTCAGGCAACTCGGCAGGGCTGAGCCTTCCGCCCAGCGCCCCCAGCTCGCCGAGGCTCGCCGTGCTGCCTCTGTGCCAGCCTTCCCGAGGCCTGAGTCGCCATCTCTTCCACCCTCCTCGGGGCACTTGCCCCCAGGCTGCTCAGCAGTCACCTCTGCAGAGTGTGGGGGACAGGAGAGAGAGTGGAGACAAAGGGGTGTCCCGGCCAGGCTGTCCCACAGAGGGTGCTGTAGGACGTGTGTTTCGCCAGGAGAGGAGGGGAGGGTCCTGGTGAAGGGCCAGTCTGAAGGGAGAGAGGCTGGAGGGGTGAGGCCGTGGTGGACACGGATGGCTTTGAGCAGCTTTGCCTGCTCCTGGGGCAAACAGCTCCCCTGCTCAACAGCTTTCAGGGGCTCCTGCTCCTGGGAGCCCCTGAAAGCTGTTGAGCAGGGGCAGCAGTGATGACATGTGCCCCCCAGAAGTTTCTCTCTGGCTGCATCTGAAGAGGCAGAAAACACTCACTTGAGCTCAAGCAGAGGTCAGGGTCCCAGGGGACTCTGGGCTGCACCTTTCCGGGGAGCTGCAGTGGGACCCTAATGATGGGGCCAGCTCTGCTCCCGGTGCCGAGGGCGGAGTGAGCAAGGGGACACAGAGGGTCCAGGGGGAGTTGGCTGCAAGTAAGTGGACACCCCCTCATAGCTCAGTTGGTAAAGAATCCGCCTGCAATGCAGGAGACCTGGGTTCGAACCCGGGGTTGGGAAGATCCCCTGGAGAAGGGAAAGGCTACCCACTCCAGTATTCTGGCCTGGAGAATTCCATAGACTGTGTAGTCCATGGGATCACAAAGAGTCAGACACCACTAAACTACTTTCACTTTCACTTTTCAAGTGGACGCTAGGAAGAGGCCACTTGTCTGTGTTTGGGGACCTATCCTTAGGGTCCACAGGGAAAGGGGCACTGAAGGAAGCCAGAGTCCCCTCAGGGGGCCAGTGTCCCAATCCCTGCAGCTGGGACACCCCCATACCCCATGTGGGAGCCAGTGACGCTGGTGATGATGAAAAGGCAGAGGGTGGGAGTCTGCGGGCCCGGGCAAGGACAGGCCCCGCCCTGAATGGAGCTCCTTAAGCTCTGTTTTAGGGGGACTCCTGGGGGGGAATTATGCCCACAAGAACTTGGCAAGGGGTGGCGAGCTCTCTTTTGCACCAGCCGGCAGAACTTCCCACTTTTCCCACAGCAGCCCCTGCCAGCCTTTCCCTCACCAGGAGCAGCCAGGGGCTGGAGAGGAGCCATGAAATTGTGGTTGGGGCCTTTTGAGGGGGCGGGTACAGCGGGTGGGCACAGGCAGGCAGGGCGGGCATTTTCCTCCCCACCACCCACCACGCCGGGCTTTCCGCAGGCCAGCACCTCAGCGACACCTTTGCCCAGGTGAACCCCCTGCAGAAGGTGCCAGTCTTGAAGGACGGGGACTTCATCTTGACTGAGAGGTAACTGGGGCCCCCGGGTTCCTGGCAGACCCCGCAGGAACTGTCTCGTCCCTTTATAGACGAGAGACTGAAGTCCTCCGAGGTGAAGGGCCCTCGGTCCAATATCCCGCAGTGAGTCAGGGCAGGACCCCTGGCTCCTGCCTGCCCACGGTTTCAGGTCACAGGGATGGTTGGAAAAGCAAGCAGCTTACCAGTCATGTCGTTGTTGGTCAGGGGGGTCCCCGGGCGGGGGGGCATGGCAGAGCAGGGCAGTTCATCCCCCAAAGGGATGCCCTCTGGCCAAACTTGAACTGAGGTCTCCCGGTGGTCCCATCTCTGGGCTGCTCTTCCCTGGGAGGACCACCAGACACATGGACATTTGCCATCACAGCAGGGACCCTCGTCTTCCTCCCTTGTTGGGAACAAAAGGAGGAAAAAAAAAAGTGAACTGTTTAGCTAGGTGTGGAAGCAGGACTCCCAGTAGGGAGCTTGGGCCAGGGGCAGATACAGAGGTTTTCAGCCCGTTTGGCTGGGGTGCCCAGCCCCTGGGGTACCCTAAGTTTCTGAAGGCCTTGCCAGTGGCCCCAAATTCCCACATTCACTGTCCTTCCAGGTCGATCCCCCCATCTCAACACCAAGGCAGCCCTGCTAACCCAGGGCAGGAGGGGGGCTGCAGGAGTCTTGTTTGTCCCTCTGGTCCAAGATCCCACAGCTCCCACACCCTCCTGTGTTTCCAGCAGGATGCTTCAGGGAGGACAGAGAACAAATGATGAAGGGATGTCAGGAAAGCCTTTTTGAACCGTCAGGCCTCCTGGGGGTCTGAACATGGGATGATGAGAGTGGATGCAGGCTGGACGGAATTGGAAGGAACTGAGCTTCTGCAAGGCTCCGCTTTGGTGCTGCCTCCTCCAGGAAGCTCTCTCTGGTCCTCCCGTCAGAAACTGCTCCGAACTCTTGGCAGGACTCTCCGTGGAATTTAGCCCGGTGATAGAAGGAGCTTATCTATTAGCCTCAGGGAGACTCTCAGCTCAGCCTCCAAAGCCTGTGTGCACTGAGCAAGTCCCATCCTTGTTCTAAAGCCTGGCTTCCTTGTCTGGAAACTGAGAAAATAGCTTGGTGCATGGTCAGGAAGATTTAGGAAGGGACTCTGTATGAAGCCCTGGCTTGGTGGCCCTCTGCCCCCTGCCCTCCAACATGTCCTCCCCTCGCCCACAGCGTGGCCATCCTGCTCTACCTGGCCCGCAAGTATAAGGTCCCCGACCACTGGTACCCAAGGGATCTGCAGGCCTGTGCCCGTGTGGATGAGTACCTAGCCTGGCAGCACACAGCCCTGCGGAGAAACTGCCTCCGAGCCCTGTGGCATAAGGTGAGGTGGCTCTCCCTGGGGAGGGGGGCGGTGAGGGCATCGCCCCAGAAGGGCGTGGGCAGCCTCACATTCTTCCTTTCAGTTTAAGTAGCTTCTGTTGACCCGGCTTTGACTTTCCAGTTCTTTCTTCTGTTTGCTCAAACTGCTATTAAGCCCGTCTAATACATTCTTTGTATTTGAAGTACGTGTTCTTTTCAGTTCTAGAGATTCCATGTGGTTCTTTTTTAGAGTTTCCATTTCTCTGGCGAAATTCACCATCTGCTCAGCCACTTGGTCTATCTTTTTTTCTAAATTCTTTAACATACTGATTCTTATCACAGTCACTTTAAAGTTTTTGTTAGTGAATTTTAGCCCCTGAGTTTTCTGTGGGTTTGCTTCTATTGTTGTCTCTTACCATCTTGATTATGGGTCACATTTGCCTCTTTTTCTTTTTCTTTTATATTTTGGCTTATGGGATCCCATGCAGCTTATGGGATCTCAGTTCCCTGACCAGAGATTGAACCAGGACCACATCAGTGACATCGAATCCTAACCACCAGGTCACCAGGGAACACCCACATTTTCTTCTTTCTTTACATGTCTTATAATTTCTTACTGTGTGCTACATATTATAAAAAAGGAGAGTGGAGACTGAACGCATAAGAAATACCTGACACAGGGCTTGCACTTTCTTCTATCAAGCGTCCTCGATGGGAGGGTCATCTCTCTCAGCTAGTCAGGATTGGGGCTGGAATGAGGCTTTGGTTTCAGTTCAGTTAATGTCTGGTTTCAGAAATGTTTTGAGGGTGGAATCAGGTTGCTCATTTTCCTCCAGCAAGGATTTGGAATCTAAGCACCAACTACAACCAAGAGATCGCTCTGCTTCTCAGCCCTGCCCTAAGTCTCCCACGTGGCTGCTTCATCAGAAAACTCCCAGACAGATGGAAGGCTTGCACCCCGACCTGATCGGACCCCAGGGATGAACGTAGCTTACCTGGGGGGGTTCATGCCCTCTGGAATTTAGTTCATTTTGTCCAGTGCTGCCCAAAAGTAAAGAGTGAGACACGTGTGTAGTTTAAAATTTTCCAGTAGCCATAATTAAAAAGTAAAATACACAGTTGAATATACTTAACCCAATATACTCAGAGTATCAGTGGTATGATTTTGGCTAATAAACACATGAAAATACATTCGGTATCACTAATCATTAGGAAAATGCATATTAAAACTATAATGAGGGGACCTCCCTGATGGTCCAGTGGTTAAGACTTTGCCATCCAATGCAGAAGGTGAGTGCAGGTTCGATCTCTGGTTGGGGTGCTAAGATCCCATATGGCCTGTGGCCAAAACAAACAAAACACAAAACAGAAGCAATATTGTAATAAATTCAATACATATTTTTTTAAAAATGACTATAATGAAATAACACTTCATCCTTACTGGGATGGCTATTACAGATAGATAGATAGGTGGAGGATTGCTTGCTCAGTTATGTCTGACTCTTTGTGACCCCATGGACTGTAGCCCGCCAGGCTACAGGCTTTTCTATTTTTTGTTCTTTCTTTTATTTTTCCTTTTTTAAAAAAAGTTCTGTATTCTTTGATGACTTAAAAAAAAAAAAGAACAAGGTTATTTTCTTTCTAGAGTCATCATGGTGGGTTTGTCATGACGATCCATATTCTTCCCAGAGGTACATGCCTCCTTTCTGAAAGTGTATCTTTAATTCTGGGTCACCAGTTTCATTGTTGTGTCTTCTATCATTTTTTATTTATATAAAAAAAGAAACATTAGGGAACAAAAGTCAACAGACCCCTTAGTTGCCCTTATCCCTTCCTGAAGTCCCCCCCACTGCCTGCCCCTTGAGATCTGGTTCAAGTCCTTTCAGTTCATGATCTTCTACATTATTACATTTATGTGTAGCCCAAAACAAAGCTTTGCTTTGAGTGCTTGTAATTTTATATAAACGCTCTCAAATCATTTGGCAACTTGCATTTTTCCACAGTGCTGGGGGTAGATCTAATGCATTTTTTTCTAACTACTCTATAGCATTAACTGATATGAATAAATCAGAATTTATTAATTACCCTCTGATGGTCTTTTATAGTTAAAGACCTTATATTTATATTTAAGGACCTTTTACATTTAGAGTCTCAGGTGTTTCCCTGGAGGTCAGGTAGGAATGCCGGCCCCTAAGCCCCCACTCTGCCTGCCCACCCATCAGGTGATGCTCCCTGTTTTCCTGGGTGAGCCGGTCTCTCCTGAGATGCTGGCGACCACTCTGGCCGAGTTGGACATGGCCCTGCAGGTGCTTGAGGGAAAGTTCCTCCAGGACAAAGCCTTTCTCACTGGGCCCCACATCTCTCTGGCTGACCTGGTAGCCATCACAGAGCTGATGCATGTGAGTGCTGTGGGTGGTGGGGGAGGGGGGATGAGGCAGAGGGGGTCCTGGGTGGCACTGAAGTCCTGCTTGCACCATGCCCCCAGCTGTGGGACCCTGTGGAGAAACCTTCTGGAATTCCATGGCCTCCAAACCAGATCGGTGTTGCGATACGTGGTCACCCATCCCGTGCCCTCTCTCCCTGCAGCCCGTGGGTGCCGGGTGCCAAGTCTTCAAAGGCCGACCCAAGCTGGCCGCGTGGCGCCAGCGCGTGGAGGCAGCGGTGGGGGAGGTCCTCTTCCAGGAGGCCCATGAGGTCATCCTCAAGGCCAAGGACTCTCAGCCTGCAGACCCCACCTTAAAGCAGAAGATGCTGCCCAAAGTGCTGGCCATGATCCAGTGAGCCAGGAAGGCTTGCCTCTGCTCCGCCCTTGGCAGTTCGCAGAGTGGCTTCATTTCCATTGTCGCTTGGGAGGCAGAGCCGGAGAGCAGGCGGAGAGCAGGTGTGGCTTGCCTGCCTGAGTCCTCTGCTCCCCGGGCCAGGTTCCCACCCATCTATCGCTGGGGCTGCAAAGGCATGAAGGGAATGGCACACCCAGACCTTGTCTCCTTTCATCTGTGTTTTCTTTCCAATCTGGGAAATAAACCTGGGCTCAGCCTGAGCCTTTGCTTCTAACTCTGAGGTGTGGTTTACTTGACCTTCTATCTGTCCTATCCGTGGTCTTGGCCTCTCTTTGAAAGACAGCTGCCTTCATAGGCCCGGTGGATTAGCTTTCCCCAGACTGGTTGTCCAGAGTGAATTTAACAAATGCCCCGTCCTCTACTGGTTCTTCAACAAGGACAGTAGAGATACCAGGTCTCTGCGTGTGTTGGCTGCAGGCATGCCAACACTCTCTTTGCAGGGCCAGTCATCCTTTCAGTACCAAGCATTGTGAGTCACAAGTCCTGCACCTGCCCCGAGGGATTGGTGGGGAGGAGGCATCAAACAGCAGCTCCGCCGGTCAGGACTCGGTCAAGTGGGGCCTGAATTGCCACACCTCGGAGTTGCAGAACCTGAACAGGAACGGAATGATCAGATTGCATTTTACAATAACATTCTGGCTGTTGGTGGGGGTTGGACTGGAGGGTGGCCAGGGAGAAAGCAAGGAAATTGGATATTGTAGTAGTCCGGCCAAAGGTGAGTTATGGAGGAGGGCAGTCCCCTGGAGGGGATGGAGAACATGGCCCCATCCAGCCTGGAGAAAATTCTCTGCTGATGGGATAGGTCTTTTTTAAACTGGGAGCTGGGGGCCCAGGAAGGCCAAGCTATTCTCAAGTTTGTTTGCTTGTTTTTTTTCCCAGTTGGGCTTTCTCTGAATCTTGGGTTTGGGAATAGGGTTGTTTGTTTCTTTGTTTATTATTTAGTTATTTATTTGGCTGCCCTGGGTCTTAGTAGGTCTTCTCCAATGGCTCAGAGGTAAAAAAAAAAATCTGCCTGCAATACAGGAGAGGTGGGCTCAATCCCTGGGTCAGGAAGATCCACTGGAGGAGGAAATAGCAATCCACTTCAGTATTCTTGTCAGGAAAATTCCATGAACAAAGGAGCCTCTTGGGCTACAGTTCTTGAGGGGTCTCAAAGAGTCAGACACGACCAGCACGGGCACTCACAAGTCTTCATTGCAGCTTGCAAGATCTTTAGTTGTGGTATGTGGGATCTGGTTCTGTGATCAGGAATCCAACCTGGGTGCCCTGCCTTGGGAGCAAAGAGTCTTAGCCACTGGACCACCAGGGAAGTCCCTGGAAGTGAAGTGAAATGAAGTGAAAATCGCTCAGTCGTGTCCAGCTCTTTGCAACCCCATGGACTAGCCCATGGAATTTTCCCAGCCAGAATACTGGAGTGGGTAGCCTTTCCCTTCTCCAGGGGATCTTCCCAACCCAGGGATCGAACCCAGGTCTTCTGCATTGCAGGCAGATTCTTTACCAGCTGAGCCACAGGAGAAGCCTAAGAATACTGGAGTGAGTAGCCTGTCCCTTCTCCAGGGGATCTTCCCGCCCCAGGATTGAACTGGGGTCTCCTGCATTGCAGGCTGACTCTTTACCAACTAAGCTATCAGGCAAGCCTTAAGTCCTTGGGGACACGGCTTTTTCCTCTGGGAGACTTGATTCGAGAATGAGGGCATCACAGCCAAAGACCTCAGGAGCCCCAGGCTTGTAGTTGGAGGGGTTTGGCCCTGCAAAGGAAGTGGGATGGTCCCGGGCCCACCCGCAAACCTCACAGATGGGTCTCACGAGGTTTTTGTTTTGCAGGAGGGAGGCGAAGATTAGCCGGGAGCGTAAAGAAGGTTGGTCAGGGCGGCTTCCTGAGGTGGTGACCTGGTCTTTGCTGGTCGCAGAGGTCCACAGGCCCACCCCCGCCTCCACCCTGGGCCGTGGGCCCCCCAGGTGGCTGCGTCATCGTTTACTCCTCCTCTGTTTGTGTTCCCCGGGGACTCTGAAGTCCCTCCTCTTTCAGCCCCCTCTCTGAGTGGGGGGAGATGGCCTGGGCCAACCCTTTGACCCTAAATTCACTGAGTGCGCCGGAAGAGCCCTTGATCTCGTTCCCTCCCCCCGCTCCATTTGACGCAGGTTAGACGCTGATGTCCAGGTAAGGGGAATGACCCGGCGGAGGGACACAGAGTCCGTCTTCCCTAACCCTGCTGGGCAGGAAAGGGAGCCCAGCTCAGAACCCCGCAGAGGGAAGGCGGGAGAGCGAGGCCGCCGCTGATTGGCCCAGAGTTCTCCGGCGCTGTCCAATGGGCGGGGAGGGTGTGGCCGGGCTCTGGTACCTGGAGCCGCGCACATCCCTCGGCTGGGTGACCGGTGGAACCCGCCCGCCGCCGTTCCTGTCCTCGGTCCTGCCCGCCGTTCCCGCCCCCGCCATGGGCCTGGAGCTCTACCTGGACCTGCTGTCCCAGCCCTGCCGTGCCGTCTACATCTTCGCTAGGAAGAACCGCATCCCCTTCGAGCTGCGCACCGTGGACCTGCTCAAAGGTGGGCCGGACAAGCAAGCAGGCCCCGGGTCTGGGGGTGTCCCTGTGGCCCCCCGAGTCGGGCGGCCGGTGCAGGCAGACTCCCATCGGAAACCGTGGCTTAGGCCATCGGTTGTGTATTGTCAGTCTCACCTTTGCCTAGTGAATACCAACCGTTCTTCATACCCAGCTTAAGAGGGAACAGCGCGGGTAGACAGCAGGGCAGTGCAGGCTGCGGCTGGGGTTGGGGCGGGGCGAAGAAGCGGAGGAAAGTGGAGCCCCGTCCATACCAGGGCTCGGAGAGAACAATGACGCGGCCTCCCGGTTCCCAGCGGAGGCAGCCCCCGTCTCGGGTTCTGGCCGCGGCTGCCCAGGAGGTTCTTCCCTGCATCTGGCCTCTGCTGTGCTCCCACCTGTGCCCGCCTAGGTCCCCTCCACTTGGGCAGAATCCCGCGGAGGGGGCAGGGCTGTCACCGGACCGCAGGGCGAGCTCTGGATTCAGAGCCTCTCAGGCAGGCCGGGAGGGACACCGGTGCTTGGCTGAGCTTGCCCGCCTTCTGCCTCTGGCGCCCCAGCCTGAGCCACCTGCTGCTTTGGTGCCACCTTGCTCTGCCTTCTCAGTGTTCCTTGGGGTGAGGGCCGGGCACAGAGGCTGTTTCTGGAGGGAGAATGGATCGTGGTGATCTTGCCCACGAAGGAGAAGGAGCAGAGAGGCCGGCAGGTGGTCCTGTGACCAGGCTGGAGTCCCGCTCCGCTGAAGCCTCCGGCTTCACACGCACTACTCGGTGTCCGCTCCGCACAGGCCTGAGCTGGTGGTGGTGGTGGAAGGGCTGCAGTGTGCAGAAGTGAGCCAGACCAGGGGGCCCTGGTGGGGAAGGAGTCTGGCACAAAGTTTGGCACAAGAAGAAAAGGGGAGCGGCCTGCGCGAGGCTGAGCGGCTGAGTAGGTCGGCGTTGCTGGCGAGAGGTTTGCTGAGGCCTGGGAACAGGTGTGTGGACAGGCCACCCAGTAGCAGAGGGGGAGGGGTCTGCAGGGATGGTGGGTCTGATGCAGGGATGGAGCTGACCAGGACTGGAGTGTTCAGCTGCAGAGACTCACCCTCCGCCCAAGCCCAAGTTGAGATGCTCCTTGGCCCAGGTCCCGAGCGAGTGGACACGGGAACAGGGACCTCTGGTGGGGTCGGGGGGTGTCACCCGCTCACCGGCAGAGGGACCTCCTCTTCCCTGATGGCCCACCCGGACAGGGACCCCAGAAAGTTGGTGCCTGGTTGTTGGGGTGGGGGTGGGCAGAGACCTTAGAGGCCTCACAGTTCTCCCCACCTGCCTCACTGGTCACTCCACAGGCCAGAACCACAGCGATGACTTTGTCCAGGTGAACCCCCTGAGGAAGGTGCCAGCTCTGAAGGATGGGGACTTCACCTTGGCTGAGAGGTAACAGGCCCCTGGGCTGCACCTGTCAGCCCTCTGTGTGTCCACCGTTGATGGCCTGGCTCATGGCTTGCGTGTCCCAAGTCCCTGTTCCGGCCCGAGAGGTGGAGAGTGGCTTGAAGTGGGAAGAGGTGCCCACAGCTGGGAGGGGCACCTGGTCTCATTCCTGGCACGGCCTGTGCTCCAGGGATGGTGGGGAATGGTACTAGGGTCCTCTGAAGCCCCGTGACACTTTGTTTTCCCCTCGATGCCCTTAGTTCAGATGCTAGGATGGCCCAGTATAGAGCTGTGTGGTCCTGGCTGTCAGCGGACCTCTCTGGGCATCGCATTCCTGCTTCTGTATCAGAACCAGGGAGATGCTGAGATGCTCCACCCACAGGATCTGGGGAAAGACGTGTGAGGTGAGGGCCTGGCCTCATCCAGGGCCTGGTCCCTGTGGAACAGCTGAAGAGTGACTGGGGCATGTCCTTCGCACCCCCCCCCATGTTCCCCAGTGTGGCCATCCTGCTGTATCTGGCCCGCAAGTATGAGGCCCCTGACCACTGGTACCCCCAGGACCTGCAGGCCCGAGCCCGCGTGGACGAATACCTGTCGTGGCAGCACACGGCCCTCCAGGTGAGCTGCACCCGGGCCATGTGGCAGAAGGTGAGCCCTGGGGCAGGGAGCCCTCCCGGGATGATCAAGGGGCCAGGCTCTCTGTCGAAACTGAGAACACTAAATCCTAGAAGTCCAGAGATGCTCCAGGGCAACGGACTTGTTTCTGAGAGGGGAAACTGAGGCACAGAGCCTGGGAACGACACCCCCAAGGTGTCTTATCAAAAACACATTTATTTGTTTAGTTGTTTTCGGCTCTGCTAGATCTTCCTTGCTGGGCGCAGACTCTGGAGCACATGGGTTTCAGGACTTGTGGCTCATGGGCACCAGCACACAGGCTGAACGGCCCCGAGGCACATGGAATCTTCCAGGACCAGAGACAGAACTGTGTCCTCCCCTGCACTGGCAGTAGGACACTTAACCACTGAGACACCAGGGAAGCCCGCCCCCAATGTGTTTTGATTCCCAAGCTGCTGAAAATGAACCCTCCGCCTTCCTGCATATGTTATACTGCCCAGGAATGTTGCCTCTTGTCCGGGAAAAGCATCAAGCCCTCACTTTGCCACACACATACTTTTCAGACGGACAGATGTTGAGTGAAAAACCTCAAAGTAGGAAGAAATGAGATATTTCACTAAATGTTGATCTAATTTCTGGGTATGCAAAGATTGATAAGCCTAATAACAGTAAGAGACTTAAAGAAAAGGCTCATCAATTTTATATGATGAAATCTGTAGAAGAAGAAAAAAGAAAAGAGAATTAAAGCCAGCAAAAAACACTGGGAAAAATCTTGGCAAAGATATGTCAGAAAGAAGTAACACTCTTGATATTTAAGATGTTCTTAGAAGCCCATCAGACAGAGACAGGAGAAAAATGGGCAGAGGAGACCAGCAGAGATGTAGCTGAAGGACAGAGAGAAAGGGTCAGTAAATGGATGAAAACATTTAACTTCAGTAAAAACCAAGCAATTGCACATTAAAAGAGCATGCAGATACCATTTTTACTTATCAAATGTGCAGAGGTTTTTGACATGAACTGTGAGCCGTGATCAGTGCCCAGTACCCAGCAGTCATCCTGTGTGTGGAGGGCACTGAGCACCAAACCTGGGCCCTCAGCAGAGCAGTGGGAGCTTGGAGTCCTAGTACCGGACCGTCAGGGAGTTCCATCTTGGGGCCCATTTGGCCCAAAGAAAGTTTCCATAGCTTTAAAAGCCATGGGCTTCCCTGGTGGCTCAGTGGTAAAGAATCTACCGGCCAGCGCAGGAGACTCGGGTTCAATCCCTGGGTCGGGAAGATCTCCTGGAGGAGGGAAGGGGAGCCCACTCTTATAATCTGCCTGGGAAATCTCATGGACAGAGGAACCTGGCCTCCTACAGCCCATGGGGTCATAAAAGACTTGGACACGACTTAGGGACTCAACAATGACAATAAAAGCTGTGGCAGGGGAGGGAGCCTGGTGCATCTGAGGGCCGAATGGAGACAAGCTGCGGAGAGTGAGTATAGACCTTTGCTACTCAAAGTGTGGTCCATGGGCCGGGAGCAGGACGGTCATCTGGGAGCTTGGCAATGCAGAGGCTGACCCCACCCAAGTGCACTGATTAGGACCATACACTTGAAGCACATCCTAGAGGGATCTGCAGGCCCATTCCCACAGATTCCCATCTGAGAGGCCTGGGGTGGAGTGGGGGGTGGTTTGGGAGAGTGGGAGAGGATGGCTGCTGCTGTGTGTTGAGACCTTTGTGGGCAGGGGGCAGTAGGGAGCCATGGAAGGCTTTTTGCAGGGAGAAGCTACGGGCAGACTGGGATTGCAGAGGGATCCCCTGGCTGCCTGATGTGAGGACCCAGGGAGAGGTGGAGGCTGACCATGCGTGAGTCAGCGATGAGGCCTGGGCTGGTGGTGGCTGTGGGTGGGAAGGGGCGGACAGGAGTGAGGAGAAATGCGCAGGACGGCTGGTCGACAGGACGAGAGCCGGAACCGGGCCCTAGGCAGACGCTGAGCCCTCGCTCTGCCTGCCAGACGATGCTCCCCGTGTTCCTGGGCCAACGGGTGCCCCCCGAGACACTGGCGGCCACTCTGGCCACGCTGGACAGGTGCCTGCAGCTGCTTGAGGACGTGTTCCTGAAGGGCCAGGACTTCCTGGCCGGGCCCCGCATCTCAGTGGCGGACCTGGTGGCCATCACAGAGCTGATGCATGTGAGTGCTGTGGGGCAGGGGGGCTGCTGAGCAGTGGGCTACCCCGGGAGGGAGCCTGTGCACCAGCTCACATTGCCCTTTCTAGCTGGGGGGAGGGGGGCCCTGGCTGGGTCGTGTCCCTTCTGAGCCTCAGGGTCCTCATCTGTGAAAAGGGGCCTAAAAACCCCACCCTGCGGGGCTACTGAGCAGTTTCCCGCTGTTTCCTCTAGTGGCAGAGGAGGGAAAATCCACCCAGGGGATCCCTAGGCCTGGTGCGGCCTTCTGCTTCCCTGGGTACCTCCCGCCTCCACTCAGCTCCCTCTCCTGCAGCCTGTCAGTGCCGGTTGCGACATCTTCAAAAGCCGGCCTAAGCTGGCTGCGTGGCGCCAGCGTGTGGAAGCTGCGGTGGGGGAGGACCTCTTCCGAGAGGCCCATGCGGTCATCATGAAGGCCAAGGACCTGCCTCCAGCAGACACTGCCGTGAAGGAGAAGCTGAAGCCCTTAGCGCAGCTTTTCTTGTAGTGGGTCCCGGCGAGCCTGCCATGGCGCTCTAAGAAATGGTGCTCCCTCCCCTCGGCTGTGGGCCAGAACACAACTCCCCGCTCAGAGTCCGGGCCACAGTGCCCTCCACACGCCAGTCCTGCATGCTTTCCTCCATCTGTCCGCTAACTTCACCCTTACCCCTTGCACGCTGACTTCCATGTGAACTCTGGAAAGAGCTTTAGTAAACACAAAAGTGACCCTGGCCCTCTCTTGTTTGAAAATTTCCCCTGGTTTCTGCCATGAGGCTAAAGGACAAAGAATGAGTTCTTTAATATGCCCACTTACATAAAATTTTAGATAAGTAGTTGGAATTGTTCATACACACCCACATAATTTCAACGACCTTTGTTATTTACAATTCAAACAACTTTCCAACGCTGATGAAAGTACCACGTTTGGCCACATCAACAGACATCCACGTTTTCAATAACAGCTTTTGCTTCACCTATAAAAAATATAGGGCCCCGTAAACAATTCTGGTAATTCGACCGGGGCTTTGGCTGGCTATCACCACCCGCTGGTGGGCGATCCTTCACCGTGAGGCAAGGTTGCCACAGGCACAAGAAGCCACAAGGGTGTTTCTGTCCGTGGGTACTAGGTAGGGATGCAGTGAACTCGAGGGTCTCTGCCCAGCCCCACTCGAGCCCCCAGGCGTCACCAGGTCTGATCAAGAGAAGAGCATTTTCCCACTTCGATCGTGAGTTGCCCGACGCAGAGACAGCTCATTCAAAAATTTTTTAATATTCCTTGACGATGTAGCATTGTTAGGGTGGAGCCTGGGGATGGCCCCTCCGGGTGTGTGTGTTTGGGCGTGTTCAGACCCCCACCTAAATATTAGACAAGAAGCGCTGTAAAGCCACAGGGGACAGGAAACCACGGCCGGGGCCGCTGGAGCGGGGCCGCGGGCGGGGTCTGGCGTGTGGGCGGGGCCTGGCGCGCCAATACCTCGTTGGGGGCGGGGTCACACGGAGGGGGCCGGGCTACACCACTTCCGGAAATCGGCCCCAGCCCTTGCGGCGGCCGTCAGCCGAGACCCGGGGGACGTAGTCCAGGCAGCCAATCAGGGGGCGCTGCGTTTCTGTCCAGCCAATGAGGAGAGCAGGTTCCGTGGCACCCCCGCCCCATGGCTCCCTGTCGCCGGACCTTCAAGAACACAGACCGGGACCCCGCGCCCGTTCGCACCCTTCCCGCTGGACATGCCGTTCGTTGAGCTGGACACGAGCTTGCCCGCCGGCCGCGTCCCCGCGGGGCTGGAGAAGCGGCTCTGCGCGGCCACTGCCGCCATCCTGAGCAAGCCTGAGGACGTGAGCCTGGGCCGGGGAGCACGGGGCGGGGAGGAGGCTGGCGGACCGGAGTCGGGCTCTGTCTGCGACCCCAAAGTGACCTCCAAGGACCCCGACCCGTGCCCCAGCCCTGACCCCCGTGGAGCCCGCGCGTCTGCACCCCGCGCTCCCCCACCCCGCGCTCCCCAGGTCCTCAGCACGATCCCCGCCTAACGCCGGCTTCAGGCTAAACTCACGTATCCCCGCAGCGCGTGAACGTGACGGTGCGGTCCGGCCTGGCCATGGTTGTGAACGGCTCGGCGGAGCCCAGCGCCCAGCTGCTCGTCTCCTCCATCGGTGTGGTGGGCACGGCCGAGGAGAACCGCGGCCACAGCGCGCGCTTCTTCGAGTTCCTCACCAAGGAGCTGGACCTGGCCGAGGACCGGTGCGTAGGAGGGCAGGGAGAGGACCCTCTTGGGACTGCTGTACCACTGGGGGCTGGGATCCCATCTCAGGCCCCTCCTAAGTTTGGGGGGAAAATTAATTCCTCACCCTGGACAAGAAGGATCTGGTGCTGCCTGGCCCCTTGACCCCACGGGCCTGTGGACAGCCCACCTTGAGAGTGGTGGTGGAATTGAATGAATTCCTGGCTCTGCAGTGGTTCCTGTGACACCTGGGCAAGATATGGCCTCTTGGACCTCAGTGTTTCCATCTGTGAAATGGGAAGGCTCCCCTTTAACCACTACTGGGGGCACTGTGTGGGATGACACTGTACTGTACCTGCCTTGGCACCTGGCAGGGCGGAATGTTGCTACCCCGACAGAACCAAAGCCACTTATCATCTGCCCACTGGTTTTTCCATATGTTAGGAAAACAGGAGTAATCTTCTAGGACTTCTCTAAGCTGGACAGGAGGAATTCTGGGTATGTCCTGAGGCTGTGACCTTTGGGTCCCATGCGGCCGGGGGAATCCAAACAAAACTGGAAGTAAACCGTGTCTGGTTTGTAACCTTCTCTTCTGTGAATAGAGAGGCATGGATTAAATGATTCCTAAGAAGCCCTCAGTGGTTGTTTTTCAGTCATTCAGTTGTGTCCAACTTTTCACAATTCCATGGACTGCAGCACACCACGTTTCCCAGTCCTTCACCATCTCCTTGAGCTTGCTCAAACTCATGTCCATTGAGTTGGTGACGCCATCCAATCATTTAGTCCTCTGTCGTTCCCTTCTCCTGCCTTCAATCTTTCCCAGCATTAGAGTCTTTTCTAATGAGTTGGCTTCCAATAAGAAGCCCCCATGGCTCCCAAACCTGGGATTGTGGCAAGGTCATGGTTTCTTCTTGGGTGAAAAATATTCCTGAGCCGAGTCTATGCCTATGAGGAACTAACTGCAGAAGAATCTTGAAAGAACCTTTCAGAATAGAGCCTTTATTGGCCCAGAAAGAGTGGGTGAAGAATGGTCACTTCTGGGGGTGCTTAGACTTGGTCCTTAATCTGGGGAGCCATAAGATTCAAACAATGATAAGTAACCTGTAATTTACCACATACCAGAGATTTGATAGGTAACTCACATGCATGACCCCATTTGATCCTTAGAAATTTTGTGCCTTTGTCTATACCCCCCGTGTGGACATGCCATCCCATTATGGGGAAATCTCATCTCACAATGGAGGTAGCTCCATTAGGCCCATTTACACATGGGATGACTGAGGTTGTCATGTATACCTCCTTGGCCTTAGGCTATCCCAAGTATCCTGTTTCTGCACAAGGAACTTCCTGTCACTTCTGGGAGAGGAACTCATTCACTCACTCCGCAGATATGTGAGGATGAGGGGAGGGAGGTGGTTATACCTGGACTTCTTGAGCCAGGCTTTGCAAAAACAGGGGCTGGGATACTGTTCCTGGGGGCCTGCAGTTTGGAAGAGAGAAGGCTCCCCTGTGAACCCACATACAATGACCACAGAGGCTGCCTGTCTGTCCTGGGTGGGTGATGATGGTGGACAGTCACCATTCCGCCCCTGACGTGCCCACTGCCCTGTCTGGGGTTGGGGGAGAGTGTTCATGGAGTGAGACAGGCTTGCAAAATGCCTGGTGGGGCTAAGGCAGGCTCCTTGGAGCCCACAGTGGGACTGTCTGGCTGGGGGGTGTTAGAATGTAAGGCATTAGCCAAAGAGCTGATGATACCTTTTTTCTCCATCTCCTGAAGGATAGTGATCCGCTTTTCCCCCTTGGAGCGCTGGCAGATTGGCAAGAAGGGGACAGTCATGACCTTTTTATGACGGGCGTGTAGGGCACCCAGGGCCTCTGAGCTGACAGCCCTTCCAGAGAGGCCTCCTGGCAGCGAGGGCCTGGTGGACAGCTGCTTCTGGCACCTCTGTGTGGTTCTCCTCCCCATCCTCACAACAAATAAAAGAAGAGAGCTTTGTCTCAAACCTGACTTCTCTGCTTCTCTTTACCACTGCCTCCTCCCACCCACACCCCCAGGCATTCTGGGTCACTCTGGGCAGCAGGTTGCTTTAAGAGGTGGGACCTTAAGGGAACCTGGGAGGTGGGAGGTTCCTGTCCTCAGGGGCTGTGTTTCTTGTCTTACATTTGGCTGCTGGAATCTGAGGGTGGAGGGCTTCTTGGAGGCGCTCCTCTTCATGCCCCTGTTCAGGCTGGTGGGGAGTGGCAGGCAACTGGTCCAGCCTGGGCCTTCCTACAGACTCTGCTGACCCGACATTCCCGTCCTCAGCCTGGGCTTCAGGGCCCTTCCCTGGGCATTGCGACTCCCATCGTCTCCTGTGAGTGGTGCTGAGAATTCTCTGTAGCTGTGTACCTTGTAAGATCCATGTGCCAAATGGCAAGCCCAGAAATGCAGCCTCTGCTTCTAGAAATAGAATGAATGGAATCTTGTTACTGCCCCCATGCCTGCCCCCAATCTAAAGTGCATATCATGCTTTTGCATTTCAGAGGGCACAGAGGGTGGGGGAAGCATGGCTTGGAAGTCTCCTTTTCAGCTTTCTTTCAGATGCAGAGTTTACATCTCTGGTCAATACTTTCTATGCCCCGTTTAAGCTTTGATCATCCTTGTGCACCAATGAAATACCAAACTGATTTGCAGTCTGTGCAGTCTGCCTGGTAAATAAGTTTCCTAAGGAATGTGCCTTACCTGACCACCGCTGTTGTTCAGCGGCTCAGTTGTGTCCAACTATTTGTGATTGCAGCATGCCAGGCTTTCCTGTCCTTCACCATCTCCTGGAGCTTGTTCAGACTCATGTCCACTGAGTCAATGATGCCATCCAACTGTCTGGTCCCCTGTCATCTCCTTCTCTTCCTGCCTTCAATCTTTCCCAGTATCAGGGTCTTTTCAGCTCCTCTCATCAGGTGACCAAAGTACCGGAGCTTCAGTTTCAGTAGCGTCCTTCCCAGTGAATATTCACAGTTGACTTCCTTTAGGACTGACTAGTTTGATCTCCTTGCAGTCCAAGGGACTCTCAAGAGTCTTCTTCAGAACCACAATTCAAAAGCATCAGTTCTTCAGCCCTCATCCTTCTTTATGGTCTAACTCTCACATCCATACTTGACTACTAGAAAAACTATAGCTTTGACCACCGCTGAGAACTTGTTAAAAGCTACAGCTTGGAGGTCCTACCCCTGGCTCCCTATCCCAGCTATCTCTGCACTCATTCCTTCTGCCTGCATGGATGTCCTGCTTCCCAAAGGGATTCAAGGAATGTTTGTGGGTGGGATGTAAATGAGTGGTTGAAGCGCTCAAGCTCAAGGAGGGATTCAGGCCTAAACTTTCCAGGACCCCATCAGTGAGTGAGGTCATCAGTTTGCTGTGACGACTGGCCCCTCCCCCCATGTGGGCATCGTGGCCCCCCATTTTGCCCCTTGATAACACCTGCATGAGACTCCTTCATGGCCTGCACTGTTTCTCAGCTCAAACCTTTGCCACACAGCTCCCTGCTGCTTGGACCGCCCTCCCCACCTTTTTTCAACTTTCACTTCAGAACATCTTTTGCAGTACAACTCGGGTGAGAGCTGCATCCAAGATTGCAAGTTATCTCTGAAACTTTGAAACCATCTGTTCATGGTCTGTTTAAACACTCCCACCACCACCACCACCTCCCACCTGGTTATACCCCAAATTAAGGTTGGTGACTCAGTTATTTTTGTACTTCCTGGCATATCAATAAAGTTTTATTGTACTGAACTGTCTACCAGTTCTTCACCATGATTTTACTAAAGTCAACGAGAAAGCCATAACATTCATTCTTTAAATCACTCTTACTGGACTCAAGCCTCTATGAATGTAAACCAGTGTGAAGCCCCTTCTTAAAACATGTAGCTCCCAAGAGCGTTGCCCCCCCAAGTCCCAAGCCCCATGTCGGAAACCCTTCAGATCTGCTTGTATATTGTGGAAATGGATCCTTTGTCAGTTGTTTCATTTGTTATTATTCTCTCCCATTCTGAGGGCTGTCTTTTCACCTTGCTTATCGTTTGCTGTGCAAAAGCATTTAAGTTTAATCAGGTCCCACTTGTTTGCTTTTGTTTTTATTTCCCATGAATCTAGGAGGTGAGTCATGGAGGATCTCGCTTTGATTTATGTCATCAAGGGTTCTGTTTGCTTTCCTCTAAGAGGTTTATAGTTTCTGGTGTTACATATAGGCCTGCCCTTTTCTCCTCTGCGTCAAGAACTGCTTGTGTATCTGTGCCTTTTAAACTTCAAATCCTTCTCGCAACAGGTTGAGGCACGGGCACTGTCAAGGAGGATGCTCTTCCTTCCCCTGTTCCCAAGTGTCCCCACGTTGCCACGGCCTCCGCAGCACCTGTCCGAAGGCTGAAACAGCAGTGCGCTAGTGTTACTACTGCGCAGGGTAGTTACTGTGCAGGGCCGCTGGCCTGGCCCCGCCAACGGGCGCCTCCTGGATAACAGGACTGGCGGGAGCTGGCGGGAGCGGGCGCCGAGTCCGCAGCCACGCTCGGACCTCTGCGCGTGGCCGCGTCCGCAGGCAGCCGGGGCCCCGCGCGCCGGACGGCGCGTGCGCGCTCTCTGATTGGCCGGCGGAGCCGGCGCCTGAGCCAGTGGGAGCGCGCCTTGTTGTCAGGCGCGCAGCCGGCCGGCGCTGGGGGTCTGGCCACTTAGGCGGTTGCTGTGGAGACGCCTGGTGAGCCCTTGGGCGACGGGGTTGTGGCGGCCCGTGGTTGGGGCGCGACTCTGAGGGCCGGGGTGGGGGCGGAAGCCTGAGGTGTGGCGGGCGCGGGGCCCGGCTGGGCTGGCGCCCGGGCTCCCCTCGAGGAGACCGAGGCCGGGAGCAGGAGCGGCCCGGAGGAGGGCCTCTAGTCAGCTCCCTGCCCAGCCTGGTGGCCTGATACTGGGGGGCTCCGCCTATGGCCAGCGGTCCCCGCCGCGGGAGCCGCCGTCCGGACGGCGGTCGCGGCGCAGGGCCCCAAGCTGACCCCCAGCCTCGCGTCCTTCCACTTCACCTTCGCGGCGGCGCTGTGTGGTGAGCGCCCCTCGCGGGTGGAAACCGAGGCCGAGAGGAGGCGCGGCCGCTGATGTCCCGAGCCCCCGGCGCCCCCCGTGGCCCGGCGGCTCCAGGCTCCGGGCCGACCCTGGGCCCGATCGAGTCTCCGCACCGCGGCGCGGGGCGCTGCGCAGGCGACTCTGCGGCCCCCCGCTTCTGGGGCGCCTGGGTCACTGCAGGGTGTGCTGTGTATGTGGCTTACATGCGGCTGGGCTTCCCTCCGTGTGACCCTTCTTTTGGTTGTTGCTCAGTCATGTCCGACGCTTTGCGACCCCTTGGACTGCAGCACGCCAGGCCTCCCTGTCCATCACCAACTCCCGGAGCTTGCTCAAATTCATGTCCATCGAGTCGGTGATGGCGTCCAGCCATCTCATCCTCTGTCGTCCCCTTCTCCTCCCAACTTCAATCTTTCCCAGCATCAGGGTCTTTTCCTGTGAGCCGGCCCCTCTTTGTTTCTTATATTATTATTATGTCTTGTGACTATAATGTGATACTTCTAATAATATAAGTACTTGGTGGCTCTACATTGTCTAGTACTGCAGACACAGCCAAAGACCGTATGCAAGAGAGGGGCAGTGTTTCCATAACATTTTATTTAAGGACACCGAAGTTTGAGTCTTATGTAAGTTTTATGTAGTTTTCTGTGTCCCGAAGTTTTTCAACTATTTGAAAATGTAGAAATCATTGTTTGCTCACTAGCCCACTGTTTTGCTATAACCCAAGAGCAGAGAATGGTTTTTACATTTTTAAATGGTTGAAAACCAAACTCAAATTAGGTCCGTCATCCCCCGCCACCCCCCATCCCTAAGACGGAGAATGCAGGATGATATGGTAGCTCTATTTTTAGTGTTTTAAGCAACCTCCATATTGTTCTCCATAGTGGCTGCACCAGTTTACATTCCCACCAACAGGGTAAGAGGATTTCCTTTTCTCCATGCCCTCCAGCATTTGTTGTTTGTAGACTTTAATGATGGCCGTTCTGATTGGTATGAGGTGATGCCTCATTGTAGTTTTGATTTGCATTTCTCTAATAATTAGAAAACTAAGGTCATGGCATCTGGTCCCATCAGTTCATGGCCAATAGATGGAGAAACAATGGAAACAGTGAGAGGCTTTATTTTGGGGGGCTCCAAAATCACCGCAGATGGTGACTGCAGCCATGAAATTAAAAGACACTTGTTCCATGGAAGAAAAGCTATGACCAACCTAGACAGGATATTAAAAAGCAGAGACATTACTTTGCCAACAAAGGTCTGTCTAGTCAAAACTGTGGTTTTTCCAGTAGTCATCTATGGATACGAGAGTTGGACTATAAAGAAAGCTGTGCGCTGAAGAATTGATGCTTTTGAACTGTGGTGTTCTCTTCTTCAAGAGAAGACTCTTGAAGTCCCTTGGACTGCAAGGAGATCCAACCAGTCCATCCTAAAGGCAATCAGTCCTGAATATTCATTGGAAGGACTGATGCTGAAGCTGAAACTCCAATCCTTTGTCCACCTGATGCGAAGAACTGACTCATTGGGAGAGACCCTGATGCTGGGAAAGATGAAGGCAGGAGGAGAAGGGGACAACAGAGGATGAGATGGTTGGATGGCATCACTGACTCAATGGACATGAGTTTGAGCAAGCTCCAGTAGTTGGTGATGGACAGGGAAGTGTGGCATGTTGCAGTCCATGGGGTTGCAAAGAGTCGGACACGACTGAGCGACTGAACTGACCGAATAATGAGTGATGTTAAACATATTTTCATCTGTCTTTTGCATGCTTAGTCACATCCGACTCTTTTTGACCCCATGGACTGCAGCATGCCAGGCTCCTCTTTCCATGGGGATTCTTCAGGCAGGAATACTAGAGTGGGTCACCATGCCCTCCTCCAGGGGATCTTCCCAACCCAGGAATGTAACCCAGGTCTCCTGCATTGCAGGTGGATTCTTCACCGTCTGAGCCACCAGGGAAGCCCCATGTGTCTTTTGGCCATCTGCATTTTTATTTTTGGCTGTGTAGGGTCTTTGTTGCTATGTGGACTTTTCTCTCGTTAGGGTGAGCTGGGGCTCCTTTCTGTTTGCTGTGTGCAGGCTTCTCACTGTGGCGGCTTCTCTTGCTTTGGAGCATGCGCTCTGGGGTGCCTGGGCTTCAGTGGTTGAGGGCTCCATAGTGCAGCCTCAGTAGTTTTGACACACTTGCTTAGTTGCCCCATGGCATGTGGCATCTTCCCCTACCAAGGATTGAACCTGTGTCCCCTGTTTTGGAAGCATGGAGTCTTAACCACTGGACTGTATGTCCAGGGAAGTCCTGTATGTCTTCTTTGGAGGAATGTCTATTTAGAACTTATGCCTATTTTTTGATTGTGTGTTTGTTTTTTTTTTTGATATTGAGCTGTGTGAGCTGTATTTGTATATTTTGGAAATTAATTCGTTGTCAGTTGCAGCATTTGCAAATATTTTCTCCCATTCTGTAGGTTGTCTTTTAAACTACACTTAGACTTAGTGGAAAGTTGCAACAATGATACAGTGAGTTTCCAAATGTTTCTCACCCTGCTTCCCTAACTTTAACATCTTATATAATTCTAGTGCAATTGTCAATAAAAGGAAACTCATACTGATACTATATTATTAACTGTCACTTTTCTACATAGTCACAACCCTAGTTCTTAAAGTTTTTCAGTGTTTTATTAACTTCTTGACCTTGCTACTTTTTGTCTGATATTGCTCAATTTAGGCTTGTCTGCTGTTTTCTCATGATTAGAGTGAAGTTATGCATTTTAAGCCAAAATAACACAAACATGTTCTGCCTGTGGGGTAAGATTTTAGAAATGTTCATATTCTGAATACTTTATTTTCCACTATGAACATATTCTCTTACCTGTATACATTTTGTGGAGACAGGCATAGGTATTTTAGCCACATGAAATGTCCATTTTTCCCTTATGTCCACTGAATTGGTAGGTATGTTATATTCCCAAATAAGATGCGTGTAAAATTCCTAGAATTCAAAGAAAAAATATCAGTGTTCTCCCAAATACACTGGGATGCCAGGCTATATGAGGTTAACTCCTCAGATGATTTTCCTATTGATGCAAAAATAAATAGTTGGATTTTAAAAGATCTGTGTTCTGAACGATAAATAATCCCTTTGTATGTACTATGGTTTCTACGTTAATCTTGCTCCCTACCATGCGCCGCCTCCCCCGCCCCGACTGTTTGGTGGTCACAGTGTCCATCACAGTGTAGTTTATGGTGAAGCCACTGTTTCCAGAGTTACTCAGCAGCATGCGTTGCTTGTCAATGTAGAAGCCAGGAGATGAAATAGCTGTCAGCCTGGTGGGGTTGTGTCTTCCTTGTCTGTGAAGAAGACTGCTTTTTCCTCCCCTGTGAGAGCCCTTGGAGGAGCCAGAGCCTGTGTGGAGGTCGTGGCCGTGAGCCCTGCTGGCGGGGGCCGTGGTCACTTTGTGGCTGTGAGCTGGCAGGGGCCGTGGTCACTTTGTGGCTGTGAGTCCTGCTGGCGGGGGCCGTGGTCACTTTGTGGCTGTGAGTCCTGCTGGCGGGGGCCGTGGTCACTTTGTGGCTGTGAGCTGGCGGGGGCCGTGGTCACTTTGTGGCTGTGAGCTGGCGGGGGCCGTGGTCACTTTGTGGCTGTGAGCTGGCGGGGGCTGTGGTCAGTTTGTGGCTGTGAGTCCTGCTGGTGGGGGCCGTGGTCACTTTGTGGCTGTGAGTCCTGCTGGCGGGGGCCGTGGTCACTTTGTGGCTGTGAGCCCTGCTGGCGGGGGCCGTGGTCACTTTGTGGCTGTGAGTCCTGCTGGCGGGGGCCGTGGTCACTTTGTGGCTGTGAGCTGGCAGGGGCCGTGGTCACTTTGTGGCCGTGAGTCGGCGGGGGCCGTGGTCACTTTGTGGCTGTGAGTCCTGCTGGCGGGGGCCGTGGTCACTTTGTGGCTGTGAGTCCTGCTGGCGGGGGCCGTGGTCACTTTGTGGCTGTGAGCCCTGCTGGCGGGGGCCGTGGTCACTTTGTGGCTGTGAGTCCTGCTGGCGGGGGCCATGGTCACTTTGTGGCTGTGAGCTGGCGGGGGCCGTGGTCACTTTGTGGCCGTGAGTCCTGCTGGCGGGGGCCGTGGTCACTTTGTGGCTGTGAGCTGGGAGGGGCCATGGTCACTTTGTGGCCATGAGCCCTGCTGGCGGGGGCCGTGGTCACTTTGTGGCTGTGAGTCCTGCTGGCAGGGGCCATGGTCACTTTGTGGCTGTGAGCTGGCGGGGGCCGTGGTCACTTTGTGGCCGTGAGTCCTGCTGGCGGGGGCCGTGGTCACTTTGTGGCTGTGAGCTGGGAGGGGCCATGGTCACTTTGTGGCCATGAGTCCTGCTGGCGGGGGCCGTGGTCACTTTGTGGCTGTGAGCTGGCGGGGGCCGTGGTCACTTTGTGGCTGTGAGCTCCGCTGGCGGGGGCCGTGGTCAGTTTGTGGCTGTGAGTCCTGCTGGCAGGGGCTGTGGTCACTTTGTTTATACTGGTAGAGCACGCGCTCAGTCCCTGCCAAGGCTCCGTTATACCGCCTGCTGGGCCCCCGCGGGGCTCTGTGGGGATCCCTGGTTGGGCCGTTTCCAGGCACCTTGCTCTGCCCTCCCTGGAGTGTTTGGTGGTGCTGCATCTTCATCCCACCCCTCAGGCTGGAGCCCCGTGTTCCCGGCACCCTGCTGCTCCCTGAAGAACCTGCCCTGAGGGCCCAGTTCTGTGGGTTTCCTCCTGGGACGTGCCCCCTGCACCCCACTGCCTCAATCAGGCTCCTGCCCTGTCTTCCTTTATCAGACCTCACAGATCTGTGTGTGTGGGTGTGTGCACACATCTGGTACCCAGCACCACCGTCCTCACCCCAGCAAGGAGCCCTGTTCCTGGCAGGAGTCACCCCCATCTGTCCCTCTGCCCCGGCCCCCGCCTCCTTCCTGCTTCTGTGGCCTCATGGAGTCTGAACGGTCCACATAAATGGAGTCAGCAGTCTGTGGCCTTGGTCTTCTTTTAATGGCTGCGTTCTCAAGGTTCATCCAGGTGGTAGCAAGTGCAGCACTGTAGTCTGTTTTATGACTGAATAATCATCCATTGGCTGCATGGACATACCATGTTTTCTGTATCTGTCAGTTGATGGACATTTGAGTTGTCCCCACCTTTAATCTGTCATGAATAATGCTGCTGTGAACATTCATGGGTGAGTGTTGGTGTGGGCATGTTTTCCTTTCCCTTGGGACTGGGATCTAGCATTCTGAGCAGCTGCCGCTGCCAGTAGGTTTCACTGTTTTTCATTCCCATCTGCAGGGAATGAAGGTCCGATTTCTGCACGTCCTCACCAGTCCTATCTTTTTTTATAGATTTCACACTGGTCTGCCTACCTCTAAGTTTTTCCTTGATATTTCCCATAGTTTTTTCTTTTACATTTCCCTCCTGCCCTCCAGGCCCCTGTGACCCCGCCTGCACCCCAGTGCTGTTCCTTCTGGGTCTTACCGCAGACCTTCCTCCTTCACCTTCCCCCATCCCTGTGGGTGACTTGTTCTGTCTCTGCTGCCTGTGTTTCCATTTTATTCAACTTTTGAGGAAATCACTGTTTGTTGATCTACTGCATGTGCTTAGCAGTGAGCCCTGGGGCGGTGTCAGGCTGTCTCCTCCGCGTCCCCCGGGCCTTGCTCAGCCAGCGTGGGTGCCCAGCCCAAGGCCAGGGGCTCCCTAGGCGACAGACTGCAGAGTCGTCCCAAGGCCCACTAACCTGGGTGCCCAGAGCCAGAGGCCTGTGGTTTTGGACCGGGGTTCCTGGTGGCCCGGCTCTTCCTGGACCGCCCCCCCTCAGCCTGTCCTGCTTCCTCCCTAGGAGCCGTATGGGCTGGCCCTGCCCTGCTGCTGGGTGGTGCCAGAGGCTCTGACGATGGTATGTGCTGGTGCTTGGCCGTGGCACTGCAGGGTGAGGGGTGGGTTCTTGGGTGGGCCCTGAAGGCCGTCCTTTGAGGGTGTGGGTGTCCGCCCTCCTGTGGGTGTTGGCAGGGCCACGTCTCTGGCAGAGAGACACAGCCCGTGTCACTGGAGTCTGTTTTTCCGATGCCTGGGTCTTCTGCCGCGTTAGGCCATTGCTGGGTGTCCCCAGCCTGCCCCTTCTGTAGTGGACACGTTCCCTAAGCGGGTTGGTGTGGTCCCTTCAGAATGTTCCGGTTCCCCCTTTCCCTGGGTGGTCCCCTGTCACTCAGCCCCACAGCTGGGGAGGCTGCAGTTGTTTGAGGTGGACTGTGTTTCAGAGGGCTGTGCGCCTTGTGGGTTACTGACAAGATGAGCCACCTTTCATGTGAAAGCAGCTGTTCTCCTCCCTCATACCTCTGCCTCTAGATTCGAATCGCAGCCTTAAATGCTAGCTCCACGGTTGAAGACGATCATGAAGGAAGCTGTAAAAGTCACAAGACCCAGACAAAGGAGGCGCAGGTGTGTGGTCACGGGCTCCTCTGCAGCTGGCCCTGGAGTCTCATTTCCCGCTTGGGGTCTGGGTTATTCTGGCTGGTGTGGCCACCCTCCCACAAGGTGTCAGCGGGGCTCCTGGAACCTTGGCCTTGCTGTGGCTGTGGCCTCGGCGTGCTGCCTGCCGTTGCTCAGACTCAGCTGAGCCCACGTTGCTTGTGTCCACCTGGGGGGCTGTTGAGCACTGAGCCCCTGGGAGGGCAGAGCCTCAGGACCATCTCCACCACAGCGAGTACGGGTCACCCAGTCCGAGTGCAGGCCCCCACACACTGTCGGCTTAAAACGACACACCTTTGTGCTCTCTAAAAATGTCTCCCATGTTGGTTTTCAGGAAGCAGAGGCTTTTGCCTTGTACCACAAGGCCCTGGATCTGCAGAAGCATGACCGATTTGAGGAGTCCGCCAAGGCCTACCACGAGCTGCTGGAGGCACGCCTGCTGCGGGAGGTGAGGCCCGGGGGCCAGGCAGGCCCCGCGCCCCGGGCTCTGCCGCCGGCGGAACGCCCTTCCCGCTGGGGTGCTCCGAGGCCGGGCGAGTCCGGAGAAGCACGTGGAACAGTTCTAGGGACAGAGTGACAGCCCCAAATGCCAGCTGCCCTCCTACTGGGGCTTCACAGTCTACCAGGTGGGGGCGCTCTGTCCTCCTCTCAGTGTGGCGGCGGCGCTGTGGGTGGCCCAGGGCCTTCTGCTTAGTGAAGCGCAGAGCCGGGAGTGGTGCGGGGTGTGCTGGGCAGCCAGCGCACAGCGCTGTGAGCATCAGCTTCCGGGCTGCGGCCCTCCGGCGTGGCGGGCGTGCCGGAAGTGCCCCTGCCCGGCTGGGCTGCACACCGCCCCCCGGGGCCTGGCCTTTCTCCTTCGTCTGCTCAGAGCTGGGGCGGGGGTGGGAGGGTCCTTGAAAGGCCGCTGGGGCCGCACTGGTTCCCAGTGCAGAGTGGCTCTGGGCTGGCCCCCAGGCCTGCACGGCCAGGGGCCCTGCTGACCGCCCGCGGAGGCGTCAGGGCCTGGCCCTCAGTTTGCGCCTCTCTGCCGCGCTCCCAGGCGGTCCCGTCTGGCGATGAGAAGGAGGGGCTGAAGCACCCTGGGCTGATGCTGAAGTACTCCACGTACAAGAACCTGGCGCAGCTGGCTGCCCAGCGGGAGGACCTGGAGACGGCCATGGAGTTCTACCTGGAGGTGTGCCCCGTGGGTCTTCGGCAGCCCCTGGGGGCCACGTGGCTCCCCTGTCATCCCTGGGCAGCCTGGGGGGCCAGGCCAGTGCTGTCCCCTCGGACGCCTGCTGGAGGGGGTGGGGTCGACTGAGCACGCGCGTGCGGCCCTGCTCGCAGGCGGTCATGCTGGACTCCACAGACGTCAACCTCTGGTATAAGATTGGACACGTGGCCCTGAGGCTCATCCGGGTGCCCCTGGCTCGCCACGCATTTGAGGAAGGGCTTCGGTGCAACCCTGACCACTGGCCCTGCCTGGACAACCTCATCACTGTCCTGTACACCCTCGGCGACTACACCAGTGAGTGGGTGTGACTGCGTTCTCCTGCGAGCACTTGAGGAGGGAGGGTGGCTTGGCTGAGCTCGGGGCCGGCGCTGATGTGGAAGGGCTGTCTGCCCAGCGTTCAGGGGAAACGGAGATGTGTTTGCTTCCCCAGCATGCTCTGCTAGCTTTCTTCCTCAGTCGAGGTTTGCCGCTCGCATTGTGGTAGGAAGACAGGTTCCCTTCCGCCTTTCATCCCCCGCTCCCCCCTACCCCCCTGCGTCCTGCCCCAGGCCTGCTCCTGAAATTTGCTGACAGGCAGCCTGGCGGCTGCAGCCTCACTCCCAATGCCAGAAGGTTACTTTCTTCTCATCCTTCCCTCCTTGTGTAGAGCAGCATGGCCGCTGGAAAGACCTGTGCCAGACAGAGCCCCCGTCTGCCTTGTGGTGGCATCCCTCTCTGCCCTGCCTGGCCCTCTGCTCTGCAGGGGACACGTGGCCCTCTGTGGGCCGTCCCGAGGCGGGCGCTGACGGGGTTCTGGGTCTCCTGGGCTGGCTCCTCCCGGCGGCTGTGTGGAAGGGCCCCGGGCAGGACAGGGTGCAGGGGAGCTGGCCTCGGGCCCAGACGTGCAGCAGCGCCCAGTCTGGTTGAAGGTTTCGGCCGGGAGGCTGGCTCTGGCGGCTCTTCCTTCCCTTTCTAGGGGTGGCGGAGGCTGGGAAGCTGGGCCCACACCCCTCCCTGGCTCCGTGTGCTCGAGCCTGGCCGCAGGGGCCAGCTGCTGGGTCCCCAGAGCCAGCTCAGCACCCCTGCCCTGTGCAGGCGGGACCCGCCCGTCTGGCCCCCCACGCCGTTGGGCCTCTGCCGTCTGTCCTCTCCTCTGCACGTCTGACATCGCACACTTGCACGTGGGGTTGCCTCCACACGCGGGCCTTGTGTCCCCTCACGGGTGCATGTGCTTCTGTGGCCGTCAGCGTGTCACCCGTTTCCCTGTTTCAACTCTGGCGCTTGCATCTTCCCTGTCATCTCCCTGGGGCCCGTCCTGGAGTTCGGGCGCCCCCTGGAGGCCCAGCCTTCAGTATCCTGCCGTCTCTGCGTCCCGGCTCAGGCTCTACACTTGGTAAACCCAGGTCTTGAGCAGAAGATGGCTTGGGGGACAGAGCGGTTTTGTACCTGTGAGGGCCGATGGGCATCCCTGAGCTTAACCCCATGCAGAGCATGAGCTGCTGTTAGGTGGACCCTGGGCCGAGTCGGCGGGCCTCCCTCTGCTGTGGGCACATCAGCCCTGCTGCGGCCCCTCCGCCGGGAGCCCCACTCTCCTTCAGTGGGTGGCTGGTGGGGCGGCCCGGCTCTGCCTTCCTTCCAGCCCCCTGCCTGTCTTCCAGGCCTCTGTCCTGGCTTTCCTCCCCTCTCCCCGCTCTGTTCTCCTCTGCTGATTCCTGATGGAAGTGCCTCGCATCCGCACTCAGGCTGGGGAGCTGGGCTGGGCCCTGGGCCGTCCAGTCCAGAGCAGAGTGAGCTGGCAGTTGTGCTCTGGTTTGCGGGCAGCTAGCCCCTGTAGGGTGGGTTTCTTGGGTCGAGGTTCTGTGTGTAATGCCCCCCCCGTTCCCTAGAAATTTTGCCCAGCCCATCCTCCTCCTCCCCGGCAGCCTTGGGGTTACTATTTTCAGAAATGGTTCCTGATTGGATGGGTCCAGGTGGTGTCTTGTCCTTGTTTACCCAGTGTCTTTTGGCCCCCAGAGCAGGGACCCTTCCCTGGCATCACTGGCAAGGCCAGGGTGTCAGAGGCAGCCCAAGGTCACACCTGTCTCTCTCTGCCAGCATGCCTGTATTTCATCTGCAAGGCCTTGGAGAAGGACTGCTGCTACAGCAAGGGGCTGGTGCTCAAGGAGAAGATCTTCCAGGAGCAGCCGTGCCTCCGCCAGGACTCCCTCCGCATGTTCCTCAAGTGGTAGGTCCCTCACAGTCTGCCCTGCCCGCGCCTCTCCTTCGGGCACTCAGGGCTGCCTCTGTCCACCTTGCTGCCCACTCCCCCTCTCCGAGGCGGGGCTTTCCACACTGCCTGGCCTGTCCCTGACCCACCCTGCCTGCCTCTGGGATGGGGCCCGTCTCTGAGGCCCTTTGCAGCCTGACCGCCCAGTCCTCCTGTCCCCTCTCTGGGAGGAGAGCGGTCCTGGGCCTGCAGGCTCTGGGCTGGCCCTGCTGGCCCCGCTGGCCCTGCCCTGGCTCCCCAGCACCCTCACGGGAGTCCCCACCTCTCCCTGGCCCACTCTCCTGCCTCTTTCGTGTTCTGGCTCCCAGGTCCCGCCTCGGCAGCTTTCCAAGCTCGGGTTGCCTCCCTCACCACTGCTCCCACCCATGGTATCGGCTTGGCCCTGGGAGTTTTCCACTGGGGGTTAGTGGTCGTTTGTCGCGGTGTTTGTACCTCGGGAGACTGTGTCTCTTGTCCCCGCCTGTCCTGAGGGGACTGCCCTTCCCTGGGGAGGTGGGTGCTGAGCCCATGAGTGCGGGGAAGCCCTGCAGGGGGGCCTCCGCTGACAGAGGTGTGTCCGTGGGAAGCATGCTGGGCCTCAAGGTCCCACCGTTGCTGTTCACTTCCATCGGCTTTGCTGAGCTTGGCTGGTCTGAGGGCTATTTTTGGATGGACAGTATGGGATAGTTAAATCCTCACAAACTTTTCAGCAAAGAATGAGAGCAGCATGTGATTTTTCTGCTATCAGTGTGGTCCTGCTAATGCAGATGAAGACCTGTTGCCCAGTTGTGAACAGATTAAAGGGCATTAGTCATGCAGTGTACATGGGTATTAGGAATGCTAATTACTGCTCTTCTCAGCCCAAGCGGTAATTTTATTTGTGGAAGAATTAATGCAGGTTGCAGGGTGCTCACTGCACGCCGTGGCTCTAATGTGCCCTGGCCACACCTCTGTGCCTTGCACTCGCAGTGACATGTCCATCCACGAGGTGTCAGTGAGCGCAGCCGAGTCACAGGCCATCGTGGATGAGGCCCTGGGGCTGCGGAGGAAGCGGCAGGCGCTGACGGTGCGCGAGAAGGAGCCGGACCTGAAGCTGGTGCAGCCCATCCCCTTCCTCACGTAGGTTGTCCAGGGTGCCAGGTGGCTGCAGGGCCCTGCATGGGCGGGGACGCGGGGCACACAGGCAGGTGACCGCTGCCGGGAGCCCCTCTGTCCATGCTGCCCTTGATCTGCCACCTGCCACGCTCCTGTCAGCCCCTCTCACCGTCCCCCCGAAGGGAGACAGGAAGGTGGACAGGGGCCATCAGGGCTCTGAGGGGCTAAGGGTGAGTGGGGAGCCCACCGCAGGGCCTGGCGTCCTGCTTGCGAGTCCACGCTCATGACAGGGTCACACTGCTGCGTGGGTGGGAGAGGGTTTAGGGCCAGAGCTGGAGTCCAGGGAGGAGTGGGCATGGGTCAGGCAGAGGGAAGCCTGTGCAAAGGCCCTGCAGGGTGTGGGGCGTGGTTTTGTTTGCAGAACGGAAGGAAGCTATGCAGGTGAGGGTGTGTGGGGGGCGGGGCAGTGAGGTCGGGCACCGTAACAACAGGTGGAGGCCTTGGACTTTAGTCTGAGGGCCTGGCGAGCTGTTCAGGGACGGGTGGGTGGGTACCTTATGCCACCCTGCGTCATGCCACAGCACAGCCTGGCATGCAGCACAACACATGATGGCACAGAGCGCAGAGCAGACCGCGTGCCGCGGAGCCCTTGCTGCCCCTCACCACACACAGCACGCAGCACGGCCTGCTCACGGCAAGATCCCAAGTTCTCGGTTTGCATGCGGCAGGCTCCGGCCCAGGAGCTGTTGAGCCCCTTTGGCGCACATCCCTGTCAGTAGCTGTCTCCCAGGAAATCAGACAGGTGGCCACAGGGCAAGGCCACTGGGTGGTAAAGACGGGACCTTGCTCAGAAGGCATTACCGCGTGAGCCCACGGCTGCCCCTGCCTGCCAGGGCGGAGATGCCTTGGGGCTCCTGTGAGGCGTGTGGAGGGTGTGGGCTCCGCCCCCGCTCCAGCCGCTCCACCTCAGCAGTCACGCACCCCGGCCCCCCGCCCTCGTGGGGACGGCAGCCTGGGCTCAGGGCCCCCCGTGGTGGGTGCTGAGCCCCGTGGTGACCTGCTCCCTGCAGCTGGAAGTGCCTCGGCGAGAGCCTGCTGGCCACGTACCGCCACCTCACCACCTGCGAGCCCCCGCGGCCCAGCCTCGGCAAGAGGGTCGACCTGTCTGACTATCAGGACCCCGGACAGCGCCCCTCTTCTCCCGAGGAGGCGGCGCCCGTCAGCGTGCTCCAGCCACGCCCCGCCAGCGCCAGCCCCGCTGCCTGTGCAGCGGAGCCCCTGCTGTCGTTCACCCCCGTGCCCGCGGCCAGCTTCCCGCCGCACAGCCCCAGCCTGCTGGAGACGGGCGCCCCCACTGGTGAGTGGCAGTGAGAGTTGAGCGCCCTGCCCTCCAAAGGCCGGGTCCTGCTGCTGCCCGGCCACGCAGGAGAGCTCCGGGCTACTGGCCGGTCCCCCTCCACAGTGGGGCCCTAGGTGCGGGGCTGGTGTCGGGGACAGCTCCTCAGGCCCCCTGCCTGTGAGCTGTGGCCTGGCGGGTCCCTGTGCTGGCTCTGCTCTGGCTGGCCCCTGCCCTGCCCGCTGTGCTGTTGGGCACTGATGCTCCCATAGCTTAAGCAGCGGCCAGCAGTCCCCGCCGTCTGTGGTCATGTCCCTTGGAATGGCATTACTGATTTTTATCATCGGAGCCTTCCAAAAAAACTTGGACCAAAGCTTCTAAGCCTTTCCTAGATTTCTGTGTCGCTGATAAAGCCTATGTGGCAGCTAAAGAAGGTTCTGAATGAACATGTATGTGATGGTTTCTAACTTTTTAACTTCATCATGAGTGACACCTGTCTGCTACAAATCATGTGACCGTCTTGCCCGCATCCTGTCACTGGGCCCTGCTCTAGGGCAGAGTCAGGGTCCCTGCTGCTTGCTTAGCCCCCTCCCAGGACAGCCAGTGGGGGGGCTTTGACCCTCAGACCCTGGCATTCTGTAGCTTTGGAAAGTAGTCTTGAGGCCTGGCCTGTGGGTGAGAAAGGGGTGAGATTAAGGGATTTGAAATGGCCTTTTCTCAGGCTCTTTTTTGCTAGAGGGGACAGGAGATTTCTTGAATGTCTGAGAAGCCGCAAGTTAAGTATGTAAGCAGGTTATATATAAAAGGACTGAGCGCCTTGAGGTGCGTTTCCATGGCCCAACTCTCCTAAGCGTTCAACTTGGTCTCTTTGTAAAGGTGATGTCTCCGGGGGAGATAAATCCAAGAAAGGGGTGAAACGGAAGAAGATTTCCGAGGAGAGCGGGGAGACAGCGAAGCGGCGGTCTGCCCGCGTCCGAAACACCAAGTGCAAGAAGGAAGAGAAGGTGGACTTCCAGGAGCTGCTGCTGAAGTTCCTGCCGTCCAGGTGCGGTGCTCTGGGTCTCAGCAGGGGGAGCACACAGCCCCCCGCCTGCCTCCCCCCCCCCCCCGCCTCTCTCCCTACCCCCCCCCCGCCTCCCTCCCTACTCCCGCCTTCCTCCCTGCCTCCCCCCCTCCCGTGCTCCCCCCACCTCCCTCCCTCCCTCCCCCCACCCCACCTCCCTCCCGCGCTCCCGCCCCCCACCATGGGCGCCTCCCCATGGGCGCCTCCCCCGCCCCCGGACTGGGGCTGCTGCTCACGCCTCACGCCTCACGCCTGGGCCTCGTGTTGTCCAGGCGCAGATGCCGGGACAGCCCGTGGGAGGGGCCCGTGGGAGGGGATGTGCCTGCTTGGCTTCTCCGGGCTCCGCAGGGTCCCTGGAGCTTGAGAAAGTAGATGGCGGGTTTGGGAGTCATCCCCTGTTTCTTGGGTTCCTCAGAGAAGCCTCCCAGGAGGAGATGGGCCCGGCTGCCTGGGGCGGGGGGTCTGCGCCCCTGTGCTCATCCCCTGGGTCTTCTCCAGCCCCTGTGTCTTGCCCTGTCCCCTCCCTCAGACGCTTTGGGGCCTCAATGTCTGCGCTCTCCCGGCTTACACTGCTAGACTTCCTACCACCCTTGCCCGAGCGCAGAGAGCAGGCGGGTTCTCTCTCCCCGCCGACATTTGAGGGGCACGTCTTCTGAGCCGGGGTGTCCTCTCCTGTGCCCTGTGTCTTTGTATCTTTGAGACTTTACACCGTTTTCTCCCTTCTGTGGTCCTGCAGTCTGGGAGTTGGCCATGTGTCCGTGAGCATCCTTCTCGGGTGCTGAGCTGGTGTCTGGCTCCTGACATTCGGCTCCAGGGTGGCGCACCTAAGCCGATGAGGGGAGGGCAGCCAGGAGCTTTTGGTGGCTTGTGACTCTCTTTGGCCACAGGATGCTGTTTTCCTAGTTTATTGCCTTTCTGTTTCTGTGGGGAGAGGGAGGTGCCCGAATGGAGCCGTTCTCGGTGTGAGCCGGACGTGGGCTCTTGGTGGCTTCCTCCCAAGCCGCCCCTCCGTGATCAGGCCTCCCAGTGGGGCCACCTCAAGGAGGTTCTGGGCGCCCCAGGGCCACCCCCCACAACCCCTGCCTCCCGCTGCCCCGCCCCAGTCCTTGTTCCCCCACCCCACTGCTGGGGAATGTTGTCTTCCTTCTTTTTTATCTTTGTTTCAACTGCTGGTTTCCTGTGTGGCTTTCACGTCAGCTTCCTTGAATGGTTAGGCAGGGGCACACAGTGGCTTGCTGGGCGCAGTTCCCAGAGGGGGCGGGCAGTGCATTTGCGCAGCACGAGGTCTGGCACCACCTGTCCATCCTTGGGGGGGCGGCGGGGACAACTAAAAGCGGAGTCCCTGGGGGGTCTGCCGGGAGAGACCCCCTCCCCCCCGAGCCCAGAGCACTGTGAGGAGTCGTGGAGGTGCCGCCTGCCCCCCCCCACTCTCTCCTTACCCCCCCAGCCCGCTTTGGGCCTCAGCGTGTGGAGGCTTGGCCAACTGCCGTCCAGGCAAAGTCCTGCAGCCGCTGTCTCCAGCTCCCTGTGGGCATCAGTCCCTATGTGGGTCCCTTCTCTGTTTCCCACTCAAAGGTCAGCTTCCTGTGGGCAGGGGTCGCTGCAATCCTGGCTGTATTCTGACCTCGGCCCGATGCCTGATGACCACCTGATGGGATGGGTGAAGGCAGGGCACGGGCCACAGAAGGCTGGAGAGGCGGAGCCCCCTTGCCTGGGGCCAGCCTGGCCGGCGTGGGAATGTATGCCAGGGCTTGTGTGAGTCTGGTGTGTTCCCTGCAGGTTGAGAAAGCTGGACCCTGAGGAGGAAGACGACCCCTTTAATAGCTACGAAGTCCCTCCAGAGGCCAGGCTGGAGAGCTTCCCCAGTGCGGGGCCCCACAGGCTGTCCTCCGACTCGGCCACATTCATGGAGTCCGGTAGGAGCGGGTGCCGTGGGCGCTGCTGGGGGGTGGTCCAGGGCTGCCTGGCTCCATCCCGCCTGAGCTCTGAGGTCAGCCAGGTGAGGGTGCTGGACCATCCTGGCGCGGGCCTTGCTAGTCGAATGGTTCGTCTCAGTTAGGTGTGGCCGAGCGCTGGGTGCTGTGCTGACACGTGAGACCCTACCCTCCTGGGCTCTGGAGGTTCAGACAGGGGCACCCACAGCTGTGGGGAGCTCGGGCTCTCCACACTGGTGCCCTCCTCTCCCAAAGAAGGCAGGCCTGGCGTGGAGGTCCCCCCTCGCGTCAGGTCCCCCTCGCGTCCCCCCTCCTCGCGCCGGGTGCCCCCTCACATTGGGTCCCCCTCACGTCCCCCCCCACATCAGGGCCCCCCTCACGTTGCGGCCCCCCTTGTGTTAGGTTTCCCCTCATGTCACGTCGCCCCCCCCCGCCACCTCAGGTCCCCCTCACGTCAGGGCCCCCCTCACGTCAGTTCCCGCTCACGTCAGATGGCTCCCCGTCACGTCAGATGGCCCCCCTCATGTCAGATGGTCCTCCCTCACATTGAAGCCTCTCATGTTGGGGCCCCCCACGTCATGTCACTACCCCCTCACGTCGGGTCCCCCTCATGTCAGATGGCCCCCCTCACATCAGGGCCCCCCCACGTCGGGTCCCCCCTCGCATTGGGTCCCTCTCACGTCATATGGCCCCCCCCGTCAGATGGCCCTCCCTCATGTTGAGGCCCCTCTCGCATCGGGTCCCCCCTCACATCGGGTCCCCCTCATGTCATGCTGCCCCGTCCCACGTCCGGTCCTCTCTCACGTCGGGTCCACTACCTCACGTCGGGTCCCCCCTTGCACTGGGTCCTCCTCACGTCAGGGTCCTCCGCATGTTGGGTCCCCCCTCGCGTCGGGTCCTCCTCACGTCAGGGTCCTCCACACGTTGGGTACCCCCTCGCACCGGGTCCCCCTCACGTCATGTTGCCCTGTCCCATGTCAGGTCCTCCCTCACGTCGTGTCTCCCACCTCACGTCGGGTCCCCTCTCACGCTGGGTCCCCCTCACATCGGGCCCCTCCTCTGGCAGAGAAGCAGGATGTGCACACCTTCCTGCTGGGGAACCTGAGCAACGGGGGCATCTTGGAGCTGATGATGCGCTTCCTGAAGAGCATGGGCCGCAGGTTCCTGCTACGCTGGCCGCCCGGCCTGGCGGAGGTCGTGCTCAGCACCTACCACAACTGGCGGCGGCACAGTGCCAGCCTGCCCAACCCGCTGCTCAGGGACTGCAGCAACCGGCACATCCAGGTGGGCCTGCAGGGCACCGTGACCCTCACCCCCGGAGGAGGGCGGCTGCTTCCAGGGGCAGCGCTGGGGGCGTTCAGGGCCCCAGAGGTGGAGGAGCCCTGGGCTCACAGTGCTCAGGGCTGTGTGGGCCAGGGGCCCCTGGGCAGGCAGCCCCTGCTGGGACACTCCTGGGACTGCCTCCTGGCAGCATCTGCCTGGGTCTGCTTCCCTGGGGCAGGGTGGGGCGGCGGGAGGGGCTGAGCTTTGGTCCCCGGACAGACAGCTTGGTCACTTCTCATCTGTGCCCCCTTGGCTGGGCCCGTGCCTCCTTACTGCTGGACCTCAGCTTCCTGGTGCACGGGGGAGTGTGCTCCCACCCCAGGCGCTGTCAGGGCTGAGGGCCTGCGCTCGGCAGGTGGCAGGGCCACCTCTTGCACGGGACCGTCCCGAGGACTGGAGGCGGGTGGGTCTCACTGGTGGTCCCGAGTCCGTCCCAGGGAGATCCATCTGTCTGTCCTTAGGTTCCAGCAGGTAGTCACTGGTTATCACTCTCCGGATGGAAAGTGCATAGAGGGGAAAGTGGTGTCCCCGTCAGAATAGAGTCTAGTTGAGGCTCCTTCTGTCTCCACCCTCGGCCCCTGTGACCCATCGCTGACCCCCCCCACACCCGTCCTGCAGGAGATGATGCTGATGTCCCTCTCCTGCATGGAGCTGCAACTGGACCAGTGGCTGCTGACCAAGGGCCGGAGCTCTGCAGGTAGGCTGCCTTCCGTGTTCCATGGGGGCCCATTTTCTAGAGCGGGCAGGAGCCGGGGACTGAGTCACTCCTGCGGGGGCACATTTCCCAGGTTGGCTTGTCAGGCCAGGAAAGACCCAGGTCTCTGAGAAGTGGCTGGGCCCCACGGGAGCCACCCACCTGCTTGTAACTCGGGATAAGGGCCATAGCATCTCTATTTCCTCAGTTCATCACCGGACACTTTGCGTGTCCCCAGATACGCTCAGCTCAGTCTGCTTGCTGAGGTCCGTGAGCCCCAGGGTTTCTGCATCCCTGTTGGGCCTGTCTGGCTTTGACACTGGCCACTTGGGGCCGTGGGGCTCCGAGGGCTCAGGGCCTCGGGGAGCAGGAGAGCATCTGGGCCCCACTCACGAGGTTGACTCCTTCCGGCCTGACGGTTTTCAGTGTCTCCTCGGAACTGCCCTGCAGGCGTGGTGAATGGCAGGTTCGGACCCGACTTCCCAGGGGCCCACTTCCTGGGGGACCTCCTGCAGCTGTCGTTTGCCTCATCCCAGCGGGACCTGTTTGAGGATGGGTGGCTGGAGTTTGTGGTCCGTGTGTACTGGTTGAAGGCTCGATTCCTGGCGCTGCAGGTTGGTCTGGGGGCGGCTGCTTGGGGAGGAAGCCCAGGCACCCAGGAGGAGGGGAGGGGCTGGTCACGTGATGGGGCGTGTGTGTGTGCATGCGTGATGGCACCTGGGCGCTGGGCTCGGCATGAGGAAGCGGGGTATGGGGGGCAACCTTCAGGGTCCCGGAACCAGTGTGCCCACCATCCACCTAGCCACAGCGCCGGGAGGGTCTCATGGGCCCCACAGACCCAGGGAGGTTGCCTCGCAGCCTTGGCCCTTTGCTTGTGTTTCCTGAGAAAGTCGTCTAGAGGACTGGGGTGGGCTGGCTGGCCCCCGGCCCCTTGAACACCAGGCACCCTTCAGTCAGTTCTGGAGTGGGGCAGGCCCAGTTGGGTCCCAACTCTGCCACCTTCGCCTGAGCTCTGGACAGATTCTGGGCTGTGCTCCCCCACCACAGGGGTCACAGTGGTCCCCTGAGAGCTGTGGTGTGAATTATTCGTCCATTCATCCATTCAGCAGATACGTGCTGAGCCCCACTCTGGCCAGCCACTGTGTGGGGGGTATGGTGGGAATTGGCCACACCCACCTCGCGGTGCCCCCCCCGCGTGGGGGGCTCGGGAGGCAGGCCCTGGGGAGCGCAGTGAGTGCCGCTCCTCTGCCCAGGGAGACATGGAACAGGCCCTGGAGAACTACGCCATCTGCACAGAGCTGCTGCAGGGCGCAGCTGCCTCGGGCGCCGAGCAGGGAACCGTGGTCGTCCGCCTGCCCAACCTGCACAACGACTCGGTGGTCTCTCTGGAGGAGGTGAGCAGAGCGTCCTCAGTGGTGCTTTCCCGTCAGAGGCCTCACCTGTCCGTGTGGGCTGGGAGACAGGCCGGGGGCTGAGCAGGGCGGGAGGGGGCCCAGTGGAGGCAGCCCTGGTGCTCAGGGTGCCGTGCACTTGGAGGCTCAGCCCTGATGGAGCACCCACTGGGGGCCGGGGGCCGGGGGCTGGAAACGGGGCTGTCTGCTGGGGGTGGGGAGGGTTCTTGCTTGGCTGTCAGGCCCTTGTGTGGGGGCAGCTCCAGCAGGATGAGGGGGACGCCCCAGAAGCAGACCAGCACGGCTCTGGCCCTGGGGCGGTCAGCGGGCCGAGGTTCTCACCCCGCCCTCTGTGCAGCCCCGGCCCCGCCCGCAGCTCCACGTCTGTGACACGGCCACCTGTGCTGGGGGCCGGCGGGCCCTGCAGTTGTAAGGGCCCGGCCCGGTGTAGCGGCCTGCTGCCTATGCCCTCAGGCCCCCTGGGGCAGAGGCGCCGGGGGTGGTGGTGGGTGACGGCCTCTGGCCTGGGCCCGCGTGGCCTCCGCAGCCTCACACCCCGGCCCAGGGGTCTGGGTTGCTGAAGCATGACCTGGAGGCTGGCTAACTGTTTTGGCATACTCTGTCTGGAGCCTGTGCTTCTGAGGTAGTTGTGTTTTTTGGTGTATTTGTTCGAAGACTGGAATGCTTTGACCCTCACAGAAGTGCTGTCTGTAAAGTAGTTGCTTGCTGTGAATGCCTCTCATCTGGGTCTGATAAGGGCAGAACCTTGGCTACCTCGGGGGCCCGTGACAGCTTGGTGGTGAGCCAGTGATCCTGGGCCTTTTCCAGATTGACAAGAACCTGCGGTCGCTGGAGCGGTGCCAGTCTCTAGAGGAGACGCAGCGGCTGTACGAGGCCGGCGACCACCGTGCTGTCGTGCGCCTGCTGCGCCCCACCTTGTGTCCCAGCGGATTCGACCGCGCCAAGCACCTGGAGTTCATGACGTCCGTGCCCGAGAGGCCGGCCCAGCTGCTGCTGCTGCAGGTGCGTGCCCCCGCCTCGCCCTTGCCCTCTGTTTCCCCTGAGGGAAGCGGAGCAAAGCCCTCCCCTCGGCTCCGGGCCACGGTGGTCGGGAAGTCGGGGGGAGCGGCGCTGCTGGGGCAGGGGAACCCCCCGCCTTTGGCTCTGAGCCTTGCGTGGCTAGTCGGGCTCAGCCATCCATCCACCCGATGGTCCGTCTGCCTTTTTTTCTAAATGCATTTTTCTAGTTTATTGCTTGGACTTCTTTTACTGGTTTTAAAATTAACTGGTATTCCTGCCACCTTTTCTTAGTATCTTCTGCTTCTGTTAGGTCCGTACCATTTCTGTCCTTTATTGAACGCATCTTTGCATGAAATGTTCCCTTGGTGTCTCTAATTTTCTTGAAGAGATCTCTAGTCTTCCCCATTCTGTTGTTTTCCTCTATTTCTTTGCACTGATCACTGAGGAAAGCTTTTTTATCTCTCCTGGCTATTCTTTGGAACTCTGCTTTCAGATGGGAATATCTTTCTTTTTCTCCTTTGCTTTTCACTTCTCTTCTTTTCACAGCTATTTGTAAGGCCTCCTCAGACAGCCATTTTGCCTATTTGCATTTCTTTTCCATAGGGATGGTCTTGATCCCTGTCTCCTGTACAGTGTCACGAACCTCCGTCCATAGTTCATCAGGCAGTCTGTCAATCAGGTCTGGTCCCTTAAATCTATTGCTCACTTCCACTGTATAGTCATAAGGGATCTGATTTAGGTCACACCTGAATGGTCTGGTGGTTTCCCCACTTTCTTCAGTTTAAGTCTGAATGTGGCAGTAAGGAGTTGATGGTCTGTGCCACAGTCCGCTCCCGGTCTTGCTGTTGCTGACTGTGTGGGGCTTGTCCGTCTTGGCTGCACAGGATAGGATCAGTGTGACCCCGGTGCGGACCGTCTGTGGTGCGCATGTGGACCCCTCTCCTGTGCTGCTGGGGGAGGCTGTTGCCGTGGCCAGGGCGCTCCCCTGGCAGAGCTCTGCTGGGGGAGGCTGTTGCCGTGGCCAGGGCGCTCCCCTGGCAGAGCCCTGTTAGCCCTGGCCCTGCTTCGCTCCGTGCTCCGAGGCCACGTCTGCCTGTCGCTCCAGGTGTCCCCTGTACCCCAGGTGTATAAAACCAGATAAAGTGTCTGTGTGATGGCAGCAGCCACAAAAGCGCAGCAAGGTAAACAGCCCTGGAGGCTCGCGCTGTTGAAGGAAAGGAGCAGCTGTGGCGGGTGGGGCCTGTGTGCCCTCTCGGCCCCCTTCACGACCCCGTCTTCTGCAGCTGAGCCCACCCCCAGCCCTGGCACCCGGGGACCAGCTGGGCATGGCATCTGCTGGGCTGGGCATTCCCGCATCTCATCCCAGGGCGGGGATGCTCACCCTTGCCCCAGAGGCCTGCCGTGGGGCCGCACGAGCTCGTGCATGCGGGCGTCCTGCTCAGCATGTGGGCATGGAGGACGATGCCCGGGGCGTGCTGGGCGGTGTGGGCCGGGCTAGCAGCCCGTCCCTCAAACTCGTTACCTCTCTGGGGACTTACACTTGGGTTTGGGAAGGGAGCCCCGGCTTCTCTCGGGCTTCTTGAACTGGAAAACAGGTAAGAGGTGTGGCTGGGAGCAAGTGGACCTGGAGGGGAGGCAGGGGGTGAGGAGGAGGGGAGAGGAGGTCAGGCAGCCCTACGTGAGGACCGGGGAGGAGCCGTGATAACCTCAGTGCCCACGCTGGGGGTAGGGGACAGCTGAATGTGTCCAGGGAGAGGCCAGCCCAGTGGCTCAGGCAGTCTTGCTCTGTGGTCTGGAGCTTCTGGGTAAGAGGACAGCCCCCCCGCCCACTGCCCTGGAGGGGTGGGTGCCTGCTGAGGAGGCACCACGCCTTGCTGGGCCTGAGACAAGGCCAACCGGCTGCCGGGGAGCTGCTGCTGCGTGTGCAGGAGTGACCTGATCTTTGCTTGGTTTCCTGTTGGCAGAATGTGTTTTCTTATTGATTTGGAATGCTTTTTATATATTAAAGGTTGCAACCTTTTTCTCCTCACATACTCTTGTCAGTTTTTTGTCTGATTTTAAATTGCAGCTTGTGTTTTCTTTGACATAAAGAAGTTTTGAATTTTTACCACATCAAACCTCTTAATGTTTTCAGATGGTGGTAAATTTGTTTGTTATCCTTAGAAAGCCTTTCCAAGGCTGGAACAAGCCTTCGTCCCGTGGCTGCAGACTCAGGATGGAGCTCCTGCAGTGTGCCTGGCACCAGGCAGGTGGGGGCCCCTCTGACGGAGCCTGCTCTCCACACGGGAGGCTGGCAGGTGATGTGTCAATGGACATACAGAGGTCCGTGCACTGCGCTGCTTCCAGCCACGTTAGGTGTTGGGTTCGTGCTTGCTTGTAGCCCGCTTCACCGAGCATTTGTAGGGTGGAGGCCTGACTTGGAACCCCCTCTGGGACATGCAGGCATCTCGGTCGCCCTGTGATGAGCTGCCTGCCGCGTTCTTCATCTTAAGGGTGCAGTTTCCTCACGGTCGTGTGGATTCTAGTCCTGATATTTTGGGTTGCTGTTTTAGCAGGATGTTACTGCCGGTCGTTATATCTTCTGACTGTGTGTTTCTGGTTTATAGGCACCCTGGTGAGCTTTGCGTGTTAGCTTCAAATGTAGCCACTTCACTGCATTCCCATTATCTCTGATGGCCTCTGTGTTGGGTGGATGGTCTGTTGTCCTAGTCAGAGGTGACCTGCTGTCCTCGGTCACTGGCAGCTAGTCTCGTGCTTTCTGGCTCTTTCTGGCCTCAGCACTGGGAGTGCTGTCACGTGAGGGTGATGCCAGGGGCCCTAGTCTTTTCCTCGACCATCTCGCTGCTGTGCCCCTGTGTATTCTCGTTGAGAGGGCTCAGCTCCAGCTGCGGCCTCCACCTCTGCCCATGGGCTCAGCACACCTCAGCAGCTCCTGCTCGATGCTGGTTTTTTCTAAAGAAACACAGGGCGGCCCTGCCATCCCTGCCCCAGGCCCCAGGGCCTGCGTGGTGGGCGTGGCCGCCATGTCTCCCCACCCTCTCCTCCCACACAGGACTCCTTGCTCCGGCTGGAGGACCACCGGCAGTGCTTCGAGTGCTCCGATGTGGCTCTGAATGAGGCGGTCCAGCAGATGGTCAATGCCACCGAGACTGCCGCCAAGGAGGAGTGGGTGGCCACAGTGACCCAGCTACTGCAGGGCATGGAGCAGGCTCTGTCGGCGGACGGCAGCATCCTGCAGGACTTGTCCTCCGCCGGTGGCCTCACCCGGCTCACCAACAACCTCATCCAGGTAGCCCGGCCGCTTCCCGCCCCGCCCGCCCCACCCTGGCCAGCACCTGCAGCTTGGAGAGCTGCCCGCCGTGACACCCCGTCCCCCAGGTCATCGACTGCAGCATGGCCGTGCAGGAGGAGCCCAAGGAGCCCCACGTGACCTCAGTGCTGCCCTGGGTCATCCTGTACCGGGTCATCCGGCAGGAGGAGGACGCCTTCCGCTCCCTGTGCCACCAGCAGCAGCTCCAGAGCCCAGCGGATGAAGGTATGGGGCCGCGGGGGCCTGCCTCTTGTCTGTCTGTGTCAAGCCACCAGCGTGCGTGGGCTCGGGCGATGGAAGTGTCCTGGATGGAGGCAGAGGCACCATCTACATGCACTGTGTGGCAGGGGTGGGGCTGCGGACTGTCGTGTTTCACGTTAAGTGCAGGGGGTGAGCACCCTGGGGCCTCGAGCCACCGGCCTGTCCTGGCTGGGGGCCTAGGCGGCCAGGACTTGGGCAGCATGGGGCAAGCACACTGCGTGGCTGTGTGACCTCAGGCCAGTCAGGCGGCCTCAGCCACTCTGGGGACAGTGGCACGTCTCAGGGTCGCCGGAGGGCAGCCGGGGCAGCAGAGTCACGGCCGCCGTGGGGGTCGGGCTGGGCCGGGCCCGTGGGGTGAGCAGGGCCTTCGCAGGGCAGTGCTGGAGCCGGGGCAGTGGACACCTGGTGGACCCATGTGCGGTGGGAGAGATCACAGCGGAACAGCAGCTCAGTGACGTTTAGGCCAGAGTGTCTGTGCCTCTGCCAGATGGACTTCACCCTGTGGTTTGCTTGCGTTTTCAGTATAAACTTGACTAAGGTATACATATCTTCCCTGGTGGCTCAGAGGTTAAAGCATCTGCCTCCAATGCGGGAGACCCGGGTTCAATCCCTGGGTCAGGACGATACCCTGGAGAAGGAAATGGCAACCCACTCCAGTATTCTTGCCTGGAGAATCGCACGGACGGAGGAGCCTGGTAGGCTACAGTTCACAGAGTCGGACATGACTGAGCGATTTCACTTTGCAAGGTATACATGCTTTTTATATAGCTATGATTATCATACACATATTTGTGTGTTTATTCAGGAAACTTAAAATTGCATTTATTGGGGGTTTTCGCTAGTTACTTGATGGATCAGCCAAGTGCGCCAGCAGCGCAGCCAGCCACATTGCGGTGACCACGGAGCCTACGCGCTCTCCTGCTCAGCGGGCTGCGCTCCGCAGCTGTCTGTCAGTGGCTCTCTGCTCGTCAGGCCTCTGTGAGCGACAGCTTCTGGCCCTGATGGCTCATGGTGGGGGGGGAAGCAGGACCAGCAGCGCCCACAGAGCCACGCCTGAGGCCCGAGGGACGGCGGGCAGGGCGGACACGCCGCCACGGGGTGGCTGGGCAGGGCCCCCGGAGAGCCGGGCGTGTGGGCAGCCTTGGGGAGGAGCCGGGCCAAGGAAGGAGGCGGCGGCCGTGCGCCTTGTGGGCGTGGGCGCAGAGGGCCCTGCTTGGTCCTGCCCCCAGGCGGCGCTGCTGTCTCCTGGGTCGTTCTGGAGTCAGCGCCTCGTGCGCGCCTTTATGTTTCTGACTTTTTTGGATAAGTTTTTAGGACAGGTATCTTTAGAACTCTTGACAAATAGAGCGTCTGTGTTTCCAAAAAAAGTTTTAGTGGTGAAAAAAAATTAAGATTTATACCTATAAACATGCATTAATTTTCTTATAAAATTGATACAAAAATTTTCTGGATTGAGTCTCCTCTTAATTGTGCAAACACAATATAGTATTTTTTTTTAAACTGCAGAAAAGCAAACAAGGAAAGGAAGACAGTCCAATGCCACAAACCTTGAATGGGTGGGTGGGGAGACAGGGATCCCAGTGGGCTGGCTGCCTGTGTAAACCAGAACAGCCAGGAGCATATGACCAGACCCACGGGGGGCGGTGAAGAGCTCACGGCTCCGGAGAAGGTGGAGGACAGAGTTGGTCCAGTGTGGGGATGAGGGAGCCCCCGACGGCTGCAGGGAACCCAGCGTCAAGTACAAGAAGAGGTCTGTGAGTTGTTGCTTTAACAGCGAGTCTGCAGATTGAAAGCACGTGGGATGTCCCCGGAAAGGCTGTTACACAGCAGTCTATATCCAGGTACATCCTGGCGGAGGGTGTCTTTCGAGGACAAAGGCATGTTAGGTTTCTACACTGAAGAAGCAGTTAAACCAAGGCTCATTTCAGATTTTTCCCTGGCACGGTTCAGTGCCAACGTGGTTCTCAAGGCAGGCACGTGTGGGCCGAGGCATGCGGCCGGGTCGTTTGTAATCACAGTGGACTCCAGCTCCTTGAGGGCATCTCAGGAGCATGGCTGGAGGACAGGGTCAGTAAACCAGCGGGAGGCAAGAAAGGAGCTCACCGGGAGGGAACGTGAGTCGGGATGCAGTCAGCGGCCAGGCCGACCGCAGGCGCAGAGCGGGACGTCCGCATTATCCCGGGCAGCGCCGGGAGCAGCGTGCACGAGCCGGCAGACTGGGAGCCGGGACAAGCCATCACTGACCTGGGGTGGCCACGCTCAATGCTGCTGCAAGTGGAAACGGATGTAAAGGGCACGAGCAACCAGAAGGGCTTGCACTTACTCCTGTTCTGACTTTTTTAAGCAGTGCTTTTCAAACCAGTTTTGGCTGGGACTGACCAATAATAAAAAGTATGACACAGGTGTCCTGAAGCAGCCCTGGTCCCGCTGGGTGGGGCTCGCTCTAGCTCTAGTACTTTCTATCCTGAGACCGATGGGTTATTAGGCTCAGAGTCTGAAAGACACCGAGGTGTTCTAGAGGAGCTACTGACAGTGCGAGTGGCGCACAAACATTTAACCGAGATTTGGTCGTTCTTTTCCCTTCTGTAATAGTTAAATAGACCTAAATGTGAGGATTTTGAAGTTAAGCAGTAGTGTGTGCAGCATGGGCTCCGCCGTTGTAAATGACTTATCTGTGTCTTTCACAGTGTCTCACACATGCTTGGAGAGATGCTTGCTGGGATGCTCACAGGCGTCAGCCCCGGTCATAGGGTGGGGGGTGGGGGACTTGCTGCATGGTCTCTCGTGTCAGCTGAGCTGCTTTCTGATAAGCGCCTTCTGCCTCAGTGAAGCCAGACGCGTCATCCCTGATTTGAAAGGGAAAAAGATGAGAAAGGAAAGTGCGGCAAGTGGGGGTGGGGGCACTGTGGGGCCCCTTGGCAAAGACGGGGCAGGGGCCCGCTGCTCCCGCCGCGTGCGCGCTGACGTCCTGCCACCCCATCTCTCCCCAGCGTCAGCTGAACCGCCCATGCTCCCCTCGTCCCTCATGCTGCTCAACACAGCCCACGAGTACCTGGGCCGGCGGGCCTGGTGCTGTAACTCCGACGGGGCCTTGCTGCGATTCTACGTAAGTGCCGCCCGCCCGCCGTCAGCCCTGGTCTGGAACGTGCCTGCGCGCCCTGCGTGGCTCCCCGCCTCTCTCTCGCTCTCTCTGTCCCTCCCTCTCTCTCTGTCTCTCTCTCTCTCTGTCTCTCAGAGTGAGCCTTAAACTTGTTGGCTCTATTTCATTAGCGATTATAGGTTCACTTGGACTATCTTCTAAAGTCGGTTCTGTTTTTCGGAATAGGGTTCATGCAAGCATGAAATTGCTGAGGTGTCTGCTTCAGATTTTACAGCTTCTGCAGTGCCCCTAGCCCTGCCCCTTTGTCATCGCCAACGTCCTCTATCTACGCTTCCCTTTCCTTTGTTGAGAAGTCTTACATGCGGCTGGTTGAAATTACTTTCTTCACCCAACCAGCTATTGGTTAACTGATCTGTTTTCTTTTTGCTGTCTAGGTCATTGAGTAGTACTTTATTCATTTTTTACTGTGTGCAGGATTGCTGTGTTTTTTCTAACTTACTAAAGTGAACGCTTACATTGGTGATCACTTTCTAATACCTGTGGTAAAGATTGTAGGTTTTCCCCAAGTACATTTTTAGCTGCATGCCATAAGTTTTGACATTTGCTGTTTTCATATAACCCATTTCTAACTTCATTGAGTTACATTTGGAGGATGTGGTCTGTACTATGCCTAGTCTCTGGCATTTGTGGAGACTTGCCTTTTATTTCTAGTCTTGGTGAAAATTGCCACAGATACTTGAAAAGGGCATCCGTTTGCTAACAGCAGGGCATAACGATGGCCGTGGCTCTACCTCCGTAGATTCACCCGTTGGCTGTGTCGGTCCCCTCCTCTGAGGGCCTCGCTGGAGTCTGCCACGGGTCCCCGCGGCCCTGACGGGACTCATTGTCTGCCGTCGTGACCAACTCTTTAATTCACGCCCCTCTGTGGGCGTCTGAGGGTTCCCAGGGCAGGGACAGTGCCTCCCTGTGCCCAGCTCGAGCTGGTGCTCCTGCAGATACCTGGGGGGCAGGTGAACGGCGAAATGAACGAGTATAGCTGGAAGCCGCCTGTATGCCGGCAGCAGGGAGACTAGGCAGGCCTTCCTTGGGCCCTGTGGAGCGGGGCCCGGGTGGCTCCAGGGCTGGTGGGCCCGTCCTGGGACCTGGGCCCAGATACGCTGCGCAGGTCAGCGAAGCTGGTGGGCCCTCCCCCAGCGCCTCTGCACACCTGCCTGCCTCAGGTGCGCGTGCTGCAGAAGGAGCTGGCTGCGTCCCCCTCGGAGGACACCCACCCGTACAAGGAGGAGCTGGAGACTGCCCTGGAGCAGTGCTTCTACTGCCTGTACAGCCACCCCAGCAAGAAGAGCAAGGCCCGGTACCTGGAAGAGCACTCGGCCCAGCAGGTGAGGGCCTGGGCGGGCAGTGGGGGGCTGCTGCCTCAGGCGCACTAGGCCCGTCAAAGGAGAGGGTGTCCTTGCAGGAATAGCTGTGTGACTATGAGCTCATTACCTGAAAACGCAGCAGCTCGGCCGTTCTTCAGTAGATCCCCACGGTTGGGCTGATACAGATGAGTCCTTAGAGTTTCCATTTGTTTGGTGTTGGGTTTTCAGACTGCAGTGGGTGTTAGCTCATGGCTCCTGAATACGGTCAGTTAATCTTTGATCTGAGGGAGCCCACCCCCGAAGTGTGTGCCCCCGTGGGCAGAGTCCCACTGTGACCCCTGTGGTGTGCAGACTGCCCCGGCCCAGAGCTAGCCTTGCTTAGTATCTGGCAGCCAGGTCACTGGCCCTCCAGCGTGGCCGTGTGGACGCACGAAGTGAGCCCTCAGCCCCAGCGTTTGTCTTCGTGGAGACCAGGCTTGTGTTGGTTCACGTTTCTCCCCGTCATACGTGTGGCCCTGGGGACTGCCGTCCGCGAGCGGGTGTTCCGAGTGCACGGGTACAGTTTGTTGGTCTCCCGTGTGTGGTGGCCTTGTTGCCAGGGGACGCCGAGTGTTTGCCTGAAGAGCTCACCGCGCACGCCCTGGACTGCGCTCCATCCGCCTGTCTCTGCTTGCAGGTGGACCTGCTGTGGGAGGACGCCCTCTTCATGTTCGACTACTTCAAGCCCAAGACCCTTCCCGAGTTTGACAGCTACAAGACGAGCACCGTGTCCGCCGACCTGGCCAACCTCCTGAGGAGGATCGCCACCATCGTGCCCCGCGCCGCGCGGCCCGCCCTGAGCCTGGACAGAGTGTCCGCCTACATCGAGGGCACCTCTGTCGAGGTTGGGGCTGGCTGCGGGCCGGGGCCGGTCTCCCGCACCGCACCGCCTGCGCGCCTCAGCCCCTCACGCTTGCCCTCCCGCCTGCCAGGTGCCCTGCCTCCCTGAAGGGGCCGACCCCTCCCCTGCAGTGGTCAGCGAGCTCTACTACCTCCTGGCCGACTACCACTTCAAGAACAAGGAGCAGTCCAAGGCCGTCAAGTTCTACATGCACGACATCTGCGTCTGCCCCGACAGGTGAGCCCCGGCTGCCCCCCCGCGGCGGGGCGGGGCGCCCCACATCTGCGTCTGCCCCGGCAGGTGAGCCCCGGCTGCCCCCCCGCGGCGGGGCGGGGCGCCCCACATCTGCGTCTGCCCCGACAGGTGAGCCCCGGCTGCCCCCCCGCGGCGGGGCGGGGCGCCCCTGCCGCGGCGCAGAGCCCGCCCGGGAAGGACGCAGGCGAGGGCGCGGAGGCCTCTTTCCCCGTCCCAGGCGGCCCTCTGCTCCCGGCTCGCGGCAGGGAGGCGCTGCCTGGGCGCAGCCTCGGCTCCTGGTCCTGGCCCCCAGCCCTGGGGAGTCGGCTGGACGCCCGCTTCCTCCAAGGCCACCTCTCTCATTTGGCTGTTTTCTTCTTTGGCGCGGGGCTGCTGTGGTAGTGCTGACCTGCGAGCCGGTTGTACCTGAGGCCCAGGCTTTCTTCCCAGTGAGCGGGCCCTGCTGGCCTCTGCCCAAGACGCAGACTGGCCTGCCCCACCCGAGAGCCAGCTCAGTCATGAGGTCTGGCTCACTGGACTGAGCCAGCGGAGAGCCAGCCACACCTCGGAGGGCCAGGGTCAAGACGTGACCCCTCTGCGGGTGACCTGTGTTTGAAGGGTCTGAGGGGCACTCGTGGGCAGCCTTCCTGGGCGTTCTTGGGGATGGGCAGGCCCGCCTCGTCAGACCTCTGGGCCGGGGAGTGGGGGACTGGGGTCTGAGGGGAAAAGCCAGCACACACCTCTCACGGCTGAGGAAGAAGCCGCCTGGAGGAGCCCTTGGGGGCCCTGAGACCCCGTGTCCGTCCCGCGCACTCGTGTTGGTGACCAGGGCGGTGGATTCTGCTCTGGCCACATGCAGGCCCGTGGGCGCTACTGTGGCAGGGTGTGGAAGGAGCCGCCCAGGCGGAAGGCCCCCTAGCTGTTCCCACCATGCTCCCCCCAGCCCCGCCCCGGGGAGAAAGGCTGCTCACTGTCTGCTCAGGCCTCCCCTTCCCTCATCCCCGAACCCAGGGGGCAGAAGGGCCCGGGAAAGAGCCAGGAAGCTTTGTGAGCCAGCAGGCTCCCCGACGTGGCAGGCCTGGGGACTCCAGGGGCCAGCTTTACGGCTCCGCTGGGATGGGTGGAGACTGTCAGCCAGCGGAGGGCAGTGCGTCCGTGTGTACACTGCTTCTCTGTGCTCTGTGCTGAGAATGCTGGACTCTGAGGGCCCACGTGTGGCCTTGGATCTCAGAGAGGCCCCTGCATTCTCCCCCGCAGCCCCTCTGGGGTGCTCTCAGGATGCTGGGTCTCGGGCATCACGGGTTCTCCTCGCTGTCATCTGGTGCTGGGGCCTGCCCTGGGTCCCGGGGCCAGCCGGTGGAAGCTGGGTGGCGGGGGTCTCGGGGTCTGGGCTGCCCTGAGCTGAGGCTCAAGGAGGCTGCAGGGCACGAGGTCACACCGGCAGGACAGCCCCCGCGCGCCCCTCGGAGCTGCCCTGTGGGGCCGCCCTCCCGGCAGGGAAGTGGAGGGCAGCAGGGTGGCAGGCCTGGCCGTGCCAGGGCCGTCCTGTCAGGGTCGTGCCTGGGCGCTGGTGAGGGGCCCGTGCTCTGCGCGCTCCTCTGGGTGGGTCTGCGGGGCAGGCGTCCAGCTCAGGGGTGCCCGTGGCAGCAGCGTGCTGAGCCGTGCTGCGTCGTGGCTGCAGGTTCGACTCCTGGGCGGGCATGGCCCTGGCCCGGGCCAGCCGCATCCAAGACAGGCTGAACTCCAACGAGCTGAAGAGTGACGGGCCCATCTGGAAGCATGCCACGCCCGTGCTCAGCTGCTTCCGGCGGGCGCTCGAGATCGACAGCTCCAACCTGTCCCTGTGGATCGAGTTCGGCACCATGTCCTATGCCCTGCACTCCTTCGCCTCGCGCCAGCTGAAGCAGTGGAGGCCCGAGCTGCCCACCGAGCTCGTGCAGCAGGTGAGGGCGGCGGGGAGGGGCTGAGGCCCTGCCAGCTGGGTGCCTGCTCCCCACTCGCCCTGGCCGGGGGGTTTGCACTGGTCAGCATGGGCTTCAGGGCCGTGGCGGAACCGCTGTCGCCTCCCTGTTCCTCCCGAGGGGCTTGTTGAGTCCTTGTAAGGTTGTCGACACTGCTGGGACGCAGTGTGGGTGCCTTAGGGGCTCCCTTGTCTCAAGGGGGTTGTCTCCCCCTTGAGGGGACGCAGAGGAACTCCATGGTGGGTCCAGGCACGTGTGGCAGGACACCTTTGTCCAGGGAGGTCTCCCTGGAGAGCAGGCACGAAGGGGCCTGCTTGTGGACTGTCTGTGGTCAAGGCCGCTGATGGTCGTGGGGCTGCAGGGAGGCCTGAGGACAGGAGATGCTTAGCCAGTGGGACCCGTGCCCCAGGCTGCGCCTGAGCGAGGTCTCTGTCGCTAGGCCGAGGGCCCCCCAGCACCCTGCAGAGCAGCACACAGGCTCCCAGGGCCCTCGGCCCCATGCCTTCCTGGCCTCCCCGCAGCACGCTGAGTGGGGGCGGCCTGGGCCTGCGGAGCCGTGAGGAGTGCGCAGTGTAGGAAGCCGAACTGAGGCAGGAGCGCCTGCAGGAGACGCTAATGTAGAGCCCCGGGGGCCGCCCACAGGACTGTTGAGGGCTGTTGGGCGTCCCAGAGTTAGATGAGAGCCCGGGGTGGTCTGGGGGCCCTATCAGGGCTGTTGCGGACCCTGCAGTCAGACGAGGGTGGGGTGTGTCCCGCTGCAGCTGGAGGAGCGGCGGGACAGCATGCTGGAGACGGCGCGGCACTGCTTCACGGCGGCGGCGCGCTGCGAGGGCGACGGGGACGAGGAGGAGTGGCTCATCCACTACATGCTGGGCAAGGTGGCCGAGAAGCAGCAGCAGCCACCCACCGTGTACCTGCGGCACTACCGCCAGGCCGGCCACCTCCTGCACGAGGAGGCGGCCCGCTACCCCAAGAAGATCCACTACCACAACCCGCCCGAGCTGGCCATGGAGGCCCTGGAGGTGCGGCCGCTCAGGGCAGGGGGCGGGGCCGGGCGGCCACCCTTGGCCTTGCCGCCCCCCCCAACCCCCACCCCCTGCTCACAGCAGGGGGCTGGGACAGGTGGCTACCCTCGGCCTCGGGGCTGCTCACGCCGTGGCGTTGTCGTAGGTGTACTTCCGGCTCCATGCATCCATCCTGAAGCTCCTGGGGAGGCCTGATTCCGGGGTCAGTGCGGAGGTCCTGGTGAGCTTCATGAAGGAGGCTGCAGAAGGGCCCTTTGCCAGGGGCGAGGAGAAGAACGCGCCGAAAGCCTCAGAGAAGTGAGTGGGGTGCTCCTGGCGGCCAGGCGGGGGCACTGGGGTGGGGCGCACTCTGCTGAGCCGTTCTGAGCTCAGGAGTCAGGCCTGGCCCTAGGCACCCAGTGGCAGCTGGGGTCCTTCTGTTGAATCCCAGATGCAGAGGCTGCGTGAGTGCCCTGCACCTCCCCGTCACCTCCCAGCACAGCTCTGCCTGCGTGGACGCTGCTCACTGCAGCCTCCTACCCCAGACCCAGGCAGGGGTCCTCTGTAAGCCCCTCTGAGCTCAGGGCACTAGGGCCCTTGCGTGATCCCCTGGTGGGCCGGGGTCACACCCCCAGACCTCCCCAGAGCGTGGGTCACCCGGCGTCCATGTCCTAGAGCTTTGGCTCACTTGCCCCTTCTCTGGGCCCGCGCCTGGCCGGGCTTTGTGCTGTCAGCTGCTGGGACGGGGGCACACGTGTGGATGTCACCAGGTGGGACGCAGTGCACCCAGAGATATTGTCAGAAAGGGCCCCCCAGGCACAGCAGAAATGGGCTTTTTGTGATTATAAGTATTTTTTTTTTAACTTGAAAATTATATAAGTGATACACACGTGCCCACTAGCTGTAGAAGGTTCTGGCAGGGCTGAGCGTGGGCTGCACGTGACAACCCGCCCGTCTGTTCCTGGCTGCTCCAGAGCATGCTCTGCGTCTGCACATGCTCAGGGGCACAGTCAGCTCCCGGCTCGCGTCCTTTGTAGAAATGCGCTCCACAGGGGCTGCGGGGCCGGTGGTCCCCACGGTGGGCCTGGGACTGACTGAGACACTCCCCACCCGCCAGCACGTGCTTCTCCCGAGCAGAGCTCGGGGCGCCGTGCTTTCTGCGGCCGTCTCCTTGTGCCCGTGTAAGCGTGTCCGCACACTGACCAGGATGAGACCCCTCAGGCCCCGGGTGCCGCACGAGGTGCTAGGGCTGTGGGCTGGGCGCCCCCAGAGAGGGCCTGCCTGCTGTGAGACTTCAGCCAGCGGCAGGCGCAGCCGTGAAGACTGGGCAGCAGCTGGCTAGGGCCGGAGCCCGAGTAGGGCCCCTGGGGCCACCCCTTCAGCCTGGGACGGCGTCACCCCAGGAAACGGGTGCCACTGGGGGCAGGTGCCACCGAGGGGAGGTGCCCCAGGGGCGCCGGCCCGCCGCGGCGCAGAGGGACGCTGACGCGCCCGCCCCTGGCCCGCAGGGAGAAGGTCTGCCTGGTGGACGAGGACTCCCGCTCTTCAGCTGGGACACTGCCGGGCCCCGGAGCCCCCCTCCCCTCCTCTGGCCCAGGTCTGACTTCCCCACCTTACACAGCCACTCCGGTTGACCACGATTACGTCAAATGTAAAAAACCCCACCAGCAGGCAACGCCGGACGGTACAGTCCCTGTCCCCTTCCCGCCAGCCCAGGCGGCACACCGTTCCCGGGGGGGGCTTCGGGCCATGAGTCGCTTTGTTGTGTGAGGGGGTGCCGGGTGTGGGATGACACGGGCAATGTTGCGGTCTTCATTCACCTCATGGACTCACCGTGACCCTCCGCCCTCCACATGCTCAGGGCCGCCCCCTGCCCTGCCCCCGGGGGCCTCCCCGAGCTCGCCGTGCCCGCTGGGGGCCGGGGACCTGAGAGGCCACGGGGCCCTGCGGGCTGCCCGAGCTGTCCCAGCGCGTCCTGACGGCCAGCTCCCCTCGCAGGCCGGGCAGGTGGTGGCCGGTCACCACATCCTCACCAACACCACAGGCCCTCATGCCAGCCTTGTAGCTCAGGCCTGCAGTGCGGGCCCGCCCAGTGGGCCTGGAGGGCCGCTCAGACCCCTCCCCCTGCGTCACTTGGCGCCAGGACCCAGGGCAGGGCTCCCAGAGGGCAGCGTGGCAGCAGGGCCCCCGCAGAGCTGCAAGAGGGCCCGGGGCGCACGCGAGTCCTCGGGGTGCTGTCTGTGACCTGGGGGGAGCACATGCTGGCCGGGCCCCTCTGGGGCTGTGGGTGTGCGTGTGCAGATCTGTGTGGGTGGTCTGAGCGTGTGCGTGTGTCTCTACCCCTGCCCAGAGTGCGGAGCACAGACCCGGAGCTGGCCGGCCTGTCCTCCCACTACGACCCCACAGACGTGCCCCGAGCAGGGCCTTCCCTGCCCTTCACCTCACCTTTCATCTCGAGGACACTGAGAAGACACCGGAGACGAATGCCTGCTTGGGAAGTCCTCTCCGCCAGGCGCTCTCTAGCGGACTTGGCGCCAGGCCGGCCTCCGGGTTGGGAGCACCTCTCGGGTGCCCCGCCCTGGCACACGCGTGTGTGTGGAGCTAGGAGTAGAGCAGTGCAAACAGGTGCTGCTGGCACACGTGCTGGGCGCCTGGCTCCGGAAGCATGCAGGGAACCTCACACTCAGCCCAGCAGCCACCCTGCTGCCCGCTGGATGGTCCGCGGAGCGCCAGGCCCACCTCAGGCCGTGCTGCTCTTGAGGATGCCTCCGCCTCTGCCTCCGCCTCCGCCCCCGCCCCAGAGGGCGGCTTGGTCGGCTCGTACCTGGAGAGAGGCTGGGGGAGGCTCTGGAAGGTGGCGGGGGTCGGCTCGTACCTGGAGAGAGGCTGGGGGAGGCTCCAGAAGGTGGCGGGGGTCGGCTCGTACCTGGAGAGAGGCTGGGGGAGGCTCCAGAAGGTGGCGGGGTCTGATTACCACCTCTGTAATCACTTAGCACAGCCTCCAAGGCCCGGGCGCTGTCTGAACCTCCCACACCAGGGCGGGGAGCTTTCTGCCGCCCGCCTGCAGCCCTGGAGAGAATCCCTGGAACCCAGTGGTCCCTGGGCAGCGGGAGGTACGCATGGCTGACCAAGAGCCCCAGCTGGACCAGGAGGGACAGACAGACAGTGCAGGGCCTCTGTCCGCAGCCCTGCCGCCTCACCTCTCACTCCACCATCTCAGGAGGTGCTGATGAGGGTTTCCACGCCAGAGCCTGTCGGCCCCTTCGGGGTGCTTCCAGAAATGGCCACTGACACAGGCTAGACCCAGCAGGATGAGCGCCCTGAGCAGGCCCTGTGCTCCCCCAGCGTGTGGTGTGCAGTGTGTCTGCGTGTGCGTGTGTGCGTCCGGGTCCCTCCAGGAAGCTCTGTGTGGTGGCTCCAGGCCGGGTCCTGTCCCCTCTGAGGGAGCGGGCTGAGGGCAGGAGGCTGCAGGGCTAGTTGGGGCAGGGCCGAGGGCAGCTGGGGTCTCAGGTGGGCAGCGGGGAGGCCCCACTGGGAGGCGCCTGCAGGCTGATGGTGCTGGGAGTGTGTGTCTCCCTGGTGGGGGGGCTGGCAGGGTCCAGGGAGTAGGCCTGACAGAGCGGCCTGGCCCTGGCGTGGACTGGCCAGGCCCCTTGCTGTCTCCTGACTGCCTCCACGTGACCTCGGAGTCCCAGTGCAGGTGGGGGCCTCAGGGTGGGCCGTCCAGGCGGCCGGTGGCCCTGCCCTCTGGGAGTCCTGCGCCCTGAGCCAGGTGTGGGCACAGCCCGGCCCACTTGGACGGGAGCATGTGTGCGTCTGTGAGCCGTGGACAGAGGGCCTCTCAGGGGAGGATGCCTTCCCGAGGGGCGCAGCTCGGCCAGGACGGAGGTGTGGGGGTCGGGAGGGCAGGGGCTGCGGGGTGCCCGTGGGCCCGTGTGCCGCAGGAGCCCCCGGGGGTGGTGAGCCGCGCGGCCCTCGGGGAGCCCCCGCAGCATCCATCGTCACTGCCACGCCGCCATCCGCCTGCCTGTGTGTGTCCATCTGTGCCCGTGCCCACGTCGCCCACGCTGCCCCCGCCAGCATTGCCCGTGCCGCCCCTAGCCCTGAGCGCACCGCCCCGGCCCTCCTGCTTGCACTGTCCCGGCTCGCTTCAGGGACCGAGCTGACGCATGCTGCCCCCCGGTCTGGCTCCTGCTGCCCACGGCTGGGGCGCCTCCGCGTCGCTGTGCCATGTTTGGAGAGTGTGTGTCTGACACGTGTGGCTTCCACCCTGGCTCCAGCCAGACACACCGCAGCCCCGGCCTCCCTGCACCACCTGCCTGCCTGGCAGGCCCCTCAGCCTGGACTCCTTCGCTTTGTTGCTTTTCACTTAAAAAGGTCGCAGAGGTGGCAGGCTGTGTTCTGGGCACAGACCTTCTGCCCACGGCACCCGGGCCGTCCTGTACCCACGCAGGGCGGGCCCAGTGTCAGACCAGGGAGGGAGGCCATGAGAGGGCGGGCCCGTGAGCCGCCTCTTCCTCCCCTCCCTGGTTCTCAGGCCATAGGTGGTCATGGCGTCTGGGGAGTGCCTGCTGGGTGCTCAGCCTGGTTGAGGGCGCCGTTGGGGGAGCCTAGATGAGACCTCGGTTGGATCTGTGTGTCCCTGGGGCAGCGCTTGGTTCCCCGAGGGAGCATTGTGAGCTGTGTCGGGTTTTGTGGGTCGGGAGGACTTCCTGGAGGAGGGCCATTTCAGGCGAGGGACCGTGGGAGCAAAGACATGGAGCTTGGAGACTTGTGGTGTTCGGACACTGAGTGACCAGGTGGGAGAAGAGAGACCCCAAAGGGAGGCTGCTGCTGCCTCTCTTGGGAGTGTGGAGTGGGTTCCTGGTGGTTCTTCTCTGGGGCATCTGTCCAGTCTCCTGGGCCTGTAGTGGGGGGAACCCATTCTACGGCCAGCCTTGCCCCCAGTGGACGAGTCCTTTCCTGGTGGTCATCAGGGCCCGACTGGGGCAGACCTTGCCAGTTTAAAGACTTCTCAAAATATTGATTGCACTCAGGTTGACTTTCCTTAGAATCCTGTTGTTTTCTAGCTGGCGGAATGGGGGGTCATCCTGTTGGGGTTCAGCAGCCAGAGTGGCCACAGTTCTGACCACACCGGCAGACGGTTCTTTCCTTGAGCCTTCATGTAGCTGAGCTGATGGAATGTGTGGCCGTGGGCCGTTTCTAGTCGTCCTGCCGGAGCAAACGGAAAAAACACAGCAGGGAGTGTGTGTCTTGTCACCAGAGCCCTTCAGGCTGGCCTGGGAGTCCTCAGAGTCCAGGGGGTGTGGGCTGAGTCAGACCTGCCTGAAGAGAGCCCCAGGGGACAGCCCGCCTTGTGTCACCAGGCCGGGCCCTGCTCCCTGCACCCCCAGCTCTGTCCCCTTGCCCTGGGCTGTGGGCGTCCCCTGGAGGTGGGGGAGGGGTGCCTGGGTGGTGGGTGGTTCCCAGGGTCCACCGAGTGCCTTCCCCTGGAAGGCTTCCGGTGCAGCCCTGTGGGTCTCCCAGCTCTCCGCTGGGTCTGGCCCTGCCTCAGGACGGGGGCCCGGAAACTCCCAGCACAACCCCTGCAAAAGCCTCACGGGGGCTTGGCTGGCTTCTTGCTGTGAAGCCTTGCTTGCTTCGTAGTGCTGAAAATCAGGGTCATTTTCAGCAGTCTCATGCTGACCCTCTTAGATACACACATCCCCAGAGCTGCAGGGTGCTGTGTGGCGGTGGCCCTGCGGGCTTCGGGCCGTTTCCCTGTCCCTGCTGTGTTGCAGCCTTTTGTGACGATCGTGTTTCGTCTCTCCGATTGGTTTATCCACAAGGCTTTTTAGAGAGTAGCGTAGCATCTGCACTGGGGTTAAGATGTCTTCAGGGACTGAAATCTGTCCTCAGGTGACACGGTCCCGCTTCACGGGCGGCGTGCTCTTCCCCTGTCAGGCTCCTGCCTTGGTCAGCCCGCACTGCGTGGCTGCGGTTCTTCTGTAGACACAGTGATGGTTTAGAGAGTAACCGTGGGACGGAGGGGCGGGTCTCCCTGACCTCGTTGTGTTGATCATTTTGTTTCTTGACAGCACTCTTCTTGCTTTTGTGTCTGTGTGTGTGTCTTGGATTTCTCATGGACTCGGGATAGCACGTGTAGGACAGAAGATGCTGAAGGGCGCGTCTTCACGCCCGGAATGGGCTTCGCTTTGTGCTCCCCGGCAGCAGGGGCGGGAGGCAGACGAGGTGGAAGCCGGGCGGGGCTAGGCCCTGCCGTTGCCGGGGGTTTCCTTGGTGCACCCCGCCCCGGACGCACGCTCCCCAACACTGGCTTGTGCTCAGGGCCAGCTGGTCTGTCTGCCTCCCACTCACTCCGCGCCTCTGTGCGCCCCTCGGGGGGTTCCTCCGCGTTCTCGCCCCTCCCCTGCAGCAGAGTTCTCTTTAGGGAGTCTGCACCTGCCGGTCTGGGCTGGGCCCAGCCGGTCCTCTCTGGTCTGGGTGCCACCGTGCGGCGGGCCGGGTCCCTGCGTCTAGGGGTGGGAGCACTGGGGCCCAGGGCCTCGCCCCAGGGGAGGCATTTCCCGAGGGGCTTCACCTGCCCTGTGTGACCTGGTGCCTTAGGCTTTGCTCCCCTGCGGAGAAGGTCCCGCCAGGGCTTCACACCTTCCCCCAGCTGTGGCCCGCACCCCAGGAGGGGTCCCCCGTCTCCCCTCCCCTCCTCAAGCAGCGGAGAGGTGGAGAGGCACCCCGGGCGCCCCCACCTGGTGTGTGAGCCCAGGTGTCTGGCGGGTCACTGCAGACCCGCCACACATTGGCTAACAGCGCTGGCCGAGTGCTGACCCTCGCGGTCATGTGCGCCTGTTACGGTGTCCGCCCTGCGGTGGCGTACGGCCACTACCGGGCATCTCCTCCCCACCCCACATTCTGACGCGTCACACTGGTAACTCGCAGTCAGCTGCGGCGGGAGCGTTTACGCTGCAAGAACCAGGGATGTTACAAGCGCAAGCTTGTCCTCCAGAGCCAGCTGTCAGACCCGCACCGGAGCGCAGCTCCCTGGGGAAGCCCTGGGGGCCTGGTGCCTCTGGTGGGGGTCTCGATGCGCCCAGGGGGGCAGGCTGGGCAGGGAGCAGCAGCTGCGGGAGGCTCCCGGGAGGCCCCTCTGGGCCCCGCTTGCGGCTCACCCGCCGCTCTCCTCCCCCCAGAGCGCAGCCAGGACAGCACGGCCGTGGCGCTCTCGGATTCCAGCTCCACCCAGGACTTCTTCAGCGAGCCCGCCGGCTCCCAGGAGGGCTCCCGGAGGCCCTGCGCAGAGAAGAGGCTGCCCGCTCCCGGCTCCCAAGCAGGACTGCCTGGTAAAGACCTTCCGGTGGCCACAGAGGAAAGAGGTACGGAGCCCTGACTTGGTGCGGCCGGATGGCCGGGTGTCCTGGGAGTAGCCTGGCCTCTGCCACGGCGCCTCCACCGGTGCCCGGTTCCGGTCAGCCGAGGCACTCACAGGCCAGGCCCCGGTGCTTCTCCCAAAGGGTGGGAGTGACCGCAGGCCTGCTTGCAGGTTGTGGGGTTCAACGCAGCGTTTCAGGAAGGTGCATGACGCTCGGTGAGCACTGGTGATGCTGAGCTGGTCAGACCCCCGGGCCCGTGCAGACCCACATGCTGTCCCGTGTGTCACACGTGTTTCCTTCTCAGACTCCCCAAGCCCATGCAGACCCACATGCTGTCCTGTACGTCACATGTGCTTGCTTTTTGGTCTTAATGCCGCGCCCCCCCCCCTTTTCTCGGCAGGGCCCTCATCTGGCCCTGGGGTCTGTCCAGCTCCCCATCCCTGGGGTCCCCAGGCCCCACTGTGGAAGCCAGTGGTCAGCCCCAGTTCTGGTCTTGCTGGGAGGCTGCAGGCAGGCGGGCAGTCCTGGCCGTGCTCTGAGGCCAGGGCTGGTTGGCCAGCTGTGGAGTTTGAAAGTGTTCTGAGGCTGGCCCGGCTGGGGCTCACAGCTGCGTAGCAGACAGCAGCAGCAGCAGCCAAGCCTCCTAGCGTCCCTGAGAAAAGCACTGGCTGTTCTCATTTACTCAACAAGTACCTGAAGTCCAGAGGGCTCACTCTGCACCCTTAACCACTCCCCCACGCTGCCTCTCTGGCAGGAGGGTGGTAACCTGTCTCTGGGGTCCAGCCCTGGCTCCAGAGTCGCCACACAGGCCCTAGATGGGAGAGTCTGGGCTCAGGGGCTCATGTGTGGGTGTGGCCAGAGCCGTGCCTGCCAGGGAGGCCCCCAGCTGTCTGCTGCCTGCTGCCTGTCCCTGCCACCACACCCCTTTGGGTCGGAAAAGGTGTCCCCCGAAGGGTCGGGGACGGGGCATTGATCGGGGGCAGTGGGTGTAGTGGGTTGGCCACCGAGTCCCTCTGGTGTTTCCCTAAGATGGAGAGGGAGGCTGGGGTGGGGGCGCCGAGCTTGGAGCAGGTGCTGCCCTGGGTGGTGTTGCCGCGCCTGCCCTCTGCAGACCGCTTCCTCGTGCCCCTGCACCGCCTGGAGGTGGACAGCCTGTGCCCCCCATGCGGGGGCGCCCCGTGCCCCGCTCACAGCCCCGCCCTCTGCTGCACACCAGCTGGGATGTCCTGTGTTGTCAGGGAGGAAACGGGAAGCCACGGAGGCCTCAGCAGGGCTCTGGGGGCAGGGACCCCCTGCTGCAGGGTCGTCCCTGCCCCGCCGTGCCATCGTCACTGAGGCGTTCCTGCCGCCGGTCACAATGGCCACGGGGAGGGCACCGAAGCCGAGGTGACGCACTCTCCTTGTTCTCAACAGGGAGAGCTGAGGAGTCGTCGGAGAGCACGGACGGCTCCCGGGCCACCGAGCAGGGCAGCCAGAAGCCTGCTGCCGACCCCCAGGGCCCCGCCAGCGGCCCCGCCAAGCCCCAGACACCTGGGCCAGCCCCGGCCGACGGGAGGAAGCGGGCGGAGGCGCCTGGGGAGCTGCTGGCCTTCCCGCAGGGGCTGCCTGCCGGGGCGGAGGAGCAGCGGCAGTTCCTCACGGAGCAGTGCGTGGCCTCGCTGCGCCTCTGCCTTGGACGCTTCCCGCAGCACTACAAGAGCCTGTACCGGCTAGCCTTCCTCTATACCCACAGCAGGACCCACCGGGTGAGCGCCCACTGCGGCCCCGGACTCACGTGGGCGAGGGCGGCTGGGAGGGGGCACGGCTCGCGTGGGCCTCCTGGCTGTCTGCAGCCCTGGCGGCCTCCTCCAGCTCTGCGGGCGGACTGTGTAGACTCAGCAGCGGGGCCCCGGGCGTAGGGGCTCCCACGCTTCCCACCAGGCCTTTTGTGCGGACACCTAGCGTCGGTGGGGTCAGCGGGGTCTGTCTGCGTCCTTTTCTGGGCTCCCCGCTCGCCAGGAGGAGCTGGGGAGACAGCCCCCAGAGCTGCGTTCTCATGGAGCAGATCTGCAGCACCCCAGAGAGCGGATGAGGCGGGTCCCGTGGTGATGAATCCCACAGGGAAAGTGGTGGGGCGCAGGCAGATTGGGGTGCCGCTGGGGCTGGAGGAAGGCACCGTTCTCGGAGCCCGTGGGTGGAGAGGTTGTGGCGGCTGCAGGGAGGGGAGGGCATTGCCCAGGCGGGTGAGCGGCTGACGGGGTGGCCCTGGGGTCTGGCTATGGCCTCCACTCTTGTCTGACCCCCCCGCTTAGGAAGGCCCCGGCTCAGGAGCCGCTCCCCACAGAGGCCCATGCTGGGGGCCTGAAGGGGCAGGGAGGGCAGACAGCCTGTGACAGCCCGGCGCTGGCTGTGGCGGGGAGCCCCCTGACGGCTGCTGTGGGGGCGCGGCGCGGTGCAGAGCGGCTGTGCGTGCGGCAGGCTGGCTCCCCGGGGCACGGCACACGGGCACCGCAGCCAGGCGGGGGCTGCGGGGCATCTGGCTTTCCCGGCCCCCGCTGCATGACCCCGCCTGCCTGGCTGCTCCTGGCTGTGCTGAGTCTCTGCACCCAGCAGACCTGGGTGTGAATAAAGCCCTCAGGAGCAGTCTGGGGGGCTTGCGGGTCTCCTCCCCTCCCCCCTCCCCCCTCCCCTCCTCCAGAAGCAGAGCTGAGACGGGACCTGGGGGGGTGAGACGCCCCGAGAAGCGAGGGGCAGTCACCGCCTGCTGGAGGGAGAGCAGGGCTGCGACGCAGGCCCTGGGGATTCCCGGGTGCTGCCCGTTCCCCCACATGGCTTTAACCTTGGCCTGGGGCTGGGCCGTGCAGGCTCCTCAGCCTGTGGCCTTGCTGGGCGGGCTTTCGAAAAGTGGAAAACCACACTTAGTCAGCTAGAGAACTCGGGGGTGCTGTCCACAGTTCTGCTGGTGTGAAAGAAAGGCTGCTCTGATATGTATCTGCACATACAACAGTGACCGTCGGGGCTCATGTCTTCTCTGCTCGATGTTGGGCAGCCCGGCTCCCGGGGCCCAGGCCGTCTCCACCGCGCCTCCGCCCACACTCACTGTGGGCCTGTCCCTGCTCACTGCTGGCTGCGTGCTCCTCTGCAAACTAGCCCAGGTTATATGGGTCCCTTGTGCTAGGCTGATGGGCGTGGGCCCAGGGGCAGAGACGAGGCTGCCCAGCTGTCTGTTCTGCGGGGCCACACCGCATGCCTGCGGTTCTTCAGTCCCTGTGTGTCCTGCCCCGCTGCCTGCTTCCCCGAGATGGCATTCCCTTTCTGCAGCACCTGGGGGCCCCGCAGGCTGCTGTTTGCTCTGCACAGAGGCCTTGCTGGGTGGCTTTCAAACCATCTCACTGCCTTGCGGGCCGAGCACCGGGCCCAGTCGGGCAGCCTGCCATCCTGGGGCCCAGCCAGAGCTCTTGGTGGACCATCTCTGACCAGCGGTGACCACCTCACATGCAGCTGTTGGATAACAGACACTCCTGCTGTGTGGGCTCAGCAGCAGTCCGTTTCCTCGTCAAGCCCGCCAGTGGGTGTGGTGGTGGCACCTCCGTGCTCCCTGCTCGTGGCTGTGTGGTTGCCTGGAGCAGTGTGGCCCCAGCGGGGCTAGCCTGTGACCCCTCGGGTCCTGCCCAAGTGCCCCACCCGAGGACCACAGCCCGTCTCCGCCGTGTCGGCACCGCCCAGGGTTGCGGCCCTCCCAGCCCTTCTGTAGTCATCCGTCCCTGGGGACTTCTGACATCCTCTGAGGCTGCTCTCCAGCCCAGGGTCAGCTTTGCTATACACTGGACCCCCGCCTTGGGTCCCCCAAGGTGTGGCCCCTGCTGGCCCACATTGGGGGGCACACCTGAGGACACAGGCTCCCAGATACTCCCGCACCCCAGGAAGGTCAACACACCTCAGTCCAGTGCTTGCTGCTCTGTGATTCTCCAAGGGCATGGTCGTGGCAGGAGTTTGAGTCCTAGGCCGTGGCATTACTCGTAAAATTGTGGCTCCCAACGTCCACATGGGCCACTCAGAGACCTTTCAGCATGGGGTCCTGGTCTTTGCTGAAGAGTGACTCTGTGTGGGTCCACCGGCCTGCTGCTTCTGGCTCGCCCGGGGAACCGGGGTCCCCACCTGTCGTGCGGGCTGAGGGCTGAGCGGGTTACCATGTGGTCCTGGAGCTAGACAGTCTTGGAAAAGGACAGACCTGGAAAACTCGCACATCCCAATGTCAAAGCTCACTGCAAATCTCCAGTAATCAAAGCAGGGTGAAATGTTATTCAGCCTTAGAAAGAAAGGACATTCTGATGCCTGCTCCAACATGGATGTCCTCAGTGAAATTAGTCAGACAGAAAGAACAAATCCAGTAGACCTCCATGCACATGCGGTCCCAGAGCAGTCACATTCATAGTCAGAGAGTAGACGATGCCAGGAGCTGCTGTTGAATGGGGACGGGATTCAGGTTGGCCTGGCAAAGAGTCCCAGAGGGGCTTGAGACGCGCCTGCACCGCGGCGTGAAGGCACAGCATCGTGAGCTGCTCACTTGAAAGCGGCGCCTCTGGTGGGGTTCACGTTATGTGCTGTGTCACAGCTACAAGGAAAGCCAGGGTCAATCCAAGGTCAGCTCAGGCGAGCTGGGAGTCCACAAGTGAACCGGTGCGTCTGTGGTCACTTGATTTTCAGCGAGGCTGCCACAGTCCTTTCGTGGCAGGAAAGGACAGTATCCTCTCAACAGAGAGCGCTGGGGTAACTGGGCAGCCAGAGTGCAGCTGGAGGCCGGCCTCTGCGTTGTTCAGTCGCTCAGTAATGTCCAGCTCTTCACGACCCCATGGACTGCAGCATGCCTGGCCTCCCTGTCCATCACCAGCTGCGGGAGCTTGCTCAAACTCATGTCCATTGAGTAGGTGATGCCATCACAGTGTGTACAGAAATTCACTTGAAATGGATTGAAGACCTCGATTTCAGAGCTGAAACCATAAGACTCCTAGAAGAAAACATACATGTAAATCTTCATGACCTCGAATTAGGCAGTGATTCCATAGATATGACGCTAAAAGCACAGGTGACCAAAAATAAATAAGTAAGCCAGACTATCCGTGAGGGGATGCAGGCCCAAACCACACTGGGATGCCGTCACCCCGCAGGCGCCTGGGTGCTGCCCGCCTGGAGGTGCCCAAGAACCCCATGGAGCTGTGGAGCCAGAGGCCACGAGCAGCTTGCTTCCCCAGCCGGGGTCCCTGCTTCTCCCCGGGTGTTGCAGAGTCTGTGCCAGGCTGCTCTTGCCATCCTCTGCCCTCTCTGGCCCTCCCGGGTCACTGGATGTCCTGAGAGAAAGAAGCCTGCACCCCACCCGGAAGCAGCGGCTCCCCTGGGCCTCCGGGCGAGGACAAAGAGGGCCCTGCCTGGCCCGCCCGGCCCCACCCGTGCTCCACCACGGGGCTTTCCCCGCGCCCCCCAGCCTTCCTGAGCCTTGCCCACTTCGGGGGTCCTCCCCTCTGGGCCGCAGCGGCTCCCTGACAGCAGCTCCCCTTTGCCGGCATGTCGCCAGGAGGCGATGCCCAGTGACAGAGGGTGAGGCTGGCAGAGGGGCCTGAGCCACGTGAGGTGAGGGAGGGGCCTCGGCCCCCTGAGCGCAGGCCAGCCCGCACCCTCAGGCTCAGCTGGGCGCCCCCCTGTGACTGGGGCGGGGCGGGACCCGAGGCCTCTCTGCTCCAGGTGTGTGAGGACAGGCACGCGCCGCTGGCCTTGTGAGCCCCAGGAGGGGACTCGGGGGAGACGCTGGCCTCTCAGGGGTGCCTCCCTGGGAGCCTGGCAGGGGGAGGGCAGGGCAGGGCAGAGGCTCATGTCTCGCAGGCCAGCCCCTGGGAGGAGGAGGGGGTGTGCAGACGCAGCTTTCCCGTGGCCTCCTGGCCCTGTGGCCGTCCCGGAGGAGGGCGTGTGCAGACGCAGCTTTCCCCGTGGCCTCCTGGCCCTGTGGCTGTCCCAGTGGTCACTGTCCTCCTCTTGTGGGCAGCAGGGCCCTGGAGAGGCTGGCCTGCTCCCCGCGCACGCACCGCTGCCGGCAGACCCGGGCACCGCAGGCCTGTTTGGGGCAGCGGGAGTGTTTCCAACAGCATGGCCTCGTGCTGCAGCCTCGGCTCCCAGGAGCTGTCTGCAGGAGGCTGACAGACCAGCCCAGTCTGCGCTCCCCTCGAGGGCCTGGTGCTCAGGCCTCGCCCTCCCTGGTTCCACCGAGAGGTACCGTGGCTAGAGAACAGTGGACTGAGCCCCGGACAGAGCCTCCTCCCTGCAAACACGCTTCCCCTGGTGTCCTGTAGCCCCCGGCTTCGCCGGGCTCCAGGCTGTCACCCACAGCCTGGCAAGTCAGCCTGGACCCTTTGGGCTGCTGGGGGACCCCGGCAGACAGTGGAGTGCTGGGTCCCTGCAGCATTTTGCACAGCTGGTCAGAGCAAGGCATCCCCATCTGTGCCCTCCCTGGGCAGTCCGAGGCCGCGCTTTCCTAGGTCAGCTGTGTGGGCAAGAAACCAGCTCGGAAACGCACCCGCGGCCGGCTGATCAAGCCAGGGCCGTGGGCGCCACAGGACGGCTGTCTGCAGGCGCTGCCGCTTGGCTGGCACAGCCTGGAAGGAGGGGACCGCCCCCCTCCCCGTGGGTGCCCGGAGCTGCCCACACACTCACTCCCAACCTACTTCTTGCTTCCCCAGAACCTCCAGTGGGCCCGCGACGTGTTGCTAGGCAGTGGTATCCCGTGGCAGCAGCTGCGGCACATGCCGGCACAGGGGCTCTTCTGCGAGAGGAACAAGACCAATCTCTTCAACGTGAGTGCTTTGCCTTGCTGACTCCCGCGGCGGCGGGCTGCCGGCGCCCGTCGCGGGCTGTGGGCGCGGGGGTTGACCCGGGGGTAGGCGTTCCCAGGGCTGGGAGGGCATCCTCGGAGGCCTCGCAGGGTGGTGGAGGCGAGCGCGCGCCAGGCTGGGGAGCGGGCCCTGCAGGTGGCTGCCCCTCCCAGCACCTGTGGGAGAGGCCTGCAGAGCTTGGCGGGGCTCCGGGGCTGCACAGGGGGCTCCGTGCAAGGGGCCCCAGGCCCGCGCTCCGCTTCCCCCACGGGGGCCTGGGCACCTGGGGTTCTTACTGGGGCAGCGCTGCTGCAGAGAAAGCGAGTGTGGCCAGTGCTGGGTCTCAGTGCCCTCTGGGGCTCCACACAGGGTGGGCTCCCGCCCCTGGGGCCCCGGGCGCTCACGGCTGCCCCCCGGCCGGGCCTCCCTCCCTCTCTCTGCTGGCAGACACCGCTGCTCTGCCCTCTGCCCCCCCTCACCTCCGGGTCCGCCGTCCTGCCCCCCGTCCTCAGGGGGGTGGCTTTGGCATGTCACACAGATCCTCTGAGCTTGGCTTTCTCCTGTTTTCCTTGGTGCCCTGTCACTGTGGGAAACTGGACGGCAGGGTTGGCCCAGGCCGGAGCCATGGGGGGCAGGTCTTGGGTCTGGAAGGGTGCAGCACATGCTGGCTCTCGAGCTGAGAGGCAGCCAGGTTGGGGGTGTCTGGGTCCACAGCGCTTCTACTCAGGTGTGACCTGGGGTCGAGCTGGGCTCTGGAGCTGGGAGCCTGTTCCCGCTAGCCTCTCCCTGACAGTGTTTCGTAGGCAGGTGGTGGACAGAACCCGCAGTCACTTGGGGTGGTACCGGGGGCTTGCAGTGCGAGAGGGCCTCCCTCCCACCCGGACACCCAGGCTGCAGCCACCACCCCTCATCACGTGGGCGTCCTTCCGCGGCCTGCCCACTGCGGAGCCTGCTGACGGGGCTGGGGCTCAGGACGACCCCTCTTCTCCCTCCCAGTGGGGTTACCGCCCTGGCCGGGGTGGGCGGAGGCCTGGGGGCTGGCCCTGAGCAGGTGCAGGGCCGTCGTGGTCGCCTCATCCTCAGGGCCGCGGCTGGGAGACCCACCTCCTGCTTCTCACGGGCAGTGTCTGACAGCCGTTGAGCCGTGTAGGGCCACGCCGCGGCTGCCAGCAGCTGAGTCGCACGGCTGAGCTCAGCCGTACCCCTAGCCCTGGGCACCCTGCCTTTCTCAGCAGCATCGTGGGGAGCAGTGACTGCTGCTCCTTTCAAGTGTGCGTGTGCAGAATCAGACGGGTCTGTCGTCCAGCTTTAGAAGACACGCCTACGTGTCTGAGTCGGGGGGTGTTTTCTGGTGGTGGTGTCTTGACCCTGAGTCTTGGGGACGTTCCCCAAGGGCTGCAGGCCACCCGCAGCCATGTGTGTGCGAGCTTGCTGCAGGGCTGGGGACCTGACACCGTGTGCTCCTGGTGTGGCCTGCAGCCGTGGGCCCCGCGGGCAGGCCTCGGGGCTGAGGGCGCAGGGAGAGCATGGGACCCTCGAGTCCCACAGGCAGGAGGTGCTGCCCAGCCAGGACGCGGGCGGGAGGGGACTGGGGGCCCCATGGCAGAGACCGTGTGCAGCGTTTGAGGGAGAGGCCTGGACTTGGCGCATGTCCAGCCCCCACCCCCTGCCCCCAACTTGACCGGGGCCCCGGCTCCCACCCACCCCTTCACTGCCCTGGAAAGTCCCCATCTGTGGACTGAGCCCGGGCAGGGTGGATCCCGGCCCAGGCTCATGTCTGGGGCGGCTGTGGCCCCAGCCCAAGGCCCCAGCACCCCCCCCCCCCCCCAACAGGCAGACCGGCCGGGCCTTTGCCAGAGCAGACCCAGGAGCGCTGCACATTGCTGGCTGAGGCCCCGCGTCCCTGCCCGCCTGGCACGGTCTGGCCTGGGCCCCAGGGAGGGACGGGCAGATGGCGTGTGGCCGCGTGGCTTTGGTGGCTCCTCAGGATGGCCATGCAGCAAGCAGGGAGCCCAGGGTGGGTACACAGGCCGGCGGGAGGCAGCGAGGCGGGACTGGGGCTGCGGGCGGCGCCCTCCTGAGCCAGAGCCAGCCTTGAGGGGCTGCAGAGGCCGGGGGCGTGTCTCTGAGGCCCAGAGGCTCCCAGGGCTTCTCGGGCAGGCGTGTGCACGTCTGGTGGCAGGCTTGCGATGGCTGGAGTGGGGCTGCTTTGTCCCAGGCGGCTCTCTCTCCCCTGGTAGTCGATTCAGAAACATTCCCATGGTAACGAAGCTAGAGACGGCGCTCCCTTCTTCCCCAAAATGCTCACTGATTTTAGCAAGCAGGTTCCTTTTCTGTTCCAACCCAGTTTCCAGGCTGAGTGAAAGAAGCTGCGGGAGCGGCCCAGCAGGCACTCTTCCCGCGTCCTGCGTTCTGGGCTGTGCCGGCAGCCGGCAGGGGCCGGAGCGGGAGGCAGCAGAGCAGAGGCGCGGGCCGCCCCTGCCCTCGGGCCGCCCCAGCTCAGGCTGCAGGGTCCCGCGGCACCTGGGGCCGGCCCCTTGGCCCGGCGGGCTGGGCCCCGGTCACGGCACCCCTCTCTCGGCCCATGCCTGGCACGTTGTCGCCCCGGCAGGTGGTCACGACAGGTGGGCGGAAGCCCTCGGCACGCTCTGGGCCCTGAGGATGGGAAGGTGGCCTGCTCGGGGCTTGACGGGTGCAGTGGGGTTCTTGGTATCAGAGGGGCCTGGCTAGAGGGCGGGGGCCTTGCCCCGGCTCGGGGGGGTGGGGGGCAGCCTGAGATTCGGATGTCACCATCCGCAGGCACCCCTGGGCCTGCCTGTGGGGTCCGGCGCCCGCGCCTGCCCTCTCCCAGCGGTCAGAGGCTGTGGCTCTACTGATGCGGGAGTGCGCCTTCCCGGGGCTGCCTCTCCTGGCGCCCAGGGCTCCCACACATGCCCGACCCATCTGCCCTGCTGCCTGGACTCTCAGAACCAGAGCCGACTTGCATCTCGGCCTGCCCGTGGGGAGCCCATGGTGATGGGCCCCTTCCCATGCCCAGGCCTGCCCCTTTGCCCCAGGGCCCTGGCACATGCGGCAGCCCCCACGCCTGCTGGTTCTGAACGCCCCGACTCCACGCTGCTTAAACCAACAGAAGACACGGTCATCAGGGGGCATCTGTGTAGAGACGGGTCTGTGCCCTGGAGCCGAGTGCTCCGAGGGCCCTGGTGGAAGGCCCCCTGCTTGGGAGCCCGCCGGGAGCACCTGCTGGGCGGGCGGAGCAGGAAGAGGAGTCACGCCGTCCCTGGCGCCCGTGCTTCTGGGCAGGCATCTGTCCCACCCTGACCGCCTCCAGTGGCCGGTGACTAGGGGTCTGCCAGCCCCACCCGGCCGCAGAGGCCGCTGCTCGGGAGGGCCAGGCCCGGCTCCTGGCTAGGGGCCCGAGTTCAGAGACAGCGCCCAGCATGCAGGCCAGGCTTCGGCTGGCACCCGCACCTCGGGCAGGGCGCCGCTGCGCTGGCTGGACATGGCCTCCAGGGCCCAGAGCGCCCCGGTGGTGTCTGGCGGGCACACGTGACCCCCTCCTGCCCTCGAGAGCCCCGGCAGGCTCGGCCACCCTCCCCCCACTCTCCCTGCGCCACACCTGGGGGCCCGTGGGCAGTCCCGCCTCGCGGGCTCGCATCCACCCCTGCCGCTGAGTCACCGCACCACCCCCGACAGCAGCCCCAAGTGCAGGGCCTTCGCAGGCTCAGCCCAGGGAAGAGGTGCTGCTCTGCACACGCTGCATGTTCCCCCCGCCCCGGGCACCCGCTGGGGCCAGGGCCAGGCCGGCCCGGAGAGGACGCCGCTGCTGGCAGCAGCCCACGGCTTGTCCGAGGCTGGTCCCGCCACGGCCGTGTCCCTCGGCTCAGCTGGCTGTGACCAGTCCCTCTGCCCACACCTCGAGGCTCATGTTGCTGGGTATGGAGCCAACTTGTGCCAGGCCAGGGCCAGTTGTGCTGAGAGGTCCCAGGGCCCCAGACCCAAGTGCGGCAGGACAGGCAGTCCCATCTCACGGAGGTGCCAGCAGGGGAGGCACCCGGGCCGGGACCCCACTCCCAGTCTGGGCAGGGGGAGGGACAAGGCCTCGCGCTGTCTCGTGCCGAAGCCGTGGCTGGTGGGAGGGTGAGGCGGGCGCTGGCCCCACACTGGGGTCAGCCCGCCGGCGATGAGGGCCACCCATGGCCTGGGCAGCAGACCACAGCCTCCCTGGGCGCGGGCCCGAGGGCACATGGCCACAAGGGGCAGGTGTGTACCTCTCCATGGCTTGCACAGCTCCCTGAGCCGCTGGGAAGGAGGCGGGGGGCCGCAAGCGCAGCAGCACTGTCCTGACGTTGGGTGAAGGACCCCCGGTCAGCTCAGGGGGGCCTAGGGGACAGGAGAGAAGGGGGCGTTCAAACCGAGGACACCCCAGCCCCAGCGTAGTACGGGTCCATCCGTCGTGGTGTTATTTTTAGCATTGTTGAAATGATCGATGGGCTGGTTGCAGAAGCAGAGTAAACAAAAGAGTCACTTCAAGTTCTCCAGGGAAAAAAGACTCTGTTTCTAAGAGCCTTTAAAAGGTTAGCAAACTTGTGATGTCTTAGCTGCGCCCTGAGGTCTCCTTCCTTCCCGTGCCCCTGACTCTGCAGTTTGGTGGACTTCGTGGCCTTCACACGCGGGGCCCGGTTCAGTCTGGAGCAGGCACCTAAGGCCTTCAGGCGCACAGGGTGCCCAGGCCCCGCCCGGACAGGACCATGGCGGTCACAGACCTCTGCACGGCGGGGCTGGAGACCCCACTCCGGAGGGGCTGCCCCCGCCTGCATGTGCACCTGGCCCCTGGGGGCCAGTGTGGGCTCACCGTGGTGCCCCTGCCAGGATGCTCGGGCAGAAACAGGCAGTGGGGGGCTCTAGCCCCTGGCATCCTTGAGCCCACTGACGCCCCCCCCCAGGCGGGTGCGGAACTCAGCCCGGGGCCCACGTCCCGC